GTTGAAAAACAAGTTGTTTTCAAATTTTGTCGTTAAAAATTTTCAAATCCCGGCGTTGAAAGTCAAGTTGTTTTTAAATTTTTTTGTTGAAAAACAAGTTGTTTTCAAATCCCGTCGTTGAAAGTCAAGTTGTTTTCCAGTTCTGTCTTTAAAAATCAAGTTGTTCCAGAACTGATGGGGGGTTTTGCCCCCCCCCCCCCCCCCCCCCCTTTCTTTTTTATAGAAACGCCCACATTATAAAATAACAATGTCATGTCAACAAAATTTTAATCCCGTTATCAATTTTTATATAGACCAGTATAGACTTAGATACCGAGCAAGAAATTCATTTGATCAACTTACCAATCACATGTCTGATAACATCATCACAAGAAGAGGAGAGAGGACAGCTTGTGATCACTTCGTACGAAATCATGGAGAAATATTTAATTCTTTTGGCTTTATTTTCGCCAATTGGCGCACATATTTGTTTAATTTCTCCCCAGCAAAGAGGTCCTATTAATATCAGTTTGGTAAGTTATAACTGAGTTATTATTTGGGCTTCAAAACATATATTCATAAGTATCACTTTTCAGAATTGCAGCCTAACGTTTGATTCGTCTACAATTTAAGAATACACCCGCCAACGTTGATACACTGTAAAATTATGAGCTATCTTATAACATTAGATACGATTTTGGCATTGTAGAAACTTTTGACTAGACCGTCGTCAATTCCGCCAGTCTAGATGTTGCTAATTGATTGTAGCTGATCAGGCAAATGTGCACAATTAAAAAAGGGGTTTGACTGTATTAAATATGCTTTTTCGAGAATAAATCAGATAATCCTATTCAGATAATCCTACTCATTATAATTATAGAGTGGGAGTCATACCTGTTTTAAACATGGATTTCCATGTGGTGGAGATGCACCTGCAACACCTAAATATGTCCTTAATGCCGGACAACCAGCTTTCATCAAATGGCAACAGAATTATAACCATTATGAACCGGGTTTTCCAGGTAAGGTGTTTTAAATAACTTAATCGTCCTTTTGGTCTGAGAGGTATAAAACAACCGTAGGATGTGCCTGCCATTCATCACCACACGTCAATGAGCTCAGTGATGGGCCATATGTTCGCCATGAGAGGGCTTGAATACAAAGGGATCCTCTCCCACAAATTTCATTTTATACATTTAACACAAACCCCACAAAAGAACCCTACTATCCGCTTTTCAACAATTCTTCCAAACTTTTAGCGTGGCGTAGAAAATTCATTTATAAATTTTCCATGCCCGCAGATCAGCATGCAGGGTTGTGTTTTGGAAAAGAGAATGCATCCTTTTGTTTTCAGGCTATATGGATATAAGTATTGGGCCTATCAACAGTAAGTCTCCAGATGACTGGACAACATTAGGCGTTGTTGAAGATAAATATGTCTTCTCCCAAGATTACCAAAGAAATTACACTGCTATTGTGGTAAGAACGTATATATTTTGCTTAAAGAGAAACGTTCTGGAGATGACACACATTTCCACACACTACGTAGAGCTTATGCTAATGCTTATACAAATCTGTTTTTCTTTGCAAGGTACATGGATATCACAGAGAGTAATGTAATGTTAGATTCCTTATTAGAAACAAGTACACGGGAAGACTAAGAATTCTCTTGCAAACGTACTGTGTACCTCTATACCAAAACAGAAAAATCCACCTGCCAAGGATTTGCTCAATATTCATTTTCAAACTGTTCTTTGCAGAATGTACCAAACAAAGCGTGTTCTCACTGTGTGATTCGCGTAAGATACAACGCCCATAAACCTGGAGAGACCACATTTTACCAATGTTCTGATGTAATAATTACATCCTCCAAAAAGGTTATCAGTTCACCGGCATCTTTCCCTTTAACTGATAGAAAAGACAGAGCTTTAAAGAGAGCACTGTATCTAACTCACACACCATCATCACCAAAGGCATCATCAGGAGGAATCTTTGGACAAGCATTCGATCCATTCAATACCTCAAGAGTCACCTATGCCAAAATTGATCCCGTAACTGGTGAAAAACTAAACGTTCAAAACTGGAATTTCGGTTTAGCTGACAAAAGAGGGCGAGCTGCAGACGATGTCAAGTACATCACTTTGGAAGTTATGACAGTTGATGCTTCTAGAGGATCTGTTGTTTCCATGTTTCATGGTACTGGTTCACGAGATGGTATTCCTGGACAGTTACTAGAAGTTGGGATCACTAATGGTACCATTTTAAACACAGTGACACTTAATCCAGCGCCAACGTCTGCCATCAATTCTATAGCATATCAATCACCAGGAATGTACATTACATTTTCCATTGAAGAAAGTTCCCAAAAGCCAGGTGAGTTGTTGATTGATTTTGGCGCCGTATTAAAATGTATTCCAGAGACATCTTTATTATAGCTTTTAGGGTCCGCATATTTGTACCGTCTGACTAACCCTTTACACAATAAGAAATTTATTTTGCTGGCAGAGTACACAGAGCAGTTGTTTAGTTATGTCTTTTATGTGGTGACTTCTCGGGTACTCCTTGTGATTTTAAGCTCGTGTTTATATAGAGAAATGTGACGGTTGCAGGAATGTAGGCCTACCGAATGAAGACGCAACTAGCTGCCAATTGTTCCACTAGTTGAAATTAGTCGTTGAAACTGCAGTTGCTCTCAAATTCTGACAAGGCCAACCGGAGCACCCATTGCACAAGCTGCTGTATCCATAGGGATCTACCACCATAATTTTTGGCAATGAGCAATGTAGTTTGAGAGCATGATCCTGGTCTGATCAAAGCTCAGATTATCTCAATTTCGTTATCTGGTAAGCACAATCTGATCGGCTCTTTTCAGGTAATTATTACTTTGTGGTGGGTAATTTGGATATATCTGGTAACTGGAAAGAACGAACACGAACACCAACTACAGAGAACTTATTTGTCAATTTTCAATGGATGGAGTACGATAGTAAAAATAATATTGTTTATGTATTGCTGGGAAATGAGAATGCGGCGGATACTCTTGATGCTAGAATTTATACGTTCAGTGTTACGTCTTCCAAAGCGTGAGTTTCATTTGAAATATTTGGCTTTATTGGTATTTCATCATATTTTTGAGTAAAATTTGTGCAAATCTGCCCACGGAAAACTGTGACCCCGGACTACATTTTCTCCACATATTTTTCTCATAATTTGCAAAAACTTATTATGGATCTTACTTTTCTTTTTCAGATTGTTCATGGGTTATAAAAGTCTAGATGTGTCCAAGTATACTTTTATGTCCATGCATTATCATTCAGCCAAAGGTAGGTCTATAATAAAAACCCGATGAATAATAGAAATATGTAAATGCAACACGCATGTAGGCTACTAGAAAAATATTTCAGGAAAATGGTATGGATATTACATGAACTTTAGGGTGCCTAATAAGAAAATACAGTCAAAGAAAGTGATCAGCGAACATAAAAGAGTAAGGCAAGCTTGAATTGACTAGATGATCATTTGATTTTTCCGGATTGCTCGCCAGCAAGCAGATTACAATCTCCGCGTATCCCATCCCAGTAAATGATATATGCTCTGCCAACTGTTTCTCAATATATTATTTCAGGTCAATTACTAGCTATATCTCCAGGATTATTTTCCACAAAATATCCTGCATACTCTTTATTAAAAATAGACGTTAATACAGGCAGTGTCCAGGAGTTATCAAAAATTACACCACCAGGTAACTTATATTCTTACTTTCAAAACATATCACCACACGGCGGACTTCAGTTTATTTTTCCACCCAGAGGTTTTTTTTTATCATGGCACACGTCGGACCTTCATTATTGACGGGGGAAAACAGGATTGAAATATTCGACCTATGTATGGTGAGTAAGTCGGAAATAGTTAAATGGAATCATTTTGATATTTCAAGTCAATTTTTCAATCAAGAAACGACATGAATTTCTAACGCAGAATGCTGCTATATATTTTTAGGAATTTTTGAGAAGTATTATGGCGGAAGCATTATAAATGCTATAGATCAGCAAAGTGGTATATTAACCCAAGCTTTCAGAGTGGCTGATTCAGAAGCTGATGTAGTAGCCAGTATAGATCTCAACAAATTAACCGTTACCTTTTCACAGATGACAAATTTACGTCATATACATAATCTTGTGTATGCTCCAAATGTATAACAATTTATTTTATAATAATAAAACACCTCAATGCAAAGAATTGCTTTATCCATAATACCTTGTTATGATGAGGTATATGTAAGTCCAAGGATGATTAAAACACGAACATGAAGAGTTTACTTTATTTTGACGTAGTTTAAGTGGTATTGAACAAAATATACGTTCGAATAGTAGATATTCTATAGTTGAGTAAATAATATCTGTGCACATTCAGGTCTAATTCAAAACACAAACACAAACAGGACCTATACACCTTAGTAGTTAAAAGAGATAGATGCACCATTATGGGGGGGGGGGGAGGTGATTTGAGTCTTGCATATATATAAATAGTCTTCAGAAGTACTGGAAATGTACGAAAATAGCATCAATACTTCAGATAGATCTCAAACTAGGAACTTCTTATCCAATTTCTATAGATGTCTTTTTTAGATATGACAGTGTCTCAAGAAAAGAGGACTCGTCTTTCAAATGCAGATAATTTTGGACACACATTGATTTGATGGCTCAAATTTCGAAGGTGATCTGTGAACACCAAATTTGATTGGCTAAAATAAATGGCGCACCTGTCATTTAAAGTATAGGTAGTAATGAACAAAATAAAATTCTGGCTTTAATGGTTTCAAAATTCGATTATTCTACCCAAAAATTGTCCATGTTATGTTTTGAATCAGATGTAGAAGGACATGATCTTAGCAGGAGTAAATATCAAAACACAAAAAAGTATGGATACATTATCTGGGACACATAGCATGTCTTCCACCATCTATAGGAGTTGATGTACCAGTTATAAACGATGCATTATCAGAAGCTAAGAAAGCGACCATTGAAGCAACTTCATCTACTTCTCCAGGTCTACCTAAAGCATGGGTTGTTTTTGTTCTCTCTAAAAACTGAAATATATAACATGCACTTTAAGATGTTTTATAAATTTGAGGGGATTCATTGGACCCTGGTTCCCTACCATTTTGACTCTTTCTATATTTAAGAATGCCTGCTTTTCACTATAGACAAACTGAGAGTGACCAGAGTTACTATAAAGATGGGTTCCCTTATTTTCATTTATGAAAATGAAAATGTTAATAATTATATGAATATAAAGTAGAGGCATTTTAATGACTTGGAAAAATACCAGTTTGTCTCACATGTCAATAATTAATTCATAATTAGCTAAATTAGAAGAGAATTACCAGCAGAATTCCATTGAGTGACCGGTCATAAAAGGTCAAAAAGACTTTATTTTGTTTTTAGACTGTACATACATGGGTTAAAACTCTTAATTATATGCAATAAGAATATAATGATATGATTAAGAATACATGATAATTCATTAGAAACACCAATTAATCAAACAGTTTGCTTAATTTGACACTAAAAAATAAGGAAAACCATCTTTAAATAATTATATTTCTTTCATGAAATAAAGTCTTGCAGAAACCAGAGTTTACAACAAAAGCAGGCTGACCTTATTATAATCTTCATCAGACATCCCTCCTCTCTTATGAATTTCAGTTTTAATAACACCAGGACTGCAAATAAATGTATAATCAAGAGTTCAAATGGATTTTTGTTTATGGGCAATAAGCCTAGGGATGTCATGTGCAAAGTCAGATACAATAAATGGAATTTTTATTACTATACTTACTTAACACTGTTCACTCTGACCTGTTTTGATGCTAATTCTGAAATAAATATTGACTTGAGGTAGGCATGTTTACAACTAGAGTTAGTATTTAAGACGCCCAATATTCAGAATGGGCACAAGTACAACATGCGTTAAAAAATTAATAAGATTTCTTTACTTAGAAGTATTCAGGCACACATTTATCTTGATTTTGGTGAATAGAATTCATAAATTTTTGACCTAATAAAAAAATTAGAATGCCCCTTTAAACAACTTTTCACTCCCTGCTGGGGCAGTTGACCCTTGTGTCACAGTCAAATTTTCACAAATCTGTAGCCCTTACGAATGGAAGTATGAATATTCTTACCTAAAGCTGTGCATCTTGTAAACTGATCTATAGCACTTTTAGACATACAATAAGCTAAGACACCTGGAAACTGAAATTAGATATATCACTGCAACATAAAGATTCAAAGAGGATTTATGACTGTTGATTTGCAGATTTGAGACACTGGTATTACACCTATACTTTTTCATGCTATAAATTTGAATATTGCAGACAATAAAATGCTACTTACAGATCTAACACCATTAACACTAGAAATGTTGACAATATTTCCTTTAGTTTTTATCAGATGGGGTACACATAACATAGTTAGGTGGTAGATAGATCTGAAATATTATAAAATCAGCACAAATCAAAAATGATAACACACATGACTGAATGCTGAAAACAAAATTTACCACCACACCTTCTAAGGAATACATTGGGCAGCACCAGAATCTTAGAAATAGGGGTCAGACTGACTTAAAAGTGGACACAGTATGGAAGCGCCATAGGCACAAGCCTCTCATACAAATCATTGAGGAATCTCCTATAATAATTTGGTGATTTATTAGTCTGACACATTTACACATAACAATAGAAATATTTTGAAACTCCTTAGGGATGAAGTAGGTGTACAAACTATTTTTTCGGAGGCTCAAGGCTCTCCTGTATCCCCACACACATTGAAACTTACCTGACATTAACATTGAAAACTTTATCATATTGTTCTAATGATGTTGTTTCTATGGTACCAACTACCACAATTCCAGCACAATTCACCTGAAAATTCAAATTTGAAATGTTTCACCTTGCAGGGAGACAAGAAGGTAAACTTCAGGTAGGATATTTGAAACTAAATTACTGTATTTTGTTCTTTGATTAAGTGCGATACATTCTGGTTGATTATAGCTTAGCCAATTTCAGTCAAAATGGAATACACAATACAGCTTATAACATAAATTGAATAAGTAATTTGCACAATTTAGAGCTTTTAAAGAGACATGTTTGCCTTTTTCGGGGATTGATTTTGGTCTTGAATGTATGTAAATAGTCTGCAGGAGTACTAGACATGTACAAAAATTGCATAATTCCTCAAATCTTAGATACCTCAAACTAGAAAATTTCACTTTCTATATCTATGTCTTTTCTATACATGTATATGGCAGAATCTTAAGACAGGACCAGTTGTCTTTTTAACTTTTGAATAAGGATAATTCTGGACACACATGAATTTGAAGGCTACAATTTCGACGGTGAGCTGCGAACACTTCAACTGATTAGCTTAGCTAAAAAATTCCTGTTTCTGAGACTAAGGTACAATTGGTCAAATAGATGCTGAACCCTTTAAGTGCTAAAACCACAAAATCCCAAGCCTGTTATCACATTTGAGCTCAATGGTTGCTCACTCTTATCAAGTCATATTCTGCCATCCACACAAAGATTTTCTCAATTTTGTTGAAAGACTCTTGAGGCACCACAAGGTATAATAATATCATACCATGTGAAAGAATGAAGTGAAGTAATAATTGTCATACCAGAATATCTAACTGACCAAAATTCTCTATAGTCTTATCAACCAGTTCTTTAATAAAACTCTCATTACGTACATCACCAGATAATAGAAATGGCTAAAAATTTACAAATATAATACAAAAGAAATTAAATTAAACAATCTACTCTGTTTAAACCCACCCAAAATTGCAAAATTGAGAAAAAGAAAACCAGTCAATAGTAATCATTTACCATTTAGAAGAAAAAAATGCCATGGAATCTTAAATTTTATAAAGTTTATAGTCATCTTATAATTTTCTTTAGCTGCCAAATTTGTGCTTAGTGCTATACATGTAGTAGTATTCAGAATTTCATTCTGTTTATGATGCAATTAAAGATTTTGATTCTGTTAATGATATCTTGAATTGAGCGCCAACTATGAAGTAATCATAAAGAAAGAGTCTTTTGAAGATCTGACCTTTTCAGAAGAGATTTTCTCACAAAATCCACTAGTTTTCTTAAGATTATCTGTATTACGACCAGTCAGAGCCAAACGAGCTCCTAATTTTGAAAACAAAACGGCAGTACCAGCTCCAATGCTTGAACTTGCTCCTAGAAAATAAGACAAGTGATATACCAAGAAAAGTGTTAATTAACATATTAGTAAACTGTAATCAAGAACCTAAAAAAACATGTTGTTGTTACTCACACTATGCGATCTTAAGACAATTGACCTATAGTGTCTAAGGTATAATTCAATCTGCTGATAACATAAAATAATAGAAAATTGATTTGTTTGCTCTTTTTGTCTGGATAATTCACAATGGCTAAAACATGATATATACTTGTATTCTAATCGTTCAAACAAAGGGACAATTAAAGGGATTGTAAAGAGGTTTTATAATTTTTTGATGTGTACCGTAAACACTGATAGCATCAATTTGCACCATTCAATTTTCATTCAGACGTCTGTGGTTCCTGCAATTCCACTAAATGTAGGGAAGGGCATTATGTGAAGAAGCATATTTTGCAATTAGTGGCACCATCTAACACTTAGTTTTAGTGGAATTGCAGTAACTGCAGGCGAAGTTCAGGAGGACCATTTTTACCAGCTGATACTTGGCTACTCCTTCTAAATGTTATGGTAGATTTATCAGCCTATTTACAGACCAACCTGTTATCAGAGCCACTTTTCCATCTAACCTTGCTAACCCATTTGAATTAGATGCCATTTTATTTTTTAATCTTTATCTGAAATAAATGGCAGACATGAATGAAAAAAAAGAGACACAATCATAATTGATAAAGATGTCAACTTAAAGGGATTGTAAAGAGGTTTTCTAAACTTTTTAATGTGTACTGGGGACACTGATAGCATCAATTTGCACCAATCCAATTTTCATTCCGACATCTGTGGTTCTTGCAATTCTACTAAAACTAACATGTTTTATGACGTCGCTAGAGGGGAGCGACCGGAAGCTATATATATGCAGTTCCCCACTAGTGACGTCATAAACGTGTTAGTTTTTTGCAAGAAAAATAGTGAATCCTATCAATCATTATAACAGTATATCAAATACGTCAGACCGTATTATCAGGTATTAGCAAGAATTAATATAGAATAAGACTACAGATATTATCCTTTTCATCTGTTCTTGAGATCTTTCAAAAAATGCAGTAATCCAAGACTTAAGGTTCGGCTATATTAATATGTCCTGGGCAAGCAAAAATGATAGGTGAAAAAAAATCAGAAGTGTCCCTTTTTTAGTCTTAGCCTTAAGCTAGTGAAAAAATCAAAAGCTTTTTTTTGTGATAATTAAATTGATACATGCTTCATATTTGTTTGCAATAGCTGCTTATTATAAGCATCTTTACTAAAGTGAATTCATAACAATAACTACAGACAGGTGTCTGAAACTTGTAATGGTACCGGTACAAATAAAAGTAAAGAACTCTTTATCCCTGTGGCTAGTTTATGCTGAAGCGTAAGAATAATAGTTAGTATTTTAAATATTTGTATAGTTTTCAAATTTCATTACATCTCTGATTGTAAATGATAAGACTTTCAAGGGTTTTTTTGTTATGAAATAGTTTTGAATCGTTGCACACAGATGTCTTGACCCCAAAGATAAGATCTTTGAAAGGTCAAGGTCCAACAATATGGCAGCCTCCAGCTTGTGCAATTTGTCTGGTAAAGTTGCGTTGATAACAGGTGAACGTGTAGATTTATTCTTCTGAAAATTCCACATTTTGAAGAGCCATGCACGATATATGGTTTTTCACTTTGCCTTGAATGGGACATTTTTGTGTTTTCTCTAAGATGACCAAAGACTGCGATAAGAATAAGTCGTACACTTGGTAATGAGTTATGTCCCTTTGACCACAACAAAAAGGGGTGTACTCTAGGAAGGCTGTATTCTTTCATAGGTGTAGTATACTCAACTCACTTTGTTATGCATTACCAGTCCAAAACTTGCTGACTATTGATATTTTGGGGCTGGTGCTGAATAGAATTTAGTGGGAAATTTCCATATCATATCTTCTAATCTTGAAATTTTGAACCAAATGTTAACTAGGTAATGTTAAACATACATTATTCAAACTTTTTTGAGAAACATTTTGCAATTGCTTATAATTTATATAGCCTTATGATTTATGTAAAATTTAACTACAGGTGCTAGTTCTGGTATTGGTGCTGCTACGGCTGTTTTGTTCTCTAAACTTGGAGCTCAGGTGGCTATAACAGGACGTAAAGAAAACAATTTAAATGAAGTCGGAGCCCAATGTGAGAAAAATGGAAAGAATAAGGTGAACATTTTAATTACCTTTCTTATTATATTTTTATTGTATACCATAATGATAAGAAGACAAACATTTTTCTTAATTACAAAATTAAGCACTTTTGGTCAAGGATTTACTGTCAAAATCTTTCTACAGATTTTTCCATGGCAATCCATTGTGGTTTTTGTCTGAATTTCATGACTTTGATGTATATCATATCTCATCTAAAATTTAACTCTTGATTGATTTTTTTCAAGCCTTTCATGGTTGTTGGTGATTTGGCTAAAGAAGAAGATACACAAAGAGTTTTAGATTCAACTATAAAACATTTTGGTAAATTGAGTATTCTAGTCAACTGTGCTGGTATTATTGAATTAGGAAATATTGAAAACACCACACTACAACAATATGATAGAATGTTTAATATCAATGTTAGGTGAGTATTATCTGAATTACTCAAGGGAGATATGAGTTTTCCACATCTAACCCTTTAATCCTTTATGCTATTTATTAGGGTAGCTTAGGATGGTTAAATATTTGTGTGTTTACCAAAAATGGTCCAATATCAAATTCTGATCTGGGCATAAGTACAGAATGATATTGTCAGATTTGCCAACCAGGTTACCCATGTCAGCAATGTTGGTCAGATTGAGACATGTTAAAGATTGTTGATGGATGCAAATGGAAAAAATATTCAGGTAATGCATCTGCAAAATTTCTCTTATTGCACACTGCCTGGTGTTCCTGTCCCAACCATTAGCTCATATTCATTTCATTAGTTATTGGTAAAAATTCTGTTTTCAGATCAATTTATCACTTAACTATGTTAGCAGTACCACATTTAATAGCTGAAAAAGGAAATATAGTTAATGTGTCTAGTGTTAATGGTATGAGATCGGTAAGAAATCGCCCAATTTGAAATGTCCTCAGTATTATGTATAAGAAATTAATGGAATTTAATAGGATTGTGTTGTTGGAAAGATTCTAAATTAGGGTACTCTTAACTTTAAAATTAAGTTATCTGTGGTCTGTAGCCCCAGAGTTCCAATGTCATAAAATCTTATGTGTCAACTAAAGAAATCAGGCAATCAGAGTTCATAATATTATAATAATATCAAAAACTTGTATAATTTTGTTAATATTGACTTGCTTATTTGATGGAGCTCAATTTCAGCTTTCCTAGTAATTAGTAAATCAAAATCTTGCCTATCCGCGTGCAAATTAGAAATGCATAGCAGCAACCAAAGAAACTGCTGTTAATAATATTCCTCTCAAGGATATATGATACCATCAATGGTAATTATTGCAAATTAGAACAAAGAGACTTGTTTTTTACTTCTGCTGGTATGTTTTTTCTTTGATTGCAGACTAACCTGACATCAACTTTTCATTTATTTGTCCTCTTGTCTGATTTTTTTCAGTTTCCAGGTGTTTTATCTTATAATATGTCAAAGAGTGCATTAGATCAGTTTACAAGATGTGTTGCTTTAGGTTAGTTATCAATCTATCACCAATCTGAGTGAAAATTTTCAAGAGATAATTATAGAAATCCTCAAAAAAGTAGTATGGGGAGAAATTTGTCCTAGCCTTTCAGACAATTTGGAATATCAAGACTGAAAATAATTTGACTGACAACAAAATCCACAATGGCCGATACCTCGATCAAGCTGTAAATATGACACATCTTTTCAAGTTTTTAAATCTTATAACCATTTTTTTTTCAGAATTGGCTCCAAAATCTGTCCGAGTGAATAGTGTTAAGTAAGTTTGATTGTTCTTTTTATACAAACTTGTTTTATTATTCTTGTCCCCATTGAACAAGTCAAACACTTTAAGGTGTGCAGTTATAGATCTAACTTTGTGGGTACATCATTTATTTGAATTATGCCTCCTCTCCCTAAATATTTAACATGTATTCAGGATAGAAAATAATGACATATTTAATTTAATCAAGAGAAATACCTTATATACTTTCTGTTTACAGTCCTGGAGTAACAATTACTAATCTACAGAAAAGAGGTGGTTTAGATGATGCTGCCTATGAAAAGGTAGAATTTCACTATCAGTCAGAATACATATCTTCAGCCTTTTAGAATTGTAAAAAATTTGACACTAGTGAAATATGGAAATCTAAAAACAGGCATTGCATATTAGCTCCCAGATATTTTGGTACACTTTATTAATCCAACATGTTTTTTTAAAATCCTCTTTTCATTTCCTCTTTCAAAATTAACATATCTCGCTGAAAAGTAGGACAAAAAAGTCAATTTTCTTTCATTTGATTCAATTTTCCTTATTATATTTTATTTTGACCTTAAAATTTCATTGATATTTCTATTTTCTGTCTAGTTTTTGGAAAGGTCTAAAGAGACTCATGCATTAGGAAGACCTGGTGAAGCAGAAGAAGTAGCACAAGCCATCGCCTTCCTAGCCTCTGATGAAGCGTCTTTTATAACTGGAGCCCAATTACCTGTAGATGGTGGAAGACATGCAATGTGTCCAAGATAACTTACAGACTACTTTTTATATTGTATCGTATTAATTGTCGAACTTAAATGTTTGTGATTACGAATTGTTGATTTTCAAATTGTGTAAGTGTTCATTCGGGGCACATAATAATGCATTTTACTATCTTTTGTTAATACTTTCTAAAAGCTTCAAAGATAGTTACCAAAAATTTACTGTCAGATTTATTGCCCTGCTTTATTGTAACTTTGCATATTGTTTGAAATTTATTTGTGATCTATGCAAATAATCTGAAGTGGCTACTTATGAGAAATGTAGTTTGGCCTCCTGTTTTGAAACTTATACACAAACATTTTTTGAGCAAAACAAGTTCAGATCATCTTGTTCATGTTGATTAATCAATGCTCTTTGACATGTATGCTGACAAGAAAATTGCCATTACAATGAGATTTTGGCTTGATGAGTTGGGTGAATATTTTTTTAACACTATCTAGGTGTGGTCCCAAGCAGAATTTCAGGTTTGAATATTGTTGAAATATAATCAATGTCATATAAATTACGCACGAGTTCGTTGAAATTTTGTTTTAAAAAATCAAGATATATAAGGGCTTTATGTTAGACCTGTTGAATGCATTTGCTTTAATGGACGAAGACTGAGACTGATATTATCAATTACTGTTGATTTCAAATAAATATTTACATAAACAAGTTTTTATTTGATAAATTCATAGATTTCCTTGAATTGCTAGAGGGTGATATAGATTTGACTAGTCCAGAACTCAAAGTGTCCAACAAACCATTCCCCAAAGCTTTCATGTAACTCTATGTTGGTAAGCCTATGTCTCCAAGGAGAGAAATCAACTAAATGATTTACTACATACATCAAAAAGGCCTGGAGCCATTTCCAGAACACAAATCGACATACCCGATTTGAGAATCGATTCGAATTTTACAAATTGACTGTGCTTGTCAATAATCGGTTTTCAGTAAGGAGTAACTAAACAGCTTGATTTTGGTAACATGTCTCTCAAAAAGCTGACTGAAGAATTATTTTTAACTACAAAAGGGTTTACACAGTTATGGTTAACAGTTATATTCTTATGTTTGATTATCAAGACATGAATAAGTCTAAAAATTTCCGTAGCAAAATGTAAGACTAGTTTAATCGACACTAAAAATGGGAGCACCTGCTGCTGAATGATCTTGGCGAGTTTTAACGTGATGTCACGAGACTTGCTATGGCGGATGGACGGGACAAAAATAATCTGTCTCGCTCTCCCAATGAAAATTTTAACCCGTTAGATCCGGACAGGTAAATATATAAGCGGTTATTTACTTTTTAAATACCCCTGGAACTAATTGCAAAGACTTTCAACGAGAAGGCGGCATCAGTTTTTGCAAATTAAGCGAGGAAATATTACCGTGTCATACGATTTTCGACCTCATTCATTATATGAACACTGTGATACAATTATACACTGTCACTGATTATAACAGTTGTTTACAAGATAACCATATAGGGCCATTATAATGTCATTTATCTGATTGGTTATAAATGGATAAATTTGATCTGTAATGAAAAGTGTAATTGGCTTTTTTTCTTCTTTTTTATTTTGTTTGTTTTAATGGAATGACCCTATTTTTTTTACTCTTGAAAAATAATAATATTTTTTATTATTGAAAGATACAAAAAAACAAAAATGATAAACAATAAACAACTTCTCATTCTATTTGATAACATAACCTGTATGGGTTTCGAAACATAGAATGTAATAAACCTAGAAGTTAGTGTATCCATATAACTTGTGTTCTTAATAAACAACTAGAATAATATAATTCATAATTTTGTTGACACCATAATAATTAAAGGAATTCTATGTCATTAGCATTAACCTTTATTTTAAATTCAATAAAAACACAACACAAAGTTTTTGCCTAATCATAATCAAATTTTGTTTTTAAATGAAATTCTTTCTCTTTCTTTCTTAAAAATCACTTGTCATTAGTTTGATAACCACATTCAAAGCCAAAATTTTCTGAAAAGGATTTTAGTTTACATAATCTACAAATTTACAGCTAAAATAATTTAATACGTTATGTATAAACAATTTCTAAAAATCTACAATCTAATAAGACACGATATCAACTTAACAAAGCATTAAAAAGCCAGCTTAACAAGTGTATTGGTCTAAATTTCACACTTAATTTGGAATTATTAGAACTCAACTCCTATACACATATTTCTGTACAAAGTTGAAGTTGGTGAAGGTCAAGGACAAAATTGGACTTCAAAATGAAGACAGAAAAACTTTAATAGGAAATTGTACAAAGAAATATATAAGAAGTAATACCATAGGATCTACAGAATTTCCAAAAAACATTTTAAAACAAACTTGACGAAAATCTTACTACATTTTTCAACATTTTGCATGTTTTAAGAAAGGGGGCTAAACTAAATTTGCAAACCAATGGTACAAAAGGAAGATATTGATAGCACAAATCCTGAATTACAAATTTGCATTTTTTTTGCTTGAATTTTGTGACTTTTTTGTCCTTCTGACTACACCCTGAATAGTTTTGTTTCCTGGAAATCTTGATTGATATTTTTGTTTGTACCCACCTACCAGTTTATGGAATAAGATTTAAAGAAATTAGAATTTAAACTAAAATTCAGTACCGGTACCAGTACAATTTTCAAATTATAAACTTGATCTAAATTCTTGATTTTAGCTGTTAGTCATGAAAGTTGTTTATCAAATTAATACACGTGATGCTTGAAGACATTTTTTTTTTCAGAGATCAAGGAGAAGATAAGGAATATCAGCATTCTCCTAGAGATAATCAGTATATTGATAATGATTCGGAAACAGATGAAGATCCCGATCCTGATACACCTCAGTTTAGTACCACACCTCCAGTAAACTTCCGTGTTCGGAAAAGAGAAAAGTCTCGTCAACAGTATAAAGAGGCCAAAGAGAAATTAGATCTGAAACGGAGACCTAAGCCAAGAAATGTTGTGTCGCTTATTAAGGAGGAATATTTTGCTAACAGCTTGAATAAGATCAGTGGAACTGACTCAGAGGATAATATAGAACGAGATGGTTTTCGTGAAAAAAAGGATAAGAGAAAGAAAGAAAAGGAGAAGAAACAACTTTCAAAATCCAGAAGTCATGAGAGGTTGGAAAAGAGATCGTCAGATTTCTTGAGCAACAAAGTATCAGCTGGAATGCCTAGGCTAAAAATAGAAATGCCAAAGCGCGTGTCTCTTCCCACAATACCAAATACTATAGTTACTTGTACTACTCCTACATTTAAGAACAGACTGAGAAGAGAAGTTTCTCTACCTTTAGAATGTTCCGAAGATCGCCAGGCCTTTTCCAATATATTTTCCACTTTAGTGAAATTAGAAAAGAAAGAAAAGAATTTCTTGTCACAAGCCAGAATGAAGCGACAAATGAGTACTGAACAAGAAATACAGCAGAATGAGACTAATCGTGATATGTGGCTTGAGCTTCAAGCTGAAATAAATGGCAAGTCAAAAGATGATATACTGAAAGAAAGGGCCAAAATTGAAGATGTTTTGCATCTCATTATGGATTTTAAGTTAAATTGCTTGCAGCATGAAGTGACCAATGGGAATTCCTCTGATCCATTTCTGGATGCTGGTGAGGAACCAAAGATCTGCTATCAATTATCTACAAGTGTTTCAGATTCCTTTCAAGCCATTTCTCTATCTTCAGAGACAATTGATTGTCAAAAGGATGCTTTAGTTAAGGTTGAAGCTCTTCTTCATAAACTAGATAAGTGTGAACGGCTATATCCTACAACAAAAAGTTTCAATGAGGCCAATGATCTTTATGCGAGTGAAACTTTTGGACATCGAGTGAAAAGTCTGATACTGTGGTTAAACATAACTCGTGATCTCTGTCATAGAATTAATCTATTAGGTAAAATATTGGGTGTTAGAAATACTCCAGGGTTAGACTGGCCTGTGATAGATTATGAAAGTCCAAGGAGTTCTTCTTCAGGAACTTTAGAACGTAATCTTCCTGTGATACAGCAAACTTCTGCCTCATCAACAGAAGATAGTGATGGTGATGATAATAATGACACAGAAACTATTATTGAGGACACAAATGATGAAAGCCTTGGCCATACCAAAAAAGTGACATTTTCCATCAGTGGCGGAAGCAGTGGAAGATCTTCCTGTGCTCCTAGCCCTAATCCAGAATCAAATATTCCAAATGATGTGTCTGAAGTTCTAAATGAGACAAATGTCTCAACTCCACTTAAAAATATCAGGTCAAGCATAGGCTCCTATGCCCCAAGTCTTTCACGTGCAGCAAGTGATGCCAGCATTGATGATGCGAATATGATGTCTTCAGCCTACAGGCATTTTGTAGATAAAAGTTTAAAAAAGACGGGTATGAATCGACTGTTAGTTAGATTACGAACTTTGTTAGATAGATCTTTACAAAGGGCCAGAGAAGCTTTAGAGAGACCAAAAAGTGCTTTGTCTTATGCTGAAATTTTAAAGGTAACTTTTTATAATTAGTTCTTATGGACATAATTTCTTGATGCCGATTTTTTTTAGACGTTTTTTACTTCGGTCACTTCGAAAATTGACTTTGCATAATCAACCTCAATTTGACCAAAAAAAAAAAGAATAAAATAACGTGTATACTGCTGTGGATGACGAGTGTAACATGAATATAAGCCTAGCTGTAGCAGTAAAGAATATCAAAAATGGTTAAACAAATAGTACCGTACCCTGTAAAACCAGTATTATTAATTTACATTTGATACCCTTGATTATCATTTAGTCACTGAATTTCCAATTTCTTGTTTTCCAGTCCTCTCGTTCATCTGATAAAGTCCAAGAAGTTGCTTCCTCTCCTTCCTTAGATCTGTCGTCTGTGATAAATAATGCTGCCTTATGTAATAGAAGTAGTAGTCTAGCAGAACATGGTGCTTGGAGTGAAGAGTTTATAAAGATGGGTCTACCCTCATTTAGACCTAGCTATTTATTTTTAGTTAGAATTCCTTTAGATGTTATTCATGAATGTTTACGTCTTCGCCTAGAGCAACGACCAACTAATGAGCCTTCTCTACACAGTACTCGACAGGTGAGAATATTAGTAGTTCAAACATCTGTGATATGATAGTGAAAAAGTCATACCGGCAACAGATAAACCATTTAATCTCAAATGATCACTTTTGTACACCTTTTTGGTAGATCTGTATGTAACAGAAAATTGAAGATTTATCTTCTATGCTATTGACAACACTATTCCACCATGATAATAAATCACAGAAGTCAAACTTGATTTTCTATAAAGCTCAAGAAACTATCTCTTGTAGTTAATGAGAGAATGTAAAGAAGTGTTGAAAGGAGCTGTAGCTGTTAAACAATATTATCAATTAATGGTAGCATCAGTAATGTGGGATGAACAGGAAATGGATGATAAATTTGCATCTGATTTAGAACAGTTTGATGTTGATATGCAGGCTATTCTGGAGGTAAGATAGTTCAACAAAAATTTCTGTTTCTGCGAATTTTCCCAAGTGCCAAGCAATAGCTCAATGCATTCATGAGTGAATTCAGCCTGACTCACAGTCTCCTCCACAGTGACTTTTCCAAAGGTCCATTGTCTGTTGTTAATGGGTGCCATCTTTACTTTTTCTTCAAGATTTTATTTTGAAATTTATCTGTCTCTTTTAGGTTTATTTTTCCTACCTTCAAAGTTGGATGAACCATGTTCAGAATCTGGATGAAGCTTCACTGAGTTTGAAAAATTACTTAGTTGTTGAATGGACATTTACAAAACAGATCTGTCCATATATTATTGGAGGTGAGGCTGAAGCTGGCAAGAGATTTAGGTAACATTTAGTTCTATATTTTTGGAAAATTATTTTTCATTACCTAATTATTGGAAGAAATCATGTCATAATGAACACATGTGTCTGATTCTAAATCCTCAAAAATGTTAAAGCTTGGAGGTAACTGGCAAAAACATCCCTGATAGAGTTTTATGCTCAGCTAGTGAAGACGGACAAGGACAAGCGTTATGCAATTAGGAAAGAATATTTACCAGGAGAACACTATCAAGAGATCTTGGACATGTACTGACTCTAGCTTACAGGTTGGTTACAGGATTTAAAGATTAAATCTTGCATCAGAAAAATGAAACTTTACATTTTGATATATTTTGTATATTTCAGTATGTTAGCCATTAGTTTACTGAACTCTATAACTGATCTACTGTATGATAATATAGATGAAATAACCAGACAGCTGTTTGATATGACTAAAAATGAAAATATTGATGAAGAAGAAACCAATGATGATGAACAATCTAACAGAGATAAAGCATCAGATTATAGGTCAGTTCTTGTTGAGAATCATTTATCTTTTATCAGTTGCATTAAAAAATTGGTTGGCCTACAATATGTATTGTTAAAAGCTAGCTGACAATACAAGTTAATGTTAAACAATAAATATCCCATTTGTATTCAGAATATTTAAAAATCAGACAAAAAAATTTGTGTAAAGTAGCCCCCACAAAAAGATAGTGACCTCTGCTCTATGCTTTTTGTCAGATGTTGATCACTTATTTATTACTTTTCTTTGGTACAAAAAAAAAAAATTCTGTGTCTTGATCAGGTCAAAACCATTACTTAAACAAAGAATTCCTTCTAGGACTTTTACTTCTTTAATTCAGGCTGCATATTCTCAAAATGATCTGAGCACTAGTATGTCCTTGGGTATTGACTTGTAATACTGTTTGTAGGACATCAAATATTATGCTAAGCTTAAAATTCAGCTGTATTTTATTGCTTGTTTGATTTCAGACATTGTTTACAACAGACATGTCGAGGTTTTAAAAATTTATTTAATGAAGCTAGAGAGAGAGCATCTAAAGCCCTTGGTTTTGCAAAAATGCTGAGAAATGTAAGTAGGTTTATAATTAGGCTTAGAGTGCATATTCTTAGACAAATATGTATGCCATTGTTTTCATAGAGATTTGTTGATGAGTAAGACTATAAAAAATATGTTTAAGAGATGTTTAAAAGGATTTATCCCTAAAAGTTAATTTTCATTACCTTCATTATCAAATGCTGCAGGTTACTGGCCGAGTATCTAAAAAAAGATGGTAATGCAAATTATAAAAGCAATTTTCTATTTCATTCTCTAGATTTGAGCTTGTAATTTATAGAATTTAATTATATCTATTATAGGATTTGGAAATAGCTGCTGATTTCAATGTTACAGTATCTACTAAACAGTTACTAGATAAGCTACAACTTACTAACCATGTTAGGGTAAGTATCAATCAGTTACTTTGTAACTTACTAATCCTTTTAGGATAAGTACAGATCAGTTATTTAATAAGTCGACAACCTTACTAATCACATTAAGAGAAATACAAGATCAGAAACAAGTTGTTTTATTATATATTGATTTGTACATATGGCTTCATGCAGTATAGATGTTTTTTTTTACCCTAATCATCAATTTATAGAACTGTGGCTGTGACCTGTGTCAATTCAAATTGTTAATTGGTTATATTGTAGGTAATGGCTCCAGTGAGTGCAGGTTATTTAATGTTTATACCCGACCGTATAACCTCTAATAAAGAATTGATATTACAATTATTAAATGTGACATGTGGACGTGAAGAATCTACTCTACCCCCTGATTTAGAGAATAATAATGGTTATTTAGTTATGGTACGATGTGAAGGTACTGCTGATCATGTTTTAGAGTGCCCTATCTGGAATGGTGATGTCTTGGAAGTGGCGCCAACTGCTGAAACAGCTATTGCTCTGTCTCATATTGAGGTATAATTGAAGAAATTGTGTTGATATATTCATGGACCTCTTGGTGTATTGAACAGTTTTATAATTCCTGGAAAGAAAGGTCACTTCCGAGCATCCAGGGGCAAGCCTGATATTTTTAGTCTGATCTGAAAATCTATATTCTCAAATTAACTCAAACTATAAACCTAAATCTGGAGATGTGTGTCTTTTACAGTATAGCTATCATAATATTTGCTTCAACAGCTGTAAAAGCTCAGACATTTATAGACAATTTCACTGGTAGTTTTGAGGGTGGCTTCATGATTCCTGGCAATTACAACAGATTACTCATGATGTTTGAAAAGTATCCTAGTGTCCACCTAATAAAGTGAAGGAAAGTTAGGATCAGAGAATTTTGTATGTAGGCAATAATGCCAACCACAACTCTAAAGCATGTCATGTTTTTCAGGTGGAAGCATTGTTAGTGGTAGTTATACATTCATCTCAGCTAGGAGATATGAGGAAAGAATTTGATAAAAAGATGGGAGAATCTGTTGAATTAGTTAATGAACAAACATCATGTCATCAAGCTATTGCAGAGTCCCTAGCTGAAATCAAGGTAAGTGGAACATGTTCAAAATTGAAGGAACCACAAACCTGATGGAAAATTGGTGCAAATTGAAACTATCAGTATCCCTGATACGCATAAAAAATTTAGAAAAGCCTCTTTACAATATCTTCAATTAGAGTTTAATAATGGTTTCTGTGAGTGACTAACAAATCCTTTTTGAAACTAACGAGTAGTAAATACACCAAAAAGACAATATTAACCTTTTCAGACCATAGCTGTCCAACTGAGAGAAAAAGTAGCAAGAGCTATAGAGCAAGTTGATGAAACTCTCAATTTTGATGAAATTTTACAACATGAAGAGAATGATAGAAATCATTTAGTCAAAATCTACAGAGAAACAATGTTACAGGGCTATAACTTTGGTTTTGAGGTGAGTATTATAACATATATTCATAGTTATTCTTAGAATTTAATAAGACAGCTGAGATAGTTCAGTGAGTTGTGGGCTAACCTAGAGGTCTGATCCTGGAGGAGAAGCATTAGATTTGTCAACACTGTTTCCCCCTTTCTGTGATGTAGGTGTGAAGGGATGACTTGGGAAAAGTTGTTTGGATGAGAAATAAATACAGGTCTCTGTAGGATGTGTAAGCTAAAGAAACTTAACTGTTGAAAATGGAGAGAGCCTCTCCAGGCTAAATCAAGCTCATTGCAAATAGGCTTCATGTTGTCTATTGTCTGTCTCCATAAGAAAAAAGCTGAAAACAGGAATGTAAAGAATGTCATTTCATATTATATTCAAGAAAATAAGTTACATTTACCAGTAGGTAGAAATAAAATATTGATTAAGATACAAAGTAACCCACTGCAACAAGTATGAAAATTATGATATTCTCCATTTAGGTTGGTAAAGATATATCACGTCTGGTAAGTGGTGAACAGAGACAGAAAATGGTACCAGGTTTAGTTAGTTTTGCTAAATATTGGATGAAGTTTGTCATGGAGAAATGTGAAACTGGTAGAGGTGGAAGACCAAGGTATATTATTTTTTGAACAATGGTTGTCATAATTTTTACTTGAAAGGATGTCGTTTTCTTTGTCCTGAAGTACTTGGGATTGAAATCCCACTGAGTAAGGAAAATTTTCTTACCTCTAGTCAGAGAGAGGTTTTATGCTATCAATCCCTGTTGATATAATTTTGTTTATTTCAGATGGGCGGTACCAGGTTTTGATTATTTAACTGTAGTCTGTGATCCTAAAGTTTTAGCTTGTTTGTCAGATGAATCTTTTAAGGTAACTGACACACATCATTTGTATGTTGCATGGATGATAAAATGCTTTATACCTTCAAAAATGCTTATACATGCTTAAGACTTAAGATAACTGTCTATTGCCAAACACAAGTCAAATTGCAAGGTGCTAGAGTTTACGTATAGTTTTCACATGTAATATACAAGATAGAAATGCAGCAATTTTTTTAGTTTTGGTTTCTAATTTGATTGCATTTGCTGCATTTGACTACCTTACTGAGCTAGAGCACAAAATGTAAATTTATACACTTATTTTGTAGGAATTACAAAAGAATATACACAACTGTATCAATCATATCATTGGCTCTCCTGAGTTAAGAACTCCACAAAGTCCCACTCATTTAGGTAAGTCTTGAGATAACTTTAACTCAACAGAACATAAGATTTTTTGCAAATAAGGATGGTAAGTTCTGCTTGACCAGGATTCATGGAATCAGCCAGAAATTCAATAAAACAAGTTGGAACAGGATTTAAAGTGCATCCCATGTGTACAAAATTGTTTTAAACAAAGGATAAAAGGACGGAGAAGCAAAGAGATGGATAGATTTAAAGGAAACATATTCTGTTCTGTACCAGTCAACACGCGCCTAAGATTGAATCTATTGTACACTCAAATGCCATCCTGGTAGTCTACTTGACTTTTCCACATAAAATTGGTTGGTGTAGAGTATTTCAATGATTGGTCTGTACCTACCTAATTTAAGGCAATTTTTTTCACAGGTCAACATATGACCCATAGATTACCATCATGGCCTAGCACGGCTGGTCAACCATTCCGACGGTCAGTATCCTCAAGATCTATGCCAGCAGAAGTTGGTAATCAGTCAGGTTTGTCAACACCATCCACTCCCAGTCCTGTCAATATGGATATGAGTAAGTGTTTATTTTGTTACTTCTGCTATCAGTTTCATCGTGGGCCTTTTTTGAAGGGCCAACAAGTGAATTCAGCATACTTTCCATAGAAATAATAAATCAATCATGGCACAAAAGAGAATGGAAATTAGAGCAAATAGTTTCGGTTTTCCTTTATACAAATAGCTATCACAAGATACCGTTTTTTCAAGCTTTTAGTTATATAGCCTTATTACACAATTTCAAGTTTTCTTATAAGGCAATTTTTATTTTGGGGTTAAATTATCCTTGGTTTTACTTTACCTTAATATAATATACTATAATACCGTGGTCTGGTGGTATATGCGCTTGCTACCCTTACATGTAGCTTAAAGTATTATTCATAATGCTTCATGTTCTTTAAACAGTTTAGGTTTATGTCGATGTGGCTAAACATGTAATTAACGGCTAAATCAACATCTTCTATATGACCTTTCATTCATTCATGTTAAAACTATTGAATTTTTGAACAACGACCCCTTAGAAATCTCCATAGTGTATTGTCCTGTATGGGGTCTACACTCTACCTAAAATTGAAGTAAATTTTAGTACTTTTGATTGCACCTGGATGTGAACATGTAACGTTGCTCTATTGATAACTCATGATCTATGATTTACATCTTGAGTTTGAGCCCTCTACCTATGGTGGGTACCTTTATGAGATCAATTATTTACTCAGGAAAACAACATAGATTATCTGACACTTTGATATCATATGGTGGAGAACATGGCCTACTGCTAGACCAGATTAATCAACGACGTAAATCTATAGGTTCGATACCCCTTCTCCCGTAGTCAGTCAGGGTTTTTATGGATAGCTGAATCAGTTGTTAGTTGTCCATAAAATCTCATACTGTAGTTCACTATCCTTTCCTGGCTTTGGCATCATTTTCCTTTACTGAAAAGTCTTCTAAATATTTGCTTTCCCAGCTAGTAGAGCTTTATTTCAGTATTACTTTTCAGAATGTTATACTGAGGAATCTTTCCTAATTTAAGTGCAAATAGTCATGAAGTCATTATTAACATTGTCATGTGCATTATCAAAATATTTTGTCAATAACACATATTTTGTGTTACCCCAGCAGTCCATTAAGTAGAGAAAGCAAATATTCAGCAGTCTTCGTCCATTTAAGTAAGAGTAATAAAAAAATGTTTATGTACATGGTTGAAATATTCTTTGCTCATAACAGTCAATATTGATTCTATTAATTTGTTCTATTATGGCACTCTTTGATTGTGTGTATTTTTATTTAACAACTGTAATAGAAACTGAGAATCTGAAAAAATAGAATGCAGATAAGATATGGATTAATACGTTTCCGTAAAAATTATTCTGTTAAAAAAGAATGCTTTAATAAGGTGCTTCTTAACCTGCTTATCCTAATTCTAATACCATGTCACAATTTTACATAAAATGGCATTACTTTGATTATAAATGGCTGAGAAATGAGGAGAACAAATTTTCAAAATTAAACATTTTCAAAAAAATCTGGCCAATACATTTTAGGTTATGTTCTTAAATTCACAAGAAATGAAGAAATGTTATCAAATGTTTGCGTTCATTTGTAGAAAGTATAATCTGGTAGCCATTGTAATTTTATTCTATCCCACTTCACATTAACATGTAAAAAATTTTGTGATTTTTTTTTCTGATGACATCTAGCCCTGTCTTTTAAAGATAAATAACAGAATTTCAAATGATGCTTAGCTAGTTTTCTAGTATTTTTATTTCCTATCTTGTTTGATAACATTAACTTATCTACTATGAACTAACTCTTCACTTCTGCTGTGTGGAAGGGGGAAAAAACCTAATTATGCCTAATGTCTGTACTTGTTTTTGCGTTATGTTTTAGTTCCCTCAAATTTCAAGTTGTATATTTTACACAATCTTGGTAACAGGTGCTTCAAACATACAGAGTCCCTTAAACCTTAGCTTTAAACGCTATTGAAAACAATAAAACTTGACGTCAAGATTAGCCTGGCAAATGTGGCTTTACCCAGTTCCTCAGATGAGATGACTGGAGTTTTATAGCATGGAAGGCTAGACACCTAATGTCTCCTTTTATGGGAGTTAATTCTGATCCATTTTTAGATTGCATATTTTGAAGAAAATATCCAATAACAGATCAGAAAAAATGAACACCCATAAAAGTGACACTAGATATCTGGCTTTATCCTGAAGATATCACATTCATATATCGCTTCTTAAAAAATATTAAGCTAAATATATTAGATGATACGGCCCCTGGAGAGTCTGACGATGTCTACTTTTACTCCTATCAAAGGAATTTAAAATACCAGGGATGGCATTCTTTAGTGACTGGGGAATTAATTTTCAGGTTTATCCAATGGTCAGTCTTCACCTTTATCAAGATCTGATAGAATTATGAGTTTGATAAGTAGAATAGATGAGAAGAGAAACCAAGTTTTACAAGATAGACATATGATTGGCAAAGTGACAAGTTTAAAAGCCAGTGATATAGACTATAGAATCAGTGTAAGAAGAGTTAATTTTAAATGGCAGAGAGGCATTAAAATTGGTATGTTCATTTACTTATTGCTTAAGGTGTAGTCTGATGCAGCTGTACTAGCATGGTTTCCCTCATTGCACACTGCATGGCATTGTCTGTGCTTACTAACCTCAACAGGTGCAGACAAGAAGAATTTCAGTAAATTTATTGCTTAGCGTGGAAGTTCGTTTGTATGTCTTTGAAGGATGCATGTATATTTTGTATGGGTATTGAAGGCCTATTGACAATACCTCTTGCTGCATATTTTTAAGCTTTCACTATTTCTCCTTGATAAGTAAATGAAATTGGCAATGAAATTTTGTTTCTTGATAAGTAAATGAAATTGGCAATGAAATTTTGTTTCTGTTTTGATTTGATTTAAATATATACATTTAATGGAATTTCCTGTGGTAGGTTTTGAATTATTGTTCAAGCTTGTAGTTTACATTGCATGTCATGCACTAACTATGAATGGTCTATTGTTTAAGAATGATTGTATTGTGGCTGTATATTTATAGGTGAAGGTCAATTTGGTAAAGTATATAGTGCTGTTAATGTGGATAACGGTATTTTAATGGCAATGAAAGAGGTATGTGCTTAATCATGTGGAATTTTCATTTTTTTTATCATTTCTATTTCATTGTAGAAAATGTTAAATTCCTTCTTTTCATACAGATTCAACCTAAAGACCAATTTATACAATTTTACTTTTATTAAACAGAGAATTTCATTGGATGGATAGTTGTTTAACATGAACAATTCTTTCCTGACAATGTTGTTAGATCAAAATGCATCTGTATATTTGAGTGCTTTTCATTTCATTCCAGCTAAAATTTCTACCAAGTGATCAACAAGAATTTAAAGCCATTGCTGATGAAATTCGTAATTTTGAAGGAACCAGTCATCCTAATTTAGTCAGTTATTATGGTGTTGAAATACATAAGGTATGGTATGATCAGCCTAAATACTAGAAAACAAATTAAGTGAAGTTTCTCTTCAAAATCAAATCGATGAAACTTTCTGCTGAATGAGCATATATCAACATAAACTAAAGCGTCAAAATACAGTGAGCTCAAAGTCATATGTCTTAAAGTTTATGGTGTTAATCTGTCCCTTAAAGTTACATACCAAATTTTAACCCAAATACAAGTGGTCTCTCACTTGAACTTAATGAATAAATTGTAATGTTTATTTTTTCAGGATGAAATGTTGATATTTATGGAATTCTGTGATAGAGGTACTATAGAAGAAGCAGCTAAACTAGGTTTACCTGAAGAATTAATACGTCGTTATATCAGATATATATTAATAGCTGTACAATATTTACATGATAAAGGTATCATACATAGAGACATCAAAGGTAAGTATATAAAGTTGATAATGACTAATGATTCCTGATGTGTCAATGATTCTTACTGAAAGATCTGACTTACTGCAAAATAAAATCACATTTCATTTTACTAGAAAAATCGAATGAAAAAAAATCTTTAAAAGTCAGTATTTAGAATTATTCCTGAAAAATATGTTTTTATTATAACATAGAATGTTGTGAACACAAAAATGTTTCATTTTTCATCAAAAGGAATTCAGTAAAGCAATTATTTCAATAGAACTATTTAATAACAATATGAAATGAATTTTGATTCGTCAATGTTTGAAGCATGTAACAAGGCAGTAAATTTTAGACTGAAAAGCCATTTAAATCAAATTCCCATTTAAACTCTGCAGGTGCCAATATATTTTTAACATCAGATGGTATATTGAAACTGGGAGATTTTGGAGCCTCAGTCAAACTGAAGAATTTAACCACAATGCCTGGTGAAGGTGTTTCTTTAACTGGGACTACAGGTAAATTCTGATACTTTACTTCTTTTATATCCTGGAGATAATCAAGTCTTATATTTGTAGACTGAAGGTTGTGCCTGTTACCAAAAAAAACAACATAACTAATGCTGCATTCGACACTTGTCTGGGACTTGTTCATAAAATTCAAACAGGGATTTTTTAACTTATTGTGTTACATTGACATGTTTTTAGCATACATGGCTCCAGAAGTGATCACCCAAAGTAAGGAATATGGTCATGGTAGATCAGCTGATATCTGGAGTGTTGGTTGTGTTGTTATAGAGATGTCTACTGGCAAGGTTAGTATTAAGTTTTAGAATTATAGTAAAATAATGAGGTCTTTTAGAAATTTAAAGCAATCATGGATGGAAAATAAAATAGAAAAAACATCTACATTTTAAAGGCCATGGTTCACCGGTTTTGGAAGTTGATTTGGGTCTTGCATATGTGGATGTATATAATTCCCTCAAAAATATCTCACACTAGCTTAGTTGAACAATTCAGGTTTTTGACTTCAAGGTATGATTGACCTTCGAAAGCGGTGAACCATGTCTTTTAATCAAATTCTATGTCAGATATACTTATTGTGCTTGTAATTTTGTATTTTAGAGGCCATGGTTTGAGCTGGAGAATAATTTCCAGATTATGTTTAAAGTTGGTATGGGAGAGAAACCTGCCATTCCAGAACAACTGAGTGCAGAGGGCAAAGATTTCTTATCTCATTGCTTTGAAACAGATCCAAATGATAGATGGACAGCTAGTAAACTACAAGACCATAATTTTACAAAGGTATTACTGGATTTGAACAATTTTTCATTTGTTTTTTGGGGAGAGATGGAATAAGTGAATTACTGACAGAAATGTTATGATATAGTATGTATATAATATAATATGGTATTGTGTGATTATTGTATTATATTTGTTTCAGATCTATGATGAAGCTGAAGGAATAACAGATGTTCAGTTTTAATTCCTTTTGTCTATGGTAAGCTCTATTCTCGTAATCTTTGTATGCATCTAATATAACATAACAGATCTTCATCCCGTTTACCTTATGTTGGTTGATTTCATAAAATATGAACTCATGTGATTTTATGACCAAGGACTAGGGCTGCAACGATCCCTAAAGTGGCGATCCGATACACTGAACGATACTCGTTCAGCGATACGATATATTGCGATAATAAATTGCGATTCTTTGATTAAAAGGGAGAGAAAAAAAAAACTGATAATTAATAACATTTTAACATAGTTTAGTCATTAAAGGGAGTTAAATTTATTTATGACAATCGGGCCGATGTATCGCGATTTGTTTTTTGCTTCCGCGATGCATTGATAAGAAGGAACGAATCGCGGCTCATCGATTCAATGGTGAATCGTTGTCGGAGTCATGCCCTATGATTTCCACCCAAACCAATTTCAAAATGTTTATTTTTGTCAATTATAGACAAGTCAATAAACCAATAAGCTTATCATTTGTGTAATTTGTATTTTTCAGTAGCAATGCTGTGATGTGTTCAATAAATAATATTATAAAGAAATTTGTTATAAGTATAGTGATAAAAAGTTGTTAATGTTATTGGAATGCTGAATTATTTGTTAGTAATATAAAAGAATTGTTGATAGATTCAATTGTTGATATAGAATTGTTTTGAATAAGTGGTTAATGTGAAGTGGAAAAATACTTTGTTAATGGATTGGCTGCATCATTTTATTGTCAATGTAATGAAATCTATCCATCGAAATATTTGCTCTTCAATTTCAGCTATCCACATCACTTTTCATCATTAAAATCCCATGTCAGGTTTCTCCTAAATTCAATAAAAACAGACTTTCAGAAGTCAGTCTGTCTACACTTCTAGTCATTATTGACTTTCTTAGCAATAATATCTACTATAAAGAATGTCAATGGCTTCTTCTGAACTTCCATGTAGGTTTTTGTTGAATTACTGCAGAACTGAATGTCACATTTTATTTATGAAGACTGATATTAATAGCTGAAATTGAGCTCAATAAGCTGTTAAAGTAAATATTTAGATGACTACATAATTGTTAATTATTAGTTTTTAATTGAAAACACTGTGTGCTTCAATTGTTGACCATTTCAGCAGCATTCAAATGATCGCATTTAGATGTAATTGGGTAAACCACTTCTAAATGAAAAAATATATGAATTGTTAATATAAATTATATGACAAACAATTGTTCTGTTATTGCTGTAATGTTAAATTCATAACTGATTAATATGGAGACTGATCATGAATGAAAGTAATTGACTTAAATTTAAGTAATTTAGTGCAGGTCATGATTCATGACTAATCTACATTCCACAAACTTAATATAAAAAAAATAGATTGCATGTAAGTTTATCACAGGCTATGGCATAATATAAGTAGAAACTATGCACAAGAATTTGGCGGTAAGTGAGGAGTTTAAACTTCCAAGGTACTTGTAGTGTTATCCCTTGATTTTAATGTGGCAAAGTGACACTGATGGCAATATTTGAGCTCTATGTATGTAATAATTAAATGACAATATCACTTTGATAAGCAAAGCATAAAGTTTTTTTTTTTTTTTTTCTGACCCAAATCAAGAAAATATTTAAGTGTACAATATTTTAAAAGAAAATGTAGATATTGTATATAGTATGAAGAGTAAAGTATTTATTATTATAAAGAATGGATGAAGGAAGATTTTAGATTAGTTGATTGTATGCTGGATCAGCATTTAACTGGATAATAAATTAACTGGATATAGTCATCTTATATATGACTTACTGGCAAAAAACAGCCTAATTTCCAAATGAAAATGTTGTATGTACGTATAAACCTATGTCTTTCTTATATTACAGATTAATCAAACATCTGACCCAAACTGGAAATTACCCAGAGAGCTCAACTTGAGTTTTCTTAGGTGGGAAAGCAAATATTTAGATAATATATCCACAAAATTATTTCTATGAATTTCTATTAAAATTACTTTTAGTCTGTAATAGAAATATTAAGATGGAACATTTTGAAATTTTGATATTTAGGTTCCATTTTGAAAATATTTATCTGTATTCAATTCAGTGATTTTTGCTCATCTGGGTACCATCAAAACTTAAACTTAATCAGTCCATTATATTTTCAAGGGTTTAAAAGATTGTGCATTCAGAGAGTTTGCAATTATCCTTGCTTGACTACACAACTGATGTATTGTGCATTTTATTAAATGGGAAATAAATTCTATTTGATATTACATCATCTAATATATGATAGTTTTAGGTAGATCTGTTTTAATGTAAACTTGACCATGACTTTCTTAGAAAAAATGTTAGCATAAAAGGTAAATCAGACGTAAACAGTAGCTATTATACTAGATATTAAAATTAGTAACTAGTGCTAGTTAACGTGTAAATGTTACTGCCTTTAACAAGGATTTAAATCAGTTTCATAATATCTACAACCTTTTCAGTTAAAATATATACTAGATGTGTACTTCCTTGAATGATACCAAACAAAAACACAAGCAATGCAGTTTAAATTTTAAGCTATGATTACATGTGTAAGTAAGCTTTACTCAAACTCAAGCTTAAAATGCGATTACATGTGTATGTACAATTATTCCTCAAAACTGTAGTCCGCAAATGCAATAAATCTGAGTACCATCGAGCTTACGAATGTGTTGAGTTTGAAAACACATTTAAGCAGAAAATTTGATTTTTTTTTAAGAATTTGGATAGGATTTGCTCTTGTCGGTTTTTTGCATTTTGCATACACATGTACTTGCAGTCTTAAAGGTAGTTTATGGAGATATTACTCTCTAGAGGATTGTCTCGTTTCAATTACCTTTTTCTTCTACCTTAACTTAAGCAGATTGTTTCTGTCTTTTGATTGTTATCATCCCTGAATGTGCACAAAAATCTTAGCTCGACTAAAATAATCATTGTTGCATTTATATAGTGGTTCATACTTGTTTATCATCATATTGTCCTACGGTGACATCAAATGGCATGGTGTTCATAATTACTATTGTCTGTATAATTCATCTATAATCATATTAAGACCTTTATATAAATGTGTATTATCATCAAACAACCCAACCTTATATATCCAGTGACAATCCAATACATTTATGATTAAGCATTGTAATAACTTAACAAAGATGACATTAAATAATGGTACACAATTTCAATATATTGTTGATATGATGTGTACAATAAAAGCCCAAGAGTAGTATACCAGAATATTGTGTGTTCCATTATTTAATGGACAATGATTACATCATCTTATTATATTTATTGACATCTATAAACAGTCAATTAACCAAATCAGACAAAGAGATGATATTTTTGTCAAATATCAACATATTTGCGAGGATTTTCTCCAGTGTAAGGGATTGCATATTTCATTTTTAGCTGATAGAGATGAACTTCAGCTTATGTAGCACTTTCGAAATTTCATGTGCAATCATAACTGATGACATCAAAGTTATGCATGAAGAACTTTAGCTAGTAACACAAATAGTTAGACAATATATCACTTTAAGAAACCTTATTCTCTCATATTGTTCCGTTTAAATAAAGTTTTTTCTAGACACACAATCATCTTTGTTTACTGTGTTAATCTGTGTATGTAATATGTACATAAACAAAATGAATTATTTTAATCCTATTGTTATGTCAGAGATATGAATGAATTGTCAAACAAAATTTGAAAGAAATAAAAAAAAAATTAAAATCAATTTTTTTATTTGTATACTTCTGGTGGGGCACACTATTAAATGCAAAATGATTGAAAGTATTATTTGAAACACTACATCTCTGCCAAGGAGAATATCTTCGGGAAACCTAAATTGAGCTCCATCAACAGAACAGAATATAACTACAGACAACTGTATATAAAATACTAGTATGTACAATTTATTTACCATAACATGCATACAATATACATACATATTAACAATTACTTGAAAAGCTGGAGGCTATAGTACTCCACCATAAAAAAGAGCAGGCGTGAACAATTTGGCAAGAGTACACCATCAGCAATTTTTTTTTTTTTTTTTCCTCCAGCCTCTAACTTATGATATTTCTGTCTCATCATTTGAAACTTTCACAATGTTAATTGAGGGAAAACGAGAAGTCACAATATAATTCTGGTACTACTTAAAAGCATTGAAAGTATGGCTGATAAGTGCCCAAACAGAAGCAAACACATTTCATCAAAATAACCATTATTTACTTTTCAAAGTTCTTCATTTAAAAATCCCCAATTGAATGCAACATATAAACGTCGTAAAACCAACAGTCCAATTGCACATACTAAAAATATTATCAAAAACAAGGAAAAGGTCTCATTTGACCTCACATGCACAGGTAGTTCAGCATTTTGGTAATTTTGAGTTGGTGCTAGTCTTCTTTGTCTCAAACCTTCTGATGTTGTGGCTGTAGAACCTGGAGAAGTTGATGATGAAGCAAAAGATGTAGTAGGAGTTGAGCTACTTGCAGGTTCAGATGCTTGTGTGGTACCGTTGGTTGATGATAAAGTCTGACTAGAAGTAACCGGAGTACTGGAGGTCACTGTTGATGATTCTGCTGGACTAGCAGAGCTTGCAGATGTTTGGGGAGGAGGTAGGAAATTTGTCATAGGATGTGGTTGCCATGCTCCCATATTTTGCATTGGAAATCCTGGTTGAAACATTGGTGGTGCATAAAATGGCATGGGGAATCTAGGAACCATGGTATTGCCAGAAGCACCAGGAGGCATTGGATAAGGAAATCCAAATGGTGGAGTCATCATGCCAGGCTGTGCACCATTTGCCATAAAAGGGTTCCAGGGTAACTGTGGTAGCTGACCACTATTTGTAGTTGCTGATGCTGATTCAGTAGTTGATGTTGCTGCTGATGTTGTTGCTGATGATGTTGTAGTGGATGAAGAATTACTTTCAGCTTGTGTGCTACTTGACTGTGAACCATCTTTTGGTTTTTCACCTTGAAAGGCAATCTGAGAAGCTAACTCTTTTGCCTCTTGAGTTGTTTTCTCAGATGCTTTAGTTACTGGAGGTAGAATATGGCCAATACATCCACAGTTCTCACATTTCCAATCGTTTGATCTGAAAATTGATTCAGCATATCAGAAAAATTTGAATGAAAAAAAAAACCTTAACATTTCTTAAATCTCTAGACTTCTCAACATAGCCATCAGCAGTCAACCTACCTACAAAACATGGTGACAAAAGTTTCAATTTATGATGATCTAAAAATAGCAAAAATTCGTGACCACTACAATGTCTGCTCTACCATATACAAATACATATTGTTTATACAGAACACCCTTATGCAGAAGCAGATTTTCATGTTCTTAAAGAATCCAATAGAAGGATTGAATCTTCTATCTGCAAAATTTCCCATACCCATATAATCTTATAAATATCTTACTTTTTAGCCAGAACTTTTCTTTCTTCTGGTGTGTAGTCTAATGAACCAATGGCTCCTGCACCATGGGTAGGCATAAAACCAATAATGGCTAATAATGCTGTTCTGACTGAAATCAAAGTTGATAAGCCAAAAATTGACATTTATCCTTCTAAGAATCAATTTGCTACATGTGCCAAATGTTGAGACGAAAATTTTGATCATTAAAAATAAATCAAAGATTTATAAGGTGACCAAAGCTCAATTTAAGACATGGTATGGTACTCTTAAATTTGATATCAGAACAGTAAAATATGACTTACTTGACCAAGATGGCTGCCAAGACTCTGGATGGTGTCCAGAAATACTTAAACAGATCTTTTTATAAACTTCAAATCTTCCATTGGGCTGCAAATTATTAATGCAATTTATTTAAAGTTACATGTATATAGTTATTTGGTACTACGCACCAATATCAAGGAATTTGTAAGTGGGTTTACTAACAATGATTTTGTAATATTTACTTAATCAATCTGTTTGATTTTTAAACACTCGATCTACCTGATTCACTTTGAAAATTATTGTCAATTGTCTCAATAATCAATACTAGAAACATACTGTCAATAATATAATACTTGGTGGTTTCATTGGATAATCTGGTGGTAAAATAATTCTTCCATGATAAATTCCACCATCAAAATCAGAGTCAGCTGGACCTCGAATTGTAAAATGCCATTCAAATAAATTATCCTTAAAAAAAAACAACAGGTTTATTTTAAATTTGTCAGATCATTCTAAATTCTTGGGATTATAAAAAAATTCGGCCGATAAAAAATGACGACGTTTGGTAATAACTGAAATTCGCCATTTTGTATTTGTCAAAGTATACATTAATACATTTTACCTTGCTTGAAACTACTGAATTCATTCTACTAGCTGATATTGTAGAGATTACCCATGTTTATCAAAACAAGCAATTGCGGAGGTCACGCGAGGCCGCACATGTAAATTATTAATCATTTCCGGAAATGCACGAAAAATAGGTTAGAACGAAATTAGGTTACTTGACTGTATAAGCTACAAGCTTTGGCTTGTGCAAGATAGCCAAAACTATCTTGTTTCAGTTAACAAGAACTCATTTCATGCTATCAAAATTTGCAATTCTTTGTTCAGTAGGCCTAAATCAAATGAATGCTTACATCTAATGGTTGAACATGATATTGTTCTGTGGGTTCTCTTAGTTCTTGAGCTTCTTTCATCAGCCTTTTGACAGCTGCAAAACAAATCAACATATTATTGTATAAATTTGTGTCTTTATAAACTAAGTCATATCCACTGTAAAAAAGGTGTATTCAATTCATTTATGCAACATGACTAAACAATGTCAACAAATTGCCACAAATGTACTCTATAGTATCATGCAATTTGGAAAGAGCACAGACCAAAGTGAAAGTAAACTGCTTTTCTTTGCTTTTTCTATACAGAAATCGGAGAGAATACAACAAATAACAAATATAATCACCTGGACTTCGCATACTGTATTGATTCTGCATTTGGTCTGTAATAAGTCAAATTGTTTAAACAAGATTACGGGTTTTATACTTAGCTTACTAAGATAATCAATTCCAACTAAAAAATTAAGAACAAATTTAATTTCTAGACGTGGCCTCACAGAATATTGACAAAACAAAGCCAAAGTGCAATGTGACAAGTCTATTCATTGGTCTATATAAATATATCTATTTATATTGACCAATGGTAGAGCGTTTTGTATATTGCATATCAACCTTAAATTTCACTTCCGCCGGAAGCACATGGTATTGTTTACAATGTCAATGGACAAACTGAAACTAGAGAATAAGTAAAAATGATCATCAGATTGTCAACAACTTGTAACTATACGAATTTCCTGAAAAAGGAAAACACATTGGTGGTAGTGAAAAGATGGAAAAAGAAAAAGTATAACAAGGTAAATTCCAAAGCAGATCAAGGCTCAGATAGCCTAAACTTGCCTTGTAAAACTAACAAAGACTCTTCCTTGTCTTCTTCAAGTTCTTGTGACAAGTGTACCCATCTACAGCTGGGTCGACAGGAATTATGAGTATTGTAAAGATGACTTATTCAAGGTCATCAGATTTTCACACACCGATCGATATATCGAAGCCCACAGCCGCCATTTGCTCAATGTAACCAAGCAAATGACGTCATGTAAAGAACCATCGCTTTAACGGAATGTGCTATAGAACCTCAGAACTAGGACTGGAAGATAAGGCTGATATATTTTGTATTTTTTTCAGGTTTCCAAGCCCATGTTACCAACTGAGAAAGCTTTAGGATACTTTGATACCTATTTCAAACCAGTCTATGGTGATCTTTGGCCTTCAATTAGAGTTTCACTTCTCTCTGGCCAAAAATATGGAGCTGTATTGAACAATTATTGTCAGAATGAAACCGAGAACTTCTTAAAAGACCTTGGTGCTAAGAATATGATTGAAATAGCTCAAAATGCTAAAAGTGGCTGGAATACCTCAGATGTGGATTCTGTACCAAAGGTTGAAGACCTTCACTATTCATCATTTACAGATGCAAACTCCATTAGACTATCTGACATGGAAGGTATGGATCCAAATTTAGCTCGAGATTATGATCTGCATGATTTTGTTCCTGTTGAAAAAGCCTATACATCTCGGGAACTCAGAATACAGCGAGAAGTGGAATCAGGTGTTTTTATTGATAAAAATGTGGATGTCAAGGTGAACAAAGATGGTGAAAAATTAGATTTACCAGAAAATCTGAAAGTTTTTACTTATAAACCTGGCAACATTTCTGATTTTCCTCCCCCTAAACCAGACAAATCAAAACTGTTAGGTAAGTGTGAACTTACTTTTTAATTCAAATTTTTGTTATCTCAGCCTTCATATACTTTAAGTAATTGCATTAGAAGGCATTATAAATGTAAAGTTTTTTGCTTATAATTTCCAAGTTATTAGCTTTAAATGTATCATCAATATTATTAGTAATATTATTGTTATTTTCCACAGGTTATTATTTATTAGATGCTTCATCAATATTACCAGTAATTAGTTTAAACATTAAACCAGGTGAAAAGGTTTTAGACCTATGTGCAGCACCAGGTGGTAAAACATTAACTATGCTTCAATCTTTGATACCAGGTGGTGAGTTGATTTAGCTGGTTCCTTATTTTACATATACATGTACAGCAATTATAGAGATTTAACCTTTGATTCAGGGAAAATTATATCCTCTATTTCCATCATTCTAATTTCTGACCGTGGTTTGTGTGTTGCCCAAAAAATTAGATTCTGATGTACCAGTTTACCTTAAATTAACCTTTACTTAAAATGATGCCATTCCAACATTGTAACCTATTGTGCTTCAGTCTGCTCTAATATCTGAAAGGGGTATTATTGATTGATGTAGATTGTATGGTATTATGTGTTAACTGTCAACTATATCTTTCAGTGTATATAACAAGCAATGATATATCTGCTAGTAGAATAGCCCGATTAAAAACAATTTTAAAGTATTACGTACCTTTATCTCATCAGTATGTAGATACATCATGTGTTGATGCCCGTCAACTTTCACTACCTCATAGTTTTGATAAGGTTTGTATGACCTGAACTTTGCCTTGTGTTAGGCCCGTTCACAATGTATTTTGTGTATAAATTGTGGAATTGAAGGGGCTTTTTCTAGTAGTGAATTTGGTCCAGATGTTGGAGACTTATTTTCTAATGTGTGTAACAATGAAGGTGAAAATTGGAACTAAAGTGCTTCTGTTTCTAAATGTTGCAAAAAATTAAAATGGTCAAGGAATACAGTGCTTCATTGAAAAAAGAAGGCTACCACATATTCTTTTTAAACAGCATTTTGTTTCAATGGATTCTTTAAGACAGGGACTAAATCTTGTCAAAGCATTGCACTTCCCTTGATAGAAACATTGGAAGTCAAGGTGGTTGTGGTTCTAGTAGAATTAAAATATATTATTTTGTGTAAAACACATTATTTAAAGGCATGGTTAATGTGATAGCTTATTTTGGAAATTTACCAAAATGACAAGACTTTCATTGGTCATCTGAAAATAGATCTTATAGTGTCACCATGTATTTATTTCTATTTAGGTTTTAGTAGATGTACCATGTAATTGTGATAGAGTCAGTCTTCTATCAGATTCTAATAATATATTTTCACCAGTTAGGGAAGACAAGAGACTTAAAATGTCTGCACTTCAAAAGGATATTCTTGTGTGAGTATTTTTGTTACAGAATACAATTCATCCTATATTTGATGTATGTGTCACAAAAATACCAAAAGCAACCACCGTCAAATTTAATAGAACATTAATCTGGTGTGTCTTCTTTGGTATTATTAATGCATTAATTTCCATTTGGATTGGCCCCTGTTGCTCAGTGAGCTCTTTATATGTTAAAGATATTTTTGGAAAAGCTTAGGATAATGGGGCTTTCTTCCTTACGGGCATCCCCTCTTGTATGAAAAAGGTTTTTCTATTGGTTAAAATTCACCAACTCATATTTTTAATTGCACCATGGTCGTTTTTGTGATAATTTTTTAAGGAGGCGTGCATTTGACTGCCGCAACTAAATTTACCCGATCGCATACTGCAAGTAATTTTAATCTTCATTTTCCAGATCTGGTATTAAACATTGTAAACCAGGGGGATCTATTGTTTATTCAACCTGTACATTATCACCACCACAGAATGATGGGGTTATACAGGCAGCATTAGAACAAATCTGGCAAAATACTCCAATTGATGTCAGTGTTGAAGACATTTCAATCATAACTCAACAATTTAAAGACACATTCACTTTTTTTCATAATTGTAGGCATGGACAATTAGTGATTCCCTCCTTAACCAAAAATTTTGGACCCATGTATATTGCTAAATTGAACAGAATAAAATAGTTTCATTTTATAAGTTTTGTGAGTGAAAATGGAAAATATTGATTAATGACAATATTTAAAGGGACATTCTGATTTGTAGGTCGAAAAAATTTTTGTTTTTAATTTGTGAAAACTATGAACCAAAATCTATAGAAATGTATCCCATAACGTATCTGAAGGATTTAGCTAAAAAAATCCAGCTGTTAAATTTTTTAACATCAAAACTTTACCTAAAAGGTTACGTAAGCTTTTCAAAATTGTTATGCTTTTTGCAAGATGTTAGAAAACTACTGTAAGGATATGTCTGATACCTTTTTTAGGGATTTCAACTAAATACAGCCAGCCATTATAAAACCAATCCCCTAAACTAGGTCAAACTGCTTAAATAACAATTAGTACAATTAACCCTTTTAAAACAAATTCAGTTTGATCAAGTAGATACATAGATATAAATAGCAAATTTTAGAAATATTCTTAGGTATAATTTACACGTTTTTGATAATGAAAACTTTTTACCAAAAAAGCAGAATGCCCGTTTAAATAAAGAGTTTTATCAGTACCGGTATTTCAAGTGAAGGTGAATAACAGCAATGCATTATTTCCCTTTTCTTGCTGATGTCTCTATCAAGAGTTCCCCAAGCTCAAATGTTACAAGTTCGATTATGATTTTGTCCTATTTGTTGTAGTCTGTAGTCACATTTGCTTCCATTATTATTCCCCTTGCGCAGTGATCTTCTGTTAAGGAGGTAAAATTAACCACCGTGGAAATAAACGATGGATGTAAGGAAATTGGTGCCTCAAACTGGAAAGTTTCCCAAGAAAAGGGACAAATTCCAACAAAAACACAAGAAACATGTTCCCGAAGTTAAAAAGAAAAAGTGGCAGCTAATTGATGAAGAGGTCGTTGAACTTAAAGGAAAATATTCAGAGGTAAGGCACTCTTTGTAAGTCGACAAAATGTAAACAAAACCACGTGCGTCTTCTTGACACTTTACATGTTAGCCAACCAATGATTCTTAGTTTAGGTCTTCTATCGGATACGATTTGTTTTTCTGTGACAGACGATGAGTAGCAACTTTTTGTCCAATTTATACCGATAAGATGACATGAAAATCACAGGAAGATCCTTCCCTATCAATCCCCTGTCCATTCATAGTCATGGCCATAGCCCACTGGCTTGCATAACATAACATAACATTATTGACATCAATATTAACTTTTCACTATTAAATTGACACTTGGTACTCCAGCAATTCATCATTTCCAGCCCTCTATTTATTTACATAATGGAGTTATGATAAAAGCACTAAATTATGTTAATGATATTATGATGACTAAATTTTCATGAAATAATTTTATTAAATTACTTGAAAACCAAACGAGAATTTCTGTGCCATGGATAGCCAAACACCTCTTTTTGAATCTGAACAATGCTGAACCATTAACGAGTCAATTAGTAGTTTGGGGAACATAACTCAATTTTGCTTCAATATCACTATATTTACCTTAACTCTAATGATTTTATTTTCAGATAAATACTTCAAAAGTTGAAAAGTTTACAGATTTTCCTCTATCGAAGCTGACATTAGAAGGTAAACATTGATTTGATCTAAAATGATAAAAGAATAGGCTGTTTCAAGACTATATCTGGTTTGTATAACCCAATGATTTGTATCCCAAGAGTGAAAAGAGGTTTCATAGGTGTGAAACACTTGGCATAATAGTTTGGCTTTGCATAACTTACAGGGCTAGTATTTTCTGTTAAAGGTGAAATAATGTCAAGAAATATGGTTACCTTAATATTATTTAAATCATGGAAATGGTTTAAGATTTCACTAAAAATGACCAGTTGATCTTCATTATTACTATTTTATCTAGGATTAGCTTCTGCTAAATATATTAAACCAACAGATATTCAGAGAGAAGCAATAGGTTTGGCTTTACAAGGACAAGATATATTAGGTGCTGCTAAAACAGGTTCTGGCAAAACTTTGGCATTTCTAATCCCAGTAAGTAAACGTCCTTCTTTTATGATGGTTTTTTAAGTTAATTCATCAAAGCTATTCCTATACCTGCTCCCAAGTGTAAAATGCCTGGAATTCAATTATGAATAATGAAATAGGTATGGAGATACTATTTGCATGTCTTTGAGTTCTTATACTGGTCCAGTTTTTGTCAATTCTGCAATTTGTCCATAACATATTTATTTATCTTGCAGATATTAGAACATCTATACAGGGAGAAATGGACACCATTAGATGGTATGGGGGCTTTAATTATCTCTCCTACCAGAGAGCTAGCTTTTCAAACATTTCAAGTTTTAAAGAAGATTGGTACAAGCCATGATTTTTCTGCTGGATTGGTGATTGGCGGAAAGGTAACTTGTTCTTTTCATTTATTTTATTAAATAACTAACTGTTGATCCATCTTTTTTTCATTTAAAAAAATCCTTTTTAAATCAAAAATCTGACTTACTGACTCAAAAATCTGATTCAAACATCAAACTTGGTATTTTCGAGATATTAGGCCAGATTTTTGTGGAACGGACAAAGAAAACATAATGTCTTGAGGACACTAACTATCATTTGATGGTCAAAAACATCAACACGATTTTTGTTAAGCATTTTATCCGAATAAAGAATTTGGCCTTTTTTATGTAATATATTATTTCAATTATTGAAATAGTGGTCTGCAAAGAGACTACTTCCACTGTTTGTGGACTGAGTTATACTATGGTCTATAATTGTAGCATGTACGAGAGGAAAAGGAGAGAATGACAACTACTAACATTGTAGTATGTACACCAGGTAGACTATTACAACATATGGGAGAAACATATAATTTTACAGCCGATTCCTTACAAATATTAGGTATGTTTCTTATTCTTGAGAATTATTATATTTTTATCAATCAAAAGTCATTTTAAGACAATATGCACTGATATTCAAATTCATGTAGAAATACTCTGTAAAATTCAATTTGCGAACAATATTGTGAACACAGTAGAGATGGTATTGACTGTTCACACTTTGCCTTGAAATTTTTTAATTATATTTCAGTGTTGGATGAAGCAGACAGAATATTAGATTTAGGTTTTGCTGAGACAATGAATGCTATTATAGAAAATTTACCTTCTACCAGACAAACCTTATTGTTCTCAGCTACACAAACCAAGTAAGAATTTGAATTCTTGTCAATTACTTTTATAAATCTCTTTATTTGGTCTGCATAGATTGGAAATATATATGAGTAGGTCTGTAAAATGCTGTCAAGTCTTGACAAACTCATTTGCTGAGTGACATCATGTGCTCTGAAATAAGTAGCATGCACAGCCTTTTGAGCAACACTTGCCAAAATATTATTTTACGTAGGTCAAAGACTTTAATTTAAAGATTTAAAAGCTGTGTTTTTTTGAGGATCTTAATAGAATTTTAACTTCTGTGCTACATGTACCCAGTCTATGACTAATATTAGTTTAGAAGTTGTGTATTGAAATAGTGTATTGTTATTTTCAGATCAGTTAAAGATTTAGCTAGATTAAGTTTAAAAGATCCTATGTATGTATCAGTACATGAACATGCTAAACACAGTACCCCAGCAACTTTAGAACAAGTAAGTATACCTTCATATTTTGCCTGGTGGCTTTGGTGTTTGTTTCAATAGAAATGATGTTACTGATATAATACAGGTAAAGAGCCTATTGCTCTTATGGCTTCTTCTGTTTGATCAATGCATATTTTGTAAATGGCATGTAATAGATATAGGTATGAAAATGTCAATTGTTTTTCCCTTTCAGAGTTACATTGTGTGTGAACTTCATCATAAAATAAATGTGTTATGGTCTTTTGTTAAAAATCACCTATACAGTAAAGTTTTAGTATTTATTAGTTGTTGTAAATTGGTAAGTTTACATGTACCAATCTTATGAGCGTACTGATTCAATTTCACTTAAAATCTGCTATTGAGAAACAGACAAAAAGGTAGTGAAGATTATTTAGATATCAAGTCAGGAAGCCATACATCAACATAAGGAAAATAAATCTTCAATTGGTGCAGCCATTTTGTGAATTAATCATGTTCCATACCTGCTATTTGATTATAGTGGCAGCGTCCAGTCTTGTAGTAACACATTACCATGCAAATATATATATGATATTTACTCAGCAAATAATTTCCTCACTTCTGAGCTCTTCTAAAACTCAAAAAAATAGTGCTATATTACGATAGTTTAGATCAATGATGGTTCACTACTATAATGTTAACATCTGATGGCTATGACAAACTAAATTGTATGGTTGAGTGTTGCTGTTGTAAAAATGATATTTAGTTGGTAAATTTTGTAAGGACGAAGATGTGTAATTCTTAAGTAGGAAAAAGCCAAAAACTGTCCTCCAAGGTCTTTATCTTTGAACATAAATAAGTGAGATGTGCTGTAAATCTTACTTTTCTAGGTGAGGTATATTCATGAAGCATTCAGATTATTACGACCTGGTCAAACAATACTAGCTCTACATGGTGGAATGAATCAAATAAAGAGGATGGAGAATTATGATAAATTTTGTCGGAAGAAACATGCTGTATTATTTGCTACTGATATTGCTGCAAGAGGCTTAGGTAGGAAGTCAATTCAACTAAGTATGCAGTTACTGTTATACTATAAAAAGTTCATTATCCAGCTGTCAGAACGGAAATTGAACTACCAGCATCACTTTTCAGAATTGAAATCTGAATCTGATTCTTCAGCAATCAAACAAAACTATGGAAGTCCCGTTCATTTCCATATAGTTATTATAGATGGTATGATGTAATGGATGATTAGATTGTCGCATATATTTCTAGATATACCTGCTGTTAATTGGGTGGTACAAATGGATTGTCCTGAAGATGTGAATACTTATATACATAGAGTTGGTAGAACTGCTAGGTAAGTTATAACTGATACTGTTATCAGTGACGTCTGATGTTAGTAACATTCTGTCCTTACAATGATATCTCACAGGGTTAACAAGATACTAAACATCACAGTATAATGATTCTCCATACAATACAACAGTCTTTCAGTTGAAGTGTTTTGTTTTTTTTTCTCCAAATTTAGAAGAAGAAATTTTTGAAGAATTTTTTTATGAGCTTAAAATGTTATGATATATGTATGTTATGATATGTATATTTGATAGATTTGAGAAGAATGGAGAAGCATTATTAATATTATTACCATCAGAAGAAGAATCTATGATTAAACAATTAACTGATAGAAAAATACCAATTAACCAAATCAGGTTTGTTCTTTCTTAAACCTAGATTAGGTAGATTTAGTTCATACTAAACATTATATTGATTCATAATGCATTGATGCATTAAAATTTAAAACTGATCTGCTTGGTGCTTTCACACATCAATCCTTTTTCAATGAAGGTTTTATTTTTGTTCAAGATTTTTTAATGGGTCATGCTAAGTGGTCATTTTCATTGATATTCTACCTTAGTTTATGTGATTAATTTTAGGACACTGATATTTATAGATGGACATTAAACAATCTTTATCTGTATTTTAGAGTAAATCAACAGAAAATAGTCAATTTAAAATGTAAATTAGAAGCTAATTGTGCGTCCTGTTTAGAACTCAAGGCTATGGCACAAAGGGTAAGTTACAATTTTGGTAAAATATGAATTTTCTACATTTTTTTTCAAATTATTTCTTTGCCTTACACGAAGTCATCTCTCTGTACCTTCTAAATGACAGTAAAATTTTATATTTTCTAGGCATTTAAAGCATATATAAAGAATGTATTTTTAATGAAAGATAAAAGTATTTTTGATGTTAGTAAATTAGACACTGAATTATATGCTAGGTGAGTGACAGATTTTTAATTTCTTGAACAATAGCTTCACTGAAAACAAACTTTTTAGGTTAGTAGACTAGAGCTCATCTCTCACTGCTGACATGGGGTTTGTCTTTATCGGGATCCCAGTATGCATACATAAAGCCAACTAAGGGAACTCATTGAAGCAACAGCAGAGATCTCAAGATTATATTTCCTAACTTAACAGCTAAGCATGAAATTGCTTCACTTGCAAATGTTAAATATATTGTAAATTAGTTATCTGTTATAATTTTGTTTTGAAAATTTTGTGTTACAGGTCAATTGGATTAGCATTTCCACCCCGAATACGATTTTTACAAAAACACAACAAAAAGACATTATCAGACACAAGTAACACATCAAAACAAACAAATAAACATCAGACATTTGGTGATAGTGATGGGGAGGGACAATCAGAAAATGAAAGTGGTAATGAAGAAGAAGCAGAAGATAAAATGGTGTGTGCATATGACAGTCAAACAAAATCAATGTCTGCTCTGGGGTTTGAAATTGATGATGAAGGGGAACAACTTTTCTCAGTAAAACAGGTTGATATTGAAGTACCAGAAGGTTTTGGAGTAAGTGTTTTTGAATTATAATGAAAATAATATGGTTATATACCCTTTTCCAGCTTCTTGTAGTGACCATCCATTGTTGTTAGTCTCAGCTGAAGTCTCTGCAGTCTAAGTTGATAGCATTTGTAAATGCAGCTTTGTTAACATTGGAAGGAGGTTGTTGGAGACTAATGTCTTTTACAAGTATTCTTACTACAGTATTATATTTCTTGTTTATACTTGAACATGCTGACCTGAAGGTCCAATCAGGGAAGAAGAGAAGGGGGGACGGGTTGATGATGATGAACATTGTCTAATTGGTTAAGTAGAATGAAAAGTAGAGACAGTGTGAACAAATTTTGAAACTAAATTACTCCTATTGCACATGATTGACTGACCTTATAGTTGTTAAAATGCAGATGAAGCAGTTTTTAAAATGTTTCATTGAAAGTATGACTTCAGTATCTCACATCAGCCTATGACAGGATGTTATTTGTTATTTTAGAAAATAGACTATGATCAGTTGACATCAACCTCTGATAAAACTAGAACCATCACCAGAGAAGAAGAAGTCAAAAAGAAACAGAAATTAGCCAGAAAGGCCAATGTATCATTAAATACTAAAATAGTCTTTGAAGAAGGCAAGGAAGAGGTGAGACTTTTAATAGAATTCTAATTTTAAAACTTGTGTGTTTATATCACTAAATATAACTATCTGATGTCTTAATATATGCAATTTGCATATAGCTCAAAAGCGTAAAAAATATGAACAGTATGGAATCTTTCTTGTGTCTTTAAAATTGGATGTATGACTCCATATATGCCATCAGATATAACTTCGAATATCCGTAGTTAAGACTTCATCAGAATCAATGCAGAGTAATTCATGTAAAAAAATGTTTGTGCAGAAGTGACCAGTAATCAGTGACAAGAGCTCATATAATGGTCTCTCCGATAGAGAATCTCGGAGCAAGTGGATTAATACAGACTGCTTGCAACTGCCGACTTCTGGTAGGATATGATATATAACTGGATTTAGATGAACAGGCATGACTGAAAAACCCATTTGCCACCAGTGGTTGTCAGTTGTCTTCAGCTGCTCATCTTCTATTGTCTTGCCAAACTGGATCTTGTTGACTGAATATTTGACCATACAGTTGATCACTCTTGCTGGTAGTTGCATATAGTTGGTCAGTTTTTGTACGTAGCCATTTTGTTTTTCCAGTCTGATGAAGATGATAAAGATGAAAAGAAGGGATTAAATATAGAGTTAGCTAAAAAGAGAATGCAGGAAGCTGATGTTCAAGATAAACAAAACTATAGGGAGATGATCAAACTCAGAAAAAGGGTTAGTTAAAATTATTACTTAGCCCCAATGGATTAGATGGCACACAAAAATAATTGACATAGGATCATTTAAAATCTGTAAATTTTCACCTTTTTCCGTCGTTGATATGTCTTGGATAAATCCTGAAAAAGGGACTTAAGAATTCACTGTCAATTTTGGTAACAATATGGTGTCTCATGTTATATGACTTTCCTAATAGTATATTGAGTAATAGGATAAATATAAATATATGTGTTGTTTATTATCTTTAGGAAGAAAAAATTAAATTAAAAGAGAAGAGAAAAGCGGAATTAGAGGAAATGAGGGTGAGTAAAAAAGTCTCTAACATGCTGTTAATTTTGTTGCAGTAGTGAACCATGATCTGTTTGACTGTAAAGTCTAACCACAATCTTGACAATTTAAATTATTATTCTTATTATCCTAAACAAATAAATCTGATGAAACGGAGGTCTGTAGTTTACACTAGCCATTCTCGATCTGACGAAATTCTACTGAAATTTGTGTTCATTTGAATATATGTGATCATATACTATATCTCTGTTTATAGAAAAGATTAGCGGCTGAAGAAGGAGAAGATGATGAAGAAGTAGAGATTGTTTATCATAAAGATTCAGATAATAATTCAGATAATGAACCACAGCAATACTCTGACCAGTCAAATAGTGATGATGACAGGTGAGTTCTTTGTACTCAATAGTAGAGCTTATAGAACATCTTTTTTGTCAAGCCTCTAAATATGATGCATTAGGTACCAGTCAGATGGACAAATTTGGAGGTCCTCAAGGTGTTGCTTTGTCAGTAAGTTCCTTATAAGTTGTAGCACTTTCCTTGAGACTCTAAAGTCCATTTATCCCATAGTGTGTTATGGCTATCATGATGCTGTTTCCCTGCTCAATGTTATAATTATAAGATCATGAATATCAACCTATTTTACCACCTCTCCTCTCCTCCCTCAAAACGCCAAATGCTCTCAAAAGATGGATTTTATGTCAATGAAATTGTATAATTGTAGACCAAGAAAAAAGAAATTCAAACCAAATGATTCTGATGAAGATCAGCTAAGTGGAGAAAGTGGAAGTGATGAAGAGGAGGGAAGTGAGGAAGAGGGAAGTGAAGAAGAAGAAGAAGAAGAGGAGGAAGATGTGTCTGGTGTTGGAGCTTCATTACCTGATGATGAACAATTAGCTCTAAGACTGTTACAAAAATATTCATAAACTGTTAATAAAAATGCTGAATTTATCGTTAAAATTTCTTGTAGAAAATGACTCGGTGATCATAAACACTGTCCATTTAATAATAAATGTTCAGGTTTAAGAGTGGTGACCATGTCATACACCAATACTCTTGATTTGCATACACTGTCATACTAGTACCCTTGGTTTTCATTCACTGTCACAACAGAACTATTGGTTACCTTACACCTATTTTTGTTGAGCACCTCAATATTTGTAGCAAATTTCTTGCGTTCTATATAACTATGAAGGTGTGGTCACGCGGTCTTGTCGGAGATTTTTGTCGTCGATTTAAGTCTTGTCAGGAGCTTCGCCGACTGGCACGGGCACAGGCACACGAGGAGACAAACATCTCCTGTCGGTCGTTTTCCACCATGTCCATAATCACGGGTGGAGCATGCAATTTAAAGAAAAATTAATCTGATCTGATGATGACGGTCTATCTTGCAGACTATTATCAAACTTGTTTGATACTATAAATCCTGTATATAAAATCTCCGACAAAGACTGCTTGTGTGCCTTTACGAGACGTTTTTATGGATTAGTCTCAGCGAGAAGTTTGAAATTTGATAACACATTTGACATGTATAATTATAAGATCTTCCTATTAACAATTAAAAATACACAAACGTACTTTCAAGAAGATTGAGGCCACAGAAGTTGATAAAAAGCGGGAGACCTATAGGATGAATAAGGCTTTCTGTTCTGAGTTATTGCCCTCCTATGAAGCAAACGAAAAGGGGTTGGTCTTGACCATGTTTCCTCTCATCAACGGCAGAATGAATCGAACATGTAATAAGCCATTTAGAAAATTTCAGCATATTCCATTTTAACGACAAAAATATTTATCAATTTTGTTAATGACGTAATTAGATACTGAAGTATGGTGGGTGAAGGAGCTGATATTATATTGATCAAGTATGGCGAGGAGTTGGTAAGGAGATTGTTAAATAGTAATCTGGGATAATGGCCCAATGGTAAATGCTATCACATTTCTTGTAAGACAGGTGCAATGGCGGATTAAACCTTCATGAAACGCCTCCCACTTAAAAATCAATCTGATCAACTTCGTTCAATTTTCATAATTCTTTTAGAACGTCGTATGGTCAGTTAAATGAATATAAACTTGAAGTGGCTAGTCGACTTGCTTTTGTAGTTCATGTCTTAAAGTTAAGAAAATACTTCATGATTTTGACATGTACTTTCGACTGTATTTTTTTATTTTTATCAAAATTATATATCCTAACATTAGAGAGTTATCGCACCTTCGTTCTTTCATCTATTTTTCATGTCCTGTATTCAGCGTGTTAATATATATTCACATCGCATTTGTAGATCGCAGTTTAATAATAATAAAAACTCCGTAAAACATAATTTAAATATGCAATAAGAAAAAAAATCTCACTGCTAAAATAGCGCTCTATACATCAATTGAAGAACGAAATAGGAATATACAAGTAGAATTGAATTTTTTTTTTCATGAACAGAGTTAATGCACTTGATCACGCGAAATACGCCAAAATAAGCAAATGAATGCAATATATATAATACTTATAATACATAGGCCTATATACATAATCTGCAATTTAGTTGCTTTTTTGTATGTGTGAAACTGTAGAAAGGAATAGAATAACTGTTCAATTAAATTTGCGTGTAAAATAGGTGTATACATTTTGGTAACAGGTCGTTTTCTTTACCGTTTATGAAAAATGTCACATACAAATTAGTTAAATTCAACAACTGGGTATACAACAAAAAGGGACCACTTTATTCACCTGACTATCAAATTCAATGCTGTATTTACTTCAATATTAAACACGGGGCACGTAAACATTAAATTGTTGATTCACCGGACATTCAGGTGTTTGGAAATTGAAATAGTACACTCTAAAATATTGGTTTCTACGTGGGTTAATATAACACAAAGTTATTTCAAACAGGCTCTATTTTAATTCTAACAGAACTGGATGCAAAATCAAGGAATTATCAACGAAACTTTATAATTTGACTTTCTTGATTCTAACCCATTCTTTGGTTTTGCAATATCTTATAATTAAGAAATTCTGCACTGTATTTTTTTTCCTGTAAATTATACGAGAAAATACACGTAGGATCGCCAGATTAAATTGAGCGTAATTTCAATATATTTTATGGTTTACGATACAATGAATTATTTTACAACAATTGAAACGATAGTGATAAAAACGGGAAGAAGAAAAACTGAACAATATTGCTGTCTGCTGTATGTATTTTATCGTTCTGATTTTCTCTATATGGCATCAACGCCTTCCTGTTCTTCTATCTAGTCAATTTTTCGATATGATATAAAATAATATTTGACTGTCGTTTTTCGAATGTAAATTTTTTTTTGTAATATATGTTTTTGTAAAACAAAAATAAAATCAATTTTGTTCCTGAACTATGATTTTTCTTTGAATAAAAATTTAATTTTTATATTTTTATTTTGTTTCATTATTTTTTTTTAATTTCATTATCATTATTCATTTTTCATTTGGTTTTTTGTTTTTGTTTATTGAATTATTATTTAATTCTTTTATTATCCTTATTATATTTATTTTTCTATTTTCTCCTAAAATAAGTCAATCATTGAACTGCATTATTCTTTAATAATGATATAGCCTAATATGTTTTAAGCACCAATAATTACATTTTGATTACATAAATACTAATGTGTTGAAGTTAAAACAAAACTTTTCCTAATTACAATTTAATACTGCAAATACCTTGTACTGTTATTAATACAGTGTATATAAGTAGTTGAACGCACTCAATAAAGTTCTATAAAACATACAGATATACCCTAATTACAATTAAGGGTTCCGGTAACATCCTAGGGCCCATCAGTGACACGAGAGGATTACACTATTTCAACACAAATAATCAATATTATTATTGTTTTCACGTCTTGTTATCACGTTAAAATAAAATTATTTCTTTATATATGTAGCCTATGTATATAAGATTTGAATATTGAATATCAAATATTGAATTTATTATTATTATTATTATTATTTAGCCTTTTAGCCAGTTGTGGAACATACATATACGAATTAAAAGGGACATTTTCGCCATTCGTTTGACCAATTTTACTTATGTCTCAGAGACCGGATTTTTTTTTTTAGCTGTAAGCTTATTGTGTTCACAGCTAAACGCCGAAATTCAGAACAATCCGCGTTTGAATGTTAAAATGACGACTCTGCCATATATAGAATAGACAAATTTAGAAAAAGAAAATGAAATTCCTAGTTTGAGGTATTTTGCGATTTTTGTACATTTCTAGAACTTCTGAAGCTATTTGCATAAAATTCAAAGATTTGAAAAATCCTGTTACCCGTTATTGTCCGATTATAAGACAAAAAAATATATAGCATAGTTACCAAATTGATTTCCTAACCACTACTAAGTGCGTTGACTACAATAAGTAGATTTTATAAATGAGCCTTGAGAAAAAAGTAAATATAGAGCTAAATGAATTGCAGGTAAGTACTCGTGGCTAACGATATTTGAAAAATAATCAAAAAATATATCATTATCATAATAATTCAGATAGAGATATTTTTTAAAATATTAGATAAACCTTCTATGTAACTATAACATAAGAGTTCAGGAATCGGAATGACTTATACTTTTTTTTATGTTGTCATGTTTAAATAATTTTATTCTGTACGATTCAGTAACTTAAAAATAAGTTTTTTCGGCTATCAAAAACTCATAAGAATCCAAGTTGTCTCAAAATACTTAACCGGTTGTTTGGTATCCAGCTTTCAAACATTTTAAGGGGCATTAATAGAAATAATGCCTGAGGCACGTGTATTAGGCACGCGCTGAGCGCCTGTGGTATTATTTCTTATATTGATCATTATATTGTAGTGGCTAAATTAACGATGATTAGAGTAGAATAGGGAGGCGTGTATTATTGACATAATGTATTGTATAAAATAACCCCTTTTACTTCACAGGACAAATTAACTTTAATAAAGTCTTTTTTTCATTTATCACTAACGAACGCGCGAAGGATACAACGGAATTTTTATCATATCGCTTGGATACTTGGATATTCTGAAACCTGTTTATAAAATACTAAGGTTGGTTGAAATGTGTGGCATTAAATTTCAAATTGATTAAATTTAATCATATTAATTAAAAATTAATTTATAAAATAATCATAGTAATTTACATGGTTATATATGACCAGATCGAAATGGGATTGAAAAATCAAGCTGATATCTAATTTGTAGTTTATTTCCAGGATAATCAAATTCCGTTCAGATTATTAATTTGAAATTTATTTTTCATAATCCTGTTTCGATCGGATTTAATTTTTTTTAAATTTTCATTGTCGTATCAAAATTAATTATAAATCGAATCCAATCAATATTTATAGGCTAGTAATATTTCATTCAGATTGAATGATTAGTTCGGTTTTATACTTATATTCAGATCCAGTTTTATCATAAGTTTGATAAAAATATTCCGATCGGATTTATTTTGTAATTTATATTTGATTAATATATTCGTTGCATAGGTTTAAAAATCAAATTTGATTCTTTGGCAATATCATTCAAATCGGATTCAGCTAGCTATGCTATTTTGTGCATATCATTCATATTCCAATCGAATTTTAATTTATAATTCAGGTTTTTAATCATTTCGAGATCATAATATATTACAAGTTTTTATAATCATGTCCCGATCCGTTTACAATTTTTTTTTATTATCATATATAAATGGAGTTTGAATTTATATTTAGGTTTCGTATTCCGATCAGATTATTCTTGTACTTATATTCCGATCCGGTTGCCATTTAAGTATTATAATCCTATATTTTGATGTTTGATTTCTATAATCGATAGGATTTAATTTGAAAATCAAATTATAATTATCTAAATTAATAAGAAACATAGGTTTTTTGATTAGATTTTATTACAAAAATTTTAGTTTTATAATTATATTCCGGCCTGGTTGTATTTTTTTTATATTTCGATCAGTTTTTATTAATTTAGAAATGTAATCCCATTAAAAAATTTTCCCTTTTATAATTTCGATCAGGTTCTATTATAAGTTTACTTCTAATATTCCGGTTGAGTTTAATGTCTAATTTAGGTTTAACTATCATATTCCGATAGGGCATTGTATTCTATAATCAAATAATTCCGATCTAGGTTGTATTATAGGATTCATAGCCTAATCATTTCTCAATAGAAGTGTAGTTCGCAAAAAGTTCAAAATAAGTCGTTGCTTTCTAAAGCATTATAAAAAGTGTGTAATGTAACAATCTAAACACTAAATAACTAATATCTTAAAGTGATACTACATCTCAGTATGAACATAAAATTTAAGTTCTAGAAATGGTCAATATGAGTATATATTCATCAGTTAGCTGACCTGGTGTCATAAAGTTACAAAAGAATCCATGTAAAATCTGGAAAATTGGAAAATTCATTTAACTAAGTAATTATTGAAAAAGGCTTAATCATGATATTAAGCGTTTTTCAATAGTTAATTGCATATTTATGGATAATAATAATGGATAAGTTTTTTTTGGTTTTTTTTCCAAAACGTTATAATATAACGAAATAAAGTTTATAAAACTCCCTATAATGATATTAATGTAAAAACTCAAATTTCTCATCATTAATATGATTTAAAATATTCTTTTCTATTTTTTTGTGAAACTAGCACACACTCTCTCCCCATCTAAAAGTTCACTGTTTTATTTTACAGAATTTCCTGCTGAACCATTTTGGAAAATGAACCAAAATAATGTGAATAACTATTTGGAAATAAATTCCATGAGATTAACATCACCGTCATGTGAAGAACTTGGAATTCCTTTCGATTCCGAAGACGAACTTTATCCAATGCCGTGCAGAACTAGCGTTGTTATCAAAAATCCCTCGTTACATTTCGAAGGATTAAAATACGATATCACCCAGTATTCTCCAGTTTGCATGATACCGTTACCCGATTCCTTAGCCATGGAACCCAATTTTATCCGACGTAGAAACGAGCGAGAAAGAGACCGCGTACGCTGTGTGAATGAAGGATACGAAAGATTAAAGGAGCATTTACCACTAGAAAATAAAGAAAAAAGAATTAGTAAAGTGGAAACATTAAGATCAGCCATACAATATATTCGACATTTACAATCTTTATTGAAAACAGACGACAGTGAGCAGAAGTTTTATCATAATGCTAGCAGATCAAGAAAACGTAAAAGTGACGATTTTTCTGAATTCGAATTTGACAGAGATAGTCCGTCAAAGCAGAAGAAATGATGACCATCTCAATGACAATTCTCTATTCAACACATGCATAAGCATTATATTTCATATGTGTGGACTAGCGGTTCTACAAAGCTGGTCCCTGTTTCGCAAAATAAAATTTACAGATTTCAAGAACTATAGTAATATGATTGGTTGATTCAATATCAATTTTAGTCATAGACCGATCAGATGACTGGAACACTAAAATCACCTAAAGTCAGGATATTGTGAAATTGGCCCGTGCATGTTCAATAGTTTATCATAGACATATACCCCCTTGAAAATGTTTCAAACATGGCTTACTCCAGCTTATCGGCGTATATGAAAAGCGCATGTCATGCATCACAGTGACCCACAGTAGTTTCAATATCTGTGATGGCTTTTATTCCTTTCATCATTATACATATTTTAGCACGGATTATTGTTATTCATCAAGAGAATATCTTGTAATTATATTACATTTATTCATTACGTTTAAAAAAAGTGCAATATGTATTATTATATTATATGTCAAATAAATTATTTACGCTATCTATTATTATAAAGAATGCAAATTAGTTCGTTGAAATTGTGATCCGGATAGTGGAATAATCGAGGCCAACCTGATAGTGTTGATCATTTAACGTTGCAAAATTATCAAAATCAATTACCCATCTTGAAATAGCATCAGATGGTAAGAATGCGGTACAAAATACATATTGTGATGCGAGGACATTGACGCTTTAGAATTTGCTGTCCATGAAAATTGGATTCGATATAAATAGCTTAAATGGGCATTGTTGTTCGGTCTTTAGGTATCTAAAATCGACATGTTCCTTTTGTCCCAGGTATCGTCTAACAGAAGTACTTCCAGAACAGATGGACCAAGATGAATGGCTGGTCACTGGACCTGTGCAAAATAACCATTGAAACTGGCAAAAACGTTCAGCTCAGAATTTTGGACCGAAATCCCTTTGTTCAAACATTCCAAACTTCTTAATTACGGACGAAAAAATATATTGATTTCTGTGCATTACTCTATGTAATCAAAGGGGAATAATTCAACATTTATATGGTCTGTAGTCAACAGAAACCATCACACTCAGGGACGTTCAGCTAAGTAAATTTTGATTGTGAGCAGTTTCCTAACATGTTTTTAAAAAAAATATCTTTGAAGCCTAAGAATAAAACTTTGACACAATAAAATAAATAGCCTAGTTATTATAACAAATTAAGGACCATTTCTGATTGTGGGGGCTAATTACACATCAATGTGGTCTGCAGCCTTCCATCTTGTTAGATGTTTTAAAAAATTATAAGCTTCAATATCGGGTATAAACCTTTAAAAAAAATCACTAAGTAGCACTTGATAATTTTATCTGACATTTGTAGCACCATTTTATATTGCAAAAATAAAATTTTCTAATATTGGTCAGTAAATCAGTCATTAAAAACATTCAGTTATAATTATACAGGATTTCAATGAGGAAGAATATATATTGACTTCGTTTTATCTGTTCTCTTCACCAGTATCTGTTTCTATCTGTTCTCTTCTCTTCATACAATAATCTTTGATTTCTGGAAAAGAAGAAAAAATTATCAGAATTTCCAAGAATTTCAAACTAAAATGGCAATCCATGTTTTACTGCTTGTTCGCACCTTGTAGTATTAATGGGATATATACTATGCAGTACGCACTAAGGGAAACTTTTTAACAAGTAGACAGATATGAGATCTCTTAATTGTTTATTCTGAAAATATACTTTTAATAACATCCTTCAGGATAAGTACTATAGGTAAAGTTCTACCAGGTCATATATATATGTAATTATATTTTATCTATGTTATATCAAACTTACTGTCAATAATGCTTTTAAATGCTAGAGTTGCAGGCGATTCTTGAACTTCTTCAAAATAATTCTTTCCTTCATCACAACATTTTCCTATAAGACAATTAGACTTTGTAGTTGAAAATGTGAAATGCAGACATATCTAAGATCTTACATAATTACTAAGTATAATGAAAATCTCATAAAATTGTATCCTTTAATGTATGCAAGGGTTAGTTTGGATTTCATAATACCAAGCACTGAAAAAGCAAAAACTTTCAAAAATTTCATCTAAATTTTGCATGAATCGCACACTTTTGAGACCTCACAAATATGCACCAAATAAATGCTGCAATCACTGTTACCATCCTAAATGCTTTTTTGAATAAGTTTGAACTACCAAGATTTAACTAGAAATTAAAATATAAACAAACCTATTCTAGGATCAAGAGGTAACTTTCCCAGGAATGGAATATTAGAATCTGCTGCCATCTTTTCACCTCCGCCAGTAGTTGGTGGAAATATCACAGACTCCGTCTGTAAAATGGAATGTGATAAGTAATATTTGCAGGCAAACATGGACAGATAAGACATTATTTCAAACCAAATGGTTTTAAATATTGTGACATCATAATCGGACTGACACACTATAATTAATATTGATTTTAATTAGACCAAACATTCATTCCCTTTTTTCATTAGCTTTAACATTGATATAGCCACTTCTGTTAGGGTCTAACAACAGCCCTCTTGAGTGTTAGTCAAACTAACCTTTTGACCTAAATTGATGACTGAATTTAACCAATAAAATTTTTCTCTTCTCCAGCCCATTCATTTTGTGCTGCTGTGTTTATCAGGTTAGGTCAAAAGGTTAATCAAGAGACTGTCGCTAGACCCTATCTGAAGTGACTATATTATAGATAAAATCTTATAAAAAAAACAGAACAAGAGTTTGGTAAACAGTACACCATAATTCATACATTATGCTATTCATTGCTTGATCAAACTCTATCATACTTCTTTCTGTAAGCCTGTTCATACAAGTTCCAAAGATCTGTCATCCTTTGAGTGAGCATTTAATTTATCATTTATTTTACATAATGATCATGATGAATCTTTTCCCAAAGAATTCAATATGGAAGTATTACTGTCAACATGTGCTCAAACAACAGAAGGAATTCTTTAAGCAAAAGGGATACAGCAAAAAGAAAGGATACATTGTTGACAACCCAGTCTCAAGTAGTCAAAGACTGGCTTCATATCCAAATATGGGGGCCAAACTTCCTGATTGGAACTGCAACTACATAAGTTTGAAAAACTACTTACTGTACATTTAGGACAAACAAAACCACTCATATTTTCTACAACACCTATTATAGGTAAATTAACTTTCCGACAAAATGTTATTTCTTTTCTAACATCTTGTAAGGCTACTTCCTGAAACAGTATTACAATTTCTTTAAAATGAAATACAATAAAACATGTTTGCTAGAAATTCTGGATATTGCAATTTTTCTTTGCAATATTACAAGATATCATGGGATACTTCTTTTTATTCTATCAATTCTATCTAATATTGGATATTTAATATTGGATTCCAAACAGGTTGTCCTGTTAAAATGCTTATATCCAAAACACATGTAAAGGCATGACAGCATAATGAACATTTTAGAGTCACTGATAGCAAACTGAACGGAATGCAAAAATTATGCAAACTGATAAGCCAATTCAAACCCCTATGGCCTTTTCAAAACTTCTGTTGTGCAACTAAGAAGAGTCTTTAACAGGTCTTAATCATATTTTTCTACTGTAAGGGAGGTAACTCTGTACCTTATCTTGATAAAGAAATGGCATTACGATCTACCTGAGGTGTTGTTAATAATACTGCACCATCAACATTAGTTTGACTAAGGTATTGGGTGGTTGATATATGTTCATCACTAGTACCAGGGGGCGTGTCTATAACTAAATAATCAATCTCACCCCAATCTACATCTCGTAAAAACTGTTTGATCATACCTAATACATGAAATTAATACATACTTATTTTCTATCAGTGATATAGCTATAGACAGTGAGCTAGGCCTTGCAGAGTGTTTTTGATTCAATTCAATTTCAAAATCTAAAAGATCTTTAACATGTATAACCAATTTCCAATGTTTGCATCAAAGTCTTGAAAACATTAAAATGCCCAGCAAAATAACATTATCATAACTCATAACCGATCCTTACCATTTTTCTTTGGTCCTCTCCAAATGACAGCATCATCAGGTCCTGATAGTAGAAACCCTACTGACATCACTGCTAAATTGTCTGTTACATACTGAAATATCAAAAAGATTCTTATTTCTTTGTATGAATAACCAATCAATGTTAATGATTTTGTCTTAGAAAGTATCTGGCACAGACCAAATCACAGCAAGGTTTTTTTTTAACATCAATCAGACATCAGGTGTAAATTGGGAAATTGTAATAAGTGTATTCTGACATCCCACTTGGGTGTTGTTTACGTGCATAATTTACAAGAGGCTTTAGTTATTCATGATTCTTTGAGAGGTTGCCATTAGCAACAAAACATGGAGGTGAAAAAGTACTAGAATATGTAATGAAGATGCTTTCATGTTAGTCAGTAGTTGTTAATCAAAGTTGTTACATTAATTAATACTATTTGACTGATTAATTATAGAAAAGGTCACAGTGCAAACATGCAAGTAATCTACATCCCAAGACAAGTTACAGAAGAAAACAACGTTTAGTAACTAATCCTTTAAAGCAACAAGCCCACCTTGATTCCAGAAAAGATGGTGTCAAAAAAAAAATAATGAGAGTTGACATCCCTTAATTTCAAATTATGTGATGATCAAGTAGTCAAAAATAACATCAAACAAAACTTACCACTGGTGACCATCCTGAAGAACTTTGGTGAACCTATAAATAAACCGTACACAAATAATAACAAAAGCAGAAAAAAAAAGAAGTCCATGTTCACCAGGTCACAAAATCAATGAGGTTGATATTAAACGAGTTGCTATCCATAGAATGTTCAAGGATTAAATAATCAAACATGGTTGATAGCATTGCAAGCTTATAAGCTTTTAGAAGAAAATCTATTTTACAGAATTTTTCCACTCTTTTGCAAAGTTGAAAATGCACTCTTCTGCACATTTGGATCAAAAAAGTGTAAATGTTGATGATAATCTGAAAATTTTTATACTAATGGTCACAAAGTATTACCTGTTCTCCTTCTAAACCTAATATTCTTGGTATGGAGGGTCCACAAATATCAACATCTAAAACACCAATCTGAAATAGAAACATGCTGTAGTCAAAATCATTAAGAACAGTTGTCTGGAAATGGTAATAAGCCTGGAAATGATAAATCCATGAGTAACAGGTAATATTTGATACATTTAAACATTTATAATGAAATTAATAACTTTAAGTGAAGTTCAAAGGAATATTTATCAGACTTAGAGTGAATTTGCTACATTATCTTTTATTTAATTTGATAGTTTGTAAGTAGCAAAAAAAACATGATAGCAGTTCAAAGAAATTTGTTTGTTTCAGTTTATAGTAGATAATAATCAAAATTTAAACTGTCTATGCACACAGAATTTCATAAGATAAAACAAAACAATTTATACCTAAAATTCAAGTTAAATGACTATTTGAATATATGTGTATTTATAACTCTAGTCAATATAATTGTCATATAGATAATGATTTGTTGGGATTAAGATTGATTACAATATAAAACTACTGCTATCTTTCTTAAACTAGGTGATCTTGACATGGTGTGGAATATCTCACAAATATGTCACAAATATTAACTTGATAATTGACAATGTTTTAAGTTTAGCCTTTCAAAACTGGCTACCTCTAAAACAGGGGTTTTCAACCTTTTCTTTCTATAACCCCGTTCAGCATCCTTGCTCTATTGTATTACATTACCAATTCCACATAGACATGCCTTCAAAAATTCAATGATATATGATATTATCCTAAAACATTGATCCCAACAAGAATATATTCAATTGAAAAAGAAACAAAGAAAATAGTAATCTTAGTTTAATCAAACTAAGATTAGATTAAGATTAATGTGACTATTGGTGCTTCTAAAATAGAGATTAAAACTATAGGTAGGTGTATTTACTAGAAATATTTGATCAATTTGCCAAATAAGTGACAAGTACAATATTTTCAACCCAGCCAACATAACACAATGTATTAGTTTTCAAGAAATCTTTCAAACTGAATCTGAGACATGTTTACTGTTGTATTAAAAATAATAGAAACCACATTAGACATGATGTATTGTATAGACTGAAGACTTATTATTCCTGTGTATGTCTTATTTTACCCTTGTTGATAAACAAAATTAACAGTTACTCTGGTTCTCGGCCTCTCTAGCACACTTGCACATAGCACATTGATGGAAGTAAAAAATTTCATGGTAGCTTAGACCCTTTGTAAAAGCTTACAAAATCTTTACTTTCGGATAACTTCACATGCACATTTTGGCAGGGAGAAAAAAAATTTCTGTACCACTGTGAAAGATGAAGAAGAAGAAAATGATTAAAATTATGAAGATGATGAAGTTGATGAACAATGGTTATCAGTTTTAAATCTTTACTATAAGTCCATCAATAACTCTAACACACAATCATCATGAAAATTGAGTATAAAAATTATGTAGATTTGCTCTTTCAATAAAGCAAAAAAAGACAAATAAGTCTACCCCTTTAAATAAGGAATAGATACTACATGTACACGTAGCATTACGTTCAAGTGATTATTACATTGTTTTATAGCCTATTTAAAAAATCTCAAGTCTAGCCTTTAATCCAATATAAATCGTACAGGCGTGACAGCAAACCCCCTCATAGAATACCTATTTAAGCTCAAGACAAATATAATAAGGGTGGCTTATGGGTAAACTTGTGTCGCTATGGTCACATTCAATGTTGATCAGGGTCTTACATAGTAACAGTGGCTATAACCTGGCCCTATGTTCAATGTTGTCTTAATGTAGTTAGACTAAGGAAAAGTATAGTTATATTGATATTGTAATCCTGATCTTTTCACTAGGTAAGGACATCTATTGTTATCATTGTTAGGGATTCACTTAATAACTGTCCATTTAGGGTGAAATAACCAACTAATAGACATTATGAAAATTTATTATCAGATATAATTTGTAACAAATAGTATATCAATATAATTCATTAATAATCAATTATATTCTTCAATCCATTGTATTCTAATTCAATTTACCCTTGTTTAACATGAACAAACATCATTAGATTTATCATAATTATCAGCCAAAATAAAAAATACACTTACAAATATTGGAGCATGGAGTTAATTTTTTGAACTATTTGATATATACTTGCAATTGTGCACAGGTATATATGGAAATTTATAACTAGAAAGAATATAATATCATAAATGTATGCATATAAATGAAAGTTACTAAACGTTTTTGTGTCCATAATATGTGGATTTACCTTAATAGCTATAAATTTTCAGAAGCCTAATCAAATTGATATAAGTCACCTGCAGAAAAATCTAGACTATTCAATTTTCGCACTAAACTTGCCCATTCAATACAAATTTTACCGAGACACTCAAAGATACTTTATTTGCTGTGTAATAAATACATAAAGCACTATTCAATAATAGGTTTATTTTCTGTTGTTGATGAACAATGTCATTGCAAAGGATAAATTATCCCTAAGATGGACAGTTGGATGATCTAAGAATGAATAAATGAGTAGTTGAATAAATAAAGATATTGAATAACTGTCTAGTCCACTTTATAGCTAATATACCCACTATTATCAGTCATAATATTGAAAGTTTATTTGTTTTATAAGATATTGTGTGTGTAGTTTCTCTCAATCAAGTATTAGTTGAGAAGAGATTAACCCCTTAAACACTAAGTGTGAATAAAATAGAACATCACTAGCCCTAAACTCCAATTTATATGATTGTGTTGAAAGGGTTAAGGAAAGAGAATGAATGCATGAATCTTTTTTAACCTATAATGCAATATGTAAATGTAAAAAATCATAGCTTTAAGAATGCCAATGAATCAAGTGTGAGCAGAGACAGGTGTACAGAAAGAAATTGTATCTACTAGAAAAAGTAAGCTCAAACTTTTTTATGTTATAAATAACATTGTTAATAGAAGCCATAGTAACAGTAAGGACTAACTGATAAAATACCATCAGGTTAAATTTTAAAAGAATAGGTAATTGGAATATACAAATATTTATTTATTTCGAAAAAATGTTCGTTGTTGTGAAAATTGACAGAGTAAATTCCTGAATTTTAAATACTGAAATATATCAGATATTCCAGCCAAACTTTATGTAGGGATAATAAACAAATTAAAATCTAATTACAACATTTTCAAATAAGATTTTAGCTAGAACAGCAGTGTAAAGTAGGCCAATCCATTGTTATCTGATTAGTACATTTTGATTTACGCACAACATAACAAAGTCTCTCACTTTCAATTTCTGAGCTACTGCATGAAAGTTCGATGAAAATCAGTTCTTAACGATAGAAGTCACACTTTTAATGTTCCCTAATGGAAAAAAAATTGTCCTTAATTTAACATGATCTGATCAAAATACAGAACCGGATGTTTTATTTATGTAGTTTCAGTTGTAATGTTGACCCAATAGTATCAAAGGTTGTCAAAATCTATGAATACGAGTCAATATTCCAGACATCCTCTCACAAAGTAGTGAATCTTTTATTATATGGAGCATTTGATTGGTTGAATATCCCAAATGCAGACAATTTCTAACTAGAACATTACATTGAATTCTGATATAAAATTTCATCAATATCAGTTGTACATTTTTAAGCAAATGTAAACTGGCAAATACACAGACAAACATGGGTACTAATCACAAAAATAACAATATTCAGCAATTTCTTTAACTTAAATGAATCTATTCATATAGCATATGCATAAGCTTTTTTGGCAAGGCCACTAAAAATGTGTCATTTGAAAAAAAATAATAACAAGAGAACTCCAGATATTACCGATATGCATTTTCATGCTAGAGGCCCAAAAGTTAGTCAGAGTAACTGCTAAAAAATTACATTTTATGTCTGGCCCTAAACAAGCATAAGTTCAAACGTGAGGTGGGTGGAAAAAAAACTCACCTGTTTGCTTTCATCTGCAGCTAATCCATGAGCCAGATGAGCTGTAAATGTACTTTTTCCCACACCACCTTTTCCAGATAATACTATTATCTTATGTTTGACTGAGGCAAGCCGATTCTTTATTTCACCAATAGCTGTAACAAAACAGTAAAAATTATTTTTCAATATTCACAACATATTGGACATTTTCCCCTTATTTCCAATATTGTGTTCAGTCCATACAATTCCTGTTAGCTATTTTGTAAATTATGTATTTCCGTTACATTTTATCAAAAATGTTAAACAGAAACCATAAAAATGACGATGTTGAATAAGTTTATATCAATACAGATTTATAGAGATTGAGTCATGGTAATTGATTCTATTTGAATTGAACTAAGCTTATACTTGAATGGCGCCTGAAATGTGGCTGCTCATTATGTTGTTTCTTGGTCAGAACTTACCTGGATCAGGACCTTGAGGTTTTGCTGAAGAACATATAGTTTGATTAGGACATCCTTGACAAGCTGATGCTTTCCCTGCTGATCCACTGTCAGTACCAGGGCAGTCTACAATAGGTACAAAAAAAATCATCAAAATCATTTCCTACATGCTTGACTTACTACACTGAAGTGTCAATTTGAGATACTCCTCTCATTTGTATATTGTTATATTTCTGAGTTCGTTTGCATAGGCCCTGTACTAAAATGTTCAAGCTACCCTGTTTACTACTCTCTGAATACATTGAGATTTGAATTGAATTTTTTTCCACTTGGCATTTGTCACCTTAGAAAATTTGGTTTGCACCTCTACTTTTTATTTAACAAAATTAGAAAATAAGATTTTATATGTTTTTACCTCAAAATACATGTGTGTCAGAATGCACCAAATTAATTAATTTTTTCAAAAATTTTCTTAAAATAACCCTCTCACACATTCCATTAAAGGCTTGCGCAACAAGGCGCCTCCACATAATTGCCGCATTTTGAATTAAGCCTCAAATGATGTCCTCCATTGAGTCAGTCTACCCCTTGGGTAAAATGATTATCGTGCTAGGAATTTATAATTTTGATTATCGATTATCAAATTTCATAATATTTCATATGTCAAAGTTACTTTTTCTCTACTGTACCCTTTAATAAGAAGTAATCTCTTTCAGATAGGTTCCCTTCAGCACATAACATACCCACAAAAAAACTATAATAATCGATCAAAGCATATAGAATAGAACATACTTCTATGATGCAAAAATTACCCATGAAATTAGGAATTTTGGCATGTTTTTAATTTAGTATTTACAGGGTTTCTCAATTGAATTATTTTCGACTATCAATTGATAATTGATTAATCTATAATCAATCTCAATGTGGTAAAAGATACCCAGCCTTACACATATTTGGTACTGGTACCCCTTGTCTCTGGAGTGTTTTAGTCATAGTACAGCTACGGGTCTGGTGATCCAACAAATGAAATAGGAGCAAGGGTGAACGCAAAATAATGTTGATAAAGCTATATCCGTTCTAAGATTCATCGTTAAATGAATTAGAATAAATAAATTCAAATAGGCCTTGATAATAGAAAAAAAAATGATCGAATTGTTTACATTTTTTTAAGTTGAAAAACACTGTTTACTACACTAAAACTCGACAATAAATACCGATAATGACCGTAATGTATTATTCATGCAATAACCTGAACATCAAGCCATTAATTTTCATAATTGTCATTTTAAAATATGTTACGGTTCAAGAAAAAACTTAATTTAAAACGTACGTTCAGGAGCGTCCTTAGGAATGTCTGCCATTTTGACTCGCTGGATAACCTTTTTTGTTTTTATTTGACTGAAGAGTTCCTATATGACGTCGCGGATTGAATTGTGGGAAGACAGACAATCGCTCTAAGCAACCAAATTTCGGCCGTATTTTTCTTTCAAAAGTTCAGAGATTTTATCGAATTTACAATGGATTATTTATCGTTATCACCTAGATATCCTACCTACTCCGATTGGATTGCAAAACTTTACACGCGGAGAGGTTTGCTTTATTTTTATTTACTCATTTTAAGTTTTATTAGTAGAAGTAGGAATTACGTCTAGGCCTAACAGACACAGGGCCTCAAAATCTAGCTTTAAAAAGCTTAGCCTAAAACTTAATAAATCCAGTAGATCTGTGTAAATACAGTTCCTGGTTGGATATTAGAAGAATTAAAAGCAAATTACTAAATGGAAAGTTATAAAGAGAATATCCACAAAACACAAATGGCAAAATTGTAAAGATTAACAAAAAGGCCTAAATTAAAAAGCAATCTCGTACCATTCCAGGTCATAGATTAGGCCCAAGGTTATGTATCCTTAGTTAATGGTACAATATTACAATGGATTGATTACCGACAAGCCGACAGGACTTTCTAAAATTATAGACCTTGTTGCAGGTTGCATATATGGGATTTAATATAGGAAGACTCCATGCCCATGCCCAAGCTTTAAACCAATTAAATAGTTTCACTCAGGTTCCTTTCTTTATCAAACTAACAGTATAGTTTTATACGCTATTTTAGATCTAGGTCTACCCTACACCTACATTATAATAAATTATCAGGTAGAGTTTAAGAGTTAAATACACTATTATACACAGACAAAAACATTCATGAAAGGGGATTTGAAAGATCAAGTGTATTATTTGTTGCTGTTTGTATGGGCATATCGGTGTAAAGGGCGTTAATCCATTTGAAAAGGTCATATAATTATAATTAATATGGATTCAATCGAGCGAACATAATGTAATAATTTTTAATAAATAGAAATGATTATCTATATGCTTATAACATGCGACTGTAGTGAAATCAATATTGGGTATAAGATCACTTTCTATAACATGACTGCGTTGCCCGGGCGTTTCTAGGCACCTATGCGCAACCAAACACGCGCTGGAAGTTACATAATTCCAATAAAGAAAACCTATATAATGCTATTGTTTCAATAAATTTAATCATTACCAAAGTTGGTAGGTATAGTCAAGTGCTTGTATTGGACTATTTAGTTGGGTCAAGGATCTATTTTATATCTCTGTTTATTCAGATATTAGGACATAGGTGAGTCAGTTCGTTTTCTTTTTCACAAAATACTCTATAGATATAATGTTTGATAAACTATTGACCAACCATCAATAAAATAATTACGTTTTGTGGTATATACCAGTTGGGTACCCGTCGTAGGGCGTGTAGGCCTGAAATTATTAAAAATGAAATATCATATCTATAACAAAATGTGCTAAAAGGCAAATAAAATGCAAATATTGATGTTTAGTTTCGCGTTTTTTCTCTGTGCGACTCAACTTGCCACGTACGAAACATCTATATCTGCATTATAATTAGAGTATTGTACAGGTTTATTTGTGATTTAAATGCAGACTTTTAATTTTGTTTTTCATTTTTTATTGTGAAAAGAGATACGGATACTTTGACAAATTGGGTAAATATTAACATCTGATAGAGATCTATTTCGATTATGTGAAAAATTGTCAAATGAACACAAAGTATTAAAGCCACTTACGTAAGAAAACAGAATATAGCCTAAATGATTCATATTGAGACAGAAACTCATTATACCCTATTGTACAATTTTATATAGCCCACACAGATTAACGGTAACTAAGTATATAACATTATGTTGTTAATTTATAATGATTTATTGAATATGATAAATACACCGAGACCGTCTCATTATAAATCATAGTAGGTTATCAGAGGTAATGATATGATTGAGTAAAACATAGCCGGCTAATGGAGTGTTACTTTATGCACATTGCACATTTCGTAAATTCTCATAGAGGCACTGGAAAATAAAGATTTTTTTGTAGGCAACTTTTATGATTTCAAGCGATCCGTAATTTTATTTTATCAGTATTTTTCGTTTTTCTTGATTCAGAAACTTCATTTCTCCAACCTGACCAACTAAGATGATTTATAAGGTCTGAAATAGGCCTACCGGTATTCCAAAGTTTATCACGGAAAGTTTATTCTATTCCAGAAGTAACGTTGTTTCACGTACCACATACAAAGCACTGTGAAGTACAGTATGTACATACTATGACATCTATCGTTCAGAACAGATCTTTTTTCATTTACAGATAGCGTCTACCCAGTCCCAGTCAGAAACAACATGGAGTATATGGGACATACACAAACCGCAACCTACATGACAGGTCCGCGCCAACTCACTCAAGCCAGTCTACCATCCATCATGCAGTCATCTTACAAACCTTTTGATACCTACCCTGCACCCTCACCTCTCAGAAGATCTCTCACCACTCTTCCATGGAGGCCAAGTACCTATTACCAAACAGCACAAGTAAATCCAGCCACTGCATTGACAAAGAGTATGAATGCACCCCTATCGGCCCGTAACGAACTCACTCAGTTGGACAGCATTACTGTTCCACCTGTGTTTGCTGCTTCTCGAAACGCTCTGTACACCAGATACACACCCAATGATTGGTCCAGCTCCAACCAAACCAATTATATGTCATCTGATAAAGTTCGAAGTGGTGCTGAAAGGATCCGATTGGATACAGTCCGTTTGTGCCGTGAAACCGACGATAAGACCAGAAGAACCCAATCTGATGTTGGGAAGAAGCTTGGTGAAAGGATTGGTGATATATCTTTCTGGAAAACTGAACTCAATCACGAAACAGATAATATGATTGCTGAAACTAATGCCTTGAATGAAGCTAAGAGAGTTTTAGAGAAGGCCTTGGCTGAAACTGAAAATCCCCTACACACCGCTCAAGAGTGTCTTTACCATCGAGAGAAGAGGCAGGGAATCGATTTGGTTCATGATGCCCCAGAAAAAGAACTTATTAGGGTAAGTATAGGTGCTTTCTTTGTTGGTGATCTAAAGCAATCCATATCACTCTTCAGAATTTCACTTTGGGTTCTCACACCAATTTAAGATGGCGTCACTACCAGAGCAGTGTTAACCTTATCAAGTGCACTTAACAGAGCAACTATTTGGACGACCAGTCTGAAGCCATGCTTTTTTATAAAGAACCTGGCCTGCTTGCCTTTATTGCGTGGGCTGCCCCATTAATCGTCGTGGTGCATTGATTCTTCCTTAAAAAAGGCCTTAGGTCAAAAAATGATCTTCAATCACTTTTTTTCTAGTAACCCCAAGTCTCATTAATTTTCCATTACTTCATTTTCATTGTTGTAAATGTTACATAATCAATTGGAAACCCAACGTGATAAATCATGACCTACAGACAATACGGTTCTGTTTACATTAGCAACGTTGCATGTCAACAGAATCTGATAGATTGTCAATCTCTTATTACATTGTAAAACAAATTAAAGATCTATTATATCACTGTTTCCTACCGGATTATTATTGATTATCGACTGGAATTAGAAATTCAATGACTTTAAAGCTACAACGTGACTATTTAGATCAGAATTCAAACGGTTTTATGACAATGATTGAAAAGAGGTTTAGTACTAGTACTAGGTTTAAATGTGCACTGGGAACTCCACTTCTATTCCAACGAGAACGGTTCTTGTAATTGAAAACGAAGCCACTTGATTATAATGCACCTATCGCCATTCTTCATATCAAGCAATTTTTAGTGCTCGGTCAAATGCTATTATAATATTTGGCGAACATGTGGATAATATGATGAGAGTTTATGGCTTGAAAACTGATCATGACTCTGGTTTTAATTATTACAGGAAGTGGATGTTATAAAGAGATGTCAAGATAAAATGAGAGATATTGTTGATAAATCCAATGTACAGCTAGGGTAAGATATTTTTGTGTTAGTAACACTCTTACAGAAATTCAGCATTTCCACAATGTCAAGGTATTGCGAACTGTCTAACTTACCATTAGGTACTTTTCTTGAATCCCCAAAGTTTTTAAATGCAGCTATGTCATTGGATTGTACACTAGCGAATGCAGCATATTGTCTGAAAATCATCATGTTTCTTTTCTTACAGATTAAACCGAGCTGCTCAACATGAATTAGAGAAAGATTCTGGAGATAAATTCACAGCTCAGACCTTAGATGAAACCTGTCATGGTATGAGAAATGCATCAAGAGGTTTGAATTTCCATAATGGTGTTCATAGAATTGATAACACGTAAGTATGATTTCGATAATCGGTATGCGATCAGTAGTTTCAGGAGCACCATTCCTTTTTCCCGTACCACTTTGTGGACTGTGGTTCCTAAATGCAGAAACATTTAACTTCTTCATCTGGAAAACTTTTCTGGAATTTCTCGAACCAGCTCGTTTGAATCCCTTTAAGACAACTCGTTCGTGTACAGAGGAAGTAGAAGTCAATCATTCGTCGAAGAAACAATCGATAGCGTTAGTTGTTCCAGTTATATTGAATAGAAATCAGATACTCATTGAAAATTGTCCGCTATTTTTTTTACAGTGTTTCCGTGCCTGAATCCTGGGCTAAATTTACCAACGACAATATCCAGCGATCTCAGAGTGAACGAGCTGCCTCTAAACATATGAGGAATGAAATCGAAAGTGTCCTTAACGCTTGTGCCAACGAAATGTGGCAAGAATGGAACGCTGTCAACGTTGCCCTCACCGGCAGAATGCAAGACACCACAGATGCCAGAAACAAACTTCAAACCCATCTCTCCAAGGTATGATGATCCTGCCAATAATCATCTTTCCTATAATGAACTAGCATATGTACAATATTAATGGAAAACAGGTATGGTCTTGACGAAAAAAAAAGATCAAAGCATTCTGATCTGTGAAAACTTCCATTGAACTCCGTTATCATGATTACAAGATTGGATTAAACTCGTCACAACACATCATTGCTTCCTGGAAGTATATGGATAATGCTCCAATATAGTTCTAAATATCCTTTCATACGAAACAGCTATTCTTGTAATACAAATTCTCTTTACAGGTTCTTCAAGAAATCTTTGATATGGAGAAAAATATTGAATTACTTAAGAAAGCTATTCAAGATAAGGTACCGCCAATGCAAGTCGCTCAAACTCGCCTTGATACCAGAATTAGGAGACCAAATGTTGAATTATGCCGAGATCCAGTACAACACAGGTATGACGCATTTATACTTCTTACTGAGAAAGATACAATTTGGCATAATCCATTCTGAGCCTAGATAACTGCAATTGTGCCGAACAAAGTTCTCTGTGATTAAAAGCATCCATGTTGGATTTTTTTTGGGGCAGTGGCTTAAAACTGGGGCGGACTACTTTTCTGAAAAAGGCTTATGAAGTGAAATTATAGCCAAGCATTTTCTTGTCCGTTTGAAAAAAACTTTCACATTGAATTTTCTAGGTTGGTATCCGAGGTGTCTGAAATCAGTGAAACAGTTGATGCTCTTCAAGCCAAACTTCGTCATTCTGAGAACACATTACAAGAACTCCTCAGAACCAAATCAGCTTTGGAACATGATCTGTCCATCAAGAACAACAGCTTATTTATCGATCGTGAAAAATGTTTGGGTATGAGGAAGACCTTCCCAATGGTCCCAAGAGTTGCTGCATTATAAGTCTTTAGTTCGGAGTAGATCTGATTTTCGTTATATATAAAAGATGTTTATCTATTTATATCATAAACAAAGAGAAATTTTCGGAGATTCCAGACGCGGCTGATTAAATCCTGAAATTTTATGCCAGTATAGGCTCCCACAGCTCTGTGATATCAGCATTATTACGAGACAGTATTATTTAAATAATTTATATTGTATAAAGTATCCCGTTTGAAATGCAAAGTAACAGTAGTAGAATTATTTCAAAATCGATCAATTTAAAATACGAACTCATAGAATAAGCCAAACGATTAACAGTTCTAGTATTATACAATACTTAATATACAAAATGTAATTAACCTTCGGATTTATTATACATCAGCTTGTATGGGCATCTTGTTAAAATGATATTTAAGAAATTTAATATTCTCTTCTTAAAGTGTGATTTATTTTAAAGTCAATCCGTCCAAAAACCAAACGAATACAGATTTAATATTGCCACAAGCAGGGAAATTTCCGTTGCATTTTGTTATATACAAAAATGTCATAAGAATTGTTTTATCTTATATGATCAATATATTTATATACAAAAATTAGATTTTAGCAATTTAGTATTACAGTATATCGATATAATTATAAGTATTATCTTAAAATCTGTTTATGAATTTGTAAATAGTTTTTTTTAGCAAACCTGTAATGTATTTTGTGTGAATTTTGTTTCTGTCTTTGTATAACTATTCACTTTGTATTTTTGTATATTGCTTAGCATTGTATAATTAGATGTACAAAATAATCAAAATCATCAACGGCTGTGATAGAAATCTAGATCTGAAATGTGCTTGTATATATAATAAAAAACAACATATATAACAGGGATCCGCAAAGTTAAAAATAACACATAATTATTGGATAATATTTCGAGTCCCTGTGGTATATCAATGTTTGACGTGTTCGAGGTCTCAATATAATTTAAGATCACTGTGATAAAAATTTATATTATGTTTTTAAATATTCTTTTTGTATGTATATAAAGAATCTTGTTTTGAATTAAAAGATTGTCTTTTATACCACTGTGTTGTATTTAAGTACACGGCTTATCTCCCAGAAGTCAAGCTTTTGCAAACATCCCTAATACCTTGACAACTTTATAGATTTTTCTTGTATCACAAAAATTTGTAAAACAGCGAATTTATTGGATCGTACACCAGCAGATACAGCCAATCAGAGTACTTCACAGAAAAAAAAAACTGTACATATTATAGCTTGTTGTGTATACAGACTTTCTGTCGAGGTCTCTTGCTAAGATCGCAAGTTGATTTGGGTCTTGAATATCTGTAAATAGTCCTCAGAGGTACTAGAAATATATCAACACCGCACGATTTACTTATGCCTCAAACTAAACATTCTACTTTTCATTTCTATATGGCAGATTCTCAAGAGAAGACGAGTCGTCATTCTAACTTTAAAATGCGAATAATAAACACACATGGGTTTGAAGGCTTAAATTTCGATGGAACATCCCCTTTAATAAATATAACGACGTAGGCCTGATAACAAATGTCACGTACTTTTAATAGGCCTGTAAATATCTTTAAATGCACACAAAATAATTAGCCTTCGTTACAAAGAGGTTTGTCTTCGTGTGTCATCAAAAATCCCAATTATACCTATTCATGTTGGTAGATGACAAGATAACATCCGTTTACAGTTACTATATTAACCATAATCTCATATAGCCAATGCAAGAATGTCAAAACTGAAGTCTCATTGGTTAAGCATTACATAATCCAATCGGTGTTTCGTTTTCAGCTACTGAGTAAAAATACACACCTTTAAAGATTGACACTGGTGATAATTATTGGTCTAATCAGTAGGCACATTCTGAACCAGAGAGTCACGGTTTGTTCGGAATTACTTGCATCTAACTGGGTAAAAAACGAACAATTTTCGCCGAAAAAATTCCGATTTAAGGACCCAATTTGCTTCTGGCTACTTAACATGCAATTCATTGCTAGCTCCAAAATGACAGATTAAAAAAAAATAATGGTTATGAGATATGACGCAAAATGTCAGAATTGACTGCCGAATTGTATGAAAGTCCTTATTTGTAATGTGTTACCCAGTAATCACGAATGAACTACTCAACAAGTGTACAGCTTTCGTTCTGATTAGTCCTGTAGTCTTCAGTATCGAGATTTATATTAATCGACATTCGTTCACGATATCGCACAATTAATCATGCGTTAGTTTAAAAATATGTGTTTGAATTTTATAAGACGTAATAAAATTTTGCCGAACACTTTTCAAATTATGTTTCTTTTAATTTCTCTGATAAGACATCTTATCACCAATCTCTGAATTGACTACATATTATGCAAATAATTCCTATATAAATGGTCCTAGCAGTTAATGACTTCTGACGACTTTTATTTGCATTTTCTTTTTAAATAGTTCAATGATCAACTTAAGGTTGAATATAGGCTTCGTAGAGATATGCCACAAAAGTACCACTGTGAATCAAAAATATCCAAAGTTGAATAATAATATATATCATTCGGTCCATATATTATCTGCCAACCTGAATTGGTTTTAAAGGGGTGATTAATAATGGAGTTTACTGATAGTTGATGTTAAGTTAAAGGAACAGAATCGCCATCCGTTCGACTAACCTTACCTCACTCTCTGAAACAGATTTTCTTTCAGGTAAGCTCATCAGTATAGTGTTCATAGCTAACCGTCGAAATTTTAACCTTAAAATCCATATACAAAATTTTCTGCGTTTGAAGTTAAAATGACGACTCGTCTTTTCTTGATAATCCGAGACTCAATGGCCTGATCTGTATACGAAACTTTTCGGTAAACTTATATGCATAGATATAATAACAGTGCCTGAATCTCATTTAGAAATGATATTTATGGTTACCAAACAAATGTCAAACAAGGCCACTTGAAGAAGACTCGGAAAATCAAGTATGATTTAGCAAAACTAATATTTGGATTAATTTTTATTTCAACACATCTCGTATTTTATCAAAAACAAAATTTTCTAACAAAAATCTACAACATTACAATATAATATATATACAAAAAGTAATAAATAAGATCATAATTTAGATCAACCAAATATACAAGTAAAATATAAAAAGAACATTTAGAAATCGAGAATATCTTTCGAAACCCAACTGGCAGTCAAAAGACGTTTGGATACAAAACTCGAAAAAAATTCGAAAGTTATTTATATTGGATGAATTTTGCCTCAAAAATGTATGGGTGTCATGCAAGCGACATCCATCGAAAAAGTGCTTTTAATTAAACAGAATTAGAATAAAACATTTCGGGGAGCCATTGGGAAGGTTTTTCGCATTCCCAAACATTTTTCACGATCGATGAACACACTGTTGTTCTTGATGGACAGATCATGTTCCAAAGCTGATTTGGTTCTGAGGAGTTCTTGTAATGTGTTCTCAGAATGACGAAGTTTGGCTTGAAGAGCATCAACTGTATCACTGATTTCAGACACCTCGGATACCAACCTGGAATGATGATAGAAGCATAGTTATTATTCATTAAGCGAAAAACAAAATTAATACAACCTCATCAATATCTCACTCTATGTGGTAATATCTTATCGAGTCCCTTGTGCAAAACCTTGTTATGATTACATTTCAAATGCTAATTTTTGGTTATTCCTGTATTTTTCAGGAAGTATAGCATACCTGTGTTGTACTGGATCTCGGCATAATTCAACGTTTGGTCTTCTGATTCTAGTATCGAGACGACTTTGAGCGACTTGCATCGGTTGGGTCTTATCTTGAATAGCTTTCTTAAGTAATTCAATATTTCTATCCATATCAAAGATTTCTTGAAGAACCTTAAAGCAAAGCAGATATTCATAAATACACAAAGATTGTCAGCTATAATAATGGGCATTCTCCAAAAGGGATGTTGAGTTGACAAAACTACAGTGTCATCATGTGTTCTGTGCATGGGACCAATAGTAATGTGCACCAAGATCATTAATATTACCTTTGAGAGATGAGTTTGGAGTTTATTACGGACATCTACAGATTCATTCATTCTTCCATTCAGCGCAACATTGACTGCGTTCCATTCAGTCCACATATCATTGGCACTTGAGTTAATGGTACTTTCGATTTCATTCCGCATGTGTTTAGAGGCAGCTCGTTCACTCTGAGATCGTTGGATGTTGTCGTTGGTAAATTTAGCCCAGGATTCAGGGACGGACAAGCTGTGAAAAAAATCGATAATGTGTTACATGGCTATTTTATGGAATATGGTATAGAACTTGATCGTCCACTGAATTCGTTTATTTTGAGAAGAATATGAAGGTATTAACTTGTTACAACCCCTAAACTTTGAGGTAGAATGGTAACAACATATTGAAATTATAAACTCATTATAATTGTTATAAACTTACGTGTTGTCAATTCTGTGGACTCCATTATGGAAGGCCAAACCTCTTGATGCATTTCTCATACCATGACAGGTTTCATCTAAGGTCTGAGCTCTAAATTTGTCACTCGAGTCTTTCTCTAATTCATGTTGAGCAGCTCGGTTTAATCTGAAATGATGAAAATATGTCATTATAAATCAGAGACCCACTTTAGTTATTACTTGAAAAGCAAAACGATGAAATCAAAAGTTAAGGATATCCGTAGTTGCTAAAGCAACAGTTTCAGAAATATTTACAATAAATGAAAAGAGGCACAACTTACCCTATTTGTACCTCGGCTTTATTTATAACATCTCTCATTTTATGTTGACATCTTTTGATGATTTCAACTTCCTGAAAAATGTTAAAAGAATAGTTAATTATCATATACGTCAAATATTTTCACGAAAAAAACTGTAAAAATCGTCAGCAGAATATATCAATAGATGCCATGTAACTCGATTGGCCAATTTCTCTCTTAATGGCGGATCGGTCGTTTGACCACTTGTTCCACAAGAATAAATGAGACTTCATTTTGTAGAACTTCTCCCAACAGAGACATTCAAAACAATCTTACCTTGATCAGTTCCTTTTCTGGGTTGTCATGAACCAAATCGATCTCTTGTCTCTTTTCTCGGTGGTAAAGACATTCCTGAGCAACGTGCAGAGGATTTTCAGTTTCAGCCAAGGCCTTCTCTAAAACTCTCTTAGCTTCATTCAAGGCATTAGTTTCAGCAATGACGTTATCAATTTCATGGTTGAGTTCAGTTTTCCAGAAAGTGATATCACCGATCCTTTCTCCGAGTCTTTTGCCAACATCGGTTTGTGTTCTCTTCGTTTTGTCATCAGTTTCTCGGCATAAACGGACTGTGTCAAATCGCACTCTTTCAGCACCACTACGAACTTTATCAGATGACATATAATTGGTTTGGTTGGAGCTGGACCAATCATTGGGTGTGTATCTGGTGTACAGAGCGTTTCGTGAAGCAGCAAACACTGGTGGAACATTCACACCTTGTAACTGGGTCAGTTGATTTCTTGTGGACATAGGACCGTCAACGCTTCGAGACAAGGCATGAGCAGGACTAGTTTGTCCAGATTGGTAATAAGTGCTTGGTCTCCATGGGGCGGTGGTTAACGATCTTCTGAGAGGAGATGGTGCAGGGTAGGTATCAAAAGGTTTGTAAGATGACTGCATGATGGATGGTAGAATGTTGCTACTTTGGCGAGGACCTCCCATATAGGTGGCGGTCTTGGTATATCCCATGTAATCCATGATAGAGAATAGGTTGGAGATTGATACTATCTGCCTAGAAAAATAAAAGTATGATTTAATGTCTAAATTATTAATATCAAAAACAATGATATCTAAGCAGGAATGCAATGAGCACTCTAACAAATTAATTATACAGTTATAATTTAAAACAATTAACGTTTAATTGTACAGGAACTGGACACCGAAATTTCAACCCGAAAAGTACTATTGCTAACTAAATTTTAACAACCTCAGCTAAATATCAATATTAGGACGATTTCTCTTACTATTGATTACAATTTTCTTCTTTTTCTTACCTGAAGTGAAAGTCAAACTACTGTTGAATGCAAGTGAAGCTATGAAGAGTTCAACACTATTTATATGAGGCAGGAATTACGTATAATGGATTATTACATAAAAATAATTCTCACTAATCTTAATCATATAGAATCAAAACATTGGGCTCTTGGTAACGGATAATCGTGGATTATTATTTTTTCAGAAATGACCACAGCAAACATGTTTTTCCAATTTGCTTTCAACATATGAGTTGTTTGTGGCAAACTATAAATTGTCATATAATATGTCTGTTCCTTAAAAATTCGTCGTCTGCTTAATACAGTTGTCTCACTATTTGTAAGTTGTTGTTGAAAATCGAGCAACTCAACGAAATAAAAAAAGATGGTTCAAAGAATCTTTTTACAGCTATAATGTCGCAAGATATGAACAAAGTGCATACTAGGACAAGGACAGATTTTTGTTAGATGCATTAAAAAGGGATAAAGTAGTCTGATTATTTTGTTTCAGCATCTGATAAAATTCTTTCTGACCTTTTAGAATGAAAATTATACGATGTTCGCGTAAGCCTACGGATAGAGCATCATCCTTCATCTTTTTACTCGTGTTATGATTGTTCAGGAAATTCATTCTCAACATTTTCTAACCATCAAAACACGACGTGGAGCGAACAATTTGAAATATATAATTTATTTTTGGGGCATACACTAGGTAGTCTATCCCTTTTATGTCGTTTTTGTGAAATGAGGCAGGACAAGCCGAAGTTAATTTTGATAGCGTAGTTGAAAAAACTAAATTAGATTTGCTGTAAGTGCATTGGATATTCTGAATATGGGTCTTATATATTTCAAGGGCTATAATTTTCGAACCATCTCGATACGCATAGACGGCTTCAGAGTAGTAGTGCAGTTGTGGTCTGAATCCAAACAAAGGGAGAAAACTCTCATGAATAAGTCAAGGTCAAAGCCGACAAAATGGCTTCACAACAAGTCGTACGAAAGGGTTTAAAAGAAGTAAAACCCATTTTGTCTATTGATTTACATGATAGTAGACGGCGGGTCATTCAGCTGTACAAAGCCTGGTACAGACAGCTTCCTTTCACAGGTTTGTAGCCTCTCCTCTCCATGTCCTGACAAAATTAACTCAAATCAGTTGAGTTGAGTCAGACTCAAAGTCAGCTGTGTATATTCGCTCTTGGGTGCACTTTGGCCAAACTAGTATCCCATCCGTGGATCCTTAATCATCATATGTTTAAGTCCTACTTAATTGATAGGGTAATAGACATACTGATAAAAAATCCTAAGATGGGCCTAAAACTACTGAAAGTAATCATTTGGATTGATTGAGGACATTAAGATTAATTTTCTATGCTTTACAAATACTATTAGTCTATAAAATGAGCATTTGTTTAAATATTGTAAGTGAAAATATAGCAAAACTCGAAAAAACATGTGAATTATTATAGAGCTAAAAGATTATGTAAAGCCTATTTGATTCCAGTAATCAGATATAATAATATAACATTATATGGTCAACACACACTTTATGGACTTAGTGTTATTATTTCTTTTCAGCAAGAGAATACTATGTTCCTGTATCCTTAGAACAATATAGAGCCAAATTAAGAGAAGAGTTTGATAAGAATAAACATTTGACAGATATAAGAGCTATTGATATTGCTATTATCAAGGTAATGTAGGCCTATTTTGTAATTTGTTTTCCTAGTATTTACAGAACCAGTGATAATTATTCAAAATATCCATCCATCTGTGATATTATGATCTATACATGCAGAAAAGTTTGTTTTGACATAATACATGGCTTAGTTGAGAATATCAGTGCTTGAAACAATTTTTGAGTCATTGTTTTAGTCAATGTTTCAAGATAAATGTAAATATAAGGAATGAATACAGACATTATTATCGTTATGGAGAAAATAATTGTTGCTTTATCAATGTGACAAACCAATTGTGGAGGTCTAGTAGTAGGTCATTTGTTCTAACATGATAGAGCAGTGTTCATTTCTCCACTAAGATCCCTGTCAGTAAGCTTATAGTTTGCACATTTATATGTCTATCACTTTAATATTTCAGGGTCAAATGGAATTAGTTGAAACTATGAAAATCTGGAAACAGAGGAACCATATTATGACTTATTTTAAAGATACAGAACCTGTCAAACCTAAAGACTTTCTTTCGAAATTTTATGATGGACATGATTAAACTAAATATTTGATAGTATGGATGTATTTCAAGTTTCTTATTGGTTTTCAGTGCATACAAAACGTGTAAAAATAGAATAATTGTTATGTGATATAAAGCTTTTGCTATCGTATAATACTTAATGTTTTCATTGGCAACTTCTGTTTCCCTGGTTTAATGAGATCAAAGCTAATTATGTAAGATCCATTTTATGGTAAGGATGATTCGTGAAATTGTGATACACTACTAGCCTGTCTGTTTCACTATCCCCATATTTTGTTCTTGTTATCAAGCAGAGGGTCCTTTTTGTGGAAGAAATCTTGTTGGATTACTATCAGAAAAAGAATAAACTAACAGAGACTCTCATCCAGTTGGTGTTCTAATTTATTTCCTTTGGGTTTTTCTACTGTACTAACAACTGGAAGAATTCAGGGAAAATCAACTCAAGCTAGCTTAAACCAATACATTCAGTGTACATGCCATGCTAGTCTCTTATCATTTTCAACTTCTGGCTGGATCTTCCCAGAGCCCACAGTTCTTATAGGAACATAGCTGAATTGTATAGTGATAATACTTTCATTAAAATTATCTGCAAGACAGACTAGACTGTAGCACAAAACAAGACTTCATTCCTGTTTTGATGTCCAGATTACTGAGTGGATTTGTATTGAGGACATTATCAAACCAATTTTTGTTTAACTTTTTATTTATTACTAAATTACAAGCATTTGACAAAATTGCAATTTACAAGTTTATCTTTCACATAATTAAAGCATTTGAAAATTAAAATCATAAGAAAATACATACAACACAATCATTATCGAAGTTGATTCCAACATTTAATAACGCTCCCAACAAAATATGATAAAATTATGAAAATAATCCTTAAATGAATTCTATGAACAATTTTGAAGGAACAATAATTTTCCTTTTTTAATAAATTTTCATAGTTGACAAAAACCATTGTTTGAAGGTTCAGTAATGTTATTCTTGTGGTTCAGAATTACCATTATCTACAGGTGGAACCCTGAAAGTGAAAATAAATCTTTTGTATTCACTTTAAACGGTCACATCCAGTTGAGAAATCATACACAATTGTATCAAAATGTTCAGCTGCATGAAATAATACATTTTTGAATTATGAGTGCAGATTTCAACCCTACACAAGTGCTGAATCAGTTACTTAATAGGTTGATTTCAACAATTTTTAATATAACAATGGGCAATAGACTTAAAGGCACATGCTTGTTTAAATTCTTTAATTCATCAGCCCACTTTCTGCTTTCTTTATCACCTTTCAATATTAAAAGTAGGCATTCAGTTCTCAGACATTTTAGCTTCAAGCATCAATGGTCTTCAATTACAGTCACCAGAACTTACTCAGTAGCTGTCTGTTCAATGACAGGGGGTGGTGCTTCAGTCTTCTCTTTCTCTGGTGTGGGTGTTTTACTTTTTTTCTTAGATTGTTTATCTTTATCTCTACTCTTGTCACGACTTCTTGATCGATGTCTACTGCTCTTTTTATGTGATCTACTGCCAGACCGAGATCGGGATCTTCTACGCCTTTCTCGTGATCTTGAACGATGCCTAAAAAAAATGAGATCAACATCATAAATATGTCTTATGGTGTTAAAATATTTCCACATGAAAACACAACGTAGATGAATTTTCATTTTCAATCCCAACCAATTCTTTCGTCCACCTTAAATAGGTTAGTGTCAAGGCCTGTAACTCAACTTTTGAATTGTTGGCACAGATTATTAGTATCACTTTTTCTAATAAATAGTTCAGGGCTCGGTTACACAAAATTTTAATCAAGATAAAAATCCCGAGGTTGAACAACAGTAATTTTCAGTCTGATATAGGTTTTCCAATTTTAAGGTTACTCATTTTAATTTTTCTTTTAAGGCCACAGAAAAGTAACAACATGATATTACCTTCTTGAGCGAGAACGAGATCGGGACCTTCGAGACCTAGAGTGTTTCTTTCTATCCCTGGATCTAGATCGTGACCTATAATATATAATAATAAATATTGTGTCATCTTATATAAACTAAATGAGATAAGAGCTTTATAACATGCCAGAAATGTGAGATCAAGTGATTGAAATATTTTAATAAATTATCATAATAAATGTGAAATCAAAATGGTGACCCATAAATTATACTATAAATAAATAAAAATAAAATTTAACAATAACTGTGGGATGGAACCCTATTAAGTTTAACATTTGTGTGGGACAATGGCAGTTCTTCAGAACGTTACATATTTATAAGTTATCAACCAACCTTTTCCTACTTCTGGATCGTCTTTTCCTGTCTCTATCACTTCTTTCTCGATCTCTATCACCTCCTCTTTCTCGGTCTCTATCACTACCCCTATCTCTACTTTTCTCTTTACTAATACTTCTTTGTTTTCTACTCTCTTCTCTCTCTTTATCTCGATCTTCCCTAGCTTTTCTCATCTCTTCTCGTTCCTTTTCTCTCTGAACACGACGATCAGCTACTGATTTCTGAAAACAGATAGAGCATGATTAAAAACAAAGAATCAGAATTAAATGTCCACGGAAGCCAACAGTTTCCCATTTATTTCAAAACGGGTTCAAATGAGAATTTGATATTACGCATGTATTGACAAAACAAGATGAGCTCATACTTCCAACAGTATTTTGATTTTAATTGCAAGCAAACTATTTTCCAATTTGAAACATGAAAAATGTGCTGTATGATAGATAATTTTACAATTTTAATACACTAACCTGTAGTTCATCAAGCTTCTCTCTAATGGAAATGAAACCAAGATGTAATTTGCCACCAAAATGATCAGCCAATCTCCTGTCATTATCATGTATACCTAAATATGCTCCACAGACTTCACAAACACGTAGTTTCTGTTGTTGGTAACTTGAAGCTGGCATTTGATTTCTGTACTCTTGCTGAAATAGATATTTTTTTACATAGTTTTGAAAATGTCACTCTTTGAATAATATGTTTGATAAAACCAATTGCTAATCATATGATATCTAATCATATGATATCTCAACCAATTCTCCAAAATATTGCCACTTTTTTCATTCAAAATACTGATAAACATAGTGCTATTGAGACCAGTGCTTCTAGTCAGGCAAAACTTGCTTCCAAATCACTTGATGCCACTCTCATCTGAGGTATGTAAACTGAATGTTGTCATAGCCAATTTTAAATATGTACCTCTTCAGCGCTTTTCTTTGCTTTTAATTCCTCCACCTTTTGCATGTAAATTAGTGACTCTTCTACATTGCCTTCTGCACCTAATTCTTCAGCTTTAGCTAGAGTGACTCCTATCTGTTCACCAAGTTGTAGAATCTTCTCAGCCTGAAATGAAGTTCCAATATTAAGATTTTCATTTATAAATAAACATGCATGCAAGGACATGATATATTCAACAGAAGCAACATAAGTGTCAAAGGCTGAATATCATTTAAGACTAAATGATAAAAGCTCATTTTGTGTTTCTTTAAGGTGATTCAGTATGAAATCTGTCATCCCCCTTTATCAAGAGTTCCTATATAAATAAATAACCAAACAAACTTAGGACAAAAAAAAACAGACAAGACAGATCACCTTAGAATTAGCATCTTCACTCAGTTCTTCTTGAGTTTCCTTCAATCTCTTCTTAGCCAGTTCCATCTTCCTGTCACAATCAGCTATAAAATTCTGTAGATGTTCCATAGCCTTAAATAAAATCGATTAAGATCATGAGCTACATGTGTGCAATTTTACAAGCTGACACTAGATAGACCTGCCCAAGTACTTACCATGGCACATCGTTTAGCCCAATCATTTTGAGCTCTTCATACAAAATTTAAACCTTGACAGCAAAAATCACCTTCATGTATCACAGAATGCAATGATTTTAATGGATTGTATGCCAGCAGATACAGCCAATCAGAGCCTTGACAGTGGCTTGATAATGGCTTATTGTTTACAGACTTTCTGTGATAGGCCTACAATCTAATCAAATCCCTGCATTTACAAACTTCTGTGGCACAAGAAAGATGGCTATTGTAATAAAGTTATAAGACGAATTTTGTAATAGCTATACATTGTGAAAATGCATCTTAATTAAAAGATTTAGACAAGTTTCAATCTATCAAGGGTAATAACTCTGATGGCCATGGAATGCTTTGGAAATATTAGAAAAAAGAAATAGCAGCACTTACATCAATGTCATAGTAGTAATCCTTTGTCTTGGCTGCAGCTTCATAATCAGCTCTTAAGGCTAGATCATGTATCTTGGCACATTCACCTAAATCCATTCTCTATCAAAGATCAAAATAAACACAAAATATTCAAACATTATGTTAACAAAATCTTCAACTGTATATGTACAAAATATCCAATTACGTACCCAATTCAGGTAGTTTGCAACCAGTTTCTATGCACCATTAATTTACTCATGTAAATGTAAAAATACGTACCAATTATTTTTTTTGAACATATTCATATATGAATAATGTATTATCCATTACCATGATTTTATATACATACACACTTCCCACAATTAGTTTAAACCAATGATATTTTAACGAGAGATGTATTTTATGTGCTTAGTTCCAAAGAGAACAAGTGAGTTTTGCAACAGTTATCAGTAAAATTTCAAGAGTAACTGTCATCATTGAATTACGTACCCATTTTTGTGACATCACCTTGACCCTGATCTTAAATATAGCTACTTACCGTACTAGCAAGGATATCATTAGGACAGCAAGCCAACAGGAAACTCTTACATACCCTAGGTCCATCAAACTTCTCTTTATGTTGTCCTTCCCCTACAATTATTCAGCATATCCAAACAATTTAATCATTTATTATTAACATCATTTTCGTAACACCTTAAACAATATTTCTATAATGAATCAATTTTCATGATAAAATCATCAATTTCTTGGCGATTTGGAATTTATAATTATTCTATAGAATTTAACATTTAACTTATTTCCCAAATAGGAATCACTAATTTGCCAAACGTTGATATCCAACTGATTTACCATAATTATGGTGAAATTCAACTGATTAACCATAATTATGGTGAAATTCCACTGATTAACCATAATTATGGTCATGAAATTCAACTGATGTACCATAATTATGGTGAAATTCAATTTATTTACCATAATTATGATGAATTTCAACTGATTAACCATATTTATGGTCATGAAATTCAACTGATTTACCATAATTATGGTGAAATTCAATTGATTTACCATAATTATGATGAATTTCAACTGATTTACCATAATTTGTGGTCATGAAATTCAACTGATTTACCATAATTATTGTGAAATTCAACTAAGTACTATCTAAATATTTGCCAAATGGTATCATTCAACTTATTTGTCAGGTGATAATATTCAACTGATATGTGAAATAATAATTTATTAAACCACATAACTGGAACTGATTTTCCAAATGTTAATTTATTCATGATTAGCCAAATTGTAATAATTAACTGATTTACCAAATGGTAATAGAGGACTGACTTTCCAAATGGTAATGATTTTCCAAATGGTAATAGACGACTGATTTTCCAAATGGTAATGATTTACGGTACCAAATGGTAATATACCACTGATTTTCCAAATGGAAATTTTCATTGATTTGTCTGGTGGTAATATTCAACTGTTATTTTATTCCAATGATCAGCCAAATTGTAATATTTAACTGATTTTTCAAATGAAAACAAGTAGGACTAATAATCATTTAATTATGAAAACTGAGTAGGGTTTAAATCAATGTTGTTTGAGTAAGGAAAAAAGTTTTTCAAATATTTTCCATTATTTTTATAAGAAATAAAATAGCCGCCTCAAAATAGCACTATTCTTCTTAAAATCTTCTGTGGTGATAAAAATGTAAATTCAAGCACTTCAAAATTTGTTTTTACAGAGGACAATTTTCTGTAAAAATTTGCGACAAATTGGGTTGAAATTTCAAGGCGGGAATGTGTTTTTTTTTTTCAATGTCAAAAAAATTGCAACAAAATTTATATCAATGCAAAGACATTCTAATACAGCACTATTTGAATCATATTAAAAAATATTGAAATAGTTTCAAAAACTTTTGGCTTTGCTCAGACAATAATATACAAAAAATTCTTTTAGTTTCTTAATTTCAAAAATGGTCTACACAATGCCATGAAAATGGCCCACAGAATACATACATACAGCTTGGCTGGAAATGATAATGCTTAAAACAACAGTGCATACAAACAGGTTCCATTAAAATAATTCCTGCAAATAAAATGGTACCAAACTGTTCCCTTGATTTAAGGGTTTATAAGATTACTTCAAATAATGAGATCATAGCTTCCTCTAAGCTACAAAACTTACCAAGTTACAAATTCTAATTTCAATATAGTAAAATCTTATTATAAAAGACAAAAACCTGAGCTTTACATAATAGAATAATTGAAATTCAGGTCAATTCTGTGTACACTGAAATGTAATTAAAATATGTAACTCACGCCTTGGTCATTTTTCACCTGTTCCTGGCTAATAATTCTGGCCAAACCAACATGACATTGCTCCCTTCAAAATAGGGATTAAAAAAATTGATAAGTTTTTGGAAATGAATATTAACATGAAAGCAAAAGCTTTCAGTCTAATCGCAATTCAATGGTCAAATAGGTTTTTTGTATGTTTTACATCTCTACTTCATGATGCATAAGCCAGATCGGGACTATACCTGCACATGCACAACACTCATTCTCGACACTTCCCTGTAGAGATAAACAAGTCAATTTACTATGGCCATCAATTGAAAAGACTGCATTAAAAATTGACATTTAGAATAATAAGTGAATAACTGTCAATGATTCACAAATGTAGTAAACCCTTCAAATCATATCCTTTTCCATTGCTAGTCATAGTAAATTGATGTTGTTTATCCCAAGGTGGAAATAGGATAGGAGCGTATTGCACATGTGGATGTACAGTTCCCAAATGACTTAATCTGAACCCATTAAACATCTACAGAAGACCAAAATAATCTGAATATCATATTATACCACTTTGGAGCTTGACTGCCACCAAATGGTACAATAATCATAAAAGGTCAGCCTCCATGCATACCAGTTTCGATTGAATTCATAAACAAAAAATTCCCACAAACGTTCAAAACATTTTTTACAACACAACTTTGTTTTATTACAAACCTGTTTCGATAAATCGAACTAGGCGAATTGGCAAAATGTGATTCCTTCATCAAAATCTGATGCTAAGCCCAAAAGAAATTTTTTTTTACATACAATTACAATAGACTAATCTATATCCGCATTCTACATATAATTTTATAGACATAATCATCATAATGATAATTCAATGATCATAGTAGATTAAAAATAATTTAGGAAAAAATCTGAAGCTCATCTGGTACCAAATAGGTCAGATCAACATCTACATTTACGACCAATTCATAGTTGAGATAAGGACAGTATAAAATCAGATCCATATCAACATTATTGTGGCCTTCTGTTTCTGTTCTTTGGGAATTCAAAATCTGTTAAAAATACAAGAAATGGTTTACTCAAAATTTATCAACGTATTTTCCTTAAAAATACGGACAACTCCATTTCAAACTTACCATCCCTTGCAGTTCCCATTAACTGGTCGAGCATAGCTCGCATTTGGTCATGTGCTGACATATTTAGTCAATTAATTTTGTAGTACCATGCAGAAAATACAGAACAACCTTGTCTTCTTTGTGAAATTTTGGTTCAAGATGGCGAATGATCGTAGCCTTGAATGACCAGTCACAATCTATAAAAAGAGTTTCTTCCCTTTAAGCACTTGTTAAAGATTCCAAGACCACAGTAAAATGTACAAATATTTTTTTATCTCGATTATATACAGGCGGACATACGATAATTCGTGAAGTTATTGATTATTTATCGACCATTAACCTATAGCCTACAGAACCCGTAGACTTGTGATAAATGGGAGGAATTGATTATTTTGGAAAAGAAGTTTTGTCTAGAGCATCGGTTCTTCACTAGGCTAAACCGAAACATTTACTTGGTTTCGTCGAGCAAAATAAAAGTGCCAAAAGACGGTTGTGGATTCTGATCTTGATCGGCGTGTAAAAGTGCGATGACCTTGAATAAGTCACGGATAGTCCGGTTAAGATCAATGCCAAGCGGTTTGGTCAAGACCAGCTTGTTTAGGCCTAGAAAGGATCCATGGTGAACCTAAGTTGTTAACTTGTTAGGCTTTGTAAAGAGCCAATACAGCCAACCAGAGCCTCGACAAAGAGGCTGTAAAACATTAGGCCTACAATACGGTGAACACAATTAAGCGGAGGGAGCCTAGATAAATTTGCTAGATGATTAAATAGGAAAGATTGCTGACTAAAACATTAGGCCTAAGGTGAACAAAGCAATAATGTTAACACTCTTTCTCTGATTGAGAGTACAAACCAATCATATCACTGCACTCTGTGATACAAGAACAGTGGCTATTGCAGCAAAGGTAGTACGAAGTTCGAAATAGCTTGACATTGTGAATAATGACAATGCCTCTTTGAAGAATTCATATGTCGTAGAATAGAGGGAACTTTGTACAGTGATTTTATAAGACAAATTTATGACCGCCGGGGCGTAATTATGCATAATTTTGCACTTAAAGAAAAATTCTACAATAGAAAACTGGGCTATATATAATACAGTCTCAATTTAATTTTCCAAGTTGATATCAATATTCTTCCGTACAAATATTATATAATATAAATATTCGGCTATATCATATTAACCCATCAGTATTGATTGATAAAGGAATATATTCCTCTATTATATAATAGACATAAAATTGAAACTCTCAGACTTGGCAAATAAAATATATTCATCATTATTTTTACCTGGTGTCATAACGAAATACATGTCAATGAATTCCGGTAAATAGCCACCAAGTAATTATTATATCAAATGCAAAGCGTTTTCAATAATTACTTTTTTGAATTTATCTGATTATATAGGCCAAAGACAGAAGTTAAGTTCATTGATGAATAATTCCTACTCTAAATTTGAGAATTGAAATTTTATATTCTTATTATTTCTTTGTAAAATGAAGCATTTCTCTGATGAGACACGTTGGACCTTAATCACAAGCAGCTCTATTTCTATTGTGGACACGGGCATAGCCAGGATTTCATTGGCGCCCCAATTGAATTAAAAAAAAATCTAGGAAAATAAAGTAGAATAAATTTTTCATTTTTTTTGTCCCGAGGGGTTGGGAGACATATGGTGCCACTCCACTGATTGTCAATGTGCCGAGAAATCACATTTTCATTATGGAAAAGAATACAGAGGTGGTAGCTGAAAGTGAGTTCAACTGCATCCTTATAATGCATTACAATAAAATGATTTGATAACAATATATTTGCTAAATTTTTTCAATAAATTAAAATTTTGTCGAGACAAGCTGACACCCCCCGCGAGTGTGAGAAATTAACTTTTTACTGAACTAAAACTTAAAACGGCCGCAGAAAGTCTTGATAAAATATTATCATGAAAATGATCAACACACTTGAAATCTAATTGTTGAGATATCACAATCAATCATTCAATCGATAAGCTTGAACATGACTGAATGAAATTAAAATAGCCCCTAAACTGATACCCCCAGTAAGGAATTTGTAAATAATTTGCCGATCCTTTCCATTCATTATATTGACTATATGACTATGACGTTATGTCGACCACAATATTACGACACGTTTGATTGGCTGAGTTTCGTGGTCCCACATCTCATGATAATTTTGTCGGCCAACGATTTACACGTTTAATGAATATGATGCAAAGAAAATAAGACTTTTTGAAGTGAAATACACAACGAAAATCAAATTTAAATCAATTTTTCTCAGAGGTGAGTGTAAATTTGACTGTTTCTGGTAAATTAATGCTATAGCGATGTGGGCTTTGTTCATTGGATCTAATCGAGTGGACTTTGGACTCGTTGTTACTATTTTTGTTATACGTTATGGACATACATAAAACGTCTGGATAATCGGATTTAAATTTACAGCTTGATTATCACAACTAGTATTTACTTGCACGTCGTTGCACTCTATTGTAAATTTATTTTTCCTATAATAGGCCGATTGATCTTTTTGAAATCGAATTGAACAAACATCTTTATAGTTATTATTTGATGGAAATCTTCATACAAACATGAATTAAACTCTTGTGTGAGATACTGTTTTCTCTCAATTCAGCCTACATACCGTCTCAATCTAATTTATTTATGGCATCCTTCAATAATTGGGGCTATGTCGTGAAATTAGCACACTATTTCAACATTGTTTATCATAATAAAGAAAAATGTTTTGCGAAATATTCATGCAGGGTACCATAAGGGAAATTTTGCCAGGACAGCGGCATTAGCCTGCTCTTTTTCGATTTCCAACTGTGGAGGGATCTTTACAGCCTGTAGCACACGGGGCCTCGGTTTATTGTCCCATCCGAACGACTAGACGCTTTTTCCATCCCCTCTTACCTGCATCACTGACAAGGGAAACCGGGTTGAAAAATCGTTTAAAATAGGCGAGGCACGGTGTCGACTGGTTCAGGATTATAGATACAGTATAAAAAAAAGAAAGATATCGTGTCTGCACCGTGTCTGGACCATTCCTCGTGTGTAATTCACTTCTTCTATTTTCGTTTGCATCGATCATTCCGCACCGTACACTATACCTCGTCTATTTGCGGCTTAAATCTGAAATTAATGCAAATCAAACATGGATTTTATCAACTGATAGACTCAATGAACCAACATTTAGAGGGTTATATCCCTTTAAGATGGTTATATCCCTTTAAATGACCTGCCGAACAAAAAAATCACCTGACAAAACATCAAAAGGAGCCGACAAATCATAGCATGCTTTTTACCAGCACCTAAGTTGATGTTTTCAGTCACTGATGACATACGTGACAGCCACGTGAACAGGGAAATAAATACTCGATTAAAATTCTGTTGATCACTAATTGAATAACGAGTATTGGTGGGGTATGGTTGCACATCTCACCACTTCTGAATTTACAAAGGATTTATAGAATAAAAGTATCCACGTTGTAGTTTTGAAAAGCTGTGACGCAATTTGAACTGCAGTAAATAGGTAGGCTATTATGATGTTTCAAATGTTAAATACATATTTAAAATGTTTTAAGATGAATCTGTAAATTTGTTCATAATAACATGTACTTGTTTTATTACTCTATCCGATGCTTGTAGTTTGTCTTAGGTTGTATTCTGGTTCATTAACAAACCAAGTACTAACGATCCAAACCGTAAAACGAAACCCAAAATCCAAACAACATTTTGGCGAAATTTTCACATGAAGTATATACGTAATAAATAGTGATTAAAAAATATAATGAAAAATATCAGGTGTCTAGAAGAGTAAGCATATAAGCTTCGAATTTCACAGTTGTATAAAACTTCAATCCGCCTTTATAATATAGCCTATATTCATAAATCGTTTGAAAATGTTGGCGACAAAGTGAGCACATGTCAAGACCTTACTACCTTTACAAGTCTTAAACACCTTAAAGGGCCATTGTCTAGAAATTTCAAAGTAAAAAAAAAACTGTGGAAATACACCGTATCCCATCGGAAACACAACTTAAAGCAATACTGCCCTATACATATGCCAATCATTTTTTATGAATTGAAATATTAGTTCCAAAATATTACTTGGGGTTGAAATGGGTTGTTTTCATTGAATTAATCCGAGAAATCCTGATTCTATCTACAAGCCCCGATGGATAATTTTGATGGCTGGTCGCCTGGGAGAGTCTTTAAAAAAGTTTTTTGAAATGCAGAAAGATTAAAGATTTCAATTGGCTGAGCATAATGGGTCAAAATTCTGCAGAATTTAAAGGAGAATCTCACCAGATCATGGATGGCGAGTGTAGTAAATATATTGACTAGATTTGTAAGTGTATCAGGACGTTTATAGATTTATGGACATTTCTTCAGAATGGTCTGTTTTTCTTACTGTACTAACAATTTACTAAAAAAAAGAATTACAGATTCGGTAGTGTCAGAATGAAGGCGACGTAAAGACGCCTTCTGATCTCACAGAAAATGGCCGAGGTAGATCAACTTTCAAAACTGAAACTGTACTGAGAATCAATTTATTTCGTTGCCCTTTCAAACTTGACATTCATAATTATTCAAAATTGTATATAGATAATGAGAAACTCGACACCATTATAAACCATTGGCTACATTGTCTATTATCGAAAAACAATATACCCAGTTATTTACATTGACTAATAAGTGTGTGGTGTGATTTTGGAAACGCCTACCAACATATTATATTGTAGGCATACTCAAAAGCAATATATAGAGCAAACTGATCATTTCGACATTGGTCGACCTGGGCGCACTGAAGTCCGTAAAATTGAATCTTTTCGGTCGAAATCTGGAGCCAGACCATTAGCGAATTCGACAGTGGCCGATCTAAGCTGTAAGCTTAAAGATACAGTCTTCCAAACATTTGCTTTACCAGTAATACATGTACTCAATTTGCAAGCAACATATTATTCTCGACTCTGGAAAGTAGAGAGGTTCAAAGAGATCCCGATAGTCGCTACATATATCATAATAATATAATATAGTATAGAAAACCTCACTATCTCTTAAATTTCACTAAATTGATGAGCAAAAAAAAAAAAAAAAAATTTGCTGAACCTGGTACTTAAGATAAATGTCGCATATTGGAAACGTAGATGCTAAAAATATCAATTTGTTTCACTTTCAGTATAAAACCAAAATGCCGTCCCGAATAATTGACTTAGGCTCAGGAGATCACCAATATTGCAAAAACAACACAGAGTCTGACATGGAGGAAATAGTCATAAGTGGAATATCAGGAAGATTACCAGAATCTGATAATATTGAAGAATTCCGCCAGCATTTAATTCTAGGAGAAGATATGGTGACAGACGACGACAGAAGATGGGAACCAGGTAAGATAATGTAATGTAGTCTGATTAGTTAGCTTATGGGTTGTTTCCCTTTACTTATGACACAATTCACACTTTGAGACTGGTTTTTGAAAAATAACTCGTTGCTTCCAATTTTTTTCGGATAATCTTGGTATTAATAACTCAAACAAGAATATAGCGTTGAAACAGCATCCCACCCTTCTTGTTATATAAGTAAACTTATTTTTGAAAATGTGGTTATATAAATTATGAAACCATTCAGCTTTTTGTTTCTTAAGTGTTATTACAGTAAAATCGTACTGTAATGGCAATGTTGATGAAGTTGCCCGGTTCATGTGACGAAGGACATGACTTACCTGAAGAGAACACTCATTAATAGTGATCCTGAATTCAGACCAAATAAGATAAATAATCTAGATAAAATGAAAATGCGGGATGCACCAGTTCAATCATACAAGAAGCTAATGTGAAGATGTACAAATTCACCTCTCCTAAACAGGCAAAGTATTGAAAACCTCTGTACAAATGCTCTAACTCCTATCAATTAGTGGCAGTGAATATAGTAAAGCATCAGTTTTATTTCAGGATTACATGGGCTACCAACCAGGAGTGGTAAACTTAAAGATATCTCTAAATTTGATGCCACATTTTTTGGTGTCCATCCCAAGCAAGCAGATGCAATGGATCCACAACTTCGTATATTACTGGAAATCACACAAGAAGCACTTGTTGATGCAGGTAGGTAGTAATTCCCATGGTTTTTGGTAATTGGTAAATCCATGTATAAAGACATTTGATAAAAGCAATGTGATTTGTGTTCTTTGGAATTAAATTGGTTAGTACCAAAACTACTGGAATCATGAACAAAAGCATTTAGAACTATACATGTATATGAATAAGACCCCAAAGTGTTCTTTCTTGTCATGGTATTTGTATTACATTACATGACAAGTTTCATTAGCCTTTTCCATCTCCCATTAAAGGAAATGGTACCTGTTTCTTTAAAATTTTATCAGATAATAGAAGTTCTATAAATTAATTTTCTTGAGTTTTGTGAAGCAGATGCATGGCAGGAAATCTGATGTGGAAACTGTTCTTCCTTACAAAGGCTAGATAAAATAACTAACAATCTTTCAAAAGAACCAAGGTTCTTCAATACATTCTAGGTTTTATAACACTTGTCACAGAATGACTAATATACAGATGGTTTATCTGTGATTTTGCATCAAGAGCAACATGCATTTTCAAAATGAATGTGTTAAAATGGACAAGGTCATTTATTACATGATCAATGCTGACAAGAATTGTATTTGTCTGCAAGCTTTTCACTTGTAGATATGTTGAAATCAGAGAAAAATTGAGGTGAATTGTATGTGTACTATCTCTAATTTAGTATCTTTTAATTGCTGATACACATTATTTTTATCAATTATCATATAATAATCAAACCCTTCAAAAAGCCCACTTTCTATTAAACTGATAAGATCACGAAATGGTTAAAGGGACAATTGTCTTACTGGAAATTATTAGATTCTCATGTATGCATATTATAATGTTATGTCCATGACAACTCAGAATAAGCATGTTCTGTTGAATTGCAGGAGAACCAGATCTGGATTTTGATTCTGGAAAGTGTTACAGAAAGTTGAAATTGAGCTTTGTCAGCAGTTAAAGCAAATATTTAGATTAGATATCCCATCAAGAGTTGGCTTGATAACAATATGAAATGATCAGCTCTTCAGTGTATTTTGAGTACCTTATCAATAGCTATATCCAAAATGAACTACTTCTTTGAATTTATCTATATAAACTGATTCAAACATACACTTGAAAAATGCACTATATTTGTGATATTTTGTTGACCTTAGTCAACTTATATGACGGATAATGTTGGAGCTGTGAAGGTCAAAGATAATGATCTGATATTTGGATTAAGAGGTCAATTACTCTCCAACTTCGTAATAAAAATATCTGGATTTGGCTTACATTTTTGTGAACTTTTATCAGCTCACTTGACTCTTCTTTTTTTAACAATAGTCAGTGCAATGTTCTATAATGAATTGATTTGAAAAGCTTGGCTAAAAGTACATGGACAGCAAGATCTATTATATTTTGGGTGAAGAAAAAGTGGAAAACGATATTAAATAAGTCACCCTTTGTTGAACAATACCACTTAAGCTGCCTTTTACAAAAATCAAATGTTTGTTTTTTATTACCAATGCTTCTTCAAATATATTCACATGATAATGACGATGTTTGCAAAATAAGATAAAAAAAAAATATCTCTGTTGTAAATTTACACTTTCGACCCAATTTTTGGACCCATATCTCATGCTTGGGTATAATTCGCAATGACTGCCTATTTATTCAAATAATACTTCTTACTTTTCTTAATGGAACAAGTTTTTGGCATTCATTATCTATATAATATTGTAATGAATATAAATTTGGAAGAAATTTTATCATGATGTATGTAGTCTTATATAAGTCAGTTATTTCCAGTAATTGCAAGAATGTACAGTACGAGCTGTTTGCTATTTAAATGATGTGTACTTTGTCTATTGCAGGTGTTAACCCTAATTCAATTCGTGGCTCACGAACTGGTGTGTTTATTGGTGTGAGTACATCAGATGCTGGTGAAGCATGGTCAGCTGATCCTGAAAAATTAGTTGGTTACAGTATGACGGGCTGCTGTAGAGCTATGTTTGCCAATAGACTTTCTTATTTCTTTGATTTCAAAGGTTTGCTCACACTCTAAATTACTTTGTTTGATTCTCCTCAATGCAATCTCTTGAACTTTTTAAAAAGTAGAAGTGGGAGTATGCAATGATTTACTTGGTGTATTTTTATATGCCCACACATAAGATGGGCGTATATTGTAATCACCCTGTCTGTCCGTCCATCCGTCTGTCCGTTCACATTTGGTTCGTGCTCACTCTACAGGTTACAATTCTTTACAGATTCTTTTGATTTTGATTTTGTGGGTCAATATCATTATGAAGATTGATCCCTATCGATTTTCGTGATGATCGGATAATTTTTCACCGAAATATCGTGTCTGACTTGATGTTTCACTCTATTAGCTAAATTGTGCAACTCGTGTTCTATCATTTCTGACAGCTGCCAGTGGGCGTATGTTACCTTGCCTGGCAAGCTATCTTCAAATATGGAATAGGGTAAAAGCAGAAATAAAATTAAACATTAAAGAAATAATAACATGAATGGAAAACACAATACTGATTCTACAATGAAAACTTTAAGGGCTAGTTAATGAAGATATGTTAATATGTATGATTATGATCACTTAGTTATATTTGCAGGCAATACTCTTCCAATTACTTTAATGCTCTTAGATATTTTTCAGGACCAAGTTATGCCATTGATACAGCCTGTTCATCTAGTATGTTAGCATTTGATGAAGCCTTACATAATATTAGAATGGGTCATTGTGATGCTGCTATAGTTGGTGGATCTAATCTTTGTTTGAAACCAACTTCTGCTCTCCAGTTTTTAAAACTTGGCATGCTGTCTCCTGATGGTTCCTGTAAATCATTTGATGAATCTGGTAAATATAAGGCGCTGTGTGTCACACTGAAATGCATTTAACGTTTATATATACAAATATTGTGTTCAAGCTTAATTGCTATTCCCCCAAAACGGCATATGAAGGTATCAAGTGAATGCGCACAAAGAAATGATTCAGATTATCCTTTTCAACTGTGAACTATCTTTTTACTTCTGTTATAACTTGTATTTGTTCTTTTCTATTGTTTAGGAAATGGTTATTGTCGTAGTGAAGCTATAGTGGCTATATTTCTACAGAAAAAATCAGTAGCTAGAAAAATTCTATCATCAGTTATACACTCCAAAACTAATTCTGATGGCTCTAAAGAACAAGGTATATTGTTTTTATACAGTCATATTAGTATTAAAAGACTGCAGACTCCATCTTACAAGGGAAACAGTCGTCTAAATATTTACTTTACCAACTGATAGAACTAAATCTCAGCTATACAGAGCACTTTTGCCCAATAGAATCAGAAACGCAAACCTAAAGATAACTGTATAATTCTGCTTGAATACTGATGTAATTGCAATATTATTGATAGAATTATTAGCTTTCTAACAGACCAACTGATAATATATAATCAATGCTTTTCAGGTATCACATTCCCTTCTGGTGCTGTGCAGAAAGAATTATTACAAGAAGTCTACCAAGAATGTGGTATATCACCTTCCAAAATAGCTTATGTTGAAGCTCATGGCACAGGAACAAAAGTTGGTGATCCACAAGAAGTTAACAGTATTACAGATGTCTTTTGTAAAGACAGAAAAGAACCATTATTGATTGGATCAACTAAATCTAACATGGGTCACCCAGAACCTGCTTCAGGTGAGAGCACAAAATCCATATTCAAAAACAATGACAACTTTGGCCTAAAGATTCTATCAGTCAAACCTCTTGGCAGCTATCTTTCCTGAATTATTCATTAGCTTTCTGGGTCACTTTTTTGTGGTATTTGACATTCAATTTTTGAAACTTATCCTGGATTGAATGGACTACTTATTTTTTATTTTCGTGTTTTAATTTCATTACAGGTCTTGCAGCAATTGCCAAAGTCATAATAGCCATGGAAGATGGAATGATTCCTGCAAATCTTCACTTCGATAATCCTAATCCAGATATACCAGGTTTATTTGATGGCCGTCTGAAAGTTGTGGCAGAAAGAACGAGATGGAATGGAGGATATGTGGGTGTCAATTCATTCGGTTTTGGAGGTGCTAACGTCCATGCAGTGCTTAAATCAAATTCCATCGAAAAATCAAATCATCCAGCAGCAAAAGCTAAAAGACTCTTCACATACTCTGCTCGAACTGAAGAAGGTTTGAAGCAAGTTTTCTCCGAAGTGAAAAAACACATAGACGATGTTGAATTCCAAACTCTATTGAGTGAAAGTGCTAATACATCATCTAGTTCGCATCCTATTAGAGGATATACAGTATTAAATAGTGAAGATGTTGAAGATATACAGGTGAGTTAATCCTCAGCTGTGGCAAAAAGTGCTAGATCTTGACGATCCCAAACTTGACCTCAAGAAATACTTTTAGTTCTAAATGTATACACTGAGCTCTAATTACTGAAATACTTATGTGGTCTTAATTGATTTGCCAACTTGACATCTTTCAGAGAGTCTGCATAGACTGTGTATATTTGTGATATTTCTGCCATTTTCATGCATCACTTTTAAGGGTGTAGCCAACAGAGTCAAGCTTGGTAATTGAGACATCTGGAATTCAATCCTAACATAGGTTGAGAAAGTGACTCCCCTATGAGTTTTGCAAGTCAAAGAGACAAGATGGAAAAACTTCAGTCATAGGTGCAAGACAAAAAACTGAGATTGGGTTTGGTTTAGGCTGTGTACATTTGATAAACCCATTGTCAAAATAACTTCCCTCACATTGCCTACTTCATGCATGTTATTTAAAATAAGACTATCCTCTCCATTTTCAGAAGAGTTCTGGAGATAATCGTCCAGTTTGGTTTGTATTTGCTGGTATGGGAACACAATGGTATGGTATGGGTAAAACTATGATGGAATTGGAGATATTTAAAAGATCTATATTGGAATCAGATGCAGTATTAAAACCCCATGGTATCAATCTGTATGATTTGATCATGCATGGTGATGACAAGACATTTGAAAATACACTCCATTCATTTGTCGGTATTGCTGCTATACAGGTTGCTTTAGTGGATTTACTCCATAAGATGGGTATTAAAGCTGATGGTATTGTTGGGCATTCAGTCGGAGAGTTAGGTTGTGCTTATGCTGATGGTTCTCTCACTGCAGCTGAAACTGTTTTGGCGGCCTTTTGGAGAGGAAAGTGTATCCAGAATGCCAAACTTCCACCAGGTGGCATGGCTGCTGTTGGTAAGAAAAGAAAAATATTGATTGTATTTACAATGAAAAGGAAGGGGTAGGGGAGGGGATATCATTTCATGTTGAAAACTTAGTTCGTGTGTGCCTCAGGAAAATATAAGATTTGAAAAAAAAGACAGCTATGTTCCTGTTCACTAGTTTTCCATGCATAATCATCTGAATCGATTAGAAAACATGAGAAATGAATTGGATGGAACCCTTTTTAGAGCCTGTATACTGTCTACCATGATTCCATAAGTTAAGCAAAAAAAAATTAACTGTTTTGGTTGTTGATTATAGGTTTAACATGGGAAGAAGCTAAGAAAAGATGCCCTAAAGGCGTAGTACCTGCTTGTCATAATTCAGAAGATACAGTCACTATATCTGGTCCGACAGAGTCTGTGTCTCAGTTTGTTACTGAATTGAAAGCTGATGGTATATTTGCCAAGGAAGTCAACAGTAATGGTGTAGCCTTCCATTCATATTATATGGCTGATATTGCACCTGCTTTGAAAGAAGCTTTATCAAAGGTAACTTGCATGATTTCTATCACTATTGTATATAAATGTCCTTAATACTTCTGATTTGCTCCTTTATCTAGGTGCACAGAGTTCTAGGCAGGCATTGGAGAAAGTAGTCAGTGTTTAGAAAGTAAAAGCCTAATATGCTCATTACAGCTCCTTCAATTGCTTGAAATAAATGAGGAATGGAGTTTACTCACAATGTCCTGGTAAAATTTTCATCAAGGCATGTTTTGTTTTATCTTTGCCCACATCAGAAGTATAAAAACAGATTGTAGAACCATGTCTATTTTTGTCCAAAGAGACAAAAAAGTTGATTTTTTTTTTTAGGATAGTTAACTGTAACCTTGACTTCTTTTAGGTGATAAAACCCAAACCTCGTTCAAAACGATGGATAAGTTCCTCCATACCAGAATCTAAGTGGGACACAGACCTAGCCAAATTCTCTTGTGCTGATTATCATGTCAACAATCTGGTCAGTCCAGTTTTATTTCAAGAAGCTCTTCAACATGTTCCAAAGGAGGCAGTCGTCATGGAGATAGCACCCCACTGTTTATTACAAGCTATATTAAAAAGATCTTTAGATTCAAGTTGTTGTTTGGTTGGTTTAATGAGTCGAAAGAGTAAACATAATGTTGAATACTTTTATTCTAGTCTTGGGAAGTAAGTATAGATTACTCTCTGGAATTTAATTACTTGTGGATCATGCACCACAGAGTAAATTTTTCAGTTTATTGTCTGAACTAAAATTTCCTTAAGATCAGCCATGTTTATCAGTTGGAATGTTCAAACACATTAAATATCAATGCTAACAGCAAACTTATCTTGTTAGAATTTCCTAGTCCAATCTGATTTAATTGCAAAATAAGATGTTTAATGTTTTTCAGAAGGTTACTACTCTTATGATGGAGTGTAAATATGTCAACTGAGGTAGATGTCATTAAAGTCGCAGAACTCTTTTTAGTTTGAACTAACTGTATTATGAATTACTTTCAGATGTTATATTAATGGTGTACAATTCAAACCATTAGATATTTTCCATCCTGTTCAGTACCCTGTGTCCAGAGGAACCCCACTAATCTCGCCCCTCATTAAATGGGACCACAGCCAATCTTGGAATGTACCCAAATCAGATGAGTTCTTGAGTGGTGGAGATGGAAAACATTCTGATGTGTCTTATGAGATAGATATGAGCCAGGAGTCAGCAGATAATTATCTGCTTGGTCATGCTATTGATGGTAGAGTTCTCTACCCTGCTACAGGTTATCTTTACTTGGCATGGAAAACTCTGGCGAAGTTAAATGGAAAGTTTTTTGAACAGATGCCTGTCAAATTTGAAAATGTTAACATCCATAGAGCAACTATTTTACCAAAGACAGGTTAGTAAATTTCACTTGGTTGCTTATGGATAACATAGGTTTGCTAGGATAAGTCTACCAGCTGGCCTGTGTCCTTAATGAATTATATTTCAATCAAGTTTTTCAGACTTGAACATACCAGTTTCATGCTCGCAATCTGCTCAAATTGACGATTTGGACATTTGCTTTGACATGTTTATACCTCTTTGTTTTTTCAGGAACAGTCAAATTAGATGTAAGTATCATGAAGGCGTCTGGTGATTTTGAGATCTGTGAGAATGGTAATCTGTCAGTCAGTGGTAACATTCAAGTTGTTGACAATACAGATTCTGAATATTTTGAACCTGATGCCAGTTTAGATGACCAAGTGAAAGAGGGCATAGACCTATCTAAGGCTGATATTTATAAAGAATTGAGACTGCGTGGTTATGATTATGGTCCAACATTTCAAGGCATTATGATGTCTAATGGTGAAGGTAATACTTGAAGATTGACTTACTCTACTTGATAACATGATTCATTGCCATCTAAAGCAGAACAATTTTCAATTGTAAGAAAATCATACAATATTAATGTAATAGGACTCTTTCATTGTCAACCTTGCTATAGAAATTGTTAGCATTTTTTTTCCAATTTTGCAATAACTCCTCTGTATTCATATTTTTTAGATAGATTTTGCTATTTTCAGGAAATAGAGGCCAACTCGTATGGAATGGCAATTGGGTATCATTCCTGGATACAATGCTGCAGATTCAAGTCTTGGGATTATCAGGTCATGGATTACGTCTACCAACAAGGATTAAATCTCTGTATATTAATCCCTTAATCCATTCTGATACAGCTGTTGATTTTTCCGATACAGAACAAGGTGTGTATTATGCATGAATTTGTCCAGATATTAGATATCACATTCCAAGGTGGTCAATATCAGATTTCTTATTTGAAAGAATAGTATTCCCAGTTGAAGAATTATTCAAACTAGAAAATTTTTGACCCAGACTGTATCGTTTTTCATAAATTCTGATTTCATCACACAATTTTAGAATAAAACGTATTTGAAATGCACGTTGTCCATGCTCATAACATAGCAATAGTATTTCAGGCTAATCGATTTCTTTAAGTACGAAATTTGTTTTTTTCAGTTATTGATGTCACAGTGGATAAGATTCTAGATATTTGTTACGCTGGGGGCGTAAGAATACATGGTCTTCATGCCACAGTTGCACCCAGAAGACATCAACAAAATAGTCCCACAATTGAAGAATATAAATTCATTCCTTACATTGAAAATGTGAAAGACACCTTCAGTAAAGATTTGCAAGAATATGGCAAATATTGTGTAGACTTCGCAACAACAAATATAAAAAGAATTTGCCAAGGAAGTGATAACATATTGCAGAATTCCGAACTTTTGAAAAAGGCATCTGAACATCTAAAATCTGATTCTATAGATTCTAAACTGAAAGAAAAGTACTGTCAGAATCCTCATTGTGGATTGTCCCAAGTTCTTCAAAAGATTTTTACCACATCATTGTCATCAAATTTTTCTGAGAATGTAAATAACATCCTTCATGCATTCCAAATTGAATTGGCTTCTGATCAGTTATTGAATTGTTTGGCCCAGTCACGTGTCCTGAAACCATGTCTAGACATAGTTTTGGAAAATATGACAACTAGAAAACTGAAAATTGTAGAAATTGATGCCTCCAAAAGTAACCTTCATCACAATATCATGGGACAACTGAATACACAGCCAATGGTTACCTTAGACTACACCACGGGTGAAACCAGCCAGACGGACACAACAGAGCTAGAATCAAAGGGAGTTAAATCTGTGTTATTTGATTTTCAAAAACCAAGCATGACTGACATGAGTTTAGTGGTTGCTAATAATGTCCTCCATAAACAGTCCAGCATAGCAGATGCTTTAACATCCATTACGAACTGTGTTTGTGAAAATGGTTTTATTTTGATCAAAGAAATCACTCAGAATTTTCCATTGGCTCTTTCATTAGATGCTTTGTATAGAACTCTTCCTAAAGTCAGCGACCAACGAACTTGTGGTTTGTACCTAAATGACTCTGATTGGATCAAAGAATTTGAAAAATTAAACTTGAGCTTGGTGTGTCAGAAATCTGATGGTTTTATGTCCACTCTTTTCCTTTTACGGAAGCCTGGCAAAGTCAGTGAAAATCAAACCATCATGAACGTCGATGATTTGGAGTGTAATTGGGTTGAAGAACTAAAGACTAAGTTAATGGATTTTCAATCTAAAGCAGACGGTGACAATTTGTGGTTGTATTCCTCCAATCAGAAGACTGGAATAATTGGTTTAGTAAATTGTTTAAGAGGTGAATCTGGTGGAGAACATTTGAGGTAAGTGGTCTTTAGTGCAGTGCTTTCTGCAGTAGTGATACTTACTGCTCACTAGAGTTGTCCCATAAGGCTTGATGAGGTTCAATTTCAGTGCATGGGTTATTGATTGTGTCCTAAATTAATCAACTTTCCAGATTATTAATGACACTTCCATCCATACATCGTCTTACAAATTTCTGATAGGAAAAAAATTTACATTTACTGTTTTAGCCTGTGAAATCTGTTTGAATGTATCTATTTTAGGTTTATATTGAATTATGATGGTGGCCTAAAAGACATTTCTAACGCTAGTCCAGATTTCTTGTCCATAGTTAATACAGATTTAGTCAGCAATATTCATATGAGTAGAAAATTTGGATCTTTAAGGCATATCCAAGCTGAAGGTATGTTTAATGTTGAAAAACTTGCATGCATAATGCATATAATAGCTTCGATTTACTATTTACACCATTCCTTTGAGGAAAATCAATTGACATGTGATTGGAATATGTGGAAGTGTAAGCCTCAGTCATGCTATTATTCTTTTAAATGACAAATTGCTAATGTCTTGGACAAAAGTAGAATGTAAGACCCAATTTTATTGAAGTATTTATTTTATATTCAGAAACTGGTACCAAACCAGTAGATCATGCCTATGTGAATGTGTTAACAAGAGGAGACTTATCCAGTTTAAAATGGATAGAATCACCATTAAAATATTTTGAACCAACCAAAGTTAAAGAAAAGAATCTCTGTGATGTCTATTATGCTTCTCTGAACTTCCGAGATATTATGCTGGCAACTGGGAAACTACCACCTGATGCCATTCCTGGAGATATGGCATTACAAGACTGTATTCTGGGTATGGAATTCTCTGGACGTAATCATTCTGGTAAAAAGATCATGGGTTTATTAGAAGCTAAGGTAAGGAATACCTCCATGACTGCTGTGGGAGTTTCTAGTCCTCTAAGTGAAATCCAAAATTGCATTTGGTCATCATCTAGAGTTCCCTTTGAACAAGGCATGGGTGTTTATCTTGAAAGAATAATGGCTTTTTCCATGCACCTTCATACATGCTTTGACTCACTAGTTTCCTTGTCTGTTTCACACCTTGTCATTTGTCAGTTTTCCTATTTAACCACAGTGCCCTTCTCTTGTACTCCATCTCATTGCTTATGGTATTTTTCACATTTTAGGGCCTGGCAACCACAGTGGATGCTGATCATAGATTTTTATGGGATATTCCTGAGAAATGGTCCATGGAAGAGGCAGCTACAGTACCAGTAGTCTATTCTACAGTTTACTATGCTTTAGTTGTAAGAGGACAAATCAAGAAAGGGGACAAGGTTCTAATTCACTCTGGTTCTGGTGGAGTTGGACAGGCAGCCATTTCTGTAGCTCTTCATCATGGATGTGATGTCTATACAACTTGTGGATCTATGGAGAAAAGAATGTTCTTGAAGAAAATGTTCCCGAAGTTGAAGGACAACCATTTCAGCAATTCCAGAAGTTCCGCATTTGAGTTTGATTTCCGTAGAGTTACCAAAGGAAAAGGTACCGATTTATAAATGATTCTTGGAGATGTAAAAATTCAAAATCATATTCTTGTATGTTCAGTATACATGTTTTTTAAAGTTCCTGTTGTGGATCGCATCAACCATCAATCATATAGTATGTGAAATTGTGTTTGGGAATATCATCCTATGGCAACCAATTGTTGATCAGGGTAGATCCCTTTTTAGTGACCTGTGTAATGCTAAAGAGTCTTATTATTCCACCCAAAAGTTAGTTCTGTTGAATAAACCATCTTTAATTTTTCTAGGAATGGATGTTATTTTGAATTCACTAGCAGAAGAGAAGTTACAAGCCAGTTTACGTCTGTTGGCACCTCATGGAAGATTTTTAGAGATTGGCAAATTTGATTTGTCTAACAATACTCCATTAGGTAATTTTGTTGACTCTTTACTAGTGTTGATTAAGTAAAATGTGAAAATGTGAAAAATGTACATTATGTTTAATAATGGGCACCCTTCTTGATGAAGGACTTTGGTATATCACAGACCCCATGCTTGATCTATAGTGTTTTTTCATGTGCCAAGTTAAAATGTCGGTCAAAAGTCCTTTTACATATTTTGCCTTTATACCTTAAATCCTGGTATGCACTATATGAAATGTTACAACTTGATATATGTTTTCAGGAATGTCAATATTTTTAAAGAACATCACTTTCCATGGAATATTGTTGGATGCTCTGTTCGATGAAGGTAATAAAGATTGGAGTCAAGTAGCAGACTTAGTTAAAGAGGGAATCAAATCAGGTGCTGTCAAACCCTTGCAGACAACAGTTTTTGAAAAGAATGAAATTGAGGAAGCATTCAGATTTATGGCTCAAGGAAAACACATCGGAAAAGTTGTCATTAAGGTAAATTTGCCTTGGTATTGCTTTGAAAATCTCAATTTGCTTTGCTAATTTTACCTTTAGCATGTGATAATAGTGATTGGTGTTGTGTTGGAAATGCATGTCAACAGAATAAAATACGGCCAGTGTCAAGTGGCACAGTATCAACTATCTTGTTATTTTCAGATGAAATTTGTTAAAGCAGCAGTTTTCAGCGATTTAGTTGCATAATTTGAAATATTTACATTATACATTAAAATCGGATTGTTTGAAAATGAAAAGATCATTAAAACAAATATTCGCTTTTGGGGAAATTTGATAAATCTGTGCACAATAGGAGAATGAATTCTTTATTTCAAAGTAGACGCCTTATCCACCAATATTAGTCACTGTCATGTATATTGTCTTGCTCATGTTCAGTTGGAATGTATTATTCAGGTTAGAGATGAGGAGGAAACCAAAGTGGTTAAACCTGTTGCAATCAAAACACCAGCTATACCACGTACAGCATGTCATCCCAATAAAACTTACATCATCATTGGTGGCTTGGGAGGCTTCGGTTTGGAACTTTCACAGTGGTTGATAGATCGTGGTGCCAAATCTCTTGTTCTGACCTCCCGCTCTGGTATAAAGTCTGGATATCAATCTAGAAAGTTACGATTATGGAAGAAGAGCGGTATAAATGTAGAGGTATCATCTAGAGATGTCAAGACTGAATCTGAAGCTAAACAGTTAATAACAGAATCTTCTAAACATGCCCTAGTTGGTGGAATCTTTAATTTAGCAATGGTGAGTCTGGTTTAAATTATTAACCAAAGACTTAGGGAATCATTGCACACAGCTTTAAGAATCAAAACAGAAAGTTCTCTTATATTAAGTAGTCAATTAGTTATAAAAACATTTAAAGTCTGCATTTGATGGTTTCAATGACTACATATTCTACAAAGTGATTCCAGGCATTGTCTGAAATGTAATTCTGATATTTTCCTCCCAGGTTTTGAGAGATGGCTTCATGGAGAACCAGACATTGGAAAATTTCCAGAAAGTTTGTGAACCCAAAGTGAAAGGAACCAGTAATTTAGATAAAGTAACAAGAGAGATGTGTAAAGATAGTTTAGATTGGTTTGTTGTATTCTCATCAGTCAGTTGTGGTAGAGGCAATCCAGGACAGGCCAATTATGGTTTTGCCAACTCCTTTATGGAGCGAATTTGTGAAGCTAGAAAGCAAGATGGACTACCAGGTATGTGTTCAATGAATTATGATAGCTGAAAGAAGACAAAATGCTGTCCATAGAAGTACTATTCAAGCACCTGGTCTAGTACATTTAATTGTTCTTAATACAACAAATTTACTATATTGATTAATTTTAATAAATTTTCTTTAATGCCTTACTTTCTAAATTCTAAAACTTCAAAAAAATGTGTATCTGTAAGATATGATGAAGAAATATTCTGGATTTACATCTTTGGTCTAGAATAGAAAGATATTTATATTTTTCTGTTTATTTTCAGGATTAGCAATTCAATGGGGAGCTATAGGAGATGTTGGTGTGGTCTTAGAAACAATGGGCAGCAATGATACAGTTGTTGGTGGTACATTACCTCAGCGCATCACTTCCTGTCTGGCTATCTTAGACGAGTTCCTCAATCAGTCTCATCCAGTTATGTCTAGTTTTGTGCTAGCTGAAAGGACGTCTGGTAGTAAAGATGGTGATTCCAGCAGACCTGATCTGGTGCAATCTGTTGCCAATATTTTAGGTCAGTAGTCTTATGTCCATGATAATTATTTTTTCTTTGTATCATCACAAAGACAAAACAATGGTACAATTTTGAATGTACATGAATTCTAGTTCTGGTCAAATTCATAGATTTTTTATAATTTTATACGCTCACACATAAGATGGGCGTATATTGTAATCACCCTGTCGGTTCACATTTGGCTTGTGCTCATTCTACAGGCTACAGTTCTTTATGGATTCTTTTGATTTTTATTTTGTATGTCAATGTCATTATGAAGATGATCCCTATTGATTTTCGTGATGATCGGATAATTTTTCACCGAAATATCGTGTCTGACTTGACGTTTTTCTCTATTAGTTATATTGTGCAACTCGTGCTCACTCTTACAGGCTACAATTTTTTACAGATTCTTTTGATTTTTATTTTGTGTGTCAATGTCATTATGAAGATGATCCCTATTGCTTTTCGTGATGATCGGATAATTTTTCACCGAAATATCCTGTCTGACTTGACGTTTTACTCTATTAGCTATATTGTGCAACTTGTGCTCACTCTACAAGCTACAATTCTTTACATTCTTAAATTTTTTTGATTTTTGTGTGTCAATGTCATTATGAAGATGGTAAATATATCGAATTTCATAATACTTACAATCAAAGCTATGTGGGCGTATGTTACCTTGCCTGGCAAGCTATATTTGACTTTGCATGTATCTTTGAAAACCAAATATTCCTGGTAAAGATTCAAATGTTCTTGACATAGAACTTGAAAGTTTTTATGTTTGAGCCGCTCGCCTTGAACACCTGGTGTCACTGTTTGTTTTTTTCAACACTGCATCCCTTTCTGAGAGTCAGCATTATCTATGTATTTATAACATTGCTCTGTGTAATGTGAAAATCTCTTTCCAGGAGTGAAGGATGTATCTAGTATTAATGCTGATACTAGTCTAGCTGATCTTGGATTAGATTCCTTGATGGGTGTGGAGGTGAAACAAACATTAGAAAGAGACTTTGAATTATCATTGTCAATGCGTGAAATAAGACAACTGAGCATTTCTAAGTTACGTGATATTGGTGGCAGCTCGTCACCTGAACCCAAGTCTGGTGATACCGAGAAGATGACTAATGGTTTGAATCTAGATGATAGCGGAGTGTCCGTTCGTTATGATTTTGATCATTTGATTCCATCCTCTACCATCATCCATTTGAATTCTGTTAAAAATACTGTCAATCCATTGTTTATTGTACATCCTATTGAAGGTAAGGTTCCTCTTTTTCTATCATGTACATAACTGGTGTCTTGCTTTTCTTTTTCCAATGTAGCCAAATGTGGACACTTTGATATGAATGTGTGATAGCCTGCCTATTGAAGTTAAATCTTGGATTTGTTCAACTTTCACCAATTTTGGTCTAGTTTTTTTAGCAGTCCTATGCTCTTGAGAATACATTCAAGACTAAACCCTGTATTTGTATAGCAATTCAGGAAATTGAGCTTTATTGCCTGGAGTTAATTTCCTTGGATGCGAAAAAAAATGAAATTGAAGAAAAGATGAATATTATCAAAGTTATGACGTGTCCCTTTTCAGGTGTTACCATTATGCTAGAAAATTTAGCAAACCAACTGTCTTGTCCTGTGTATGGTATCCAATGTACACAAGAGGCACCTTTATTGTCCATAGAAGCACTGGCTGGGTATTATTTAGAGGTAGTTTGACATTTGACGTAGAACTATGTCTCTAGTATTTTCAATATGTCTCATGGTAAACCCATTGCTCAATGTTCTGTCTTTGTTTATATCAAGGTTTACTTCAAGCTTTTTTTACTCAGTTTCTCCTTGTCATCCTATGGTTCAAAACTGGTACTCACAAATTAGACATTGTGATTTGTTAAACCAGAAATTTAAAATCAAGTTTGATTCAGACTAGGCTTATAAAGCCAGCCATTTACAGATGAAGGGTAATCTTGTCTCCAAAATAAAGTAAAACACACATTTTTCAGCAAATGGACACAATCCAACCTAATGGTCCCTACAGATTAGCTGGTTATTCATTTGGAGCATGTGTTGCCATGGAGATGGCTCTGCAATTAAAGGCTCATAATCCTGATGACCCTAACATTGTCCAGTGCCTCGTACTCTTTGATGGTTCCCATAAGTATGTAGCTGCTCACATTCAACCATATTTGGATAAAATATCACCTGGTAATGATGCCCAAGCAGAAGCTTATGGAATGATGGCATTTATCCAACAATTTATGCCAGTTGAATTTAAAGAGGTGAGTATTTTCATAACTTTTTGGCAGTTTGTTGCTATATGAATTATGAATTTTATTGATGCTCACTAATACCAATTCAATAAGTCTTGAGTGGGGTTGTGGGCTTTATTCAATTCTTTATTCAATCTGAACACAAAACACAACCATTTCACAATTCTCTGTAGATGTAAGCATCCATGTTAAATTCATGTTAATATCTGGCAAGCGAATAAACTTCTTGTTTGTAAACGGAATATTTCTTGACTTTTGTGTTTTATCCCCACTTTCAAGATTCGTGGTGGCTTAGTCCTTGTGCATGTTGAGAACTCGCTTATTTAGTTATCAAGTGGGTTATAGTTTATTTCATCTATTGCTATTGTTGAATATTTGAACCATTTAAAACTTTAATAAGTCTTTAATTTTCAATATTTCTTCCAGCTGTACCAAGAATTATTAGATCAACCAGATTTTAAGAGTCGAATCAGCTGTGCTATAGATAAGCTAATGCCTCTACGAATATTTCACCATCGCAGTGAACTAGAGTTAACAGCCAAATCCTTCTTTGATAAAATATTGATTGGTGGCAAATACATTCCAAAATCCTCTTATAATGGTGACATACATCTACTTAAAGCTAAACAATGTACCTATGATTCCAATGTACTGGGTTCTGATCTTGGTTTATCACAGGTTTGTAGGCTATATTTTGTTAATTAGCCCAATTAGTGAGGAACAGGAGGAAGTAAGGACAGATTGAGTTGATTGCATATTTATTGGATGTCCAATTTGACATGCTAACCACATCAGCAGCAGGTTTCAACATTCTCATAGAACTTAATATGTTCTCTAATTCTATGGAAAAGAAGTTTACATATTGTGTACAAAAGCTTTGATATTTTAGAAAATCAGCCTAAGAATTTGAGAATATCAATAATATGATTGAAAAATTGAAATTTGGTTTTGAGAGCAATTTTTAAAAAAAATTCTGTCATGAATACTTTCATGATAAACATAATATTTATGCTTTCAGATTTGTAGTGGTAAAGTTCATACTCACGTTATTGAAGGAGACCATGAAAACTTTATTTTGGGTGAAAATGCCAAGAAAATTGCTGCAGTATTGAATCCTATGTGGTAGAAAGAATCCAAACATTTGATCAGAACAACCATTACTTCATTTTTTGTAAATTATATCTAATCCAAACAATAAATCCAAACAATATAAAAACATTGCACCTTATTTGAACAAATGAAGTACAAATTATTAAAATTGTCAAAATATTAATTTATTTGATGAAATTATTAATTGTTTACTTAATTAAAAAAGCTCAATGATACCTTTTCACAATGGTTTACGGTAATTGGACTTTTTGTCAGATTTGTGCTTTGAAGGACCTGAACTTTGAAATCTTGAGTATCCAGATGGGCAAATCTGCACATCTGGGAACTACAAGAACAGTCTAATTTGATAGAATGAGTGGTAATTGAACAGTCTTTTTTTGTTTAGGGGTAAAATAAACTGCAATTTAAAGACAAGCCATACATATTTTCTGGTTGTTACTTAATTGAATTACCTCAAAATAAAGTGTTTGTTTGGGATGTGCATAAATATCTAAACCCAACTTAAGTCGTTTCAATTGTTATAATTTACATTATAATGGTGCTGATAATGTTCATAATGACTGTAATCATAATGTTCATAATGAAACGGAGTTGGCATGATGCAGGCAAAATTGCTAGCTGAACAACTTCTAGTAGCTTATGAACAGTAAAAGCCAAAGAAAGTGTATGATACACAAATTTTGTGTGGAAAAACTTTCATTTTGCTTTACATAGTATTCCAATTTATTTATTTTTTTTTTTTTCAGAAATGTTAGTTTTCTAGAATTAGATAAATGAACTTATTTAAACATTAATGTCTATTTTGAAATGAATCATCTTGCATTTCGCTAGTCAACTTCTATATAAATTGAAGAGCATAATTTGTTTAATCATTAACAAAATGTTAGTTTTTCTAACAAAGCATTCATTGCCAAAAACTATTTTTGTATGTGATTTCATTTTTGTGCATAGCCCTTTTAATTATTGGGCTTAGCATTTCACTCAAATGAGCTCGCCTTGCCTACAGTGACTGCACAAAGTAAACAAAATTCATCATTATTTGTCTGAGTAAAACTAATTTGCAAAACTTGTATTGCTGTCTTCTCAATATTTCTATTTCTTTTATACCGAATCAAATTGAATTATTCCCCTTTTTATTTATTTTCCAGCTCATTTATTTGTTTCTTGTATTGTTAGTGTTTGGATATATAGTCTTGGTGACTTGTACAGTATTCTTTTGGTCTGTATAAATCAAAATCAATTCCTCTTGAATTGAGTCGTTTAGTTATGACCTGAATTAACCCAGGGATGAAATGATCATGTAGAAGCACAAGATTTCTTACATTGATTAAGTGTCATTATCTTAACCTTAATGCAATGCAATTGTAAACCGGTGAAACCAGCATTTACATGTCCAGTACATCTGAATCAAAACAATGTTAACATACTTTAAGGCTCTGTAACCTTCACTCTATTATACCTTTTTGTTTTGTTGTGGTACTGTTTAATGAGTAATATTTATAATTTTTGATCAGAATATAAATTATTCTAATTCATTTTGTCCTGTTTTTATATTGCACTGCAAATGCTAATATGTGTATGTAGTGGAAAGGTTATACCTCTGGCAATTTTTACTGTTGGTTTTAGCTCTAACCTCAGGCTTGCTAAATTGGTGCTTACATAATTGTCCTCGATTGTACCTCCTAACTAGTAGCAAAGGCAATCAGGGTTAGCTAGAGTTACGCGTATATAACCCTCGCTAAGCGTAGGTTTCGGCGACCCAGTGGTATGCGCGCTTGCCTGGCAACTTTAGGGTCCCGGTTTCGAGGCCCAGTTGAAGCTTTTTCAAATACCCAGTCCTTGACTTGTATTCTTTTTTTGCTAAGTCAAACACCGCCTTTTCTATCATTTTATGTATACAAAAGAGGCCTGTGAAGTCTAGAGTGGCCTAACCCTAGGCATAACCAAATCGTTCACATTACCCACATCCAATTCACCATATCAGCTAATTGCCTGCCAGCTAGTCCTAAAACATATTGACCCTATTCCAGCCTCTGTGCCCACAGACCTCCTGTCGCGGTCACGCACGCCACCAACTTCACAGATTTTCAGGGAGGGCACTATGACAGTCACCCCCGCACCCCAGGTTTACGTTCTAGAGGGGGCATATCCGAGGTTGTCCGAATTTCTAACCTATTGACCTCTAGTATCACTTACCATCACAACAGGTAGTATTATTGACCTCTACTATACTCTAGTATCACACACATAACCCACACCCAATTCATTTTGATGTATAACATTGTATAACAAATTTAACAAAATTGTTATATTGTGTTTCCGTTAAGTTTAAATGGACACTGTAATTCATTAAGTTTACGAACTTACACTTCTGATAAAAAGAAGAATCAGGAAAAATAATTGACATGAGGGTATTTAAGAACATCAAGAAGGGGTCACTTTAATTTTTCATTATTTCGAAAATGCACATTTTTATACGCCCACACGTAAGATGGGCGTATATTGTAATCACCCCGTCGGTCCGTCCGTGCGTCCGTGCGTCCGTTCACATTTGGCTCGTGCTCACTCTACAGGCTACAGTTCTTTATGGATTCTTTTGATTTTTATTTTGTATGTCAATGTCATTACGAAGATGATCCCTATTGATTTTCGTGATGATCGGATAATTTTTCACCGAAATATCGTGTCTGACTTGATGTTTTTCTCTATTAGCTATATTGTGCAACTCGTGCTCACTCTACAGGCTACACTTTTTTTTACAGATTCTTTTGATTTTTGTTTTGTGTGTCAATGTCATTATGAAGATGATCCCTATTGATTTTCGTGATAATCGGATAATTTTTCACCGAAATATCGTGTCTGACTTGACGTTTTACTCTATGAGCTATATTGTGCAACTCGTGCTCACTCTACAGGCTACAATTCTTTACGGATTCTTTTGATTTTTATCTTGTGTGCCAATGTTATTATGAAGATGATCCCTATTGATTTTCGTGATGATCGGATAATTTTTCACGGAAATATCCTGTCTGACTTGACGTTTACTCTATTAGTTATATTGTGCAACTCGTGCTCACTCTACAGGCTACAGTTCTTTACGGATTCTTTTGGTTTTTATTTTGTGTGCCAATGTTATTATGAAGATGATCCCTATTGGTTTTCGTGATGATCGGATAATTTTTCACGGAAATATCCTGTCTGACTTGACGTTTTTCTCTATTAGCTATATTGTGCAACTTGTGCTCACTCTACAAGCTACAATTCTTTACATTCTTAGATTCTTTTGATTTTGTGTGTCAATGTCATTATGAAGATGGTAAATATATTGAATTTCATAATACTTACAATCAAAGCTATCTGTGGGCGTATGTTACCTTGCCTGGCAAGCCATATTTTAAAAATGATTGATGATTATTCGGCCTGATTCACATGCTTAGAATTCATTGCAAAATAGTTTGAGGTCGTTACCTGGTCGTTTTTCTACCCGGTTCCAGGTCGTTTCACGTTCATTGGTCGTTTCTTGGTCGTGGTCATTTCTGGTCGTTTCTGGTCGGTTCATGTTTAAGTAAGTACGTATGCTCAGGGTTTGGCCACTCTAAAAAAAAAAAACCCAAAAAACGGTGTTTGACTCAGAAAAAAAGGAATTTTTGAAAAAGCTTTAATTGGGACTCGATCCCGGGACCCTAAAGTTGCTAGGTAAGTGCGCATTTTCTATTCTATCAAAATGATCCTTACGAAAGAGATCGAAAGTGTAAGGATCATGGTGCTGTTTCGCTAAATCAGTCGCTAAAGGCATGGTACTATATATGCCCCCATTACTGCATCGCACCCCAAGCTCTTCCAATTGTGATATCGACACAAAGGTAATAATATGACTAAGTAATGTGTCTTGATTATTCACAGCAATTTTCAGACCGATCAGACAACCTGCACTATGTTATAATATCGGTCGCTAAAGCATCGCTGCATCGCACCCCGACAATTTGGTCGAAATGACTCGAGACTGAATGAATAGGCAAAGCAAGTACGACTAAACAAGAGTTACGTCCCACTGCCATTTCGCCATAATCAGGAAAAATTTATTTTAATGTCAGAGTGAAGACAAAACAGTAAAATACCCAAGAAATTCAGAAACACTGTTATCAAAAGATTAAATCTTAACAGTAGGTGAAGGTGAACCAAATCATCTAGTACTATATTGCATTGTGTTTCCTGTTTAGTGCTAATATACTGGCATCATGCCTGAGGATTCCAAGAAACTAATTTGTTTCATGGAGATACAAGATCTTTAACTCATTTAATATTCATAGCTGAAGTCAAAATGTATTAGTTAATTCATTATACATATATACAGCCTAACTTCATTAGAGAAAATAATTAGCAGACGTCTTGTAGAGAGTAAATGATACTAGCTGAAGCAGACATGTAACATAAAGTGGCCTCAACTCAGGTAGAAATTCCTTCAGTTGTAGCCATTATCAGAATTGGACAGCCATCGCCTTGCCATGATTTCTGCTAAATTTATCATCCTTATTAGTGTGCCAGCAGTGAGATTTTGTTGATTTGATACAATGTGTTATTGTAGACTCTTATAAGACAATTTATTAATAATTGTATAAATGTAATCGGCAGAAGGTACATTTGTGTGTATTTTATGAAAACCACTGATAATCTTCTGTGTTTATTCCAACCATTTGATTGATAGTCTTCAGATATAAAGGAACTATATTACATTAGTAAGGAATTCTTAGAAAATGTTGAAAAAGTTAATGGGATGGGTGAGTGTTTTTATTTTTTAAGGATGGATATTGTGTGGTTTTGATAGAAGGTAAATTATGTTAGTTCTGAAGATGATATATTTTTACTATGTACTTGTCATTTATGAGTTTTCCAGATTAATCTTGGAAAAAAGTTAAATGATTTTAATTCTTAATGCAAAAGCATGTACATGAACCACCATGTGATGGTGTTTATAACTTTGTAGCAAATTTTTCCTGTGTATTTTGGACTTCAACTCTTTGTTGGGTATTAGGTAGTGAGAACCGACACCGGTCCGATTCTAGGTAGCACTGACACAGGCATCAGAATTTTTCTTATCTTGACTAGGATTCGAACCCACGACACCTAATCACCTACCAGATGACTCAAACTTGCTACCAATTGAGCTATTCCACTTCCACATGGTTGGGATGATTTTAACCTTTTTTTTTTTTCATCTTTGGTCCTTACATTTGATAATGATTTTAAGGACATTGATTGGGTGTCGGTTCTAATCTTGGTTAGCATGTGGAAGTCTAGTGACCTTGAGTAAATCATCTTGATTATTTTGTTAAAACCTAGCTGTTAATGGGTACTGGTACTGAACCTTTTTCAAATAGTAATGGCCAACAATCAGCTGCTAGATATGATCCTTGAAAACCTAATTTATCTTATTTTTAGCTTTTTCTTCCATATTTAAATTCTAATTTAACTTTGATTCATCATAAGATCAGGAACATTTTTGAGAAGGTTTTGAAAATTAATCATGGTACATTAGTGAGTAATAGTGAACTGGGTGTGTGATTGAACAAATATGTTTTCTGTAAGTCTTGGTACTAATGCCAGGCTAGAGATGGAATCAGTGGTTTATTGAGATACTGACATATCATTTCTTTTTATCACTTCTGAGCTTTACAACTTGAAAATCAACTGTTATTATATTTTTCCATGTTTGTCTATTTTCAGAGTGACAGGAATGCTGGTTTCCTGAGAGCAGCTCTGGACGGTAATTTAAATGAAGTATCAAAATATTTGAAGGGATCTACAGATATAAACACCAGCAATCAGGTAATAAACCATAGAATCAAGTTTTCCAGCCCATTAAGACACAACCAAATTTCTTAAATATGATTGAAGGTTGGACTTGTAGCCAATTTGAATCAGATGACCTTGAATGTAGCAAAACGACATACCTATTACAATCACAATCCAACATTGTAGTCTGACTGGAAAGTCACAAGAATATGTGAGAGTAGCTGTGGACTGGCATTGTGACAGTAGAGTTTTTCATGCGTTTTGGTGGATTATTGATGCCAGGCCTATATATATCTTAGGGATACCTCAATGCAATGCTGTAGGGCCAGTTTTTTCCAATGCCTTTGGTTTAAGAATCATGTTTCTCAATTCAGAAAGGTGTTGCTTCTCCAAACACTCCCACTTAATCTATATCAATTCAAAAATTCATCAGTCTTGATAGTTCATGCATCACACAAAAACAGCTGGGAGTTGAAGAACCAACTATTAATAGCACTGGCTGTAGTATCAGTATTTTTTGACTAGCAGATGACAATCCAACTCACTAGGGATTGAGCTTTTTCAATGCTACAATTTGGTTAAAGTACTGCAACTATTACTGTTGTTGAAATGGATATGCCTTTCGTTCATAGCCCTTGTTCTTCCATACCTTCCAATTTTGTTTTTAGGGCAACTCGTCCATTACAGGCTCAGTGGTCACAAATTTTGACAGATCATGTCAGGTAACTTTGAGTTGCTGGAAGATATCTGAAGTTAGGAATCTGTATGATGTTTGTTTTATGTGGTCTTAAAATTCATGATGATGATGTACACTTTATTTTATATGTTTGGAATTATGCTAATACAATATTTAATATCATTTAATACAAAAATACTAAAATTAATTGCAATATAAAAATGATTTTATTTTTTTTATTTCAGAAGGGCCTCAATGCACTTCATCTTGCTTCGAAAGAGGGACACTTCAAGATTGTTACAGAGTTATTGGCAAGTGGTGCAAATGTAGAGGCTGCCACAAAGGTATGTATTGTGTTTCCTGTCTGCAATTTCCTGCCTCTTTTATTGTCTGCTGCTATTGTTATGTTAAACTGTCTACATGAAAACATTTTGGCAATATTTTATCTTAAGGATAACAGACTTAAGTACCCTGTCTTCCATCTGGTTCATGGATTATCCATTTCCATTTACAAGCCCTTTGATTCGCGTCTGCACATAAATGAATAAAAAAGGTTATAGTTGAACTTGAATGGTTGTTCTAAACTCTCATTCAAGTGCACTGCCATTATTGAATTGAAAATATTGTGCCCAGTTTATTAGTTGTGACAGCTTTTCTAAAGAAATCCAAGCTTTCCATTATTTTCTTATGCAGAATATGAAAAGAGATTTTGTGAGACATTTTGAATAGATTAGGTCATAAAAAGGATTAGTTACATTCTTAAGATATTTTATAATAGTCAGTTAATTCAGGTATAATGTAATATGTAATTGGATAAGGTTTTTTTTCAAGCAAAAAATAGGTCAAAACTATGGTGGCCTATATACGACAAAATTGTTATTTCTAATTTTGAATTATAAACTTTGATTTTTATTTTAAAACTTTGATTTTTATTTAACAACTTGATTTTTCACCTTTGTGGTATGTTTATAGATTGTGTAAAGCATCTCAATGGCATTCCGTGTATAATAAGAGCTGATAGAGGCACAGAAAATGTTAAAATTGAAGCACTTCAAAAGACTCTTAGCGATTTGAATGAAAATGCTGGTGCAAATATTTCTTTATGCAAATCAGCGCATTGAAAGTTTCTAGAAAGTTTACTGACCGGGGAGCAGCCAAAGGCCCGAGCTTTGTCTTTAGTGCAACACTTTGATGAATGGTCACAAATTTTGACAGATCATGTCAGGTAACTTTGAGTTGCTGGAAGGTATCTGAAGTTAGGAACAACTGTATTCTATGATGTTTGTTTTATCTTAAAATTCATGATGATGATATACACTTTATTTTATATGTTTGGAATTATGCCAATACAATGTTTAATATCATTTAATACAAAAATATTAGAATTCATTGCAATATAAAAAAGGTTTTGTTTTATTTCAGAATGGTCTCAATGCACTTCATTTTGCCACGAAAGAGGGACACATCAAGATTGTTACAGAGTTATTGGCAAGAGGTGCAAATGTGGAGGCTGCCACAAAGGTATGTATTCTGTTTCCTGTCTGCAATTTCCTGCCTCTTTTATTGTCTGCTGCTATTGTTATATTGAACTGTCTACATGAAAACATCTTGGCAATATTTTACCTAAAAAATGTTTATCGAAGATTGTTAATTTTCAGTACAAATTATGAATTTTGTATACAAATGTTAATTTTCAATGACAAATGTTGAATTAAGTGTGCAAATTAAGAGATAAGAATTTAGAAATAAGAATTAAGAAACAGCAATGAAGAACGTTGAATAAAAAGCCATTCAGCCTTCCATATATATCTAGAATTCGAGATGCCTAGTTTATTTATACAGTTATAAGCTGTTGAAAACATTCCAGAATTCTTACTGAAATGGATTGTAGGCTGAATTGAGAAGACTGGTCCTTCCTCACATCCAGTTATAAATCTAAGAACGTTCATTAAGTTGATATTTGTATGTCTTCCACCTGAAGAAAATGACAAACAAAATTGATAATAAAATAGAATTAATGTTAATTAGTATATATATAACAACACCGTTTGCAATTACAGTCGTAACATCCCTCATTTGAGGCGGTCAAATAAATTTAACTATTGGTGTTTTTAATGATTAATTTATGTATTCTACAGTAAAAAGACAATATATGAACTGAAAGACTCTTGAATTGATACCTCATGCCTGATCATGTGACCGACCTGACTGACCAGGGAAAATTCTGCCTTCTAATTTGTTATTTATGAGGTAATGGCAGCTTTGGTATTTAATGTTCCTCATTCTCAAATTCATTCACATCCAATAACATTTGAAAAACTAACTAACATTAGAGAGTTATCAATTCTGATATATTATAATTTTTTGGACTTTGTAACAAGAAACCTGTAATTTGAAAATAATTCCATCAACCTACGAAAGAATTTATCAGCTTCCCACGCTTTCTAGTAGAATAACTCAACGCAGGATTTCAATAACGCTACAAGATTATTGATCAATTTCCCAGAATTTTCATGGCAAATATCTCCATGGTTCCACTATCAGGGAAACCATTTAGAACAAAAATCAAATCTGAATTTGTTTAAAGGTTTCTTAAAGAGTAATTACTCAACTAGCTGTGAGTTTCAATTTAATTTGGAAACTTTCGATCTCAGCATTGATATATTCTGCGGATGATGCCATTGATTCCAATGGCACCATGACCTAATGTCTGGAGCTTTTTCTTAGAAATTTCAACTCAATCTGACATGCCTTGACCTTCAGAACATTTTCAAGACATTTTTTTTTCATAGCGTTAAAATGAATTATTTTATTTTTGAATTTAAAGTGGAAAAGTTTGATTCATTTTGAGAAAAATTTACCAATTGTTTTTAATTCTTTTTTCAGAAAGGAAACAATAGTTTGCACGTTGCTGCATTGGCAGGTCATGAAGAGATTGTGAATATTTTAGTTGATAATAATGCCAAGGTTAATGTCCAATCTCAGGTAAGGACAGTTAAACCTTGCGGGAAATTAAATTGTTATCAATCAAAGCTGTAAGCAAGTGTTTTTGATACACAATTAAACCAGAAATCATGATTATCCAACTATTTCTATTATGAAAAGAAAAAGTATTCTAAACAGATATACTTTGAAATATACCCATTTTAAGCCCTCAATGTGTCTCCAATTGTTTCAATGAGAGTTTTCATGTTTTGAGATTAGATTAGTAGGTCAAATTCATTGATAAATCACATTAATAATCTATATTGACCACAATGGGATACCAAACATACTTTCACAATTAGAGAGTTCTGTTTATACAAACTGTTATCTGTGTCTGTTGTAAATCTAATTTTATCATTAAATATATTAGGAATGACATTGTGGTTCAATATGTCCACATGAGAGGTCCAAAGTTTTGACAGTGGTCATTGAGATAGAAATGTAAAGGAATACCAAGTTTAAAGATTATTGTGTTGTATTTTCAGGCCGGTTTCACACCACTGTACATGGCGGCACAAGAAGGACATTCCGAAGTAGTCAGGTTTCTATTGGCTAATGGGGCTAGCCTAAGCTTGGCCACTGAGGTGAGTACTTGATTGTTTATATACATTCGATCAAATCCTAATGAAGTTGTACTTGTTTCTTTGTTATGTTTTCTCTGTCTCTTGTCCTCTGTGATGAGTTCTAACCATCCAAGTTGTTCTCAGTAGAATATTGACCAGATAGCTTTGTTTCATAATTTTTATCCATAGAGTTGATAGCAAGAAGATTAAGCTAATGCTGCTGTCCTGGCAAAATTTTCCTCATTTGCACATTTCAAGACGATTGCTCAAATAGATTCAAACGTCAAATTTAATTTCACAAAAATTTTATGAATTATAATAATAAGTTCACCATGATTCTGTGAGGGAGGTTATTTTGGTGGGTGGTGGGAGAGTTTGTTCCATGAGATGAGGATCTTTCTTTGACTTTCTCCATCTGAATCATTTCGATCCAAGATTCCATGTGTTTTGTCCCTTCCAGGATGGATTCACTCCACTATCTGTGGCACAACAACAAGGTCATGAAAAGGTTGTCAGTGTTTTATTGGAACATGATACAAAAGGTAAAGTGAGATTACCAGCACTTCATATTGCTGCTAAAAAAGATGACGTCAAATCAGCCGCTTTACTTCTACAAAATGAACAAAACAACTTCAACACACAAACAAAGTTGAGTTTATCTTGAATAAGGTTAAAATCTTGATGATGATGTACTTGAATTATTTTTCAGAATGGACTGACTCCATTAGGCCATTAGGTGATCATGTGGATTGTGCTAGACAAAGCACAAGTTGATGATGTCACAGTGGTAAGTTGAGTTTTTTACAGGTTATAATTCAAAGCAATGAATCATACTATCTTCTATTGTGTTCGAGATGTATGGTTGGGAAACACGAGCAATAGTGGATAAGAAGGCTATCTATTTGCAGATAGCATGATGGTCATAGGGTTGTGGTACAATCTTTGTAGACTGAGCAATAGTCTTTCTAATTCTATAACTTTCATGGCAAAACATTTCAGACAAAACCTTGCGTCTATGATGTTATCTATCCGTAAATTGTTCGTCTACATTAAAAATTATGGTCTGTAAAAATGTTTCAGTTGAACCAAGCAATAAGTCGACAAGTTGTGAGCAACATTTCCAAATGATCTTAATTTTACTGAACTTGTCTGTAAAACGAGGAATCAGTCGATAAAGACTTCGGCCATCGGTAAAACCGATTGGTTAACAGAAAGATCTTACATATATAATGTAATTGGTAAACTTTTTCTTTACATTCTACAGTAAAAGTAATTTTGTTCTTTGTTAAGTATACGATATTTCATCCCTGAGCGCTGGATCAAATGACCTATGTTTATTTTGCAGGTAAAAACGACAATTTGTCACTAGAATATCACTCTATTCATCAGAAACGGACATTATCCACCTAAAAGAAATCTGGCTGCACCGATGCTGTTACGTTCAATTCCATGTGTGCTGAAAAAATAGTAGATGCAGACAGAATTCAAATGGAAAAAGATGGGAAAATTGGGGCAGAATTAGAACAGACAGAACCTGTTCAGAACTCTTCAATCGAGCGTCACCCGGGTGTTCTACGGGTGTCCTGGACGAGAAAAAATAGAGGTATAATCCCCAACTTCTCGCATAAAGTTGTAAATATATACTCTGAATATGTCAATAATAGACACGCTCATCACCTTATTAATTTCATTTTGTGACTATTGTATTTCTTGTTGTATTCCAATGAATTCATTCGCCCCCAATGGTGATGGCTCAAAGGGTTGGATTCATTTCATTTCATTTTCAAAGGGTTGGATGTCGAAATAAAGCTAACACTCTTAACGCCATGAAATGCTTTTCAAAAATATTTTTGCTTCATTGACATCTATTAAAAATGCTGTATGTCGCTATTATCAAATATATCAACCAATTTTCAGAACAAAGTTTTATCAATACGCAACAAAGTGTTCTTTCATTTCATATGCAGAAAGCATATCTGTGAAAAGGCTGTAACCCTTTTTTGAGTTAACCTAAGTTGACTTTTATTAAACACAGAAAGTTACCACAAGATTAACCATAGGTCTTTATGTCCCAGTAGGAGGTTTTTTGAAAATTCTTTATTTGCCAAGTCCAACAATGTTTTTTTATCAATTTAAGTATACACAACAGGTCTGTGAAAAGGGATAAGCCTTGCAATCCTCATTGCCTTTGCCACATTTTAATTCACTTGGGAGCCACTCTCGAGAAGGGTAAAACTTGTATTTTGAGCTATTTAAGGGTTAGGGTGCTCTGAGATAAAACTAAATAAATTTACAAAATAAAACTGGAGGAAAATATTTGCAACATTATATTAGAATTTTATTCAAATTCAACATGATATTATAAACAACTTTCAAGAAATAACATTTACTTCTATAAAAGCACTAAAAAACTTATTAATTTTGCAAGATTTTTTTTTTCTCTAGATTTTGATGTATCTTATTTAATAAGCAATACAGCATATACAGTTCATACAAAGTGGTTTGTTGTAGTATAATAACACTTTACAAGCTCTAAAAATATACAAACTTGGTATTTCAATTCTTTTATGATATCAAATAAAAGTAAATCTGCATGCTACTTCTTTATCATTCATTTAGAGAAAGTACATTGTAAATCATACATACTTATTTTTTTTAATAATGTTATTAAAGGGATTGTAAAGAGGACTTCAAAATTTTTTATGTGTTTTGGGGACACTAATATCATTGATTTGCACCATTCCAATTTTTCATCAGATATCTGTGGTTCTTACAATTCAACTAAAACTATGCCTTATTTGACAACACTATTGCAAAAGCTGCTTTTGATATGCAAAGGTCGTTAACAATAGTGACGTCATAAAACGCAAACTAAGATAAAGCATTCTAATCAAGCTGAAAAGTTTTTAAAATTCCTATGGCTTGTTTTGTTTAAGTATACAAATTATCAGTTGTCACATTTTCTATTTTATAAAACAATAACATCAAGTATGGCATAACATTAAAATATTTAATAAATCTTTCTCTTTTTATTTCCTTTTTGTAGTGGAGAGAGTTAAAGTATCATTGAAATTAAGAATTCACCGGTTTTGATTTAAAAAATATTAACATGGAATAAACATTAAAACATTTTCAAAGGGATTGTAAAGTGGTTATCTTAATTTTCTATGTGTATCAGGGACAGCATCAATGTGATTTGCACCATTCCTATTTTCAATCAGATGTCTGTGGTTCCTGCAATTCCACTACATCTAATTATTTGATGACGTCACTAACTGCAAAGGGCCTTATGAGACAGCATATTTTGTGATTAGTGACATCATCAATCACTTCATTTTTGTGGAACTGCAGGAACCACAGATGTCTGACTGAAAATTAGAATGGTGCAAATTGATGCTAACAGTGTCCCCGATACACATAAAAAATTGAGAAAACCTCTTTACAGTCTCTTTCAGATTTTAAAGATAGTTAAATATAAGACTAGTAAGATTTCATTGAGTTATTTTTTTTTAACATACTGATTATCTTGAGATAAGTTTTGAATTGTTGCAAAAGCAAGTAAATTTGTTTTTCTTTGATAAATACGCTGAACAATAAAGTGATGAATATACTCTTATTGGTCAATGTTGAGAATTAAAATTTTAATATCAATTTAAGAGGTAGTATACCTTTAAAGATCTTGGCCACTACTGTTACTTCCAGGCATACATCTTAACCTATGAATAAAGCACCATATCATAAAGTACATAAAAACAACAAATTCCAAAGACTTCTTGGAATAAAATACTCTTCCCGTTCACCTCTTCAGCACAATTTACCTCGAATGAAATATCTGAACCACACAGCAACATTTATGTTTCTCAAAATTTTCTTGGTTGATCATTCTTTTCTTTGTAATTTTTCTTTAGCTTTCAAGCGTTTTGATAAGTCATTCATCAACTGGATACTCAATTCATAAAGAAAGAATCCAGCCACAAGAACAGAGCTAAAACCAACTGCACAAAGTCCAACAAGAAGTAAGGCACCACCTAAAAACAGGGTGGCTAAAGTTAACATAGTTCCTGGAAATAGAAACAGATGTGCTCATAAGTTCTTACCGGAATTCAATTGATTGTTCTGTGCCCCTGTTTCAAAGACTTCGCATGGATGGAAATAATAACCTACTGGAGCTAAATTATGACTACTTGTATATTTGATTCTTTCTTGATTTACAATACCTTTTCTTGCCAAGACAACTATTTTTAGTCATACTACATACTATTTTATTTTCTAAGAGTTTCATCGTATTTTGTACCTTTTAGTACATGAATAACTTTAAAATATGTCATACGAGTGAGTAAATATGAGAAACAAATGCAACTAACCTTCTATCAGAACAAAACCAGTCACACCCAAAAACATACTTCCACAAACAAATGTCACAAAACATATTATTGGTATACTGCATAATGTTAACAAAACTACACTAAATACTGTAACTACCGGATGACTGAATGTGAACTCTTTGATTGTGTTTAGTTTCTGCTTCACTTCAAAATAATCACTCAGGGCATGTAGCACAGCTGATATCTGATCTTCATCTTCATATATTGAGCCCATTTTCGCCTTACCAGCACTAGGTTTGTCCCTGCGAAAATTCAAGTGATTGTTATATTAATGCTCACAGACAACATTAAGGCCTACTTTGATTAGACAATCTGATGTTAAAACACCTTGCAACTTTAGAGGAGGGATAGACCCAAACTCCACCTCATAAAACAGGAAACGTTTTTTCTGACCCTATTCCATTCGACAACTGTCAAATTTGTTACCAGAGGTTTGGAATTAAATAGTCTAGAAGTAGAGTAGTAAAGAGAGGCAGATGTGTCAGGCGAATCAAGTTAATCAACATTAACTGAACCCAATCTAAGACTATCATTAGCTTACTATAGTAAGTTATTAGTAAAGTAGTATCATAGTTATAATTACTGTAATTTACATATTATATTAGGTGGGTAGTGTTATGTTGACACGGTAGGGCTATGCCTTATACTAGTTGATTTTATTGGTGGCAATTATAACCTAAAATAAAAATCAAGTTCGTTTCCGGAAATCAGATATTTTGACAAATGCTGAATTGCCAAATTATTTATTGAAGTACTTTTTAGATAGGGCCTGATCACCAGATGGGGAAAAAATGATTTGAGTGGTTCGTAAAATTTGAATCCCCGTGTGTAGGACAAAATTTATTGGGATTGTTCTTTATTGAATCTAGACTATGATCTAGGTCTCACTTTAGTCTAAGATTTTATGCTATTCTGTCAACACTTTATCAAGATAAGACAACTCTTGTTTGACGTTTTGTCGATCCTGTGAAGAATGACACTCATCGTTTCAGAATTGTTTTATGAAATTCATATTACTTTCAGCCCAATAATTCGTTTGTAAATAAATTGATTATATTGATTCTTTCCATAAATGAAATCAAGAACTTGATTAAAAAGTGTTTTACGTACCGGTAGTGTAACATTGGCCTAATCCTTGCTTTGAGTTTGACTGAGAATGTGATAAAAAGAATATCCATTTGGAAATTTATTACTAGGCCTATAAAAATACACAGACTAAGAGGAAGGTTTTCATTTCTACCGTTCAATGGGTGATTTTTATGTACAAAGAAAATGAGTTAATTTTATTTACACTATAAAGTGTAAAATCATATAACATTTATTTTTCTATGGGCTCAAAGACAATTTACTGAAGTATCATCATTACAACCAGGATCTTTTAATAATTTGATAGACCCACAGACAATGGAAACTAATTAACAAACATTGAAACATTAATTCAGGGCTAGCAATGATAGAGCTTGTATCAGCCCTTCATTGCGATTAATGGCCAAGATATCTCTTGATCTCTGACTGTAAGAAATTGTGCATAAAATTAATGAAACTTGTTAATTTCTATTATTCAGGTAAAAGATGTCACGTTATGACGTGGAAAAGTTTGTTCCACAACCAGACCAAGAATTGATATGTTGTATTTGTACCAATGTACTGGACGAACCAATGGAAAGTCCTTGTCGTCATGTCTTTTGTAAAATTTGTATTGAAACCTGGTTAAATAATCGTAGCACTTGTCCAACATGCCGATTTACCGTAACCAATGGAGACCTAAAACCAGTTCTACCCTTGGTCAGAAATATGCTGAATAAATTAACACTGATATGTGATTTCTCTGATAATGGCTGTAAAGATTTGGTACTCTTAGAAAAATACCAGAACCACATAAAAGCCTGTGATTATGAAAAAGTTGTCTGTAGATATCCTAAATGTGCTTTATCTATGTTACGTAAGCTAATTAAGACACACGAAGAAGAAGAATGTAAATATCGGGAAATTATATGTCAAAAAGACTGTGGATTAAAGATTGCTGTAAATTCTGTTGAAACGCATGACTGTCTGAAGGCACTGAAAGCATTCTGCGAGAGTAAGTATTGAAATAGTCTATTGATACTTCATCAAATCCTAAATCACATGTTCGCATAATGCCTGTTTGTTTAAGAGATAAAAGGTAGTATTATTAGGAAAATCCAGAACTTGAATGGTTCCTGTTATTCTGAAATGAAGACATTGTCATAATCTTGTTAAGAAGTCGAAAGTAGGGAAAATCAAAGAAGCTCTATGTTTTGAATCCTTAAAGATTACAGTTCTGTCTATATTTGTAAGCAACAAAATGTCAGATTTTAATCGGGGAAAAAATGATAAAAATTTTATCTGTTTGCATCCATGATTGATAATCATTGTCTTGATTTATTTTTTCAGAAAAAGATAAAGAAACAGAAATCCTTAAGGGTGAGTTACTGGAACTAAAAAATATGTTTGTAAAATTAAAAGAAGATGTAATGAAATTTAGAAAAGAAGAGATTAGACAAAGAAATAATTCATGGGAATCCAGTTCAAGTTCCAGTCAGGATAGTATGTTTAGTGAAATTGGCTGGCACAGATCTAGATCACCATCAAGAAGTCCCTATAATTCACTATTAAACCAATTACTGAATTCATCTAGGAGTCAATCTCGCAGTAGGAGCAGAAGCAGAAGCAGAAGCAGAAGTAGGTCTCGTAGCAGATCTCTGTCTCGTACTTCATCAAGGAGTAGAAGTTCAACTCGACATTCAAGCTATTCTCCAAGTCCAAGAATATCTCTGTATTCATCTGGATCATCAGTTGATTCTTTTCCCTTGCGTCAACGAGACCGTGATGAGCAGGAGGCAATTTTAAACAGTATCAATTTGGCATCGGATAGTGTTTCTTTAATTGATAGGAATTTAAACAGAGCACAAGATCTTTTGATCACAGTCAATAACCCAGTGCCCATAGTGAAATGTGTACAATGCGATGAATTACAAGAAAATTGTCAATGTGATCATTACAGTGTTGTTCATTCAGATGCCGAACATTCTGAATCGGGAGGATATTCTGAGGGACCCTCTCTGACATCTTTTGCAGAAGAAGGACAATTTTCTTCTGACAATGATAATCCAGATCAAAATTTATCTGAAGATAATGTAACCAATGATGAATCACTGCATAGCAGAAGAGGCAGAAGCTCTTCAGAAGAACACAGCAATGACAGTTATAGTCCTACTCCGGTTGAAGGTCAAACGTTCTCTGTCAGTTATAACCCAACACCCTTAAACCAGTCTCCAGCTATCTCTCCAGGTCGTACACAAAGACCCAGCAGTCTTTCATACCCACTAGTGGTTGATTTGAACTCATGGTCAGCGCCAGTTGACACAGTTAATAGCATTGATCCAAACTCTGTAATAGGAAGACCTGCTTCAAGAACTGATCCAAGTTACAGTCCAAGGTGCAGTCCAAGATCTCACTCAAGGTCGACATGTTCAAGTCCAGTAAGTGAGCGTAGTTGTTCAAGATCTCCTGTGCGGAACGTAAGCTACTATACTAGTGAATCTGAAATCATAAATCCAGATGACAGATCTGCTAGACATTCATCACATTCACCAGGACCAAGTTACAGCCAATCGCCATACAGGACTTGCTCTAGTTCCAACTCTGACTCCAGTCCTGCTAGGCCTCGTAATACATGGTCAGGGAAAAGAAAATACTCTAGAAGCCCTGATGCTAGCCCATCATCAAGAAGCGACAGTCCAAATTCTTCAGTGTCTGGCCCATGTTACAGAGAATCAGATAAGACAGACACTGATTTCAATCGTTATTTTAATGACTCTTTCAGAGCAGAAAAGAGGCAAAGGATTCATAGTGATGCAAGTTTCAGTCCGTCTGCTTGGTCTCCAAGGCGTGACTTTGTTACTGATTTTAAATCTAAATATCAGCACAAAATTAATGAAGGTGCATCAACTTCAAGTCAACAGTCAGATTTTGCAACAAATCAACATCACTATCAAAATGATTACAAAGACACAAGTAATGAGGATACTGACAATGAGCGAAGGATGTCCAAAAAATCCAAAAGAAAAGCAAGTGGTAAAAAACGCAAAAGATCCAAAAAGAGATCATATTCCAATGACTTGAATGATATATCTGGTAATGAACGAGAACACGACACAACTGTATCCAAACCCAAATTAAAAAGTGTAGTTGGACTTTATACACCTACCAAACCTAATAATAAGAATTTTAAGTTTATTTTACGCAAAGCTAATGGCGAGCTGATGTCCTCAGAAAGTTCTGATGACTCAAATTAAAGATAAACCAGTAATTATACCTCAGGCTTTTTGGTGATTTTTGAGTGAATTGGAAAATCAGTTTGAAAGTAGTAAGTTGGCTTTGATAGAAATATTAGGCTTTGTATGTTAACATTGTATATAAACGCACTTCCCTCCCAGAAATTTCAACAGAAAATGATGCAAAAGTTTAGCCAAAGATTTTCCTCATATTCAGAATATGTTTACTGTTGAATCTGATAACTCAATTTTGTTTTACTGATCAGAAACATTTTACTGAAAACTGATGAAAATAAACTTTTTCAGACCAAGAATTATGGAATATTTAATTTTGGAAAAGTTTATTTTTTATGATTTTAACGACTTCAACTTAAGCCACTTTGTCACTTGGTTTGTGAATTTGACATCCTTTCAGAGTGTCCACATAACTATTAGTATCTTTAATATAAGCTTATTTATTTTATTATACTTTTTTTTTGTTAATCATTTCTTTAGATAATAATCTAAATAATATTTGGCACCAGACTGGAACCTCATATAATTCAGGAAGAACCTGAAGGAGATTGTCTTTAGTTTTAGGCTGCAGAACTATAACATTTTGTGTAGTAATATATAATAATATATTTAAATAAAGGCTAAAGATGTTGATGTATCATATATCTTTACATTCAAGTGCTTATATATGTGAGTAAAGACATCTTAACTAATGCTAAAAGGCAACAAAAAGAGGCAGTAGATTCTTAAATAAGTGTATTAACCACATTACACATGTAACTGCCATTTTCTGTTAAGTTGTATCAGTATGTTCACCAGTGATGTTTGACTGTTGACTTTCTGTATTTTATTGGATACTATAATGTGATAATAATTTGTATATTGCTTGGTTTGAATAATTTTCTAATATAACTTTGTATTTCTTTATTTTCTTTCCATCATCTCTCTATTAGTTCAGGTTGTCACAGTTTTTCAGAAAACGGGATTGAATGAGTAAATTTCAATGAGTCCCATAATGGCATTGATGGTTCCTATGTTGAAGCAGCCATTTACTTAAGATTAAGATTAAGATACTATATAGGCCTACTAGTAGAAGATCTTGTCAAAATTTTACCCGAAATCTTCAGAGACGATAGGTGCCATAAAAAAGGCATCTTGTTCAAATAGAACACTAGACCATGGCTACAGACTGTATCATGAAAAATTTCAAACTTAGCCATTTAGTTGGACTTTGCAGGCACCATGACTAAAGAATAATGCTCATAAGACTATCATTTAAACTAAATAATTATTTAAACACACTATTAAACATTTTACGAAAGTACTTAGTCTAATGAATTATTCTTTAGTTTCATGGATTTATTGGATTCTGTTGTATAGTTTTGACATCAGGTAAGTCCACTGATGAACAAAGACTCATCTTAATCAAGATTAAAAACTTCATTTTTTTGGTCATCCTAAGCGGTAGTATACATTTAACAATATTTGAACCAATCATAAGAAATTTAGCAGAATCAATGGCTTTTAATAATACAGAACAAAAAACCTTGTTTTACTACATTTAAATACAAAGTTAAAATGTATTTCATCAATATAACAGACAATAACAATCTTGACAAGTTATGAGAAAAAATTGCAGAATTAAAATAGGTACAAAACATACATACATTATAGGAATATAGGAAAAAAGAATTAAAATGAGAAATCCTCGTCAGTTTTATTTTATTTTGTTACCCTCAGATAAGTTTTATGGTATAAAATATGAGTTACCAAAAACAACCAAAATTTGGAAAAGCATGAGTATTATCAAATCATGAAATAAGGTTCAGTTATAACTATCTAAAGTACATATGTAGCATTGGGTTGTTGGTCTGATTTTTTACATAATTTTGCATTCTATCTTAAAATGTTCACCCAAAAGATTCGTCCACAGGAAGTTCAGTTTATGATCTAATTGTGCCTTCACATTCTACTAAAGAAATAGCTATTGTGAGATGTCTTGGTACCATTAACCAAGTGAAGACGAATTTATTCTATTGATATGTGCGAGTTCCTGAATTAAAAGATTAAATGTTAAAACTTACACCTCTATACACATATAACTAATTGGGGTCACTGTGCTATAAATAGCTATATACTATAAATCGAGCCACAAGTTAAAAAAATCCCTAAATTCGAGAACTGCGACACTCTCGGCACTCCAGTGTCCCAGTGTATGTCAGACTACGAAGAGTTTATAAAACTCCTTCTTCTACAGATTAACCACACAATGCTAAGAGTAGTTTCTTGTATTTTCCACTGGTATCAGATGATATTGCATCTTGTAATGATTTACCATAGTCCTCATCAAAAATTTGTTTTATATCTGCTAAATCAATCTAGAAAAGCAAATGATTACATTGAATGTTCTTAGTTAATTTGTATGCATGAAGTCAAAGAAGCTTTTTATTGGATGGTGCAGAGCGATGGACAGGTACTAATAAAAAGGTCTCAGACACAGCTACTGTTTCTCCACTTACCTCTGGTCTAGAAACAATAGCTCTTGATCTCTTCCTTGACTTACCTCAGATCTGGAAACTTTGATTCTCGACAGGTGTAGCATCATCTGTTCCTCCACTTAATTCAGATAAAGAAAATATGCATCTTATCAGTGTAGAATCATCTGTTCCATCACTTACTTTAGATAAAGAAAATATGCATCTTATCAGTATAGAATCACATGTTCCTTAACTTACCCCAGTTACAATCATCTGTTCATCTACTTACCTCACTTTTTGGAAACTATAATTCTTATCTGCATAGAATCATCTGTTCCTCAACTTCCCCCAGTTAAAATCGCCTGTTCCTCTACTTACCTCAGATCTGGAAACTATAATTCTTATCAGCGTAGAATCATCTGTTCCTCAAAATCATCTGTTCCTCTACTTACCTCAGATCTGGAAACTATAATTCTTATCAGCGTAGAAGCATCTATTCCTCAACTTCCCCCAGTTAAAATCATCTGTTCTTCTACTTACCTCAGATCTAGAAACTAAAATTCCTATCAGTGTAGAATCATCTGTTCATCTACCTACCTCAAATCTAGGAACTATGATTAAAATCATTGTAAAACCATCTGTTCCTCCAATTATTTCAGATAAAGAAAATATGCATCTTATCAGTGTAGAATCACCTGTTTCTCCGCTTACCTCAGATCTAGAAACTATGATTCATATCATTGTAGCATCATCTGTTCTCTCCACTTACTTTAAATAAGAAAATATGCATCTTATCAGTGTAGAATCATCTGTTCCTGAACTTACCTCAGTTATAATCATCTGTTCCTCTACTTACCTCAGATCTGGAAACTATAATTCGAATCCACTAACCCCAGTTTGTTCCTCAGCTCTAGAAAATATGGTTCTTATCATTGCAGAATCATCTGTTCCTCAACTTACCCAAGTTACAATCATCTGTTCTATACTTATCTTTGAAAACTATCATTCTTATCAGCATAGATTTATCTGTTCGTCTACTTACCTTAGATATAGAAACTATAATTCTTATCACTGTAGAATCATATGTTCCTCAACTTACCTCCGATTTGGAAATTATACTTCTTATCTGTGCAGAATCATCTGTTCCTCAACTTACCTCAGGGAGAATCATCCATTCCTTACCTCAGATCTAGAAACTATAATTATTATCTGTGTAGAATCATCTCTTCCTCAACTTACCCCAGACAAATAAAATATGCATCACATCGGTGTAGAATCATCTGTTCCTCCACCTCCCTCAGATATAGAAATATGATTCATATCAGTGTAGAATCATCTGTTTCTCCACTTACCTCAGATCTAGAAACTATGATTCTTATCAGTGTAGAATCATCTGTTCCTATACCACTCATGGCCTTCTTTAATTTCTTAGCAAAATACGTTGGTGGATGACTACTGTCAACTGAAATATAAGATACGCCTTATGAGCTACATTCTCGTGTTTAAATGGTTGCGGAATGAAAAGATTAGCGATTTGGGTATGGATGATGATGATGCCTGCAGATTTTTCCCTGATCATTGGTGCAGGTCAGAGGTCACAAGAGGCGTCTAGTCATTTCGATGAGACAAAAAATACAACCCTGTGGTCTACAGGCTGTGTACATTTAAGATGTTTCTTCAGTCAAAAATCAAAACAGAGAAGGCTAATGCCAGTGTCCAGGGAAAATATCACTTATGGGGCACTGCATGGATATGCTACAAATAAAATTTTGCCCTTTATTTATTACAATTTGGAGCAGACAAATTGGATAAAAATAACTCCATTTCATCAAATTTCAGCTTTAGTCATTTGAAATAATACATACCAATTGCTGTTAATCCCTTGGCTAAATTACCGGACATTTCACTCTTTATAGACTCTCTTAACTCTTTTCCTGCTATCTGTAAATACATGTAATTTCTAGTCAATATGGACAATTTTGTTACAGGTATACTACCTCTTAGGACGACAAAAAATTGAAAATGTTGAACTTGGTTGAAATGCGTCTTTGTTCATCTGTTGACACATTAACTGGTGTCAAAACAATACGACAGAATGGCACCTGGTAAGTCCAGGATGAATATATACACTTGTTGACTAAGTTTGAGATTTTCAATTTTATGTCCATTCTAAGAGGTAGCATCCATTAAAAATATTATGTAAAGAGTGGTTTCACATAGATATTCATACTAGTTACAATGGCAGTAATAATTTAGAATGAAATGTCATAACACCTGAACTTATGTGTATGATGTTAATGTTATGTGACATCACTTGGTAACAGCTGGTTCACCTGCCACTCAGTGTAGCAAGTGTTTAAAGGGTTAATGAAAAAGACTCTCATATATTTACCTCCTGGTACTCTTCAACAATAGCACTTATTTGATAATAATTTCTTAATCCTAATATTTGAATAAACATAGATTCATCTGTTCCTAACTTCTTCTCTCCAGCTTTATATAGTTTCTCCGCATCTTGTCTAGCTTGTTCTCTATCTACCACAGCATTGATACCTTCTCTACACGCTATTTCATAGTTCTCATCACTAACTTCATTACGATTACCCTGTCATTGAAAATAATGGAAATTTCATTTCATAAATCATTAGACGAGAAGGCGCCAGAGAATTTTCTTACTGGCAATTATTTCCTCATGTAAAATGATAAAAAATAAAATTAAACTTGGGAGGCCAAAGCTAAGCTAGGCTTTTTTTTTGGGGGAGGGGGGACTTTATTGGTTATAGGTTAACATAGTTTTTAAGTAAATACATCAAATGCAACATGTAAGCCTATTCCATTATTGGAAAAGATAGACCAAAATTAATTTCATAATGTAGATAAATCCATCTGATTAGGATCGAAAACTCAGATTCTCAAGGTTATTTTCATTTTCAAATTAAAATTGTGGATCTTAGAATTTAAAATTTGAAGCTTAATAATTGAAAAAAGAAGCCATAATTTTCACTTGGTACAAATTATTCATTGGAATTAGCAACAAATCCATTCCTGCACAGTTACAACTATAGATGAGTTGGAAACTATTATACTAAGAGCTTTACCTGACAAAGGGCTACAAGAAGTCTTTTATATTTTCCGCTGGTTTCTGATGATATCTTTTCTTCTAATGTTTTACCATATACTATTATTATTATTATTATATCAATCAGAATATATTAAGATAAAACACATACTAAATACTCATTCGTATTAATATCGGGACTAGAAACTAACATTGGCAAATGTTGAGCAAAATGACTAAATATTTTGAAGATCTTTGAGATGCAATTAAAAAAAAATTAATTAAAAATATCTAAATTCTATGTACATGAATTCAAATTTTGCAAGCATCATTGCAGGCAAACATCAGTAAAATCAGTAAAATAAGTACTATGTGAAAACCACACAAATGTAGTAATATAAAGACTAAAGGGATGTAATTTGAAGACTAAAGGGATATATTTTGATAACATGATAATAAAAGGAAGATCGTTAGAAGAGTAAAGTGGACAATATGAAGACAAAGGACTTGAAAAGTGAAAGACAATAAATTGAGAGAAAAAAACATACTATAGCATTTAAAAATAATTTGATGATAAAAGGTAGACAAAAGGGAAGTAATTTTAAAACTAATGGGAAGTAATTTTAAAACTAAAGGGAAGTAATTTGAAGACTAAAGGGAAGTAGTTTGAAGATAAAAGGTACACAATTTGAAGACTAAAGGGAAGTAATTTTAAAACTAAAGGGAAGCAATTTGAAAACTAAAGGGAAGCAATTTGAAGACTAAAGGGAAGCAATTTGAAGATAAAAGGTAGACAATTTGAAGACTAAAGGGAAGTAATTTTAAAACTAAAGGGAAGTAATTTGAAGACTAAAGGGAAGCAATTTGAAGATAAAAGGTAGACAATTTGAAGACTAAAGGGAAGTAATTTTAAAACTAAAGGGAAGTAATTTTAAAACTAAAGGGAAGTAATTTGAAGACAAAAGGGAAGTAATTTGAAGATAAAAGGTACACAATTTGAAGACTAAAGGGAAGTAATTTTAAAACTAAAGGGAAGTAATTTTAAAACTAAAGGGAAGTAATTTGAAGACCAAAGAGAAGTAATTTGAAGACTAAAGGGAAGCAATTTGAAGACTAAAGGGAAGCAATTTGAAGACTAAAGAGAAGTAATTTGAAGACTAAAGGGAAGCAATTTGAAGACTAAAGGGAAGCAATTTGAAAACTAAAGGGAAGCAATTTGAAGACTAAAGGGAAGTAATTTTAAAACTAAAGGGAAGTAATTTGAAGACTAAAGGGAAGTAATTTGAAGACTAAAGGGAAGTAATTTGGAGACCAAAGAGAAGTAATTTGAAGACTAAAGGGAAGTAATTTGAAGACTAAAGGGAAGTAATTTGAAAACTAAAGAGAAGTAATTTGAAGACTAAAGGGAAGTAATTTGAAGACTAAAGAGAAGTAATTTGAAGACTAAAGGGAAGTAATTTGAAGACCAAAGAGAAGTAATTTGAAGACTAAAGGGAAGCAATTTGAAGACTAAAGGGAAAACTAAAGGGAAGCAATTTGAAGATAAAAGAAAGACAATTTAAAGACAAAAGGGAAGCAATTTGAAGATGAAGGGTAGACAATTTGAAGATAAAAGGTAGACAATTTGAAGATAAAAGGTAGACAATTTGAAGACTAAAGGGAAGTCATTTGAAGCCTAAAGGGAAGCCATTTGAAAACTAAAGGGAAGCAATTTGAAGATAAAAGGTAGACAATTTGAAGACTAAAGGGAAGTAATTTGAAGACTAAAGGGAAGCAATTTGAATACTAAAGGGAGATAATCTGACGACGAAAGGAAGGTAATTTGATAACATGAGAGAGAAAACATAAGATAATTTGAAGACTAAAGGGAAGAATTTTGAAAACTAAAGGGAAGCAATTTGAAGATAAAAGAAAGACAATTTAAAGACTAAAGGGAAGCAATTTGAAGATAAAAGGTAGCCAATTTGAAGACTAAAGGGAAGTAATTTGAAGACTAAAGGGAAGTCATTTGAAGCCTTATGGGAAGCCATTTGAAAACTAGAGAGAAGCAATTTGAAGATAAAAGGTAGACAATTTGAAGACTAAAGGGAAGCAATTTGAAGATAAAAGGTAGACAATTTGAAGACTAAAGGGAAGTAATTTGAAGACTAAAGGGAAGTCATTTGAAGCCTTGAGGGAAGCCATTTGAAAACTAAAGGGAAGCAATTTGAAGATAAAAGGTTGACAATTTGAAGACTAACGGGAAGTAATTTGAAGACTAAAGGGAAGCAATTTGAAGACTAAAGGGAGATAATCTGACGACGAAAGGAAGATAATTTGATAACATGAGAGAGAAACCATAAGATAATTTGAAGACTAAAGGGAGATAATTTGACTACTAAAGATTTTCTTTTCTATAGAAATTATGTACAGGAATCAAAGGAAAACTTTGACGAACCAACAGAAATAAGGAAGTAGATAATACTTACTTTCTTTATAACACTCATTAATAGCAGCTATTTCATCATTCTCTCTTGTTGCCAATATTTCAATTAATACATCATCATCAGTACCAATTCCCTGAAATAATTTAACATGATTCATGATACATTATCAAATAAATTCAAGCAAAAATATTTAAGCACACCTTGAGAGACCACTTTCCTTCTAGTAGTATATAAAAAATGTACAAAACCTATTTACAGTCCCTCTTATTTTACTTAAACTAAACTGTCTGTGTTTATGTTTAGAATTACCCACACGATGCCCACAAATATCTTTGCTTGATTTTTGAGCTTTTCTTTATCAAATTCAAAGAGTATAGTAATCTGACAAGACATCTTCTTCCAGTGCCTTTGTTATTTTTTTCCCATGATAAAAAGCTCATCATAGACTGGGTTGGACTCACACATTAGTGCTGTTGATTAAGCTATATTTGCCTGACATGTCTATAATGCAATCCAACATATCTGGTTGAAAATAGACTTCGTCGGCATGTGCCACACAATGAACTTTTCCACTTCCCTTATAAAATCCATAGGAGTTTCATACCAAATGCTGAAAAAAATGGGCTCTGTTGATGCATTACCTTCATGGCTTTATGGAGTGACCAAGTATCATAATAAGCAGGTGATTTAAATAATGCCATGATGGTTTCTTCCAAATTACCAGATAGTTCACTACAAAGATCTTTTATCAAATCCTGCAAGAAAATAATACTTCGTGGTAAAAGAAAGCTAATCCTGAACATGGTTTTTGTCCAGGTTTGCACGGTCAGTGATGATAGACCGAATCTATCATATGGAGAATAAGATGATACAGACTGCATATAAAAATTTCCTTAGGCAGACATTTCTTTCATTGCATACATTGTTGTGCTTTGATTTAGTCTGTTCCAATTCATTGAAAATATATAGTAGCCTAAATCCGAAAATTGAGTATAGATGAGGCAAACACAAGCTGGGTGACCGTAGTTGATCATCGTGGTGGGAAACCCATTGTTGCGAGCAGCTATTTCTCTCATTGCATTCAGTATTGTAGTCCTCTGTCATATAAGACTGGTAAGGTAGACATAATAATATTCCACCAACTACTTGTATCTTTGGGTTAAATACAGCCATTATGAATGCATTTTGAAGAGGTAAACTCTTATTACTTACCTTTCCAAACATAGTTTTGTACATTTTCTCAATCTCCTGTCGTTGTTCATTAGATCTATGGCTGACTATTTCAATAATAAGAGCTTCTTCAGTTCCTGAATTGTTGCAATAAATATCATAGATATATATTTGTTTCTAAGTTAACACTACATTAGAGAAGCTTTTAGCATGACAGAAACAAAAACAGAAACACGATGTTTGACAGATGAAAGTTGTAACCCGGAGGACAATCAAATCTTTATAGTAAGTAACAACATAACTTGATGAAATTTAATTGACAGTAAGAGCTCACTTAGTATTTGTGTTTTGAATATCTGGGATATGAAATCAAACATGTTACAAAAGCTAATTTTAGAGAAAAATGTTGTATATTCATGGCCATATTCTTTGTACATCCACGTTATTGTGGAAATTGTACCTCACCATTACCACTTTTTTGACCAGAAGCAAAGCACCTTTGCTTATTGACTTTTCGTCAGGAGAGTCATATAATTTGAAGCTTACCTGTTCCTTTCATGGCTGCTCTTAATGCTTCTGCGTCAGCTTCTACATTAAAGTCTTCATATGGTCGTACTGTTGGATTATCTATTGCAGGTAAATTACCCGAAACATCAATAGCAGCCATCTCTGCTTGTGGAACATAATAAGGAGGCATTCCAGGTACTGGCATTGGGACAGCCATATCTGCTTGTGGTGCATAGTAAGGAGGCATTCCAGGAACTGGCATTTGGACAGCCATATCTGCTTGTGGTGCATAGTAAGGAGGCATATCAGGAACTGGCATTGGGACAGCCATCTCAGCTTTTGTTTTCTTTTTCTTTTTCTTTTTAGACTTTTTCACCTTATGTTTATGATGATGATGGTGATGTGTTTCTACAACAATCACATGGACATCTTCATGTTCCTCTCCACTGCCATGATCTTCATCACTACTACTACTGCTACTGCTACTGCTGTCACTTTCACTTTCACTTTCACTTCCTTCTTCTTCTTGGTCCTCTTGTTCTTGTTCTTCCTCCTCCTGATCAGCCTCTACCCAAGCTTGCACTTCTGCTTCTACCTCTTCTTCCTCAGGTTCTTCTTCAGGTTCTTCTTCTTCAGGTTCTTCTTCTGGTTCTTCTTCCTCAGGTTCCTCTTCTTCTGTAAAGAAAGAATTGATATCACTTAGAAAATAAGTACAAACTACAGATAGCTTTGCCATGGCGTTTGAAATCCTTCTATTTAATAGAGCCCTGTCACATAATTCAGAGTTGAGACACATGTTAAATTTCTATGAAATGTTGAGTGTCTAAGGGTTACAATTATTCTTACTTTAATTATTTTGAAAATACAGCTTTAAACAAATATGGTATTGCAGTTTAAATATGATACATTCGTTTATTAGTTCACCTACTAACTTAATGATTTATATATATATTTTTATTTGTTTAATTATAAAACATCGAATATTGTACATAATTATATTGTAAACTATGAACTGTATATATATTAGTGAACTATAGGCTTTTTTGCCTTATGGTCAAATAAATAAAATTATTATTATTATTATTATTATTATTATTATTATTAAATTTCTAATAAAAATTACAGACAGGAAAAATTTCGGCACTTCCACGATGTTTCACTGCAATAGTTAACAAATCAAAATGGTTTTATTTCACTCCCTAAGATATTGTACATCCATAAAACCTTATTTCCTTTAAGACTTGTGCAAGAAAAAGCGTGGAAGATCTTACCTTCTTCTACTTCTTCTATTTCTTCTTCTTCATCTACAAAATAAAACCTTTTCAATAAATAAAGCACATTTGGATTCAAATATGAAATGCAATATGAACTTTTTGATATGAATAATAAATGTGAAATAACAGCCTTATTCAATAAAATATGCGAACAAATCAGAGAATCAATATGCATTAGAGTGACTTAGATGTTTCATTGTAATGCACGGTCTTGCTGTCTAAATAAAACTATTTGTATAGATGAATTTGCATTTACTTTTGTACTAAAATACAATTACTTGATGGCCTTTTTCAATGTTTATTCACGTAAGAGACAGGCTGCAACCTTAAAAAAAACCTGGGCTGGCTCTTGGAGTATCAGCCCTGCAAAATTTTTGAGCAAACCGGCCTTCCAGATATTAGATATGTTTGGTATAACCAATCGAAGACATCCCACCAGACATCACCAATGTCTCATGTAAACTATGACAGAATATCAGACATCGGCAATGTCCTAATATAAACTATGGCAGAACACACAGAATATCAGGCATCAGCAATGTCCTAATACAAACTATGACAGAACACACAGATCATCATACATCACTAATGTCTCGTGTCACCAATGACAGAATATCAGGCATCAGCAAAACGAACCCACCGAACACACAGAATATCAGACATCGGCAATGCCCTAATATAAACTATGGCAGAACACACAGATCATCATACATCACCAATGTCTCGTGTAAACAATGACAGAATATCAGGCATCAGAAAAACGAACCCACCGAACACCCAGATTGAATATCATACATCGTCAATGTCCTAATATAAACTATGACAGAACACACAGAATATCATACATCATCAATGTCTCATGTGAACTAGGACAGAACACACAGAATATCAGGCATTAGCAATGTCTTACAACTGTTTGAATAGACCTACATAATTCATAAGCATTGACTTAGCTAGTACAAACTGACATAAAAATAACTATACAAATTAACCCGAACATCAGTAGGGCCTTATACTTCTTAACAGCATAGCATTAGGCCAATATTTTCCAAATAAACAATGTCTAAGTGCAACCTGATGATATTCCATTTCAAGGCATCAGCAATGTCTTAATATAACATCTACAATGTAATTCAGTAAATATAGAAGGCTACATACCAGACATTTTGAAATAACTAGACCTTCTGTATGGATGTAGTGACTAGTGTAGTTTTCAGGTACGGTATATGTGTGTCAACCCAACTGTCTACTGAAGCAGAGAAAATCACATACCATTTCACTCACTCAAATTATTATAGTATATATAGTCTCTATCTGTTTACTACAAGTCTATATATATATTCAGCCTCCAGTAAACGATTCATTTAAAGGGACACAATCATCTAATAATAGATTTATATGAACCTACTAATACACTTCTATGAAAACGTGCTTGAATATTAAAATAGCATGACATATTATGGAATAATATTCAAATATTACCAATTAACATAGCCAAATATATACAATAGGCGTATAAAGAAATAATTTTGTGTAGTAGAGGCCTACAATCCATAATATAAAAGTTATAACATACATCTAGTGTGAATCATAGCTTTACCAAAAACTTTGTAAAGCTTTAAATGGATGTAGTTTGAGGCAGTTGTTTATGTCAAGTCATTTAAAGTAACAAACACTTGCAATATTAATGCATATACACTAGTCAAAGTGATTTTCGCCAGCCTTTATTTGCTATTTCGTTATCTTAATAAATGTCTTAAAGAGGTTGGCAAGTTGAGACCTTAATGTAGCCTATGTATTACTTGTGTCCTTAATTACTTGGAAGGCATAAATATAGACCTACAGTAAAATAAGATTCCATCTTCACAAAAACAGTGCATTCCATTAATGACAATTACTATATATTAAGTTTGTGAAGATTATGAAATGAATTAGGTTTTGTACAATAATGTCCACATAAGGATTTTTCCTAAATCGGTGGTGCTCTCAGCTTTTAACAAGTGAAGTACCTTGTAAAATAAAGTGATTTTTTGGCGTCTTGTTATAAAGGATATGCCTTCAAATTTAAATAGAGGTACTCATACCTTGTGAACTTGTGAACCCAAGCATAACCAAATAACCCTACTGTCATGTATGATATATGCTGTAAGATATACACATGCATTTTTCAGTAGAAATGTCATAAAGGGATTGTAATGAGGTACTCTAAAGTATTTATGTGTATCGGGGACACTGATATCATCATTTTGCACAAATTCCACTAAAACTAAGTGGTTGATGACTTCACTAATTGCAAAATATGCTTTACCACATAAGGCACTTCGCGATAAGTGACCTTATCAAACTCAAATTAGATATTAGAGGTGAAAGTCGACCCTCCGAAGCACAGGCACAGGCATCAGAGTTTTTATTACCATGAGAGGGGTCAGAAGAACCCACGGCACCTCACTGCCAAGCAGACAACAATCTAACTCGCTACTGACTGAGCTATACTACTGTCACAACCCAGCGTTATAGGAAAGTATTGACGTTTACACAGTTCGAAAGTTGTTAACCCCTTTAAGGGTATTCATATAGCCTGGCATGGGCAATAATAGGTTAGGGACCGACGAAAAAGCGCAGCAAATTAGTAATAGTGGAATATGTTTGTCAATGTTCTGCTTTTCATACTGTAGTCTCTTCCTGGTTGAGTAGTGTCCAAAATGTGCGAAGTAGATACAATTTATAATCCATCTAAGTCGTACATTTTAATTTGTTTAAGCTGCAAATACCGTTCGTGGGCTTCTAATTCTAACAAATTCTCGGTACATTCACCAAGACTTTTCTGTGTAGCATACTGAGCTCTAGTTTATTGTCTGTCCAAACTGGATAATTTTCAAGGCAGTCTCATCTCCTGAGGGTAAATTTTTGGCATTAGAAAATTATATTATTGAAGAGATTCTTTATTAAATATATATAAATACTATCAATGATTTATAGAATATAATAAATACCAAAAAATATAACTTTATAAACTTTTGTTTATAATAAATATATTAAAATATATTAAAGTATACATATCAAATAACTGTATATGAAAATATTGGTTTAGATTGCTAAAACATAGTATGTACAATTTATATCACAGCATATCAAAATATATGGTATTTCACTTTTAGTGTTCCAAATCCTAATCATTACATTGGAGATAGAAAAGGTACCAACTCAGTGAAAATCATTAATAGGATGCACTAAAATACACTTATATCAATGGAAAATCTTTATTTGAAGTTCCAACATGGTGTGAAGGAAAATTTTGAAAATACCTTTAATAATTTGCTTAGATTAAATTGCCTTGATAATCTAGTCTACAGAATTTGAATTATTGTTAAGGGGGGAAATAGATTTGAATAATGAGACTCTCTCAAGCTTTGTTTACATTGTTGACAATTGCTTTGACAGCTTCATATTAAGAGAATTGTACAATTTCTTGTTATAAATCTGTATGAGATGGTCATTGATGGTTATCAATAAAACAAGTGTGCAATTTACTCTTTTTTGAGATTACATTTGTATAGGGTGAAAATATGGCAATATCATGGAAGAAAGTATATCAATCTCTAACTAATGATAACAACAACTGTTTGTAATCTCCGCTAGTATCAGATTCTATAGCAGCAGCTAGTGTTTTACCATATCTCTTTTCATACGCTTCTTTAATATCAGCTAAATCAATCTAAAAATATAATTTAAATAAATCTTCAAAAATATGTTTCACTTGTATCTCATATCATGCTTAAAGATGGATTTTCCAGTTTTTTAGTGTCAAATTAAGCAAACTATTTGATTAATTGGTGTTTCTAATGAATTATCATGTATTCTTAATCATATCATTATGTTCTTATTGCATATGATAATATAGGTTTTAACCAATCATAAATGTTCATGTTTGTAGAGTCTGGATAAACAAAAAAGACTTTTTGACCTTTCTTGATCGGCCACTCATTGGAATTCTGCTGGTAATTCTCTTTAATTTAGCTTATTATGAATTAATTATGGACATGTGAGATAAACTGGTATTTTTACAAGTCACGAGAACACCTCTACTTTCTATTCATATAAGCATTAGCATTTTCATTTTCATAAATGAAAATAAGGGAACCCATGTTTAACTTGTCATATGTGTCTGTCATAGTTAAAGTGACACAGATTATACTCAAGGGTAAGAAAAAGGGGTGCGCATTATATTTGCAATTATACAGTATATTATGATCCTATCAGAAATATATAACATTGTCACAGACAGGCAATATCAAGAACTCTTTGTCTACTTCACTTCAACAATTTGTCCAGCCACACCTCTAAAAATCCCTCAGGCTCAATGTTATAGCAGATTGTGCTTGGTACATTGGTGGTTTTATGTGGTCAGAAAGTATCCAATTAAAATTACCTCTGATCTGGAAACGATAATTCTTATCAATGTAGAATCATTGGTACCAGCCAATCTCATAGCCTTATATAACTTGTAGGCAAAATATTCTGGTCTATTTCTAGCTGAACGAACTGAAACGGGAGAAAAATCAAAAACGTATTCTATATCCATGATGAATGCTAATATTGTGTTCATATGGTAGACAAATAATAACATTGCTTGGTTACATCAAAAAAAATGATGGTTGTGGGTTCTAATATCGGTCAAAGTGTGGTGACACTAGGTAATAAGTAACATTTCCTCATTATTCAAATCTACCCAACTGTAAATGGGTAGGGATAATCAAAGAAAGATCAAGGCCAAGGGTAGCTGATAGATACTTAAGTCTTCTCAGGGATAAGCATCACCATGTGAATGCACAAAAATCCTAATTTATGTTTCACTCTTAGGAAACGGACAGGGGATGTCACATCGCTGGGAGTTGATTTGCATGAGAAATTAACTGAACTAACTCAAAAAGAACCCAAAATAAGCATGATAATAAAGACTAACCTATAGCTTTTAAACCACTTTCAATATTTCCAGACATCTCACTGTCTATAGACTCTAATATATCTTTACCAGCTAACTATAATATAAGATTGTATATTCATATCTCACTGTCTATAGACTCTAAAATATATTTACTGACTAACTATAAGATTTTATATTTATATCTCACTGTCTATAGACTCTAATATATCTTTACCGGCTTACTATAATATAATATTTTATATTTATATCTCACTGTCTATAGACTCTAATATATCTTTACCGGCTTACTATAATATAAGATTTTATATTCATATCTCACTGTCTATAGACTCTAATATATCTTTACCGGCTTACTATAATATAAGATTTTATATTCATATCTCACTGTCTATAGACTCTAATATATCTTTACCAGCTAACTATAATAAAGAAAAGAAAGTCTTTTACCTTTTGATATTCATCAAATACGGCAGTTAACTGGTAGAAATTCCTTAAAGCTAACACTTCAATAAAGGCTGACTCATCCGTACCAAACTTCTGTTCTCCAGCAGCATACAGTTTCTCGGCATCTTGCTGAGCCTGATCTCTGTCAATTATAGACTCTGCACCATCAGATAAAACACTCTTTATCTGCTCTTCAGTTAGTTCATTTCGATTTGCCTGGAAGTAAAGTAATCTCATTAGTTATATTGAAACATCGACAAAATATATCTATATTTTCAGCATGTTCTGCTCAATGCTAGACTCATTTCAAAGTTGCCCTTCCAGAAAGATCAGATTTTGGTAAAATTTCTAGTATGAAGTCAATGGTATTCATCTGAAAGTAACTTATCTCCTTTTAAAATCAATTTTCAGAATCATTCAGTACCCCTACAATTCAACAAAAATGTAGGCTACTTTAAGTTACACCATCACTTTCAGATCTTCCAATGCTAATTACTGATACATCCAATTTTTCGGGACTGCCTGAAAATGATGGCAACAGTCCAAACTTCTGCAGATTACACTCTCAAATGTTACAAGAAAGCTAATGGTAACCATGGATACTAATTTATAAGGGAAATAACTCACTGACCTGACAACAAGACACAAGCAGACGTTCAAAATAACCAGTTGTATCACCAGTTATATCATCTTCTAAATTGCGTCCAAAATCTAAAATACACCACAATTTATGGAGTCATTTTAAGAACACCATTAACGGGAGGAAAATGTTATAAATAATGCTTCATGGAAGTTAACAAAAACCATGCAACATAAATTGTTCAGCCCTGGAATTATATACATGGCAAAGTGAGTAGGCCTATAAGGATGTAATATAACAAAAACACAAACTAATTCTAACTGCAGAATTAGCTTTCATACTTACGTTCAAGATAAGACTCTTTAATAGCAGAAATCTGTTGATTTGATCTTGTACACAATATTTCAATTAGAACAGAGTCTTTAGTACCAGGTCCCTATGAAAAAAAAAAAAATTCACATAACCTGATTAAAGCAAATGTAGCTAATTGGTTTACAATTTTTTAAATTCTACCAAAGAAACCTGTCACAAACATCAGCAACAATCTTAACACAAAATCACCAATTCCCTGGGCTGATTTGGGTCTTGAATATATGTAAATAGTCTTCAGAAGAAATGTTTGAAAATCGCACATTCTAGTTTTATATACATTTGATTTTAACATTCAAACGCAGATAATTCTGGACACACACGGATCTGAAGGCTCAAATTTCGAGGCGAAGTTGTCCCTTTACTAGTACTGTAATCTCTTTATTAGTAATAAAACAATTTGGTGCACAACTGGAGAACTGCACTTGATTGACTACATCCTACTTAATAGATACCATGGGCATAAACAATTCAACTACAGAAAACAGCAAATACCTTCATAGCTTTCTGGAGTGACCAGGCATCATAAAAAGTTGGTGATTTAAATAATGCCATGACTGTTTCTTTTAAATTACCACTTAATTCACTGTCTAAATCTTCTACTAAATCCTATTGAAAAAAAAAGGTAAAGGTCTAGCAAGGAAAAAATCTTTGACTACCAATTTTTCAAGGATAAAAACGTGTTGACAAGGATACTGTCTACCAGACAGTCTCTTTGCTAAACCTTTTGGTATTGATTATCAATATCCATTTACAGCTGGGTCATATAATGAGGAAAGATGAATCAAGATAACCAAAGTTTCACAAGCCAACCTAGATTAGAACCCACAACCACCAGTTGATTGACATACGAAACAAATGACATCATGTAAAGATTCCAATGCTCCAACTGACTGCGCTGCAGCAAACCCTCACTTCATTATGATTCCTGCACGTGTCTCATTTGCAAAAAAACCTAATAATAAGTTCATTAAATGCTTACCTTTCCATACATAGTTTTATAGGTTGTCTCTATTTCTTGCCGTTGTGAGTTAGATCTATTACTGATTAGTTCTATGATAGGAGCTTCTTCTGTACCTGTAATACAATTAAATACATAAATACATTTTGGTTGGCAGCTGGAATCATTAAAATAATTAATCAAAGGTATGAAATAAAACAACTGGAAATGTATAGTAAATGTACAGGCCTTTTTATCACAGTATTTCACAAAAATGAGAAAAATGAAAGTTATAGGCTACTTTTGTATAAGATGATAAACAGAATACAGCTCTTCAATGAAAAGAAAAGAGGTGATATTTTTACCTGTTCCAGTCATAGAATTGCGTAAAGTTTCAACATCAGCCTCAACAGAGAACTCGTCTGAATTCTTAACAGTAGGATGATATGTTTCTGCCACATCATCGAGTGTCACGGTTGGCATCTGTTCTTCAGGAGGTGGTGTTGGTGCTCGAGGATCAGATGTATCATCAACCTCATCAGCATCTTGTCTCTTAGCTCGGATCTTCTTCTTATGCAGCTTCTTCTTCCTCCTCAACCTTTTCAGCTTCCTCTTCTTCTTCTCTTCTTTATCTACTTCTTCTTCTTCACCTTCACCAGCTTCTTCTTCTTCAGACAATAATTCTACAATACCATACATTAGAACAATAATTGAACTATGCAAATGCCAACTAATCATAAAATATTTGTACCATTTTTGAAGTTTCTTGAGAAGAGGATTCAACCACTTCAATAGATAGGTAAAAATAAAAGACTTTGAAATTCGTAATATATGCATATAAGAGTGTTAACCACGCAAGTCAAAACATTTCTGGTACATTTTTGTTGAAGTGCAGGAAAACCAGAAGTCAGATTTTCTTTTGAAAAGCGCTACGGATAGTTTTAATTGAACTCCATCAGACAGATGGTAAAGAAAACAATATGAACCCTCTATTCCTTAAAGCATCCCTAAGTATTTTATTGAACTTGCAATTTGACAATATTCTAGAAAAAGGCATTATGACATTAGTAGATTTGTTATATTGGCCTGGTTATTGTCGTTAAAAGTAGGAATGGCCTTTTGCCAATTAGATATAGCATTAGATATACCATTTTTTGAAACAGATTTTTATGTATTTATGGTAATTTTGTTATATGGGTCAAAATGTACAAAATTTAAACCTACCAGCACATTCTGCTTCATCAAAAGAGAAATCTTCATCTTCATCATAAGAAAAATCTTCATCACCTTCTTTGTGTTCTAAAATAGAGCAACAACCATAAATAAAGTACTCTTCTTATCTCAAAATTTAAAGAAAAAATGACCATAAACCAAAGATGACAAAATCAAATTTTTATAAACTCTTTTACAGTTACGCATATTTTGGAAATAAAATCACGAGTAATTAGAATATTTCTTAGATTTAAGGCCAATTTAAAATCTGGCCATTCATGCAGTATGCAATGAGGTTAATAAAACAAAATCTACAATAAGCAGCCTAGGTTTACAAAAACAATGGAACCACTAGTACAAAACCAGTACATGAAATAATGAATTTAACTGAAATGTCCGTTTTTTTGACGTAAAAATTTAAAACCCAACTGTACGAAAACTTTGTAGGACTTGTTAAAAAATTGTTTGCATGCGATTCATTCATTTATAAGTAAACTAAATGAATATATGATATCAAATCTAGATCAAAAGCGTATAACATTCTTAGCGTTAATTTCACAATTTAACTAATATAATTGCTTTGAAGTTTTTTTATATGAAAGGGACAAAAAATAATTTCCCATTTGTTTAAAATACTGAGCATAAAAAGCATAACAAACAAAAAATTTGACAAAAAATAAGGGGGAAAACAGACAAAAAAGCCAATATAACATAGAGATGAAGGATAATAAAACACATGCACGTTAGATGAAAATAGCTCTATATTGAGAGAAGTGATATACTGTACCTTTCTTTTAGCCTTAAAATAAAATCGCTATCTTCACAATGTCGAGTTATTACGAATTAAGTCTAATACCTTGACATCAATAATCACTTTCTTGTATCGAGTTTGTAAATGCAGCTATATGATTGTATTGTACCCTAGCAAATACAGCCAATCAGAACTATCAACAGAAAGACTGTTGACAATATTGATTGGCTCCGATTGGCTGTATTCTCTAGTGTACAATCAAATTAAATCACTGCATTTACAAACTTCTTTCATACAAGAAAATTGATTATTGGTGTCAAGGTATGAGACAGAGTTAGTAACACCATTACATTGTATAAAGATGCAAAATCGAAAAAAAAAATTATTTAATGTCTAAAATGTTCAGATTGCAACCCCTAAGTGTGTACAATGAAGTCTATGGTTGTACACAAGAAAAAGACAATCATTGTGAAAGTAGAGTTTATTAATATATAAAACAGAAATAGAAATTATATATACAACAATCCATTTATCAACAAGTTTCAAATAATAATGAAAGACTTGAATATAAAATAACAGACTAACTTCTTACTTCTGTTGGTAAATCTGTATTTTACCATGTTTCCATGTGAATTTGAATTATAGCTTCATATTAGTAATGATAGTCTTAGAATGACTTGACAACACAGTCTAGGTAACATAAGACCAAACTTTCGTTTCCTTTTTTTATTAGCTTTATATTAAAATTTTAAAATAGCCACTTCAGTGAGGGTTTTACGACAGCCTCTTGAAGTTTGTCTAATTAACAGGTTAATAAAAGCTAATAAAACACAGAACGAAAGTTTGGTCTAATTTCAATTGGACTGTTGACGACACTAATCAAAATATAAACACACATTTTCCTCCAAGAAATTTCTCACAAAAATGTTAACATGCAATGTCATGCAATTCTAAAACATGACTAGTTTGAAGACAATATTTGAATTCACAGGAAAAGCTTGTGGCACAATTTGATTTACTAACAAATGTAAGATGATAGTAGTAACAAATATTGTATTGAAAAGAAAGCTTAAAGATGGATTGCCATGAAAATTCTCTGTAATCTAAGGAGCATGATTCAAGCGAACTTCAACTAAACAACTATGTGAACATATGAACAATCCAATTGCAGAGTGGTATATGGTTTTAAAGGACAGAAGTTATTTTTCAACTTTCAAAGCTCTGTGGACTATCAAAACCTTACTTTCATGAATATCAATGAAGCCTGGGTGTTTTTGATCAAGAAAAAAATAAGAACCCACCATTACAAATCTAAGAAAAAGCTGAATATCAAGGCATATCAAGAATGACATGAAAAGGTAATTATTTAAAGGTATTGTAAAGAGGTTGTTTAAACTTTCTATGTGTATCAAGGACACTAATGACATCACTTTGCATCATTCCAATTTTTAATTGGACATCTGTATCCTTGAAATTCCACTATACATTGTTTTATGATGTCACTATCACTATAAGGTCTTATATAATATAAACAGCATTTGTGATAGTGAAGTCATAAAAGGCTTAGTTTTATTGGAATTACAAGTACAAAAGAAATTCAATTGAAAATTGGAATGGTAAAAATCAAAGCTATGAGTGTCCCTGATGCTGGCGGTGCCAGCCTTCTGAGACAGGGGCTACAAATAGGGGGCAGCTGAGGCTGAATTCAATTTTTGGCTACTCCGTGGTCCTCTCATAGCATCTTAGAGGGTTGTCTCAAGAAAATTTTAGAAAAAATGAATTGATTTTGTGCATTCTGACACATATTTTGGAGAAAAAAAGTAGACATTTTAGATTTTTTGAAAATAAAGTGGGGGTACAATTGGGGTGCAAACCACTTTTCTTGGGGGACAAATGCCCCCTCCCCCTGTAACCCCACTGGCGCTGCCACAATGCAACTCATAATAAATGCATAGTTCAATTTTCAGTTGCTAATAAATTAAATATAATTGTTATTCTAATGATAGTTTATATATTAAACAAGGAATATAGAAGCTACTGTGTGTGAAAAAAGTAAAAAAAATATCCCTCAGCTGGAGCCATAAAAACAAATGAGCACCATTAACCAATTATTTAGTAAATCAATGAACTAAACTAAGTGATAATTATATAAAAAGTCTGTTTATGATAAACTTGGGCATCCTTAATGGTACCACTAGCACTTCTGTTGTATATTCTCATAATCTAATGTGGATATGCTGTAAAAAATATCATTATTATGTGAGCTGATTGGACGGAAATTTTGCAATTGTATCACATAAATGAGCATATATGTATATAATATTTATGTTATATGGGATACTTTGCACTTTTCAGTGTTAAGTGGCCCTCACACCATCACCAGTTGCCTATGGTTGGGAATACAACTCTCATGGAACTGAGTTGTGAGTTTTGGATTCATGACTTATTATTTGCAACCATACATAAAGTCTATGGTGTGGGGCACCTTTAACAAGTGAACTCTTATTGCACTTTCTTTCAATATATGGTTAGAATTTCTGTGTATTTTTCATTTAAAAAGTTTAAGGGATTTTGTGGTCCAATTTAAACATTAGTAACTGGGCTTATTATGCATAATACTAAATGATATTGTATATCTAAACCCTTTGTGTAGTTTTTTTTATGTTTCCCTGGCAACCATTTTAAGCATCAAATTTGAGAATAGCTGAACAGTGTTGGCACATGGACATTATTTTTAAATGCATATTGAAAATGGATCTATTATGAGATACATCAAATGAATTAAGGACATACCAGGTCCTGGTGGATAGCCACTGGTATTAGGTGGTGGATACTGACCAGCAGGAACAGCTATAAACAGTTACAAACAATTGTAATTTTGCTGGCAATATTTCTCCAGGGTTGATTCATTCATGTAAACATTTGAGAACATTTATAACAAAGATATATAAGATTTGAACAACATTTAGGAGTGGAGAACTCAAGGGAATGAATTAAGTTACAACAGGAGTAAATTTTTTGAAAGAGGGTGTTATACCATAATATATTTTCAACATGTTTTTTGTTAAAAAGATGTATATAATATAAATAAATTCAATGTTCTGTTTAGTACAACTTGAACCATCAATGAAGACTCATGGAATGGATTATCTCTTGTCTAACTGTCTTAAAGTTTACTTGTTTATTCCCTTTGAATATATAATTACGAAAATAGGATAACCCTCATCCTAATAAAAATAAATCAATTTTTGTATCAAAAAAGATTCTTGTTAATTTGAAGAACAAAATCATTAAGTTGTAGAAAAAATACTTACAGAATCCACCAGCACCTTGTTGGGGTGGTGGATATTGGCCTTGAGTCTGTGGATAACCTGGTACCCCTCCTGCAGCCGGTGGATAACCTCCGCTGGGTGGTGGATAACCTCCGCTAGGTGGTGGATAACCTCCACCACCAGCTGGATAACCTCCATGTTGTCCTGGATAAGGGTTAGTAACATTATGATGAGCACCATGAGGATGATGAGCATAATTACCTGGTCCTGGAGCATAACCTGCAACTTTCCATGGCTGCAATGAAAAAATAATCATATGTTTCCAAGCAGTCAACAATAAACACATTTGTTTTAAGAAGGTATGCAGTATGCAATGAGGAAAAACAGGCTTGTTTTTATATATAGATTCATTGATTCAATGATTGGAAAGCTTATGGCCACAGACATTCTTTCAAGTCACAAAACAAAAGGTTTAATACTTACTGGAACGCTACCAGCTGGGATTCTTCCCTGAAAGCAAAAGAGCAAATTACTGTATAACTGAGCAAAAATACATTCATTTTAAACAGTAAACTTTGAAATTTCTAGCATTCAGACAGCAAATACTTATTATCATGCATTTTGATAATGATATGCCAATCATAGCACCACAGCAAACAAAAACCAGATCACTTTTTCATAAATTATCTGATCCTGCCCGGTAATAAACTGCATATAATATATATATATTATATAAGAAATGAAATGAATGGAGTTTTACGTTGTGCTTTTCTGCACCATGTGGGCTAATGAAGACGGGCAACGCCATTCAGGTTACAATGAGTAAATTTTGCCAGGACAGTGGCATTAGCCTGCTGGTGGTAGGACATTGTATCCATAAAAACACCTGAAGCCATTCTGCACCTGAATTTATCAACTCAGTTATGTTGCAGATGATTTCAACAAGATCAAATCAGTCATTATATCTTATCAGAGGTTACAAAAACAATTGCAGTATTTTTATATTAGTATTATCATGTGGCTATGATATGACAAAGGTTGACATGACCAGATAAACAGAATACTGTAATCTTTTAAAGAATTATTTACTGAATACAAACTTAACTTTTAATTCTAAAATTTGGGATGTATTAATACTAACAACTTTCTCCCATTGGATTCAATGCTTCATTGTTGAGTTTACACACATAAAATCTCAATCCAGACATTAATTCTGGTTTGTAAAGTGTCTAGATCATGAATATTTCGACAAACAAGCATAGAGGGATTGTTAAGAGGTATTTTTAACTTAATTGTGCATTGGGAACAGTGATATCATCGATAAGCACTCATTCAAACTTTCAGTCAGACATCTGTATCTGTAGTTTTCTGTTTTTTTATCATAAAATGTTTAGTTTGTATGGAATTTGCAAAAACAACAAATGTTTGATTGAAAATTGGATTATTGCAAATTGATGCTATAAGTGTCACCAAAAACATAGAAAATCTCTTTACAATCCCTTTAAATCAAGACTTGATGACTACATCCAACTTTTAAAGAAAACTCAACATACCTTCTTGTAATCTTTCTTCCATTTTTTCATCTTCTTGCGTTCATGTTTAGGTAAATGTTTGTACTCATCATCAGATGAATCTGAGCTAGAACTGGAAGAACTGCTGTATTTGCCTCCATGGTGAAGTTTCTTATGCTTAGGCATAGTGGTAGATGGTCACACTACCTGACTATAAACTGAAATAAACACAAGTCACAAGATAGAAGACTCCTACACAACTAGATACTGACTAATCTGATAAGAGTAGAGTCAGAGAGAAGAGATTTATAACAAAAATCTACATTCTTACATAACCTTAGGTTGCCATGTTACAACTTTTATATTAATCTCTAATCTCAAACAACTCTCAATAGATTTCATGGTTTATATCAGACCTAAATACAATATTAAGCTAATAATATAGCCCTTATCTAAGGGTGGGGGAAAGAGTTAACAAAGTCAATATGGGTCAATTATTATTTGAAAATATGCATTTACTGAGGGTCATTTTTAGCCCAACTGTGGCTCTTTTTGCAAACAAATGGGACCTTGGATCACTTTATCCTAATACTGCAATAGCTTGACAGAGTGAGTAAGAAATATAACCAAGTTTTTCATACAAGACAAGTTACCTTAATCTAATTCAGATTACCATTACTTATCAATGTTATTTTTTGAGGGTCTTCATTGTAATCTAACAAGATTGATACCGAGGTAGCATACTGGTGATGCTATAAGCAATATATAGCAGCCAATCATGGGAAACTCTCCCACCAATCAGAATCACTTTTACAAGGGAGTTTCAGCAGTCTCATTAATTTGTCTTAATATCACTCTGCCTTGTTTGGGTTTCCCTATCCCACACGTAATAGTCAATATTTAGACACTACCCTGCATGACATGCTGTGGTTGGTTGAAATGAATCTAACAGTATGCAAACTTAGTATAAATCTGTATAGAGGATAGGCTACAATGGAGTCCAAAATAACATAACATTAACAACAAAATGAAATTGTAATCCCATACTAATTAGGTTACCGTACTGTGTGTTCATATATTTACAAAACAAAACGACAAAAAAGCTATATGCAAGAGTGTCGATTGGCGGTTTTGAAAATTATGACATGAATATTTATTATCTCGGTCACGGCCAAATAAAATTCAGACTCAGCAGCAAGGTATCAGGTCAACCTTAAGTTAAGGGTTTCTTTTCTGACCTGTAGAATAGGGACAGGTAGATTTGCAAATTTCAGAGTATGACAGTTCATGACACATAAAAAACAAAACAGAATACAAAGGTTAAAACGAATCTCAATTTCATGTCAATGTTTCACTGCTCATTACCTTTTTTTAAATGAATAAAAATGGGTGTGATCAAGATCGTCAATCAAGTTTCCAAAACATGACGAGTAAGTTAGTACAAGTGAGACTAGTTAATCGAATATAATGTGTGTTCGATTACAAATTAGACCAAAATACAACCAGAGCCTTACATTTTGTTATTCTTATTGCTAGAAATTACATTTTCACCAATTTAGCATCTTTTCTAAAATATCAAATTTTTTAATAATCTTTTGCAATCCTGTCTTCCTTCACTTTCGGTAGATATATAAACCGAACGCATCCAAGGACAGACTACTCTGTACTAAAGAGCAGATAACTCAATTGTTTACCTTTTTTTAGTGGTAAGTCGTGAGCATCTTCTTTCCTTCTTCACAGTCACACCTAGGAATGTAAATGAAAACCAATTGGATATCTCACACCCCTTTTTAAGATCCAAGCAAGGCCAAGTTTATAAATGAAGGATATTAAGTGTTACTTGCGTGAGTGTACGGCAGTGCATTATTAATTGATACGTGTCACTCACCCAGAATAGATCAATTGTTTCACAGACCACAACAAGAGTATACGTTGTCAATGCCAGAGAATGGTGGGAGGCAATCGTAGGCTCCAAAGCTTAGTTTCTTAAATTTATTTGTCCTTAATCTTATATTGAAAATTAGTTATTATTGTTTACTGTTGTAAGAAAAGGAAAGAGAATTCATTACCCTTTAACTTAAGATTACGCACACAAGAAACAATTTGATTTTTGCTTTAAGTTTTAAGAACTATTTTATAGATCTAGTTTAGAAGTGTAAATATGGTGAGAATATCAAGTACAGGAGATATATTACCAGATGATAATAAATCTAACGCAAATACCAGTAGTAATAACTCAGGTGGTGCACAGAGAAGACAGGTAAGGGGATTAAATCATAATGTGGGCAAAATTGCTGACCATTATTAGCTCTGAGATAATACCACATATTTGCACTTAAATACTTATAACATATAAGGATAGGCAGCCAGTGAGCATAGCCATGCATCCGATGAAAATTCACATAAAAATTTTAGAAAACATTTTACAATGCCTTGTTTGTTTTTTGCTTGTTTAATATAAAGAATATATAGTTGAAAATTGAATAAACAATAATAATAAAGTAATGAAAAATATTCTTACATTCCTTTGTTTTTATTTTTAGGGGGCAGTTCGTCATGAAAATTATAATCAACAGGAACAGGCAGCAATGCAAGGAGAGGGAGGTGGAATTTCAGTATTTGAAGCCTTCAACCAGAGACTATTAGCTTTGGGAATTCCTAGGTGGAATGCAGGATCCTATGTGATAGAACCTATTGTATCTGTGGCATTTCTATTAGCAGGACTCTTCTTAGGACTTCCAGGAATAATAATGGGACTGGTGTTGTTTGCTGTGGTGAAATTAAGCCAAAGTGGTGGCATTCCTGGAATGGATTATCTGTTTGGACTTGGACGAAATCAGGGTACTAATAATAGACCTAATAGAGGAAACAATGATCGTAGACCAAGAGGTGGTGGGGGGCACAGATTGGGAAGTTCATAAAATTGAAACAAAATAATACTATTTTTACTTCATTTCTGGCATTAAAAAAAATATTTATAAATTTGCAAACCATTTGTTTTCATATTTCTACTTGGGGAAGGGGTGGCCTCAAAAGACATATCAAATGATCACCTTGACAAAATAAATGCCAACCATAATTTTTCTTTTTTGCACACCAGAAGCAATGCTGATGAGAATAACAGTCTGAATATTAAGACTGTTGTCATATTTCCCTTGAATGCAGACAAACTGGATGAGAACACTTGAAAGCGTCATATCACAAAATTTATTGTTAAGTCCATATCCTTGTCGAAGACAAAAGAAGCTTGGCCATCAGAGACTAACTTTTTTGACTAGTGATTTGTATCATTGAATCCATCACAGCCCTATCAATCATTTGAGTCAGAAATAAGAGTTACAATAAACATCAGTATTGTATGGTTTCCAGGTAAATCTGAGCCGCCAATATGTGGTGTATCAGCCCCAAATTCTTCCAATGGTATACATTTACTTTTTAGATTCCATTTCTTCAGTAGATGCACTATAGACCTGTCAGAACTGAAAATGAAGAATTTGATACAAGACATTGTCTTTAAAAATAGGAATTCAAGATTTTTACATAATAAGATACAATTCAATAAAACTTCTAACTTGTTGTTTTTAATCTTATAGTATTCCTATTTATAGTTTTAACACTTTTAACCCTAGCGGTCGGTTAACCAGCCACACACTAACGCAATATATACCCGAGCAGCCTGTATACCGGCCGTTACTTAGTAACGTCATACACTTTTACTTATATTACTTGGAGTTCAGGGTATATGGCGTTATATTTCATTTATACTCAGGGTTCATAGTATTAAGATACATGTCATTGTAATATATGTGTATATCAAAGAGAAAAAAGAGATATAGTTATTTAAGTATTTTATGATATCTGTATCACTTTTCACAATTTAAATCCAACACTCTTTCTGTATATAACAACTATTTATGGTAATTTTTGAACCTTTATTGCCTTAATCATTTTTGTTTAAGGGATTTGGTCATCTATTTATGATAAGATATGTAAAGTGGTACAGATAGATAGAATGGAAATCTTATCAGTTGGGAAAGCAAATGATAAGATTACTATATCCTTTTAATTAATAAATCTGAGAACTTATATTAACATTACCTTCATTCTTGATAGGTACACCAAAACTCACAAAGTGGATTTCTTTTTAAAATAAAACTAACTGTAACAATAACTTCTTCAAAATCTGAAATTATTACCAAAATGATTCTCCATATTACAGGATGATTTTATGTTTGTTTGTAAATTAGGGATATGCTTTAATTTGAATAACAACGACTTTGTAATTGAATTCATTGAAAGAATTATATTTTAGATAATTGCCTTAAATAAAGATTCAGAAATGAAAACATACCTTTAGTTTCATAAAAGCAATCAGAGGCTAAAATGATATCAATATTACCAAGTTCTAGTAAACTAGGATTAAATTCACCCCAAGTTAAGCCTATTACTGGAATATCTTTAATATTATTATCTAGACAAGTTCTACGACAGTTCTGTTGACATTCTAACAATCTAGCAGAATCACTCAATATCACATCAGCGCCACATTTAGCTGCCATTATTCCTGGAAGTGCTGTGCCTGCTCCAATCTGAAATATCAATAAAATTATAACCAATAGGCTGAATGAAGTGATGTCTGTGATAAGTCATTTAATATGTCATTAAGCACAGTGATGTCTGTGATTAATCATAAAAAGCGTCACTGAATACAGAGGTAAAGCAAATAAACTTAAAGATCATCATAATCCTTCAAATACAGTGATGTCCTCAATAATAACTCATTGAATACAGTGCTGTCTGTGATAAATCATTTAGACTGTCATTCAATACAATGTTTGTAATTAATCATGAAGTCGGCCAGTGAATACAATGATGTCAGTAATAAATTATTGAATACAGTGATGTCTGTACATAATAAATCATTTAGACTGTCATTAAATACAGTGATGTCTGTAATAAAACATTGAATCAGTGATGCCTGTAATAAACCATTTAGACTGCCATTGCATACAATAATGTCAGTAATAAATCATTGAATACAGTGATGTCAGTAATAAATCATTGAATACAGTGATGTCAGTAATAAATTATTGAACACAGTGATGTCTGTATATAATAAATCAATTAGACTGTCATTGAATACAGTGATGTCTGTAATGAAACATTGAATACAGTGATGTCTTTAATAAGTCATTTAGACACTGAATATGACTGTCATTAAGACTGTCATTAAAAACAGTGATGTTTAAAAACCTATTAAACAGAATGTCACTGAATACGGTGATGTCTGAGAAACACATAATACAGTGATGTCTGTAATAAATCATTTAGTCCAAGCTTACCTCTAGAACATTTTTATTTTTGACTTTTTGTCTGTTTTTCCAAATAAACTGAGCTAAAACAGGAGCACAAGGCCAGACATACATTCCATATTCAGGATTGATATACTGAAAATATACAAATCTGCCTACACATGGTTATGTGGCAGTGGTATAATTGCCATTGAACTCTTAGATTCTCTTTCAAATGCACAAAAACTTGTCCAAAATCTTAACAGTTAGATATTTCAAAAAAACATCTTACATTTCTTTCTCATGTGTAGGCCTATTAAGTAGTTAGTCAATTAATTTTGCATGAACAAATTTTACCAAATAATTTCAAATTTGAAAAGAGTAATTAATATTACCATTAACCTATAGCCTACCTCTGGCACAATGATCTCCATAACATCTTCTGATTTCTGTTCCATAAATTTGAATAGTTTTGATGAATTCATCTTTCAAACTAGAACTTCAGCTTAGTGTCTCAAAAAAATAAGTTAAACATTTTAAGAAAAAGTATATTCATGTATAAATAAATAAGATAATAATTTATTATGATAGGCCTACCAGGAGATTTTTTTAATATTGCAATTTACAGATTGAAAATTTTGTATTAATTGCCCAGGGTCATTCCACATAATTATTGTCTTATCCCCTAATCTAACAAGAGCTGAAGTTATTAAAATAACAAGTTGTTGAATTTGTATATATTTGATTGATGTAACAAATAGTAATTGAATGTGTGAGTTACCCAGGGAGATATATTGATACAAAATTACTTCGACAAGGTAATTTATCAGAGCTTTTGAGGGTTCAACTTTGAAAATCTAACATAGATCGGTGGCATGAGCGTAACGATTTGATTCACAATTGGACAATTTAGAGACATGAATCATGAAACTGAAACTACTTATTGAACTAAAGGTACTTTCAACAGAATTTTGCTGGATATTCGAGAAACAAAGAAAAAGCCGCTTAAATCATTTTAGGAAAATAAACTGAGCTGATTCTGAAGATAATAGATACTGCAGAATGTTATAAGTTAGTTGTCTAAATGAAACATAAAGACATAACCCGTCTGATATGATGATTTTTATGTCTAAAAGAAAAACGCTGAAAAATATGTCCATGATATAAGCGACTTTGTTCCTGTGGCAAATAAAGATGGCGGACGAAGAGGAAGAAAAAACTGAACGGACGAAAAGAGAGGCCCGAAAATGTTCCCAGGTTGCCAAAATCCTCATGAAAGAGGAAAAACGAGCAATTCTAAAAGAGGTATATATTTTGGTTCATTATGATTCACATCCCTTGACAAAGAAAAAGGAAAATGACCGTCTCTTTCAAACCAGTCCAAATCGGCAATCAAAACAAAAACAATCAAAATTTAAACATGACCTGACTTGAAATGATATCTACTTTGGCAACAAGTATATTATAAGTTCTACATGGTTTCACTAATTGAAAGCAATAAGCATTTGAAGAGCAAAATTACCATGGCCAATAGAATAAATTAATTCCTGGCCTTTGTCTACATGGACACTTTGTAACTTTGGTTGTAGAGACTCATCATGAATCATCGAGAGTCATGTTGGAAGTTGTGTATGATATTCCCAAATTCTGAATGCTTTATTCATGTCTTACAAGATTCTGGAATGGCAAAATATAAATAAGCTTGAAAAGACTACAATAAGATTATAAGTAGGCCTACTTGTCTTAAGAAACCCCATTAATTCTGACTTTAGTAAAGCTTAATGAAAAAGAAAACTTATGTAGTCCTAATCCAACAAATTTTGCATTTTTTCAAACACCAGGTAACATCTATCTTGAAAAAAGCTGAATGTGATAGAACAGAAGCAGAATTAACACAACTGAAATTAGCAGCAGATGTGGTCAAGATTGTGGAAAAACGAGCCAAATTACAAAAAACAAGAAAAGACAGACTTTTAGAGGTATAATAAAGATTAATTTGCTTAAGAGTTGATCCTTGCTAAATTTCATTAAAGTTATATGTACAGTTTATCTTGAGCAACTTTTTTTATATTCAATTTGATAATGCTTTGGAAAATTTCATAATACATGTTGTGCATTTTTTAACGTAATTATGATATGAAAAATAACTTATTTTGTAGACTGAAGATCCAGCCGAATTATTAGATAATAAATGTTACCAACTTGCTGAGAAGATTAAATCCTGTAAAAATATAGTGGTTTATACAGGAGCTGGTATAAGCACTGTAAGTATTAAAAAATTAAACTGAGAAAATCAAAGGCAAAGTCAGCAAAGCTATCCATAAGCTATCTTAAAATGAATATTGGAAATAAATTAAAATGTTGATATATTTAAACTTAAAGGGGTTTCTAGCTTTGAATTATTTGTAACAGGGCCATATGGATAAATTGAAGGCTTTCTTTACAGTTTTATTTACGATATTGATTACGTGTAGCTGTTTTCCTGAAATCATAGAAATGCTTATACAATCTCTGTAATAGTGCGTTCAGACGACTAAAGTTAAGGCAGCTTAACTTCAAACCGTTCTTCGAGCCCATTTTTTTTAGTCGTCTGAACGCAATCTGTTGAATTTAAGCTGCCTTTACTTGCATACTTTGGAGGTGGCTCAAAACCTGTCTTGGAATGTTAAGGCAGCTTATGATGCAAGGCTCTTTGTACTAAGTTTGTCTTTTTAAGACATTTTAGATGAATTTATAGGTTCTGTGAAATAAGCTTATGAATTGAATTCATGATGGAAAAATATAAGCTTACATCTTAGATGAAATTTGAAAGTTTGTATAGTTCATACTATCAGCTTACAAAATGATCTATCCCATATTATGTCTCTAACTGTTTACTGAATGACTTAGATTATGTACATCTTAATTTTAGGCAGCTTCAATTCCTGATTATCGAGGCCCTAATGGGATATGGACACTCTTGAAGAAAGGACAAGAGCCTAGGTAAGTAGAATAAAATCAGAAATCTGTAAGCTTATCTAAAGCTCATGCTGCTCACTCGTGTTTCCAAATCAAAATTCTCATAAGGGAAGGTGGTTTTAGAAATAGAAGTTTACTTTCGAATATAGGATAAAAAACATATATACACATACATATACATATATACATTTACATAAAAACATTTAATATCACATTAACCACTATCACACTGTTCCTCAACCGAAAGAAGAGGCTAGAATAAAATTTGCAGAATTCAAATGAATAATGAAGATATGTTTAGCTTAAATCGTTTGTATTTGCAATAAAAACATGAGTTTGGATATTTGGATGAGTTGAAGAGCCGTATAGAAAGGTTGTTATATTTTGGAAGTGTCTTGGAAGGTTGTGAATAGTCTGTTTTTGTTCATCTGAATGTGAGGTTTAGTCATTAGAATTATGTATTTGTTTCTGTTTCAGAGCTCAAGACTTGAGTGATGCTGAGCCCACTTTTACTCACATGAGTATAACTAAATTACAACAACAAGGACATGTAAGTTCTATTTTCAATTATACTTCCCAAAAATTGATTTCTTTTCATTAACATAAAAGTCTAGTTGACATTACTATTAAAATGACAGCAGAAACAATATTCTAGGAATGTAGACTAAAATTAAAATGTGCTTTCTGTAGGATGGTGCTCTTTGCTTCCACTGATGCATTTATCATGCATTACAGAAAAAATTGATAGCAAAAGAGTTTGTTTAGACTTGCGACAATGTGATATAGCTTAGATTTAACCCTGTTCATGTTACAGTATTTTTATTATAGATTTCCTATGTTGTGTCTCAAAACTGTGATGGGTTACATTTACGAAGTGGTTTTCCTCGGAACGCTTTATCGGAAGTTCATGGCAATATGTATTTAGAGGTAAGTGAAAATAGCTATAGGATATAGGATAAAAAGAGCTTTTTGCAACATGGATTCTTTAAGTGAGGTATGAAGTTGACAAACCAAGTTGTATAGTGGTAATACCGTGTTCTGCAAAGGTGGGCACAGTAAATATCATATTACCTTAATGGTGACATATGACACAAATCTTATTGAATCTATTATAGTTTAGATAGAAATATTAAAACAGAACCTGAAACATGTGCTATCTTAAGACAGCTGACCTATTGTCTGAAGATTATATGGCGTGAAACTCTGAGTAACAACATGTTTCAGGTTCTGTTTTAATATTTCTATATCACTCCACAATTGATGAATTGAACTTTTAACTGTGGAAATATTTTGTTATTGTAGTTTAGGTTATATTTAATGAAGTCATTTTATTCTGGTTTGTTTCAGACCTGCTATAGTTGTAAACCTAAAATAAGGGAATATGTCAGGCTCTTTGATGTGACAGAGAAGACTGGTATGAGACGCCATGCCACTGGTAGAACATGTCATAAATGTGGGGGAATGTTAAAAGATACTATTGTACATTTTGGAGAAAAGGGTGGAATGAAATCACCTTACCATTGGAAGAAAGCTGCTAAGGCTGCAAACAATGCTGATATGATACTTTGTCTTGGAACAAGTTTAAAGGTAACTAATTTACATCTATTTTTGTCTTCTTGTGTGCCAACAGCTAGTAGGTGAAACCCTTGACAAGACTAGTCGGTGACAAAAACACTGACCAAGACCGTTGGGGTGCCCGTACCTTTAGAGGCTGTTAAAAATCCCCAAACAGTCCCAATTAGTTCATGCTTTGATCATGAAGGAATTTCTATCACAACTTTTGCATGGCATCACACAACATCATAATCATGCCAGTGCATTGTTACATTTTTCTAAATTCAATATTTTATTTTTAGGTGCTCAGGCAATACCCCTGTTTATGGGCAATGGATAAAAGACCATCTCAAAGACCAACACTATGTATTGTTAATTTACAGTGGACACCTAAAGATGATAATTCAGCTTTGAAAATTAATGGTAAAGGTTTTATGATCTTCAGAAAGTATGAATTTCAAAATGAATGATAATTTGAAATAATGTTCAGATTATCAAATTTGCTACATTTATAGACAAGATTTTTTTTCTCATCAGTTTTAATCAGATTACTCTATTTCTAAACTTTAATATTTTGCAGGTCGTTGTGATGAGGTATTTGATAGAGTTATGAAGTTTCTAAATTTATCAGTTCCACCTTATACAAGGTAAGGTGTTTAAAGCATATCCATATAAGTTGAACAAGAATATTTGTGCATATCTGGCTGCGTATGCTCGAAATGATCTAAGCTCTAGAATGTCTGAGAGTCCTATCTTCCAACATTGTTTCTAGGATATTCTAGCACTAAGATCATTTTTGCCTGGTTTAATTCAAAACATACAAACACGTCCAATATTTTTGGGGTATTTTTGGGTTTAGCTGATAAACACTTAAAAAGGAACAGTTTGTGAATAATGATTCCATTTGTTAATCTTATTTTAGGCACTCAGATCCTATATTTCGCTTGGCCACTCAACTCAGGAGACATGAAAAAGATTCCACTGAAAAGAAGATTTTACAGATGCCGTTAACCATACCACCTGAAAAAACAGCTAAAAAATGTGATATTGCTCAAAAACGTAAAGTGAAGAACAATCATACAATGTTAAGGACATTACTCAATTCTTCTGTGACCAATCCAGATTTGGATGTACCAAGAGTCTTAAAGAAACAAAAAGTGAAAACTGAACCACAAGATGATAGAAAAAGGACAGATATTACTCCAGAAGTGAGAGATAAATTGGCTCAAATGCTCAGGAAAAATCCAAACATACCAATACCACAAGTCTTTCATAATCCTATGATACCACAGCTTCCTATCCACCCAGCTCTAGTAGGTCTTCAGGTACCATTTCATCCTTTGGATTTAGGTGCTAATCTTTCTCTTCCATCTACCTCGGCATCAGCATTTTTCCCTGAAGCAATGCACAAAGCTCTACTCCTCAATAACCAGGGACAACTTTTGCAAAACTGTTCCACGTTCCATCCAAGTTTGATTAATGCTACCTCCTTGTATCAGCAAAGTGATCTCATGAACAAGTTAACTATGCCAAATTATTCTGTGAATATTGACAAAATTGAACTGAATGTAAGACTAGACCACAACTATTTCCGAAAAATTGTGACTGGAAAAGTGAAGAAACGTTCAAATCCTGGAATGGTTCTGTCTGTTCGGAAACTGCAAGACAGCCCATGTGATTCTGAGGATTCAAGTTGTGATGATAGTGAAACTGACAGTGCCAGTGGGAGTGTCACTGATATCGCTTGTGAAAGTATGAGTGGTCGCTCAAGTATGAGTGGAAGTATGACAGATATCGCTTGTGAGAGTTTGAGTGGGAGTGTAACTGACATTGCTTGTGAAAGTATGAGTGGTCATTCAAGTATGAGTGGAAGTATGACTGATATTGCTTGTGAAAGTATGAGTGGTCGCTCAAGTATGAGTGGCAGCATGACAGATATTGCATGTGACAGTATGAATGACTCTGCTAGCGTGACTGATAGCGTGATAAGCTCTGTAGATGATGATGACTCAAATCCTGCTGTGAAACCCACAAGAGCTCCTGGGTGGTATGGCAAGGGGTTAACTCTGAAACGAAAGAGAAGAGTCAAAAGTATCAATTAAGAGCAAAAATATCATTTGATAATCTGTCTCATGTCATTTCATAGTGAAAACACATTTTGTACATGCATTAAAGCTATCATGCTTTTATGAGAAGTAAAATTAGCTATTGGAAGAAAAAAAGCAAGTGTGTTTGCTGTTATATTTACTACTAGCATCTACCATACAGTTTGAAGAAATTCTGCTGTCAAATTTTTTTTTTGATAATTTGTTTGATGACATAAAAATAGCCTTTAAATAGCGTGATAGCTTTAATTTAATTTCTACTTAATAGAGCTCATAATTCTGAGCAAGAGTTAATAAAGGGAGATAAGTGTGAATTTCATTTTATAATTGCCCGTAAGCCTTTGTCACCTTGATTTTTCAAAGGTGTTGGAATTAATTCGAAAACTACACCATTGATTCAGCAGGCTTATATAAAACTTGCAGTTTATTTATTTTGTAGATGATAATAGTTTATTGAAAAATTAAGAATCTTTTAGTGTAGAAAAACTTAAGAAGCAAATAGACGAAATTCAACATGGTGGGTGATTATTAGTAGAAAATGGAAGAAGCTAATACAAGAGATATACAAGGGGTGAAGACTAGATCTGCTTCTTCTATTTATGTTTTCATCAATAATCCCTCATAGAATTTTATCTTTTTGCGCCTAAAGCTTTGTAAGCTTACTTATGGATGGCAGGGTGAAAATAAACTGATATAGTTTCAAAGGTGTTTCCCAGCTGATTTTTCATGTGTTCTAATTGCACAACTTTTCAGATTGAATATCTGACTTGAGGTTCATCTGAAATTTTAGAGAACTGATGATAGTTTAAACAGACCAAACATAGTGATTATGTGTAAAAATAAGTAATTTTGACTCAGTTTTATTTTCAGTGAAGAAGAACCAATTGTAGGATTTTTCTGAAACGTGTTGTTGACATCTGAAATTAAGCTCAGCTGGTAAAGAATATTTTAATTTGACGAAATCCATTTAAAAATATTTTTTTTTATTGATTTCACCTATGATTAAATGAAAAAATTTTTTTTTTGTATTTATATTGAAATAAGATGTGTTTTAATTCAGAGCCAACACAAATCACAAAAATGTGGATTAAAACTTATTTTATTAAAAAGTTTATTTTTGTTCAAATTTTGCCCAGATACCTGTTATAGATGAACAAAAGGGTGACTGTTTTCACATCTTTCCTCATATAAATGCTCATTTACTATCATATCTTTATATTTGATTTATATTTTTATTTATTTATGGTAGAGGTGTGCTTCAGTATTTGAATTTTCTAAGAAAAAAACAATTAAATTATTTAGAATATGCTTCATGTTGTTGATTTTTCATTTTGGTCAAAGAGCACGAAACTGTTGTAATAAATGAATTTTAATTGCAAATTGACTTGAGTAGGGGACATCTTAATCCCAATAACAATGTTGGATATCAACACACAAGCTAACACAATAACAATGTTGGATATCAACACACAAGCTAACACAATAACAATGTTGGATATCAACACACAAACTAATACGTTTTTGTCGGACTGGTTAATAAAACAACACAGTCGATATATATATAAAGCAACATTGTCAAGATAAAAGCGCCTGATAACAACGCTTTTAATGGAAATGGCCTGTTTGTTTTGTTGTGAACTGGAGCAAAACGATGAAGTAATTCAAATAGCCCAGTCAGGCCTAAATAAATATTATACACATATCTCGAGACCAGGATATCACGTTCATTGAAAGACTAGTTGATCGAAATTTATACTTACGTAGCCTACATAATAAATCCTATTTCAGTCTACATTAAACCACCATTCAAGATGGATCCTACCCGGATCTTACTTTTAATTTCTTTTTTATATTACGTTTCTTGTGAAGGTAAGAATTTGTATTTAATATTTGGTTTAAATGATATGAATTGTGATAAGGAATTTCAACCTTTTTCGAGTATTAGATCAAAATATAATTATTAAGTTGAACGATTTCTCGAAAACTGACGTTTCGATTATTTACATACATGTACATTTTGTGTTTAAATTCCCATTGTAAATGTCTGAAGTAAAGAAGTTGAGAAGAAGAAAGGTCGCACACGCTGCATTCAAGCGTGTTACACCGCTGAGCCATAGATTTTGACCACCCGATTAGAGTCTTTCCGATAGATCGAAGAATCAAGGATGGGGATACAGAAGTGTGGACACCCCTTTCCCTCTCCCATTTTTCTAATTGATCGTTATTCAACGAGTCAAAAATATTTGAGTAATCCAAAACTAACAATATTACATCCGGAAGCATTTCTAAATACATAATATATCGGTACAAAGAGTGCCCAATACCGTTACATATATATATACTCCCTTGGTGATCTTTTAACTTGAACAATCAAACCACTCACAATGATACACTTACGACCAATACAGTTTCTGCGTACTAATATTTGAAACCACGAAGCACACGACTTGGGAATTAACCTTTTATGTACCCCAAGGCGTCGTTTCTATAGTCCTTAACTTTACTGTTGTACGGGTATTGTCATAAAGTGAATTAAAAAGATAATAGTCTAACGATATCCCCAAAGTGTAGTGTAGGCTATATTGCAAGTCTGTAAGGAATGTTTTAAATTTTCAATTGACACGCAGGTCCTTGTTCAATGCCACCCATAATTATTTGTCGGAATGAGAATGAATCTTGCGTCCTGTTGGTCTTAATATTAAAGAAAAACAAATTGATCGTATTGCCTAAAAAGAGGAATGGGGAACTGAAGTATACAGAAGTACTCACAGTACCGCCTTATTAGCCTTATTTACAACACGACATTCTATTTCAAAAATATAATTAACCTGTCACTTTAAATAGAATTCTAAGTGAAAATATTTATCGACATCACCTTTAAAGTAATTAGAACTGTCAAGCGAGCTATGACGTCATCAAATCGTCAAAAATACAAAGTATATTTTTTAAACAAAAGCTATAAATGAAAGAACGTAAACCAATGAAGTATGTTAAAAGGCCTTTACAATATTAGTTATTTCATGCTCTATTAGTCTTTGACGCACCTTGTTTATAAAGAAATGTTGGTCAAACATAGTTCACACTGCCCAAGACTACAAAAAAAATCTGACCGTCTCTGATCGAAAAAAATCTGATGTAGGATTCCCCTTCCCTCCCCCCTGAAAATTCTTATAACCGACCAATTCCATTACTACAGCTAAACACCATACACCATTGCCTCTGTGACTGGTTCCTGCAATTCCACACAGAGTTTGCGATAGTGACGTCATCAAACGCTTAGTTTTAGTGGAATAGCAGAAACCACCTGATTGAAAATTGGATGCACTTAAAAGTTTAGAAAACCTCTTGTCGTAAATATCATTATTTTGTCATAGCCATGGTGGTAATATAACAACCGTTGAAACAACTTTTCCGAAGAAGCTCTCGTCACAAAGAGAAGATTTTTGTTATTTTACGATGAAAGACGGTGTGAACGGCCCTTTAAATGATCTACTGTCCTTAAATCGGACGTGTCCTGTTGTATATTGTATAGAATCAATAAATAACTGGTATTATATATATTATTAACAGTGTCCTGGGTAAACCCGGTTGTTATAGGTGTGTTATTGAGTGAAAATACCGCAAAGCAAGCAAGCATGAGTTATTGCAGAAATTGTCTGATAAATGTGGAGGAGCCAGGTTAACGTTATATGTTATATTTACATTTTGAGTGATAAATTCTTTATGAATTTGATCATAAATTACCATTTGTCGAGTAGAGAATACACAGTAAAATAATCAACATATAGATATAAAGAAAGAATAGTATTTATACTTCACTAAATTTAATATAGAACTTATTACTTCCTGGTATACAGCATTGCTTAATTATTTTATTTATATAAATAGTTTATTCTATATAAAATGTCCGACCAAGTTGTTATTGACAATAAAACTAACAAAGACATTTTCAATTGGCTAAAAATTTGAATTTTTGATTAGTACTGGGGTGTTCGTGTTTCAAATGCGGATAATGCCTACACAATTTAGCAAAAAGTAAAACTTAAAGTAAAAATGACTTATTTGTTCAAAATGTCAAAATCTACCAGAATTAGTAAGGAAGCGGAATTTCACTTCTGTAAGCAAGTAAATCAACAAAATCTCTTAGTTGTACAACAGGCAAGGATTTCACCAGTATGATTAGACTTCATTAGCCCTTCAATAAAACTCGAGGTTGTAAAACAGCAATAAGATCCACATGGTATTAGTCTTAGACTTGTCAGAAAACCGAGGTTATACAACAATAATGGGTTTCACTAGGTCTGTGTGTTAGCCCTTCAGAAAATACCAAATAGCCAGCGAGAAAATCATAACGATGACTTTTAAAGAGTATATTATGGAGCATTTACTCTACAGAAAAAAAACAGTAATGGGCTTCACGAGTCATATTATTCACTTTACCCTTATCCAAAAACAACAACATTGGACTCTTCAATCAAAGGTTACTAATGAATACATGAAGGCTATTTAACTACAAAATAAAATGCATATTAACCGAGGCGGATTGACCTATAGGCAAACTAGGCAGCTGCCTTTCGGCTCATGGAAAGTTCGACCCATGACAAATTTTGTAACAGTAAAAATTATCAAACAGTTAATGAATTTCTGCAGGCCCATCGAAAATTGTCTTACTAGGAGCGTGATGTGTGAGAATCGACTAAATTGGTTGAGCCTAATGGTGATGAATGCGAATATTGCACTGCATTTTAACCAAAATGAAAACGAAACATAAGACTGAGCGTCCTATATGTACTAATGTTTTTATTTCAGAAATATCGTTTGAGTCAGGTGTTAGTTTCGAGACAGTTGAACAGTCTAAAATACCAAACTCTGCTGAATACGATGACGTAGAGAATACGGGTACGTTACATTTTATTTTCAAATTGCCTGTTCTGTTTGGTAGAAATAAAAAAAATGTATAGATAATACGTGGCCCAAACATGTTGACCGTTAACTTAACTGCTAATGTATTGTTTCCCTTTAAAACAGAGTGTCACTAAAATGCGTGTTATAATGCCTGCGTATTGTACACAGAGTTTTATAGTACATACATTAATCACTGCACGCGAGAATTTAAAATTCTATCCATTGGCATATTGACAAATAATAACAAAAACGTCTGATTACAATTATTTACCATAACCATATTTTCATATAATTAAAATAAAGAAGGTACGTAGGCTGAAATAAGTCATTTGTCTTAAAATCACAAAGCCTAAACTCTGTGTAACAACATGTTTCAGATACTGTTTTAATATTTCTATATTTTTACATCGTATATTATGCAGGAAGTTATTTATTTGATGCTGAAGTTAATAACAATAAAAAGAAAAGATTATCTTTAGGAGTTCCCGTTGACTATTTCAAATCTCTTAATTCGAGATATTTTCGGGCACATCCCGATTTTATGCCATGTGTTCAAAAAGTGATCACATCACTTCAAAATCAAGGCAAAAATGTAAGTTGTTCAGAGTATTAGTTTTATGGGGGTGACTGAGATATAACTAACGTTGTGCCGAAGGCATTTATTCTACTAAAATAACCATTCTGGTCAAAGAAAGGTACTATTTCACCAATCTGGTTGCTAGTTTGACGCGATAGTTTGGTATACTGGAAATACATGCCATTGGATTGATCCCAACCGTGGATTAGTTGCCTGTGTAGATGTGGTATAATATATAGCTGCAAGGTTTTGACGGATTCCAAGGCTGGTGGTTCTTCAGGATGTGCCTCTATTGCTTATAAATCAACGAATGTTTTGTTTCAGTTGAGAGTGGTATCGGGCTATCAAACTAAATCAGATACTAATAATGGTAATAGTATAGAGGATAGATATGCTAGAAGTGGTACTGGTATTAAGTTAAAGTATCAACCAGGAGTTACTGGTGATCTTAAAGACATCGCAGCAGCAGCTTTGAAGAAATGCCCCGTACACTTCGAGGTAAACTTACATTTTTTCCAAAGCGTCAAAGAATAACATCTTGTTAATTTAGATGTTCGGTTTTGGATCACGGCATAGATCGAGATAATATTTTCTGTTTTTCAATCCGGTTTCTCCCTGGTACTGGTGTATCTCTTTGCTTTGGTGTTGACATACCAATGTCTCCTAGTTCAATAAATTGGTGGTCCATGAGTTACAAGCTATGTACGTTAGCCACCTAAAGAAGAGCACCTCCATCATAAGCTATATAGATTTATGTGTATTTTGAAATAGACAGTTTCACAATTTTGTTTTGTTTTGATTTTACAGAGATTGCAAAGAAATCTGGGAGTGGTCTTGGGAAACGGCTACGTTCACCTGCACATGACATCGACAGAAAACGCTGCACTACATGTATCACTTAATGGAATCAGTGGTATGACGGATGCTGAACTTCAATCGTGGGCTTTAAACCAAATTGATGCTGGTCTAGATCCTGTCGGTTCACCAGATTGCAGTAAGATAACTGGATTAGATAACGGAGGGTTCTATCCAAGTGGTGTCACTACCCCACAAGAGGCTATTGGTGATGTTGATATTCCAATATCAAGAGAAGTTCCTGAAGATTTTAAGAGGTACTATATAGTCAAATAGTCATTGGACAATTTAATTTAATTTTGCTGTCCTTTTCTACCCTGATAAACATACCAATGAGATATCGCCATTTATATAAATTCCAATTCAACAGGAGAAATTGCACTTCACGCCATCAACCAAACTTGTTATTTGCTGTAAGTAAGGAAGGAGGAACAACTAAAGGCTAAACCTATTGTCAATTATCCTTCTGGATTGTCAGTTATTCTTACCAATAAATGAAATGAAATGACAGGTTTTGCAGTTTGTTCCAGACAACTCACTAGCGTAATATGATTATTTTCATTGTTTCAGATTAGTACAATACCAAGGTAGAAACATTGAGTTTGTTAACAATGAAAGAACTGCAGCATGGTGTGGTATTGTTGGTAACAATTGTCTTGACTGTAGAGAGAAACCACTTGGCAACTCTCTCAATCAAAGGTATGTTAGGTTCACCAGTCATTTGGTTTATTAGTTACATGGCTAGTTTGGAGATGCTGACATGGAAAAAGTTTAAAATCTCTTGACGGTACTTTTGGGTGTCTGAAAAAGAGTCGGTTAATGACACTGTCCAGGTAAGAATCCCGATATTGCTCGCTGCATGGTCTTTTGTGTCGTCATTACCCAATCAGCAAGATGTAATCTTATTGCAATTTCTCAACCACACTGAATCATTCACAAAGGTGTTGCCTGCCCTTTTAGTATTGATGATGTAGAGCAGTATATCGGATTCAAATTTGAAGAAGGCCAAGGAAAGAAAACACGGTGAAATGGTCTTCTATGATATAAAAGTAATGCTTCTAGAGGAAAACAGATCAAAATTGAAATTTGTATTTCAGATGTGCAGCGAGATTAATGAGTCAAAGAATGTACAATGTTCTTATTTCATTACAGAAATTAGTTCGTGCTAATGGAGGTAAGATAATGCAGTAGACTATCGTTTTCACCATACCCCTTGTATAGGTTCTTTTTTACACAGATGAACTAGGCACCTCTCATAGACACTAGTATTTTAAAGCTTTTTTTCAAACTGCAGTCCACAAACGTAATAACCTTTTGGCCTGTGGATTTTCTTCTTCTATTCATCTTGATCTATTCAAACGTCCAGCCTAAGTTTATGTTTTGCATCCTTTGAATTTCAGATAAATTGAAAGTGGAACAAGCTTTTGATGAGAAATACGCTGGACATGTTGCTGATTTTGATGCTACTTCATTATATACTGAGGGTAGACTGGTTAAAGTTACTCGATCAGTAAATCCATCATTAGCTAATTACAAGAAGTTAACTCAATGGGCTATTTGCTCTAAAGCTGATTTCGTTCAGAATAATGGTAATACAATTATTTATTATATTTGTTTACGGTAGTTCAAGTCTACTACAATTGAAATGATGTAGTCTGGATTATCTAGACTCTTAAATTCTTTTTTAAAATTTGGCTTTTAGACAAAACAGCATATTTTCTGCACACCTTAAGAATGTTCATGAAAGAACATTTCATAATTTAATTACGCGCATTAAAGAACAACTTTCGACAACTGTAGCGACATTTTGGACGAATTGGTACCTTTCCACGTTGGACATCACCTTTAAAAAAGCATGCTTTTTGACTCCTGGTATTGTGTCTTTATAGGTGATCATGTTTTAATTGGTGTAAAGAAAATGTATGGTCGAATAGCACAAAAGATTGAGTTCCCCCTGGTGCCATTATTACGAGTTGAACCACCCCAAGCTAAGAAAGATATGTACAGTTTACCAAACGGTTTTACAGTTGAGGACGAAGAAGATTATCCTTTGATTGATTCCAGCTCACAGGTTTGTTGCTTTCTGATCTCCCTGAGTCAAGTCAAATTGATTTGGATGCAAGCTACACAACCCATTGTTACTCACCGGAATGCTGTTACATAGTTACTGGGATAAAAGCTCACATTCATAATGATGAGTCAAGTGGAAGGTATATAGGATGCATATTGACTCCTATGGAAGCGCCAATAGTGATTCACGATGAAGTTATCCTATAGTAAAGCAGGGAAAATTAATTGGAGTGATGTCAACATGCTCAGTGAGTTATGTTTAAACTTCCCCTTTTCAGGAGGATCTTGAAATAGCCTTGGATACCCCACTGAGTTTGTTTATGTCCAAAGATCCAAATGTAAGATACCTTCGTCTGCACCCATTGATAGCTGATTGTTATTCACAAATCGTATATCATCTTAACAAACACAACAAAGCAACTGGTATGTATACTTTAGTTACACTAACATTTTGAATAATTATTGACAATTCCTATCCCGTCCATTGTTGCAGTTACTCAACTAGATGAGACTCAACTAGGCATCGGACTAAAGTGGGTTGAGGCCCCTCCCCTGTGAATATTTTTAACATACTATGCTCTCTTGCATTCTGAAACTCCTGTACGCCATTAAATGCTCGCGAACATTCTAGGGTTTTGTCTCTATGGTAGTTGGACCACTGTTGCAGAATAGATTGACCAGAATATAACGTAGACATGGAACTTCGAGCAGCCATTTAATTTTCGTGTTGTTACAGTCTATAGTAAAACCACATTTCTTACAGATCCAAAGATCAATGTTGATGTAGTCCGAGGATTTATGTCCACAGAAGAACAACAATTGAAGCTGGCCCCAAGTGATCGTCGATACAACACCATGACTCTGGGTACTGGTTTTGAGATCAAATACTCCAGTAATAATACAGTAGAAAGACCATTGTACACTCTCGTGAAGCAAGCCGTCGACTATTGTGGACCTCTGTTCAATGATGGCGTCAAAGAAGAAATGGGTGTTGGATTATACCAAGATAAGATTTTTGTTGATATGCGATCTGATTTTGATGTTTGGACAAAGGCATCTAATCAGCTACCTGAAGGCAAAACCCTGTCAGACTATAGAGAAGACATGTTACAGAGATTTGAATTGGCTGTTGGTAAGATCTCTTTCTATAATACTCTGAAGATTCTCTTGATGTTACTATCCAAAACTTCTTCAGATCGTAATGAAGGAATGGTGCAACTCTTTGCATCCAGGATTATGCATGTTCTATTCTATTCAATACTGTTAAAATAATTCTAGAGGAGATTTTGGGCAAGTTCGTAGTTCCATAGCACTCTAACTTGTGCATGTATTTTTGCATCAGACCGACCATGACACCGACAAGTGGGTTTGAATTATCACTTAATTTTGTACTTTCCAGACAACAGAATAGTGGATCCTGATAATTTAGAAAGAGCCTGCATTTTAGCTAACCACCCGGGTCTTCAGCATGCTGATTTTAATCATGAACACACTGAGCATGTTAAACGACGACGACGAGCTGCTCCAGAACCTGATGATTGTGTTCCTGTCAGTGATACAGAGTTCTGTACTTCTACTCTGAAACACAGACAAACTGAGGTGGATCATATCTGGACGGAGCTGACTAGGAAATGGTTGTACAGGAATGAAACTGAAGTTAGAGAAGCCTTGGAAGGATGTTTCTTGGCTTGTGGAACCTGTTTAACAGGTAAGATATTTAAAATTTATTCATACATATATACTTTCACAGCTTCTATGACCTTCTGTAAAGATTGCTTCAATTACAGCTAAGGAGAAAGAATAATATTGCCAAGGATACACATACACAAGATTTTGGCGCCTGGTATGCTTTTTGCAGCAGACGCCAGACAATCGGAAAGTTTTGAATAGAATCATTCAGTGTTCCTGACGCACAGACAGACTTTCTTCCCGTAATAATCCTTTTGAATAGCACCATGGCTAATATATTTTATAATATTTGTTTAAGGTACAATCTACGAAGATAAAGTAGAAGATTGTAATAATTTCTTACACTGGGTTCCCTTTGATTTGATGAACGATGCTCCAGGCATCACCAATATCTTTCCCAGAGATTCTATGTATCTGAGAGGTCGAGCTTGTAGTCATGGACATTGTATTGAAGATGCTCCTCTTTTCCATCTTGTTGGTAAGTATACTTCTTTCTGATTATGATTTATTTGTAATAGATAAGAAAGGAGAGAAAACACCAGGAGCAGACACTGCTTTGGAATTTGGTGATAATCGTTTCCAGAAAGTAAGGGGTGTCCAAATGTCATTAGTTGCCAAAATAAATGGAAAATGCACCTTGTAAGTTCGTATGAGGAGCAATACCAGCGAAACAAAGCTTAAAATGTCGAAGACACATCATGATTTAAGATGGTAGTTGAGGCGAGTAATCCTAGTTGTAAACGTGAGTATCAATAAATTGGAGTTGTTTGCTTTCATTTAGCCAATTCGAAAAAACCAAACAACTTCTTGTATTTGTTTTTTTTTTGTCTTTACAGCATCATCAGCAGAGGCTATTTACCGACCAGATCCAGAGATGAGTGTAGAAAATGAACTGTACCCACAAGCTGAGAATCCTAGCCCAGTATTCGAATTGTTACATAGAATCTATACAATCCATGCTTCTGGTACTGTTAAGTTCTGGGTACGGGATGAGAACGACATGCTATCATTATTGTCACCCCTTCAGGTAGGAGTCACTGATCTTTTCCATTGTCAGTTGATTAGCTTGTTCAGCTTCTAATAGGTCGATGAATATGGATTTCATTGTGTTGAAATTAGAAATAACTCGTTTTTGTGCACTCGTACAAAATTTCGCTGACGTGAAAATAGTTAGTCGCACGGATGAGACAAAAAACCCCAAGGCCGTTTTCCTACAGACTTTGTACGTTAAAGTTTCATGAAAGAAGGAGTAGGCTGATGCCACAGTCGTAGCCAATATCCGCTGCGTGCAGAAAGGAAGGATTTAAAACCTCTTAATTCTACCTCATTTGTTCCAGGATGCAATGTTATACAATAAAAATGTAACTGATGTAGAAGTATTCGTGCTAGAAAAGAGTAAAATGGATGCAGTAGATTCAGTAATACAATCTGCTGTAGCTGACTGGTCTAGTTCTGGTTGTCCAAAAGTTACCCGTGAAATCATCGCTCCATCCAAAGTCTTACCTTTACCAGAGGGTATGTCATTATTGGTTCATTTATGATTCAAAAAGACTTTTATCTGGGAAATATCGATATGAAAGTATGGAGGCTCTATAAGAATATAATGTAATCGTCCTTTGTATTCATAGATTATTTACAACCAAAGATCGACTGCATTTAGTTTTCTGGAACCCAGTCGCTTTTATGACACTTTGGAAATAGCTAAAACGGGAAAGAGATTTTCTGATCTCTCAATATTCACCAAAAACCGACTTTAGCATCTATCTGCACCATTCAAAATTTTAAACCGACACCCTAGGTTCCCGCATTCCCTGAAATATCTGAACAGCGTCTATACCTCTTTGTACTCAACGATTAGGAACCAAACGTCAAATGAATAGCGCAAATAAAAGATCTACTGAGTCTCTTTTGAATAATTTGCACTCTATGGGATGGGAATTCATACGATTCAATTCATAGTTGGTTGTTTGACAATGTTTGGTTGTTTTGTATTTCAGATGTTGGTAAGAGATCACCGCATTCAGCTGTTCGAGAAGAAATTATCAACCATTACACATCCTGGGAGGCTCGCTGGGCTAACATGGAAATTTAAATATTATCTCATTATTCTCCTATAACATTCCATAGGATTTTTATCCAAATCATCCACACTAATAATTGCCTCTTAGAGGCCCTATATTTGTGCTTATCTACTAATGTTTTACAATTTTGTTCATTTTGAAACATATCATTGTTATGGTTTCTCTAATATGGAAATGTAATGATCTACGCAATTCTCAAAGGTAATGTTCCAGTCTCCAATTAATGCTTTCCCGTAACCTCCCAGTGCCTACGATCAGAACTGCAATACGAAAACCACATATAGGCGAAACATAGGTAGCAGCAAATAAACTTTTCACACGATGAAGTATATCAATCATAATCAAGATCTATTAGATAGCCAAATATGCCTTTGTAAATTAGGAAGTGCGATCTCATTAAATGCAGATCTGGACATTTCATTTTGTAGTTTTTTATTATCTCCATTCATAGATGTTAATGGAGTCGCCAACATAATAGCACGGAACGAAGCCACCGGATCTGAATTTTTTAAGCAGTTTGTAAAATTTTAAGATTGCTCCAGTGATAATGTACCACAAGTATTATGCTAGAAATATCGCTCTGTATTTAAGAATAGAGAGCACAAACGGTGAACAGTTAATATTAACAATGGACCTATTGTGTATTGTATGTATTATGTTATGTAGAATCATCTATATGCTTTTGCACAAAATCTTCGCCTTTACTATCTAATTGTACTTTTCAGTTTTTACACATAATGTGTCGTTTTTATTTTGAAAATGGAAATGAACCTGGAGTTGGATTCTCTTTTTATCTTTCTGGTCTTGCATACGACGACTGGTATATACTGGTGTACATGGAGGTAATCAACATTTTACCAAGTGTACAGGGATCGTTTACATGCAGTCTGTAGCATATAGGATTGCGGTTCCCTTCCAAAACGACATTAAACTGGCATGCCCAGCCTCTCATCCTGCATCAGTAACATAACCTTGGTTAACTACCCTTTCCCAAATACAAGTTTTCTGTTTTAGTAGGATTTGGCTGCTGATCGACCCCGAGAATCTTGCGAATCCTTTCAATTTAGTTACTGACTGATAATAAACAAGATGGAAATATTTTGGGTTATGATGACTCGGAAACGATCGTAGAAAAAAAGCGTTTGACATTATGCTGCTTTAAAGAAGCCAATCGTACCCATAGCTAGATTTAAAGACAATATAGCATACTAAAGCGTTTATTGATTATTTTGGGGAAGATTTCCACAATATTACAACATTATGCATTAGCCAAGTTGTTAAAACATGTCACATAATATATATCAATAATAATAATGTAATCAAATCAATAATAAGAATATAATAATGTAATCAAATTATTCATAATAATAAAAATCAATGATAAGAAATCTATAACGAGAATGATAGGAGAGGTATAACTACAGACAATAACAAACTAACAACCTATATATCAGTACGCCCAATTGGTCATCGTGGTGTCCGAGAGGTCATCTCGTGACTCTAAAATTGTCTAAAAATGTACAAAAAGCAGATCTTGTCCCGAAGAACCGTCTAGAATGGGATTCAAAAGTGTAATATCATAGATAAATAACATCATTTTTTGATTAAATCTATAAATGCAGAGATGGGGCCTCTGTATTTATAGATTTACAGATGGTTATATAATACTTTATAATAATCACACAAAACAGCATCATAATATATTAGGCATTAAAACGGTGATCAACATGAAAGAGTATCATGCAAACATGATGCAACATTAATTATATTATCATCAAATAAGATTTCAAAAAAATGTGATATATGGAAGTGGAGTTAATAAAAAAAAAGTTAAAAAATAAAATCCAGCACTATTTTCAATAGTAAAATCATTCTTAATTCCGTCTTTCTTATGCACTTTCTTAAAACACAAAACAAAAAGCGAAAAAACCTTATATTAGGTATGATAAAGTATGTTTTGTGTTCAAATTATAAATGCCGTGGTGAAGTGATGCACTAATGAATGCAGTTTGAAGCATCTGATCATAAGACTTGACTTAGCTAAAATATGGCAAGTACACGCAATTTCACAAAAATGTCTGTTCTAAATTACACACCATTTACTAATCTAAAATTTTTGATAAAACATTTTAAACGTCGTCTTCCAAGTATTTGGGTGTTTCCAATTCTTCCGTTTCTGGTTGCGTGTCCATAAATTGACTAATGATCTGCTGCATGCTCTCTTTCAATTCCTCTGGTGGGTGTTGGTCTTGTTGAATTTGAGTATCTTCTAAAATGAACGTTTCTTCTTGGCCATGTGATCCCAATACTGTTCTACTATGAACTTCTTTCTTCATCAACAATCTAAAACATGATTCATCATTTTGAAATGGACCAAAAACAACCCCACAGAATGTGAAATGGCGTGAAATACCAGAACGTTTTATCCACGGTTCCTGAAGAAATCCACAAATATATACCCCGTTCTTTTATGTCCTTGGACATTAAATGATTTTGAAAGATCAGCGAACTTGAAGTTATAACGAGTGTACATCCTACTTTTCTGCTCTCGATTGGGCTAAAGACAAGCAAGGAATTATGTGTGGAATGGGGACAAATTTTGCCAGAATAGTCTCGGCGCATGGACATGGTCTTCTACACTTATCACCGACAAGGCGGAAACCGGGATTTACAATGTTCATTTCAAACAAGGATTGGACAACACAATTTAAACTGTTCTGGACAAGGCAAATTTAGTTTTGAAAGGACTACTCACCTGGTACTCTTATCATCAACGTCATCACCTCCCATAGCATAACCTCCTTGATGGTCTGGGTCTAAACAGAGAATCACATCATGGTATTAAATATTATGAATGGAACGATTTTATACATTTCATGTTCTAGTTCTTCGAGTTAATGATAAATGGTCTCCATGGTAAGTTGCCAGGGCAGAACTGAAACTCGTCTACTTGCGTCCCTTGGGAAAATTTGTGGTTGTGCTTTGTTCATATTTTTTATTTGATCATCAATTTGCTAAGTACTTCTTGCTCAAGTTTTGATTTTTAAAAATCCAATTCAAAAGGATGGTAAAAAAAACGCTACATAGATATATTGATATATTCAAGGCAAACACGCCATGCATATGAACCCGTCCAAACCCATCAAAACCCCAAACTCTACCTGCTAAACACAAATCATACCGCAAAGCATCATACACATACACCCTTTCACATATGCCTCTGATGACACACCCTTAAGGCGAAAAAGAAATTCCCGAAAGCATACCTCATCAGCAACAAAATATTTAAAATAAAATAACTAAAAAACAACCGACAATCTTAATACCTAACAAAATAAAAAAAATCCTCTGAGCAACCAAGTTTGGCATGCCCCGCATGAGCAACCAAAATAAGCACGCCGCAAAAATAAAATAACCGGAAATGACTGAGCTACAGTACCACAACATTTACATCTACCTGAATCCTGATAGTCCTCTCGGTATACTGCTTCATCACCATGGACTGCTAAACAAACAGAATGGAAGATCGGTTAATCAGATACACAAAGCGGAACGTTACAAATACCTTACAAAATCTTTCCTTCTCTCTTTGAAAATAACTTAATTTCCTTTATTTCTAAATTCCATACTTTGGAAAAATGTGTTAGTTTACGAAGCAACAGTTTATTTTTTCAATGATCATTCCCCAAAATAAACACAAAACCATAACAAAGCTACAGAGTACGAAAATAGTGCTAACATATCAAGGTGCCAATACATTATTAAGGAGTCATTACTGAAAAAGAGTGAAATATATATACATGAAACAAGAAAATCATAAACATTAATAATACAATAAAGTTACATAAGCCTTAAGCTTAGCAAATAGCGCTTTGCGTCCCACCTGCAAAAGAAACAGAAAATGCCAAAAATAATTAGTGCCTATAAAGCAACATAAGAAATTGAACAACACAGACATTTGAACGAATACCTGAAACGTAATATAATTAAACTAACGGAAATGAGTAGAACGTAAAGCTAACCAAATTAACTTCTCGAAAAGAAAATGACCCAACAAAGAGATTACTGCATGCTGAACCAAAAGACAGAGTGCACTACTGAGACAATGGTTATTATTATTATTAGTACCTCTTGTTTCATATGTGACAGTTGAGACATGGCTTACACTGGGTGCATGCGTTTCTATGGTAGTATCGAAAGTTTTGATTTGTTCGGTTTGTGACGCTAAATTTGATTTTTCCATGGCTTCTCTTTTGAGTCGCTTCATCTCTTCCCATTCTACCATGGTGTAAACTTTTTTGGTTTCTTCATACGGAATCTTGGTTGATAATGGCTGAACGATTTCTTCTTCGGTCATGCCGAATTTGAAAGGTTCGGTTTTTAATTTCTTGGTTGGGCCCACTTTCTCGGCGTGAGTGCCCTTTGATTTAGGGGTTTTTGAAGTCCTTTCGTAGTTCTCAATTACACGTTCTTCATAAATGGTTTCATGGACCTCGGTTTTGGCAGATTTATCTTTGCATCCACTATCAGATTCATTAGAGACTGTCATTAAACTGGAGTCGCTATGTGATGAAGATTTGACCATACCATCAGATCCCATACTGGACCAGGCAGCAGATTCAACAGACATCAGCATAATGTTCCTTTGGTCAGCTTGAATTTCAAGAGAATCTGTGGACGTTTTCATGACATCATCACCGCCGTGGAGAGAGTCTTTGTCAGATTTCCCGGCACTCAATTCTAGCGAATCCGCTGAGCGTTGCATTTCTTGGAGAGAGTCTTGAGAACCTCGTGTGTCTGGTTTTGGTACATTGGATTGTAAGTGAACTATGTCATGGGTAGAATCTATGGATCTTTGCATGTTGTTAAACTCTAAACTATCTGCCGAGGTTTGCATCACAATACCATACAGCGAATCTGCTGACCTTTCCATAATTCCACTGTATTCATGCAGAGAATCAACATCAAATGGCCCCGATTCCTGTCGTGAATGCTCAGAACGTTGTTCTAACGTCAATGAGTCTGTTGATATTTGCATCACGCCAATGTCTCCAGGTATTGAATCATTATCCAGAGCTTGAGTTGAATTCGGATCTGGACCAGCGAAGATGACACTGGATGTCATGTCAGTCATTTCTGATGTGTCGCCGTCTAGGGAGTCACCATCTCCAAGTTGATGAGGATCACCTTCACTCAATGAATCTCTTTCAATACTGTCTCGTCCATCTAATGAGTCTTTGTCCAGATCTGGTTTGAAGGATTGAGAGTCAAATAGTGTTCCACTTTCGAGGATATCGACAATTTTGCGAGCTTCTGCTTCTAGCTCTTCTGTTGCAACGATTTCGCTTTCGATTGTTTCAAATTCAGCCAAAGATGCCATTGAGGATGTTTCGCTTCGCCTGCTGGAGCTTTCTACGGAGCTACGACGCTCTTCTTCTTGGCAAACTTGCTCAAGTCTTTCAAATTCGGATAACGATGACATTGATCCGTCGTTTCCGCTTCCAGTGCTTTTACTTTCAGGAGTAACTTTGTCGACCGAGCTTCCGGAACCAGAGTTAGCCGTCTGTTTTTCTAACCTTTCGAATTCGGCTAACGAGGAGGTAGTTGATCCATCATCTTTATCATTACTTTTACCATAAAACCTTTTCTCATCTACGGACCCGGGAAGACTGCCAGTACCAGGAATACTCTCTCGATCCACATTATCAATAGAATTAAGAGAACCAGACCGGGAGAATTCTCGTTCGAGTCTTTCAAATTCTAACAAGGATGAAGTCACAGATACATCATCTCGTTCACCACTTTTGCTGAAAAATTTGCCAGTTGTGACTCCGGGAGATTGGGTAACTCTGTCTGGGGAATGTCTAAAGTCTGATCCAAGTTCTGATTCAATGTCGTATTTATCTACAAGTTCAAATCTTTCTTCGTCAGAAATTTCTGTTATCACAGATAAGGCCTGTCTACTGTCAACGAATTCATAACGATTATCATCTATCGGCGATTCGACCTCCTCTCTTTCTTCTATTTCTTTTTGTTCAATCCATTTTGGCGTTTCTTCCACAGCAGTGCCCGATTCTTCAGTGTCACTGGTATGAGAGGGTTGAACATCAGAATGAATTGAAGATGTCATGGAAGCAATTTCAGCTAGCCTGTCTTCGTGTTCACCATCGGAAAAATCATCTTCATCCTCTTCATACGCAGGAACAACAGTAGCAAAGCTGTCAACGCTTGATGAGTCACCATGTTCCTCAGGACTCAATGCACTGTGTCCTATCATGGTCTCGTCCGGTTCGAAAGGAAAAAATTCTTCTTCTGGGGTAACTGACCCAGAATCTGACCCTACATCTTTATCATCAGTAAATTCTAAGGTTGCAGGGACAAACTCTAGGTCGCCTTCAGCTAAAAAATAGTTCTTATCAGTTTGGTTTTCGTCATCTTCTTCACTTGGTATGACATCAGGTTTTTGGGTCCGAACTAACAATGGTCGATCTTCTGTTTCATATTCGTCGTCAGTTTCGTCGTCCTCTTTATACCCGTCACTGGCATCAAATTTCTTACTTGGGGGTATAGTTTCAGGGAGATTTTCAATGTCATCCTCGTCATCATCCTCAGGGACACATTCGACAGATTTGGCAGAATCTGCATACATTTGGGAAAAGTCTCCCTCGTCAAGCTCTTCATGCATATGTTGAGTGACTGTTATTTCAGGAATGTCCTCTGATATTTGCTGTGACAAACGTGATCGAACAGGAACTGGTGGTGGTACTCTTGGATCCCCAATGACATCATATGATTCTCTTTCCTCTTCAGTTTCAGTTGGATACTGATTAACATCATCAGTTGGTTCTGATTCTTCCTTCTCAACTTGTATTAGGTCACGATCTTCATCAACAGGGGTTTGAACTTTATGTTTCACCTCTTGCAATATATTTTCAACTAAATCCGAGGCAGCCTTTTCCAATCCTTCTATATTCATATCCGGAGTTTTAGTGACGTCAGGTGTCTGAGATGCCGATGTATCACCATAAAAGAGTGGTCTTTCTTTTTGGGCATCGGGTGTTGGAGAAATGGGTCGTTCTATATCTTCATCATTGTCACTACCAACTTCCAATGAGTCTGATTTGACACTTCCATCTTCATCTTCAATTTCTTCTGGTTTACTTTCATCCAGACAGAGCAATTCTTCCTCTGGCTCATCATCTTTAAACTCTGGTTCATCCCCTTCTTTGTCAGCAAAATAATCATCCGTCATTTCTAATGCGAGAGCCTTTTTGCCGTGGTATAAATCATCGCTTCTTAATTCATAATTATCATCTGCTATATCTTCGGGTGTAGCCATGTCTTGTTTATCAATAGGTACTGGGATAAATTGGTTATTATCATCTGTTGTTTCGTCGGTTTGGAAAGTGCCCTCAGTTGGTGGTTGGGTTAAGTCAGAATCAAGATCTATATCAGCTTTTTGGGATTCTTTTTCCGGGGATCGAGTTGCAGTTTCATCCGAAGGCATATCAAATCCATATAAAGTTTGTTCAGAAGCAGTCAAATTTTCACCAGCAGGAGCGTATAGTAAATTTTCCTTTTCAGCGCAATCGCTTTTTGGAATAGGTATGTCTTCGTCACTTTCGAAGTGTTCAACTCGTTCGTCTACTATGGCATAAGTTTCATCCATTCTGTCTGCGTTGGTCGTTTCTTCCTGTTGTTCTTCTGGTTCTATTTGTTCCTCTGGTTCTATTTGTTCCTCTGGTTCTATTTGTTCTTCTGGTTTTGTAACGACCTCTTGGTCATATTCGGGAACATAATCTACTTCGGTGGGTCCGTTTAAAAGGGATTCCTTTACAGGTTGATCGTCTATTATAACGTCTTCTACATTGACCTCTGTGAAACTTGATTCATCCAATGGAGCACTTTCTGCCAACTCTGATGGTGACATCATTTCGAAAGGAGAGCTTAGTTCATCGTCATCTTGCTTTTGTTGATCTGATATTTCAGTCAATGTTACAGTCATTTCCTCTTGATCACTGGCTATAGGCCCTTCAGTTTCGAACACGTCATCATCTGGACTAGAGAGGATAGCTTTAGTTGATGCACCCGGAACAATTTGTTTTTCAATCGTATCGGGTGACAGATCATAGGCCGCTACGACGTGAGATACATTTCCTGTATCCAGATCATATGATGCGGCCAGAAGTGTGGGCTCCATGGACATTTCGGAGGATGAGGTAGATGTCTTTATGTCTTCACTGTGTAATTCTTGTGATCGAGCAAATAACGTGTCAGACTGAAAGGTGACTTTCTTTTCGGCTTGTTTTGATATTTGGTCATCTTCAGCACCTATTCCTATTGTTGGTGTTTCTTCAATGGGTGACAATTTTTCTTCAGTAGAATCTCGTTCCGTTTCGGACGATTCGTATATTTCGTTATCTGCCAAACTTTTACCTAAAGCATGGACTGCCATTGGGAATTGATGTGGACCATCTTCTTGTTCTTCAAAATCCTCTTCAAGAATTTCAGCATGGGGCTGAAGACTTTCACTCTCACCAGACGGGGATATAGATCTATCCTTTTCATCGCCCATTTCATCTAACAGTTCCTGGTGGGCCATTCTCGACTCCCTGCTGACCACACTTTCTCTTTCAACTGAAGAATATATACTATCTGAAGAATGGGCTAGGGATGCATCGAGAGCTGACTGAGCTGTGGCATATGATAACATCATGTCTTGTTCTAGGTTATATCTGTCAACCTCATTAAAACCAGTGTAAGCAGAACCGGACGCAGAGTTGATAAGCATGTCCGAAGTGTCATTGGAAGAAGTGTAAAATGGAGACTCGTATTTAGCTTCTTCCTGTATTATTTCTTCTTTGACGTGTTGTCTACTTTGCTTTATTGTCGAAATTACTGTTTCGGTATGGGCATCGATAATATCTTCGTGTGGTTCATGTGCTCCAAGAGCATCAACCATTAGGTCTTCAAGCTGATCTTCATCTTCAGGGGAAACTTGTGCCTCTTCAGATTCGTATGGTTCTGTTACTAAAGTTGGGGTTTCATAAAGCTGAAAAGTAACCCTTTGTTTTGCTTTTGCCTCTGACGCTTCGACTGGATCTAAATCGTCTTCTTGTTCGAATTCCATTGTTTGCGAAGGTTCATCCTCATCACGATCTCTTCGATAAAAGGTACCCATATCTATCGACTTTACCGATTGGAAAGACGATTTCTTTTCTTGCTCATTGAAAGATTGAGAGTATTGTCGTTTGAATTGATGAGCTATTTCCCATGGTATTCTGACGTATTCCCCGAGAGTGTCATCAAAAACTTCAATTTCCCTGTCAGAACTCTCTTCTGATGAAGACCTTTGAAGTTGCTCCTCTGATCCGTTGCTGGAATGAACACTCTCCTCGTCAATAATATCTGTGGATTCTTCTTGAATAGTTGGTTCTCTGCACGGTTCCTTCGATTCTCCTTCATCACATGTTTCGGGAACTTCCTCTTTTACCAAAGACTCCTCCGTAATTGACTGGTTATCATATTCAGATGGTATCGAATCTTCACGCTCAAGTTCGGTCGATTTAGTTTGAAATTCGCCAAAAGTTAATTCGCTTTGTTCTAATTGAAATTGCCTTTTCTTAGCTTCAACTTCTTCGGGAAAGTCAAACGTTAATGGCTTTTCTTCAAGATCTTCAGGTGATATTTCTTTAGTATCTTGCTTCATAAGTAATGGCCGTGCAGTTGAATCACTCTGTTCGAAACTCAGATGTTCTGGAATTTGTGATTTTTGAATTTCGTCGAATGTTTCCTGTTCTGTGGAGACAGTTTCTATTGCTTCAACTGGAGATGTTTCGTCGATTGAAATGAGCTTTTTTGCTGATTCTAAGGTTTCGTCATCAAGTTGTATTTCTTCAGCAGCGGTGTAAAGTAAATCATGTGATTCGTCAAATGTTTGCTTTTCTGTGGAAACAGTTTCTATTGGTTCAGTGGGAGATGGTTCTTCGATTGAAATGAGCTCTTTTGTCGATTCCAAAGTTTCTTCTTCAACTTGAATTTCTTCAGCAGCAGTATAAAGAAAATCATGTGATGGTTCTTCTTTGTGCTCTTCAAGAACTTCTTCATCTCGGATCACCTCAAGTGGCTTTATTTCATCAACTGATTCGAATTCAGGTTCTTCTTCCAAATCTTTAGACAAAAACTCTTTTGGTTCTTCTTCAACGACCTTTTCGGCGGCTGATTTGAAGTCTCTTTCCTCAATTGGATCGACATGCACAATTTCTACATCGGCATCATCAAATTCTTGAATTTCTTCAGCAAATTTGCCAGTATCTTCTTCAGTATGTGTCCCTGTGACGAATCCTAGACTCTCCATTTCGACAGGTTCTACCAGGTCTCCAGATTCACTATGAATTTCAGTGATCTTTTCAAGAAGAAATTCGTCCGTGGAAGTAACTACCACCTCGGTGTCTACTTGATATGTAGTACTGGCATATTCACAAACTTCTTGTACATCTTTGGTAGTGCCTTCTATATATTGCACTTCACCTGTATGGGCTTCTTGGTCGTCAGCCAATTCATCAGAAGCTAGATCGTGTTTTTCCTCGACAGAAGCGCATGGATCATGTTCAAATTTAGCGTCAGAATGGAGGTTTTCTGAATATGAGAAAGTGTCTGGAGAATCAAGTGTTAAGCCATGCTTAGCAGAAGAGGTCTTCGAAAGGGGAGAAAACTGTTCCTCCACATCCGTCTCTTCCGTTTTTTCTTTCTGGGTTTCACAAATATCAGCATCTACGGAAATAGAATTGTTAATTGAAAGGATAAAGTTATCTACAATCAACAGTTTAACTCACATTTCAAAACTACTTTCATAATATTTCATTTAATTATTCTCAATAAATGATCTCAAAAAGCAATTTGTTTAGTGATATCGGTTATTTAACAAAACAATGTCAAAAGAGAGAAGAGAAGTTAAACTTGACCAAGAAAAATGGAACTAAATGAGATGGCAAATAAAAAATTCGATAGGCAAAGAAAATGTCATGCAAAATAAATCCTGAAATAGAGGTTCCTGTCGTGACTAAATGAGACTGATAAAGGAATAAATGTGAAATGAAAAAAATAAAGAAAGGTTTAAAAAAAAAGTTGTGGTCGATATGTACCTTCCTCTACTGCTACGTCATCCAGTTGAGCTACCTCCGAGCCCGATGAAGTGGATTTCTCTTCAATCTTAATAGAATCACCTTGTAAAACTTGTTCATCTGTCAAGATTAAGATTGCTTTGAGAATGGTTGTAAACGGTGTCAATGGTTTGTCATGCAAATAACGAAAGCATTATGAAGAACTATAGGGAATGGTATTGTTGGAGTTGGGATTGTACTTATATATTGATAATTAGATATTACACTTCTTCAATGTTAGTAGTACTTGACTATATTTGTATATATAATATGATTAAGTTTAAATTGGTGAAAGATTTCAAAAGATTAATAGCATTAAATCACGGTGAATGGGGAAAAAAGGATCAATTAAAAGGATTAGCTCCGACAAAAACATGACATGATTGAATGTACAACTATGAAATTGCTTAGAAGCAAATACAAATGGTCAACGTCATACACTGATCAGTGATCAAACTTTGCATAATGATATTTTAGCTTTTCAAATCGGTTTCTAACCTAAAGCGGTTCTTGGCGCACCAATGACGCACACAGGCTTCAGAACGGAAGATGTTGTTTTCCCCGGCTGAACAAAGTAAGTGATAAGCCATTAAGAGACTTTTAAATTAATATAAATATCATTAATGACAACTAGATTTATACAATCTAGCAACAATCAAAATGCAAAAAAAAGGAATCACATTAAACTTTATCAGGGTGAAATTGTATAAGATTCATAAGAATCCCACGAGAGCAACAGCAGCCAAATTTCTATCAGAGCTAAATCTTTCTAAAACAATTCTGAAAATAAAAGACTAATTAATTACAACATCGGTGAACACAACAACATCAAAAAACATCTAAGATGAGCATAACATATCTACACAAGCTTAACGCAAGATCATTAACACACACATGAAATGAACACAAAGACATTCATATTATGATGAAATAAACACATCAAAGAAGGGAAAGAAATGGAATGGCTGGTTTTTGATGAATGAATTGCTTCTTATGCCATCGTTATTTCTGAAGCAGCATGCAAAGCAACACACGGGATAATGTGATCTGTAGGTCTTGAGTTTCTCTTCAATGTCGGTGGAATGGAGGTGCGGAGGTCCAAAAACTTGCATAAACGGGATTAACATGCGAAAATGGAAGCTAAGTAGCCATGCTGAAGGTTTTCTGATCTCTTGGAAGTTTAACAAAGTAATAGCAGTGGAGGCAGCCAAAACACGATCATCAGCCACTCACCTTCCTTCTGAATATTTCCATCTTTTTCGTAAAGATGTTCATAACTAGAGGATCTGCCGAGCTCTTGAAGGTGTAAATCTGGCTGCCCAGAATCAAATCGATCTCCAATATCGAGTTGAGTATGATCAGAATCAGATTGAGTTTCTGTCTCTATATTGACTCCATCATAGAGCTTCTCAAAACTAGACACCATTGGTTCAGGTATTTTGTCATCGTCATCATCTTGTGGGTAATCATTGTCAATAAGTTCCTGTCGATAACCATTATCAGAACTTAAAGCTGACATAGTGTTATCAACAGATTGGTCATTCCCTTGCATCATGGCTACTTCACTTGATTTGGACAGATCATAGGGAGATCCGAGTAGATCATCCATTTGTCGTTGAGTGAACTCTAGTAAATCAAATATGAAATAATGAATCTATGATCATGAGATTGAGAATTAGCAGATTGTAAATTTGAAAATGATACTAAAACGATACCAAAGCGAAATGATTTGAGTGTACACTACGAAAGAAATATTTTAGCCATTTAAAAAACTACGAATGTACAAGAAGCACATCAATGAAATTTCAATTAGATATTGTACCTGATTCAAATTCTGTTTTGTGTTTTGAGGTGGTATCGATCTGATCCTCTGTGTCAGAAACCCCCAGTGATCTATTCAAACCATCTTGATCAGCTGAAGCTATCAACGTAAAATCTGATGGAGAAGGTGGGACGTCCAGCTGCTCGAAATATCTGTTATCTGTTTCTTCATATTGGTATTCATGTCCAAAAACCCTGGCCAATGACTCAGGATCATGGGATTGTGTCATGACATCTGGAATTCCTTGTGGTTGATCGACCCCAAGCGCCTTAGCAAGCATCTCTGGATCTTGGGATGCAATCATTGATTGATGATACTGATCTTGTTCCAGGTCTTCAGCGTCAAGTTCTTGGTCTGAGTCATAATCTTCATCGTCGGCTAACGCTCGATCGAGTTCGGCCGAATCCTGACTTGCTATGAGGGCTTGGTCAATAGCAGGTGACAATTCGTTATTTGACGCGGCCTGTGCGGTGTATGTGTCAGTAAGGTTAAGTTCTTTTATAAGTGTTTCTGGACCTTGGGAAGTTATGAGAGTAAAGTCAGAAGGTGATGGTGGTCGGTCTTCGTGTTGGGAGTCAACGTCCGATTCCTCGTCAGAATATGTATCTGAGTGAATATCTGATTGTATATTTTGTTCTATGAAAATTTGCTGCGACGTGTCTGCACTTACCCGTCCCTCTACCTCAAAATCCCTCTCGATATCTCTGTCCTCAGCCTCAATTCTATGGTCGATGTGGTTAATAACGTCCTGGCTACTTTGACTTCCTATCTCGGAAGATGTGACTGAGCCATCCTGAACTTCAGTTGATGATGAAGCATAATGAGTTTCCGTTACTTGTGACGAAGTGGTTGCAAATTCGCTAAATAACGATTGGTTGATTATGCACGACTGCTCAGAAATGATTTCCCCGGGTGCATCGCCATCAATCTGGCCTCGCTCAACAACGTCAACTGTATCTAAAGATTCTTCTATAAATTCTTCTTTCCTGTCAGTATAAACTGTCACTTCCTGTTCCTGTGGTTCTTCTTCGGATGAAAAGTCTTCTTCTTTGTCTACTGAATACTTGACATCAACAGGTCTTTCTTCTTCTGTAAAATATTCAGCTCTATCTATGGATAATTCTGGTTTAAATACTAGGGCTGTGGTCTCGGATATCTTGACTGTTTCTGCAGTTATTTTCTCTTCCGTGTCTGATGATTCATCAGCAGCTTCAGGAACACATTCAACTTCATCGATGCGTTCATGCTCTACAACATCTTCAATCGGTTCCTGGCTGACCTCTAGAGTAACCACCTCTTGAGCATCCTCGGGTACGTATTCATGCTCAAGAGGGCTGGAATATTCGACCACCTCTTGTGTTTTTTCAGGTTCTTCATATTTCTTTTCCTCGACTTGCTCAAATTCTTGCTTTTCTTCGATACTCTCGGTAAGCACATTCTTATCTTCTATGCTCTCAGACATGGATTTTTCGCTTTCGGAAAATGTTATGAGAGGAACTTCTCGTTCGGAGCTTTCTTCTCTCTCCATTTGCTGAACTTCACATGATTGACCCCCTGCGCCCATGAAACCCATACTTTCAATTTCCTTTTCTAAACCATCGTCAGATTCTGAAGCCGATTCTTCCGAAATTTCCAAATCCTCATCAGCCTCTGTTTTGGAAACTGTCTCATATGATTCTATATATTGCTGAGCTATCGTTTGTTCATCCTTTACTATTTCATATTTTTCCTCGCAAATTTCAAATTCATCTTCTCTCTGAGTGAGCTCTGTCTGTTCAACTTTCTCAAACTCAGCATGTTCATGAACGCGATCTTCATAGTCTGGCTGATCATCTGCGTCAAGATCCGTCACCATTTCTGATCGTACAAACATATGATCATCCACATCCTGTTTTGTTGAGTCAGATTCCGCATATTCTTCTTTGACTTCTTCAACATCTGCATTGTCCATTGCTTGATCGTAAGACAATCTTTGAAAGTGTTCAGTCATGAAATCCTCTTGACGCTCAACTGTTTCTATGTCCGGCGTTATGTCTTGTATAATATGTTCATCGGATGATTCATCTCCGGCAGTTTCACTTTCTTGGCGTAAAGCATCAATGAAATCTTCTTTTCTAGTAACAGCTTCTTCTTGTTCTAATTGTGCAAACGTCTCATTCTGCTGTCTTTCTTTCAGCTCAGCTTCTTGCATTTCCTGTTCTATCTGGGCTTCCATTTGTTCAAACTCTTCTTTTTCTCTCATAGAGTTGTCTTCGGAGTCGTAGTCATCTTCACCTGGTTTTTGATATTGCTTTTCATATTCGCCTAGATCCTGTCTCTCACTACTTTGGTAAGTGTCAGTTACATTCTCTGTGACCTCAAAACTGACTTTAGTCTCAGTGTATTCCCGAAAATCTTCTCTCAATTCTCTGTATTCCATTTTTTGAGTCTCCTGTACTTCTTCTTCATCTTCTCCTTCTTGACTCGCCCCAGGATGTTGTTTCTCTTCAATAAAGTCAGGTTGTCCTTCTTTGTACTCCGGCTGGTATATCTCTTCTTGTCCGGTCTGTATAGCTTCTTGATGTTGTTGGCTCTCTTCTATTTCCGCTTGCATCACTCTGTATTTTTCTTCGTCGATTTGTGTCTGACCAAATTCTTCAAGTGCTTGTTCTTCTGGATGTTGATGTCCCAATGACTCCTCAATTTGAGTTTTATCTATGTCATCCACAAAATCAGACTCTTCTTCATCCGACGTTCTGTCGATCGCATGGATATCTATAGGCTTAACTTGTTCCACGTCATCACCTTCAACATGCTCATGCTTTTGCATTTCTTCATCCATTGCACGAGATGATTCCGTGTGCTCTGTTACTTCATGTCTAGTCTCATATTCTGAGAATTCTTTTGTGGACTCTTCTCTGTATTCAACAAGGTCGTCCGTTTTCAACAGTTCTTCATCGCCACCCTCTTCGTCAACCTGCTGATCATAGTATCGTTCTTCTGGTTCGTCGGTAAATTGCGGTTTTTGTTCTCTCTCAGATTCACGGAATGCTTCTATCGACTCCCGCTTAAGTGTTTCAATATCTTCCTTCAATTCTTCATCACCGATGTCTTCAGTTTTAATTTGCTCTTCGACATCGTGTTCTTCGTGCTTATCTTTCTCTGATTCGGGGAAAGCTTCAAGCGACTCTTGTGTAAGGCTTTCAGTCAGTTCGATATCTTCCTTTAATTCTTCATCATTGATATCTTCGGATTTAATTCGTTCTTCGACTTCATCTACCTTTTCGATAATCTCCTGTTGGGAAAATTGGTCAACTTCTTCAGTTTCGATTTGATCTTCTTTGGTGCCAAACTCTTGTTCCCTAGTTTCTGATGTAAGATATTCATCTGTTAGTGGTTTTTGTTCAGTCTCAGATTCAGGGAATGCTTCTATCGACTCCCGTGTGAGTTTGTCAGCTAGTTCAAGATCTTCCTGTAATTCTTCATCACCGACGTTTTCGGTTTGAATTCGTTCTTCGACGTCATCTTTGACGACCGTTTCCTGTTCGTAATATTGTTCTTCTGTATCTGATGTTACATCTTCATCTGTCTCAGGTTTTTGCTCAATCTTAGATTCAGAGAATGCTTCTGTCGACTCCTGTTTGAGTTTGTCAGCAAGTTCAAGATCTTCCCTTAATTCCCCATCACCGACGTCTTTGGATTGAATTTGTTCTTTTAACTCTTCATCATAGACGTCTTCCGTTTTAGTTTGCTCTTCGGCATCGTCGTCTTTGTAGACAGTTTCTTCATAATATCGATCTACTTCTTCGGTTTTGATTTGTTCTTCTTCACCAGCGTCTTTGCCGACCGCCTTCTGTTCATAATGCTGTTCTGTTTCTGACGTTACATCTTCATCTGTCTTTTGTTCAATCTCAGATTCGGGGAATGCTTCTATAGACTTTCGCCTGGGTTTTTCGGAACGATCGAGATCGTCTTTTAATTCTTCATCATGGACATCTTCCGTTTGAATTCGTCCTTCGATATCAACTTCTTTATCGACCGTCTCTTGTTCATAATATCGATCTACTTCTCCAGCTTCTATTTTTTCTTGGAAATCATCTTTATCGACAGTCTCCTGTTCGTAATATTTTTCTTCTGTATCTAATGTAACATCTTCATCTGTCTCAGATTTTTGCTCAATCTTAGATTTGGGGAATGCTTCTGTCGACTCCTGTTTGAGTCTGTCAGCAAGTTCAAGATCTTCCCTTAATTCTTCATCAGCGATGTCTTCAATTTGAATTTGTTCCTCATCATCATGGTCTTCGTCAAAAGTTTTTTGTTCATAATCTTCGTCTATTTTTTCAGTTTTGATTTGTTCTCCCACATCATCTTTGACGATCGTCTCCTGTTCGTAATATTTTTCTTCTGTATCTAATGTAACATCGTCATCCGTCTCAGGTTTTTGCTCAATCTTAGATTCAGAGAATGCTTCTGTCGACTCCTGTTTGAGTTTGTCAGCAAGTTCAAGATCTTCCCTTAATTCTTCATCAGCGATGTCTTCAATTTGAATTTGTTCTTTATCATCAAGGTCTTCGTCAAAAGTTTTATGTTCATAATCTTGGTCTATTTTTTCAGTTTTGATTTGTTCTTCCACATCATCTTTGACGATCGTCTCCTGTTCGTAATATTTTTCTTCTGTATCTAATGTAACATCGTCATCTGTCTCAGGTTTTTGCTCAATCTTAGATTCAGAGAATGCCTCTGTCGACTCCTGTTTGAGTTTGTCAGCAAGTTCAAGATCTTCCCTTAATTCTTCATCAGCGATGTCTTCAATTTGAATCTGTTCTTCATCATCATGGTCTTCGTCAAAAGTTTTATGTTCATAATCTTCGTCTATTTTTTCAGTTTTGATTTGTTCTTCCAAATCATCTTTGACGATCGTCTCCTGTTCGTAATATTTTTCTTCTGTATCTAATGTAACATCGTCATCCGTCTCAGGTTTTTGCTCAATCTTAGATTCAGAGAATGCTTCTGTCGACTCCTGTTTGAGTTTGTCAGCAAGTTCAAGATCTTCCCTTAATTCTTCATCAGCGATGTCTTCAATTTGAATTTGTTCTTCATCATCATGGTCTTCGTCAAAAGTTTTATGTTCATAATCTTCGTCTATTTTTTCAGTTTTGATTTGTTCTTCCACATCATCTTTGACGATCGTCTCCTGTTCGTAATATTTTTCTTCTGCATCTTCTGATGATAAATCTTCGTCCATTTGAGGTTTTTGCTCAATCGCAGATTCGGGGAATGCTTCTATCGACTCCCGTTTCCGTTTTTCGGCAAGCTCGAGATCGTCTTTTAACTCTTCATCATAGACGTCTTCCGTTTTAATTTTCTCTTCGACACCGTCGTCTTTGTCGACAGTCTCATAATATACTTCTTCGGTTTTTATCTGTTCATCTACACCAGCGTCTTGGCTGACTGTCTTCTGTTCGTAATATTTTTCTTCTGTATCTGATGTTACATCTTCATCTGTCTGAGATTTTTGCTCAATTGCAGATTCGGGGAATGCATCTATCGACTCTCGTCCCAGTTTTTCAGCAAGCTCGAGATCCTCTTTTAACTCTTGATCATCGAAATCTTCCGGTTTAATTTGTTTTTCGAAATCATCTTCTTGGTCGACTGTATCTTGTTCATTATATTGGTCTACTTCTTCAGTTGTCATTTGTTCTTCGACATCATCATCTTTCACGACCGTCTCCTGTTCGTAATATTTTTCTTCTGTATCTGATGTTACATCTTCATCTGTCTGAGATTTTTGCTCAATTGCAGATTCGGGGAATGCTTCTATCGACTCTCGTCCCAGTTTTTCAGCAGCTCGAGATCGTCTTTTAACTCTTGATCATCGAAGTCTTCCGCTTTAATTTGTTTTTTGGTATCATCTTCTTTGTCGAATGTATCTTGTTCATTATATTGGTCTACTTCTTCAGTTGCAATTTGTTCTTCGACATCATCATCTTTCACGACCGTCTCCTGTTGGATGTCGTCTTTTTTGTCTATAACACCATGCTCATCATATTTTTCTTCGGTGCCTGATAACAAATCTTCGTCCATCTGAGGTTTTTGCTCAATCTCAGATTCAGGGAATGCTTCAATCGACTCCCGTGTCAGTTTTTCAGCCAGCTCAAGACTGTCTTTTATCTCTTTATCATCAACATCTTCCGATTGAATTTGCTCCTCGACATCGTCTGCTTTGTCGACAACCTTCTGTTGAAAATGTCTGTCTGCTTCTTCAGTTTCGATTTGATCTTCGCCATCATATTGGACGACCGTCTCCTGTTTATAATATTGTTCTTCTGCTGCTAATGTTACATCTCCATCTTGCATTTCTCCATCCATAGCAGAAGATGATTCCATGTGCTCTGTTACTTCATGTCTAGTCTCATATTCTGAGAATGCTTTTGTGGACTCTTCTCTGTATTCAACAAGGTCATCCGTTTTCATCTGTGCTTCATTGCCACCCTCTTCGTCGACCTGCTGATCATAATATTGTTCTTCCGGTTCGTCGGTAAATTGAGGTTTTTGTTCGATCTCAGATTCAGGGAATGCTTCTATCGACCTCCGCTTAAGTGTTTCAGCTAGTTCTACCCCTAATTCTTCATCACCGACATCTTCGGTTTTAATTTTTTCTTCGGTATAATCTTTTTTGTCGACTATATCGTGGTCGTAATATTGTTCATCTGTTTCTAATGTTTCATCTTCATCACCGACATCTTCGGTTTTGATTTTTTCTTCGACAACATCTTTAGTGTCGACCTTCTCTTCTTCATAATATTGATCTTGCGTTTCTGAAGTATCTGCGTAAGTCTGGGGTTTTTGTTCAAAGTCCAATTCTGGGGGTGCTTCAAGTTTTTCAGCAAGCTCGATGTCTTCCTTTAATTCTTCATCTCTGATGTCCTGTTCCTCGGCATCGTGCTGTGTGTCAATAGTCCCTTGTTGGTAATATTGATCTGCTCCTTCAGTTTTGATTCGTTCCTCGACATCTTGTTCTCCGAGTCTATCTTGTTCATAATATTGGTCACCGTCTTCGGTTTTAATTTGTTCCTCTTTTTCGTGCATTTCTTCATAATACTGCTCATGTTCATATCCATCCTCTGGTTCCATACCATGTCTTTGAGTTTTATATAAACCAAGGGCTACTGTATCAGCAGCCTCTGCCAGTTCCAGTTCTCTTTGAGGTGCCGTGTCAACGATATCGTCATGTTGTATCTGTTCTGTGTCTTCCTCTTGTTTATATTTATCTTCTGTGTCTAGAACCTCTAGCTCTGTGGTATGTTCATGAACATCTACGTATTCATCTTCTCTTTCCTTTGCTTCATCTGATTCTTTTGTATCTTCAAAGTAACCTCCCTTGACTTCCTTATGAATTGCATCTTCAATTATTTCTTGTTCGATGAACTGACGTTCGTCATCAGGCAGTTCTGGTTTTGTAGGCATGTCCTTGAACATATCTTGAACATCAGACAATTCTTCTTCGGCATCTTTTGCTTCCAGTTCTAGCAGCTCCTCGGGTGGATTAACAGAAGGTTCGATTTCTCTCTCTTCCTCGGATAGTTCAATTTGACTTGATCGTTCTTCCCCAATAACCTGTGTACTTTCATATTCGGCAAATTCTGATTCAAGAGGATCCCTCAATGCACCAGTGGCTTCAATCTGTCTTTCCAGTTCTTGAACCACTGATTCTGTAGGTATGACAGGCTTTTCTACCAATTCTTCATCTGTTAATTCTTCTTCGGCATCCTTTGCTACAGGATCAGCAAGTTCTTCCGTTGGTTTCAGTGGTGTTTTTTCTAAGTATGTTTCTTGATCTTCTTGATGGGCGATATAATCACACGGTTCCTCCTGAACTGAGGTTGTCTCTTCAATGTCATGTACTTTTAGATGACTTTCTTCATAATCACCAATGGCCTCTTTAGTGATGATCTTTTCTTTTATTTGTTCTTGTTCTTCATCATCACCAATTTGCTCTTCATGTTGCAGAGATGTTTGGACATGTTCTAACTCAAGTGATTTTTGAATTTCTTCAGATTCAAGAGATTTTTGAAATTCTTCAGCTTCGGATGATTTTTGTAATTCTTCAGATTCGAGTGATTTTTGTAATTCTTCAGATTCGAGTGATTTTTGTAATTCTTCAGATTCGAGTGATTTTTTAAATTCTTCAGATTCGAGCGATTTTTGGAATTCTTCTGATTCAATCGATTTTTGGAATTCTTCTGATTCAATCGATTTTTGGAATTCCTCAGTTTCCATCGTTTGGTCAAGTTGGTCGGGTGATGTTTCCAATTTTTCATTCATTGACCTCTGCTCCTCTGCTTCACCGCGAGACAATTGTAATTCATGTACCTCTGTCACTTTTTGCAGTTCTTCAATATCTAATGATTGCGATTCACCGACGATCTCATCAGAACGATCAGCACGGCCAATGGCAATCTCTTCTTGTGTCGATTGCTTTTCCTCCTCCAATTGTTGTTTAGAATCGTCGAGGTCATCTCTACTTTCAGTAACAGCAATTTCTTCTCTTTGCAAAGTATCAGAAACATCGACGAAGTCATCTTCGGAGTCTGAAATTTCTTTTTCTTGATCCTCTGTTATGTGGTATTCCTCTTTGCGGTAATGTGGTTCCTGTGGTATATCTGCTGATGCCGCCTGTTCTTGTTGTATGTCATCTGGAACGACAACACTCATCAGATTCACATTTTGTGCTGCTTGCAATTCCTCCTCATTCAACTCTCCGCGGCTCATGACTTCCCAATCTTCATCTTCACTATCCTCTAGTATATGGTCCCTTTGTTCAGCAGCTGCATCAACAAATTCAGCAGACTCACTAGTTATTAGTTCTTGGGTATAGGGTTTATGTAAACTATCACAGATTTCAGTGGTTATTTTTGATTCGGTAATGTCAGGATGGGCACTCTTGGCTTCCTCTATGTCGTCGTCATAGATTTCTGTTATTGTTTTTGTTTCGGAAACCAAGAGTTCCTCTGGTTGGAATGTTTCTGTAACTGGTTCTTGATCCATATGCAGTTGAATCTCTATTTCACTGGGTTCGTCATACACCGCTTGGCCCGAGGACATAGATTGTGACTGAGAGGAGAATTGTCGGTTTTGCGACTGGTAAGAAATAGATTGTGTTTCGACTACATGTTGTTCTGTAATGTGTTGTGTATATGATTGTCGCGATGAAAGACTGTCAGATATGTCAGTGTGTATTGTTCGTGATTGCTCTGAATGTTCAGTCGTGAAGGGAATAATTCGTTCTTCTTGGACCATGTCAGTTTTTTCTTGCACTATAACATCGTCGGCTTGTAATTTTTCTTGACTGATGTCTTGTTCGATTGTTTTACCTGAATACCAGCACATACCAATCCAAAGGAAAGCAGGCATTAAAAGAAGTTAATGATAGGATGGTTAGTTTACAAGATACATTTCGTATAAGAAAATAAAATCGAAGAGAAAATAAAAATCAGTTAGAAGAAGAGTTGAAATATAGGGATTAACTTTCATGTGAAAATGTGGATTGAAAAACTTAATAAAATTATAGAAAACGAAATGACATAAAATTACGTATAAAAAGTGTTTTTGGTTATGGATGTCAATTTCTTTAACTGAATCTATACAATTACTAAAATCACGATTAACTAACTCTCTGTGATATATCAGATTATTATCATGCACATGCAATTCACGATAAAGTTCAAACTATTATATCATCTGAAAGAAAATAAATAACAGTACTCTGGAAAATTACGAACACTGAAACAAAATGATACAAACAGAAATTAATACATAGAAAGTGAGTTTACAATTATGTACCTTCGTCCTCTCTGTACGTCTGCTTGGCTACAGAAATGGAAAAAAAATAGAAAAAATGGGATTATTTGTTTCGACTAACAGGCATAATGTATTGGCACTTGATATAGATATAGCAGCTTAAATACCATAGCTACGTACAATTCTGTGACTAGTAAAGCCAAACAAGTAAAAAATATAAACTGAAAACTAAAACATACACATGCTTATATCAACAAGAAAAAAATACGTGAAACAAATAGTAGAAAACAAAAAATCTAAACGTCTGTACTTCAAACCCCCTGTCACAGTCGTAATTTGGAATTCGCATCAGTCAATTAACCGTCACCAAACCTACCACCCTAACACTCTTAGAAAGCTAACCTTGTGCATTGTAAGCTTCGGTATTTACTCCGTAATAACTGGCGAAATCTCCGTCGTAAGGTATGGAGAAATCTTCTGTTACGGTAATAGTGGGATAATTGTCATTATCAACACCTGAAATTCGAAGGGATGGAATTCAAGAAAAAGTCCCTAAAACATTTGCAGTATCAAACCTTTCATTTTTTAAAGATTTTTTTCTTCTTGAAAATCGACCTACGATGATTTACTTGACAATTCTTCAAAAAGAACTACCAGAACTGTTTAACATCTTTCATCTACAACTCCGGCTACAAACCTCATAGACACTTGAACACGGCGACATAAACTAAACTAAATGTGTTAGCCAAAACTTGGAAAATATTGTTAGATAGAGGACAGATCGCTTCAACATTGTTAGAAAACACACTAAAACACGTTTTGTTAAAGGAGTGTCAGATCTAAAAGAACTACGTCCCACCTGGTGAACTTGGTGTGTACGTTACTTTCGATACTGTTCTTTTATTCAATCCTGTTTCGTCAAGTTCTCGCCAATCTATATATAAAAATTTGAAGCAAATACAATTACAGAAGATCAAGGACATTATCAGCTCTAGAATGTACCATTTACCACAAAGAAAGACCATAAATAGAAAAACAGTTGCCCATCCACAAATACCAACAACCCAAATTAAGACGTCTACGGAATTTGACAATAATACTTGAGAGTTATTGAGTGAGCATTACCAAACACAAACAGCACAAAAAATCGTGAGATCCTTTCCATACATTTCAAAATGAGAAAGATAGACATGCAGTAACTCTATTCCCACAACCATATTCCTTCTACGTTACTATCACTCTATTGGAATATCTTTCATTCATGCTTCCATGCTCTTGTTTCAAAAATACCTTTAGTCTTACTCAAAATCATACAGACTTGTTTATATAAAAGCGTTCATCTGAATTCAACCAAATTTATTCACAAATTTTAAATGTTCACCCAAAAAGCAATGGTAAAACCACCCACACGTGTTGTATTTACCTTGCTGGTCCTCAGAAGAACCATGGTGTACTGACACTGTTTGCTTTTCACTGCTACTTGACCTGGAACCATAGTCACTCTCCTCTTGGTCCACCCTTAATTCGTCTAAAATATCATCATCAGAATCAGTGTCGCCCCCTTCAACAAAGGCAGACACAGTTCCAGGAATTACCTCTTCAATCTCATAGTCACCAGAATCCTGCACATGTCCGTCTGAATCGAAAGAGTCTTCATGTGTTTTAAGTTTGTGCACTTGCCTACTAAATGCCACTTTTCTAATTTCACCCCCATCATCGCGAGAGGGTTGCTTAAAGATTTCTTTTTCTGGATGCGCGGGTTCCTCGAATGTCTCAAAACGATCAGTTGAAGTAATAATTTCATGGCCATCTTGGCCAGCAGATGATCCCGAATGGTGGCGAACTTGATGAATATGATGAATCGTTCCACCTTCCAGGATCTCTTCCCGATCCTCAACACTAACATTATCTTCCTCGCCTTCTTCTTCAATATCAGAGTATTCACCAGAGGATTCAGAGGAAGTGTCGTCCAAAAATGTGGAAACAGTTCCGGGAATGACTTCTTCAACCTCATACTCTTGTTCAACCTTTTCCTGATCAGAATCGAACGATACGTGGCGGGTTTTGAGTTTATGGATCTTTTTATTTACGATGATGCCCTTAGTAATAATTTCCCCGCTGGGTTGCACCTCTTCGACCCTTTCTTTGCTAGTGACCATTTCTGCAGGCGACTGAAATGTTTCAATGATTTCTGTACGTTCGGTACCTGGTAAAACGACTTCTTCATGTACGACTTCTTCATCACCATCATCTGTAGTGATGCTTGTCTCTATGTGTTTCAGTGAGTGTCTTCTGACAAGCTGCTTCTTGTGGACAGTTCCGTCATCAAGAACTATTTCGGATTCTTGCACGTCTTTGACATCAGTGATGTTAGTATCTGGTACGTGTACTACTTCCTCGGTTACTTCTTCGTCCCCATCGTCAATGGTGACGCTTCTGGTAATTTGTTTAATGGAGTGTCGACGAACCAACTGTTTCTTGTGAACTGTGCCGTCGGGCAGTACATCTTCAGATTCTTCAACAGATTTGATTTCCTTAATTGGTCCTTCCTTTTCAGTTACCTCGATATCACCTGTCCCAGAAACAGAGCGAATTGATTTGCGTCTAACTACAGTGCCATCAGCTAAGACTTTTTCAGAAGACTTGATGTTACCATCTATGGCAGAATCAAACACTGGAAAGCAGAAGACCAAAGCAGTGGTAAGCATTAATCGCCACTTCAAACTAAAAGTTTTATTCACAAAACATAATGATCTTGTGATTTAGGATTCTAAAAGCTACTAGATAATTTGTAATGAGATTCTAATGACAATTTAACATAGATAAGATGTGTTATCTCTAAAACGACTCATGAATTAGTTCGTCAATACCCAAAGGATCGCTGAATTTCTATGAAATATCAACTAGTATTCTAGAACTACAAACTAAAAGACGTTCCCCAGGTTTTGCTTCCCTTTACTCTATGTCATGTGGTTATTTAACTGGCTTTGTTCAAAGGACCGACAAGAACTTTAAACCTTCCTTTCAATGTTTGGTGTGACACTGCTGCTTTTGATCCTCGAAGTCTTTTATCAGTACGTCCGCTTACAATGGCTTAACCGTTTTCAAATGAATTTTATGTTCCCGATTTCCCAATAAGGTTAGAATGTTAGAACGTCGAAAACCTATATTAGTTATTAGTAAAATTGGTATGCACAATTCCCCTTCTTTTTCCCCTGAGTTGACAAACGTAATAATATGGTGTTACACTCATACCACAAACACAACAAACACACACAAAACAATTTCCATAGAAAACCTTGAGTAAGATTAGTGTCGTGCCCTGCTTGCAGTGGCACGTTCCGTACTTTGGTTTTAAACTGAATAGATGTGTTATCAATTACGGAGAAAGGTTGACGTTTTTCTATATGAATTCGACATTTATGAAATACTTGTTATGATTAAAGGAGACACTGTTAGCATCGTTTTACACCATACCAATTTTCAGCCAGACTTAAAAGGTTCTTTCAATTCCACTAAAAATAAGCGTTTTATGGCGTCCTTTGCTCTCAGCTTTCGCGATAGTGACGTCATCATCATCAGACATCCAACTATAAATTGGAATAGTGCAAATTGATGCTTTCAGTGTCTCCAATACAAATAAACAGTTAAGAAAGCCTCCTTGCAATTCTTTTAAGGTCTGTTACCTATGTATTGTAACAATAACCATTATGTTTCTCAGCAAGAGATATTCATCATTCCAAGGTTTTCTATGGAAGCAATGACAGATAACAGATACAGTGAAGACAGAAACAGAATAAGATGCTAATGAAGACTAATAGAACAAAACATAAAAGCATGCAGGGCAAGAGCATATGGCAAATCTAATCGTAAGTTAAGTGTTTGAAATGCAAATAATATAAATTTTACTCTTAATAAACTTCATTCAGTTAAAATCAGTTAAAGAAATTATTATCAAATCAATGCAATTAATTCTTTAAAACTCTTCATTTATAAAAGGGAGACGAATTGGAGCAATTAAGGCTTTGAGAATTTTCAGAAGTTTTGACTCCCATAACCAAATCTAATTTTTGGAAACTTTTAAGTACCTTCGTCAGTTGATCCATAAGGTAGACCTTCGTCATCTCTTTCTGAGGACACTTCTCGTCGATCAGCATGTTCTTCACCATATTGGGGCATTCTATCATACATGGTATCCGATTCTTGTTGGGTATATCGGTCAATGTCGGTCCCATGTCGATCTCCGTCTACGTCAGTATCTCTATATTCTGTTCGTTCATAATCAACACGACTGTCGTATTGGTCTGAATACTGATTTGCGTTTTGTCGAGCGTCATAATCTACGGTTGTCTCTTTGTAGTCGATATTTGTGTCTCTGTAGTCTAAGTTAGCGTCTACATTGGTATCTCTGTAGTCTAAGTTAGCGTCTACATTGGTATCTCTGTCGTCCATGTTAGAGTCTCTGTATTGATTAGTTTGATAAGAGTCAACATTGGTGTCTCTGTATTCTATATTGCTAGGCCTATCTCTGTCGTCGATGTTAGAGTCTCTGTATTGACTTCTTTGATAAGAGTCAACATTGATGTCTCTGTTGCCAATGTTGGAGTCTCTGTATGGACCTGTTTGATAAGAGTCAACATTGGTGTCTCTGGAGTCTACATCTGTATCTCTGTCGACAATGTTAGAGTCTCTGTATTGGTTAATTTGATAAGAATCGATATCAGTTCCGCCATACTGGTCATACCCATCCTTATATGCCTCCTGACGACTCGAAAAATCATCATAGCCTTGTCCTTCACTCGATGGTGATTCGAATTCACCGTGGACTCTAAAATCAGCAGGCATTGTGGGTTCCGGAACTGAAGATGGTTCTTCTGGATAGCTACCGTCTGAGGTTGGACTCGTCATTTGATCCAGGACATCTTGCTTGTATGTTAATTTGGCACCTTCCACAGTTGATTGGAAGCTTTCAGACGGCTGGGCTGTAACCTGTTGTTGATCATAGGAATAATCTTGTGCTCTTTCTGTCTCCCTCGTATAGTCTGAAATTTGGTAGTATTAGATCATGAGCTGCATGCAGACATCATTCATTTAGAAACATAAGTAGTATGCAGAACATGCTATCCAGAAGATTCCATAAATACTGTGATAGAAACTGTGCGGTGTTAGAAAAGAACCTTGTGAGTATTTCCTTAGAACTACAAATCATAAAACTAAATTCTGTTAGTCCAAGAAAAGTGTGGAGTCAAAAAAGCATCTAAATTCTACAAAGCAACTGCCGAAAGTTTTTCAAAAACGCAAGTAATGTGCTGAAGATTTTAGTTAGTTTAGCAGAAGTGTCACACCAAAGAGTTTGAAAGGCGATTCATGCATTTTTGCATCAAAAATGAGAAGAAAAGAGAAGCAAACAGATTCTGAAAAGCCTAGATGTAAAAGGCAGATAATGATGTTGGACAAGGGCAAAATATCCGGTTAAAATTCACACCACCCTAATAGTGCTGAGTGCACAATGACTTAAAGAGTACCAGTACCCAACTTGGTTTCATTACTGTAGTTTCAATTGCATGAATGTCTTTCTAAAAATATGGTAAGAGAGGAATTTCTAAGTACCTCCACAATTTCCATCCAAGAAAATTAAAAGAAAATAAAATACCACAACCAAAATGAAATAAAATGACATTTATTTGTAGACAAACAGAATTTAACAACAGTAATGAAAGCAAATGAAATAAAGATAGGCAATGGTAAAAAATTAAGAAAAACGAAAATATTACATAGATTGCAAATAAAATTGACTTTTCAAAATTTTTAGATCATTATTATTGGGATATAAAGTTGATGAAATTCTTTTGCTGTATTTATGAGAAGTGGAAATTTTTGCTAAGAAACAGATGAAATGGAAATTGACACACAGATGAAAAAGGTATACTTTCAAGGGAAACTAGGTTACTAGCGAAGTCTACTGTGCCTAACTAATTTGCATAAATATTGCAAAATATATAAAAAGGCAGTAAATTGGGAAAAAAATTCTACAATCTATGCAGAATAAAAGAAAAACACAATTAAAACAATGGAATACTTCCATCATCAAAGAACAACTCTATCTGAAGATTTGGGCAACCAGAAGATAGCTCGTCTCTATAAATGTTTTTTTTTTTTTTTTCAAAGCATTTTTTTAGTGATGTAAATTTCTCAAAGAAATCGGATTACAGATTTCAAAATGATTGTCTAGCCTTTGTATCTGTATCAAATTGTACCATTTTAATTTCCTGTTTTAGTCTACGGTTTCTGCAATTCTAGAAATTTTTGACCAGATAACATATTGCTACCATTCAATCCAAATGGTCCAATGTTCCATGAATTAAAAGGGATGGTGCACATAGAATCTAAGAGTGTTCTCAATACACATTAAATGGCTTCAAAAACTTGTGAATTTCTTTGACATGTGTAAATCATAACTAATAAGATTCATTTATTACATTCTGATATCGACTCTGTTGCAACATCTTTTTAAATATTTCTGATGCTATTTGAAACAGTTTTTGCAGTTTAAACCTTAGAGTACAAAATATATTTGATCAATTGCAATGACAATTATCCACCAAATTGAATTCATTCTTAAAAGTTGGTACTCTAAGTAAATCAATGATGTTTTTAAAGGGTTCTTCCTGAATCATCCTAGATTCCATAGAGTTGCTCTTTGATTTCACAACAACAACAAAATTCTCTAACAAAAAATAGACCACTACCATTTAAATAATTGAAATATAACAATAGTGAAAATATACAGTAAATAAAGTCTGTACACAACTAATAATAATGAGTGGCAACAAAAATAGCTTTTAATTGTTTAAAAGTATATATTATAAAAAGCTTGAACACAATTACTTATATGTAGTTTTGCAATATAACCTTCCTTTACCTCGCCATGCTTGGGAGTTTATTTCTAAATATATTGTGATACACTTATTCATGCGTACTGTCTCTAAAAACCCTGTTTCAGGCATACATTGAAATCCAATTCTAATTCCAAAATTACATTTGCATAATATGTTTTTGTTTTACAGATTCTGACTGTTAATATTTTGGAATATTCTGAATTTATGGCACCCTGTTCCAAAATTTCCCCCATGGCACACTGCATGGTATTACATTATCCCACTTAGATGCAGAATAGTAGGACATAAAACTCATATCATTTCACTTAATGTAACTTTGTGTTATTCAACACTTAGAAAAATCATATAATTAAAGAAACGAAAAAAGCAATTTGTAAAATTTGAAGGCATGCATCTGAAACAGGGTTACAGACAGGAAACCGAACTCAGAAATGGTCATGGATAAAGCACACACTAAAATGGTAATAATTACACACCAGATTCTTCTACATTTTGAGCACCAACAGCAGCAAGTCTAGCGGCAGCTTCAGCCATATTAGCACCACGAGGCATCTTTTCTTCTGAAATGGACAAAAATAAACCAATATTTTACTTACGTCTGCTACCACAGAACCTGGCGAGATACCAGAGAGATTTCAACACAATAAAGTTCTTAAGTTTGTGAATTTTTCAAAATTTCACCATGACCAGGTGCAAAATCAAACAAGATCAATCGAAAACAATTCTTAAACAGTTAGTGACCTAATTATGTTCTTAGCTTTGGTAATATTCTATATGTTCTGAATCATACAAGTACATGTGGCATCAAGAATTCCTAATATTATGAAGGCTGAATTACATCAAAACAATTGGCAATGTAATTCACAGAAGAGATTATCATTTACTAAGTAAGTCAAATATTGTGGTATTTTATCTTTTTGGCTGTGTTTCAAACCATTTTATGTTGGTAATATAAATAAACACATCATGTGTTGTTATTTACTGGTGTCTTCATGATGAAGTAGTCTATCACAAACTTTTAAGCATGATAAGGTGAGGTAGGTTGGTAGACCCGTATCTTTACATTTCCAAAGATCAGCTATAAGACAGAAGTTATCTTTGCATCAGATATGGTTACTGTTTTATAAGATGACCTCTAAAAATTACCGAGTTAGTAACGTTATTTCTTTAACAAGGTCAAATATGAATTGAGGGTTGCAAGTAAAATTCATCAAAATGTTATAATTCGAAATCTATTTCATAAAAGGACAATCTTACTCCAAAATATACTAAATGCTAAATTGCCATAGTCCAAGATATTTAAAACAGGATCAAATCCACAGCCCAGATAAGCAACACAAAATAATTTCAAATTCATTAATTAATTGGCTTACCAAAAGTTAGTATGACTCCCACAAATTTAGATTGAATACAACATTAAGGACTATGATCTACATTATCTATCTTATCATAGTAAATATAGACCAAGTCAGGAAATAGTCACTTAGGTTCATATGATATCACATTTGTTTACACTAGGCCAGGACTAATTTAAATTTCATATAAAGATAATTTTGAAATTCATGCAGTATCAATGCACAAGACATGGAATTTGAAAAAAAAACAAGCTAATATCATCCTAAATTACATTTTCACAATGTCAAGCTGTTACAAACTATTGCAGTCAAGGTATAAATCAAAGTTTGTAATAGCTTGACATTGTGAAGATACCAAAATTAATGCAGTTCTACTGTATAACATGCAGAGAACTATAAAAAATATAAAAGGAAAAAGCTTTAAAAATTATAACCCTTGCCACAAACAATTAAGAAATAATTAAATGTGACACAAAAAATCAGAGAAAAATCAAATCAAATTAATGTTAATAGGAAAGGAATTTTAGTAATTGGAACACAAAATCACAAAATTTTTTAACTAAAACCTAAAAATGAAAAAAAAATAATGCCCCTAAATAAATCCACCAAAAAGCTCCAAAATTAACGATAGCAAATGAAGAATGAGGATGACATCTTCATACCTTTCAGAACAGTGACTTTTTCTGTTGTGCCAGCTGGAGTAATTGTGGTAACTTTACGAATAGTTTTCCACGTTTCTCCATCATCTGACACCTGATATATTTCCTCAATTTCTGTTGTTTCCATAGTTTGCTCTTCATCATAATATGTTTCCTCTGTTAGGCAGCAAGAAAGATTTGTCAAATTTTAGTTTAGCTCAGAAAGAGGAAACTTTACCAAAAGGGAATATTCTAGCCAAAATTTGCCTCAGAAGGTGACATTTTACCTAGAGTAATTTCTGTTAGCCAGTCAATGTTATGTCCCTTTAACAAACTCTTCTCTTTTGAGAAGAGAAAAGTATGCATGATAGTCTGCTCCCCTCTGTCAGAGTAAAAGTAATGATGGCTTGAGACACTTTCATTTCTCTTCAAGAAAAAGGAATATTTTAGCCTTCAGGAAAATGACACGTGTCTAAAATTTTTTCATTAGAAAAATTCCCTTTTGGTCAGATAATTTGTTAAGAAAAAATGACAAGTTTAGTGATGAAATTTTTTCTTAGATTGGGATGAAAGTCATCTAGCCTATTGTCTAATCTAAAGAAAGGAATCTGTCCTACAAATCTTGCAAATACAAATCATTAAGTATAAATAACTCTATGAACTGTTACAGAAAAGTTATATTTGTTATATATTGGTATGAAATTCTCACACATGCTTGCAATAAATAACTAGAAATCAATTGACAGATTCTTTGCTAAAGAACGTTTTAGTGCAAATTTACACTGCACTGGCAGTAGGAATCACCAAAATGAAACATTAATAACTCTGAAGCTGAACATAACTTTCCAAAAATTAGTTTCTACACCTTTTACGCAACTTTTCAGAATTTCACCAAGTTCAACCACAAGTTTCTTCAAGAACTTTACTTGGACTGATTGACTGACCATATAGATTCTATAATTTGCAAATCATAAATCAAATTCTCAGCAATCATTTTCGACATAGAGCTTATGATAGCAAACTATCAATTGATTTCTAAGATTTAGAATAAGAATATAATATAGACGTTAAATATCATTCGAGAAAAGTTATCTAAAAATATAATTACTACCTGTGACTGATGTTTGTTCTGTAGGGCTAGGGGGTGGTGTCTTAACTACTTCATCATCAATGGCGCCAGAATCTCCTGCAAGCAATTAGCCAAACACCACAAGCATTAGCAAAATCATCAAGACAAGCACATTCCAAAAATGCAATTTTTTTTTTCAAGTTGCATTTATTGTGTTTGTGCAGAGCTCTTTTAAAAACCTAAGAATTTATGTACCAAAAAAAGATGTTTGATGTTTGGATTTAAATCATCTCGTTGGTGAATAAATCGATATCTTATTTAACATAATCTATTTTCCAAAAATTTTAAGTTGTTGTACTTCTCTTGTTTGTGTATAAAGCTCTTCACATCCGTGCATATAATATTTGTGATTAATGGTATGTACCATTTAAATATTCAATTATAATTTGATTTAATATTATTTTGATATTTATATTTTTATCATTATTCATTAAAATATAAATTTGACTTAATAGCTGATGGACCTTGTGTCTTGCTCACCCTTGCACATTTCAGAGTGTAAATCTGCCACCTGATATATCTTCAATTTAATCAAAATTACTACTAAAGTGACATTTTTCCATTAGAATATCAATGATAATCGTATTATGCTATCTAAGACTGTCATTTCATTGATATATATATATATATATAGGCTATCGCGCTATATTTTATTGTAGTGCAATCTGATGTTGGATTTTCATTTTGAAACGTTTTCCAGATGACTGAAATCTTCAGACAATTATATCCAATGCTTTTTGCTATGACAGTGTTTATAATACATACATAATTGACATCATATAATGCCAAATTTACAACATCAAAAAGTTTGACAACACTTAAGGTGCAATTATGCTTGCATATGACAGAGTACCAAGAGCCAAACATTAGTAATAGTACCTTTTGAGAACAAAAATAGATCTTGAAAAACATAAGTAAATTGAGTTGACATCAAATTTAGTAGCCCATCTAGTTGACCCTTTTTTTATGGTCAAGCAAAAATATTTGTGCAAATTCCGGTCCAATTCATATTATAAACAGGTACAGATCTCTTTAATTTTGGGTAGTATAAATAGTAATTTGAAACTTACATTTTGTTCATTACTACTTAAAGAGATTGTAAAAAGGTTTTCTACATTTTTTGTGTATCAGGGACACTTGATAGCATCAATTAGCATCAGTCGGAGTTTTAATCAGGCATCTGTGGTTCCTGCAATTCCACTAAAGTGTCTTAAAACTAAAGAGCCTTGTTTGATAAAGTATATTTTGCAATTAGTGATTGTCATGAAACACTTATTTTTAGTGCAATTGCAGGAACCACAGACATCTGACTGAAAATTGGAATGGTTCAAATTGATGCTATCAGTGTTCCTGATACACATAAAAAATTTAGAAAACCTCTTTACAATCCTTTTAAACTACCTAAAGATAAAGTGAACTATTCATATCTATAATCTGAATCGGACTGGGATGTAGACAAATATTTTTGCACCCTTAGACATATCAAATTATAATATTAAGTGTACATTAATATATAGTGAACATTCATTACTTCTAAGATGCTTAATATACAATAACAATATGGTTTTGAAATTTGGCAACTTCAGTCTAGAGAATTTTAATGTGGATATGCATTTAAAATCATAAGCATATAGCAAACTCAATTGGGAGAGGCAAGCCAAAAATACATGCACAAAGATGCATATGCACACAATTTTTTACTCGAAAATATTTTCCACTTCTGCCCTGATAATGTTTTGAATAGAAAACTTTCACCTTTATTTTCATCAAAGATGTTATGTATAATGATTTCTATTAGTACTGATTGTCTAAGATTGCCAAATTTCTTCGAATAAAAAAAAAAACATTCATAACATGTTAACTTGCATACAAAAATAACGTGAACATAAATTAGATATTAATAATGCTGAAATGTTAGAGAACATGCTGAAAATTAACATCAGAACTGAAAAAACCATGCCGAAAACTGAAAAATATTAACACAGGAAGATAGGGTGGGGTGGAACAACATTATGCCATGGTGAAACTATGTACCTTCACTTGGTAATCGACCTGGAGCTGCCTGAGTGGCTTGATGATCTGTACTACTGATGAAGTCAATTTCGTCTCTGGAAGTTTGGACTATTTCCTCTTCTGCTATTGATTCTTTATCATCTATTTCTAATGTTGAAAGATTGAGAATGAATTAAGGAATGAATGAAATTGCACAAGAAAATGAATGTTATGATGAAAAATGACAAGACAACAGATACATAACAGATTTGAAGTTACTTGTTACAAAAAAACACTTATATGAAAGGAAAAAATGACGACAATGAAAAATGACTTCACAGCACATAACAATGAAGTTACTTGCTGCAAAAAGCACATTTATATGAAACTTTAAAGGAAAATAATGATGATAATGATGAAAAATGACTCAACAGCACAAAACAGAATGATGTTACTAAGCACCACTTGATGTAAATTGATAAATCTTTGTTTCAAGTCAATTATGCTCTGTAGAAAACCATGCAATAACCACACTAAGATACTTGGGTTTTTTGCTTTTTGTGACCAAATTGTGTAAGAGTGATGCTTTAAAAAAGAGAGTTTCAAATGGCAATCGTGATGGATTTTGATTATGATAGATTAAAAATTGTGATGGTATTTTTTATCATAGATTCAGAATTGTGGTTGTGATAGTTTAACTATTGTGATAGTGATAAATTAAGAATTGAGATGGTTTAAGAATTGTGATTATGATTGATTAAGAGTTCTATACAAATTGCAATGTCACAATATCTATGCCCTTCTGAAGTAACGTCAAAAATATTATGCAATGTCAAGGTTAGCTTGGCTGGAAATGAAGTCCCTTTCAAAATGATAGTGATGAAGTTGTATGCAGAATGTGGTAATTAAATGGCGATAAAAATGAAGTTTCTTAAAGAATGCAATGCTATAATTGTGATAAATGAAGTCCCTATCAAAATGATAGTGATGAAGTTGTAAGCAGAATGTGATAATTAAGTGGTGATAAAAATGAAGTCTCTTAAAGAATACAATAATGTAATTGTGATAAATGAAGTCCCTATCAAAATGATAGTGATGAAGTTGTATGCAGAATGCGATAATTCAGTGGTGATAAAAATGAAGTCTCTTAAAGAATACAATTATGTAATTGTGATAAATGAAGTCCTTATCAAAATGATAGTGATGAAGTTGTATGCAGAATGCGATAATTCAGTGGTGATAAAAATGAAGTCTCTTAAAGAATACAATTATGTAATTGTGATAAATGAAGTCCTTATCAAAATGATCAAGATAAAGATGAAGTTGTATGCAGAATATGGTAATGATATAAAGGTAAAAATGTCTCTTACAACTGTAATGCTATAATTGTGATATAAGAAGTCCCTAACAAAATGATAAAGATTAAGTTGTATGCAGAATGTAATGCTATAATTGTGATAAAAATGAAGTCTCTTACAGAATGCAATGCTATAGTCGTGATATAAGAAGTCTCTAACAAAATGATAGTAATGAAATTGAATACAGAATGTGTTAGTTGAAATCCCTAACAGATTTATGATGACAAATGAAATGAATTCCCTAACGAAATCATAAAGATAAACTTGTATGCAGAAAGTGATAGACTATAAGTTAAAATGGTGATGCTATGATGAACTTTGCAAGCCAATTAATAACACACACCTTGGTAAGAACGTAAAGAAGCCTCCTTTTGTTCTTTCTCTTCTTGCAATTTGTCAAATTCTGATAGTAAGTTGACATAGGCATCTTTCTTCTTCTGAGATATTGCTTCACGTTCTTCAGGAGTTTTGGCTTTTGCAACCGGACGTCTATGGTCAACATGCACTGAGAAATCTTCAGATATAGATGAGGGTCGGGAACTGGAAGCTGGTAGGCAGGAAAAAGCAGTATTTTATAAAAGCTCCACAATTGTACATTTTTTTTCATTATAATACAAATTAATTTAGCCATCTTGCATGCACTCATTTTCCAATTATCATTCATATTGAAAACACAAATATAGTCTTAAAAATTGTACGAGGTTTTCTAAATGTTTCTTGTATCGGGGACAATGATAGTATCAATTTGCATCATTCTAATTTTTAATCATACGTCTGTGATTCCTGCAATTCAACTTAAACTAACAGCTGATGTCACTAATCACATGGTGCCTTATGTGATACAAGCAAATTTTTCAATAAATGACGTCAAACACTTATTTTTTGTGGAATTGCAGACACCTGACAGAAAATTAGAATCGTGCTATCAGTGTCCCAGAAACACATAAAAATTTCAGAAGTTCTCTTTACAATCCTTTTAAGTTTTTGATAATTTATAAAGTAGAAACTCCTGTAGATACTATACACGCAAATACACAGTAATTCCAAATATCATATATTTATAGTGATTCAAATAACCATTACACATTTTGAAAATGAATGCATGTTACTCATTGTGGTGCAGCATTGTTATTTACAGTATTCAATATATAGTCACCTTAAAGACATTGAAAGCACAAATCACACTAAGCCAATATAATATATATGTAAAAGCACAATTTTTTACAATTATTTTAGTTCAGAAAACATAAGGTATAGGGAGACCCTTACAAAACCAAATCCTTCAAAATTTAGTACCGGTAAATCCTACAAAGTTTTCTACAAATGATTCTACCGATTGGTGAACAGAAGGCAGAAAATTTCAAGAAAACTGCTGGAAGTTTGTGGGATTTAATACTATTTTTAAGGGTTGTGGGTTTTATTTAGAGTCACCCTTCCAAAACACCATTAAAAATGTTGTTAAGACAATAAATTTTATACATTTAACCAATGTATTTGGAAGATTTTCAAAATGTTTTGTTTGTTCATTTCTTCCAAAAGTTGAAGGTCAAAATTTAGAAATACCAACCTTCTTCAGCAATTGCTTGAGGTGCTGCTCTATCAGGATGGCCCGCTAAAGAACCACGCTCACTACTAGGACTTGATTCTTCTGCAGCAGATTCAGATTCCTGTAAAACACAAAGACTGCAGAGTTTCAGGAAAATAAGGAATGAGAATTAAAGAGCATGCCAATGCTAAGATACATGTAGATCAAGCCTGCTTTTTGTTCCTAAAATCTTTTCAAATATTCTAAAGCTAAGATGGTGAGATACAAAGTAATGTAGTGTAACCAAAGACACTTCAAATATTTGCAAAAAAACCTCCAGTGTCAGTGTAATACTAAAAACTGTGACCAACGCTTATAACAACAGATGTATGTTAGATTTTTTGCAATAATAGTTCTTAATCTAATAAAGTATTAAAGATGCCAAGATAACTCTACAAGCTACAAGAATGAACAAGCATGTTATTCAATAGAGTCCAACAATTTTAAGCAACATTAATTGGGCAGCAATAAATATAACAAGGTTATTAGCCCTACCCGTTACTAAGATGTGATCTACCGATGAGAAACAGATAAAACCAGATTTCTCGAGCTACAAGATAATATTTTTATCTACGTAGATTCCTCAAGAGAGATGCTGAATTGACAAACCCTGATTAACTTTGGCGTAAGGCATTTTTTAAAAACGTGGACATATTTTTTTTACTTGCAATACAGTAATTGAGACCCCATTTTATCAAGTTTCTAGACCAATCAAATTTGATAATCAATTATGATAGACTAAGTCTAAAGCTACTCAAAAAAACAAGTAACGCTATCATTCAAAATCTACGGACCCTAAAACATATTCACCAAATATCTGTGCTCGACATAAACAACATGCACAGTGTGGTGGAAAAGACTTAAAAGTTGAAAGAAGAATGCAAGATATTGCATGCAAATTTGATAATAAAAAAATTCTAGCCTTCTACTCAATATCAAATTATTTTGGAGAAAAGTTCAAAGAGTAATTTTGAAATTTATAGAAAGAAAGCACAAAAAAATGCAGCCAGAATTGAGAATAGAAAGAAGGGAGACAACTGCTCACCTTAATTTCATCTAGCCTCTAATTTTGATAAGGTAGACACAGCATCAGCATGCAAAAGATAAGGATTGGATTTGACAGCGTTGTTGAGGTGCAATGATGAATGAAAGCATCTGACAGTGACAGAAGCCAAAAAATAAAACAGGTAGACACAAAAATAATACTGAAAGCATCTAAATTGACAATTCCATTGTTTAATCCTTTTAAGATTTTAAGCGTTCTTCTACACTTTCACCCATTAAATGATACAGAAAGGTTTTTAAAATTAGCTTCAGCACCAAGGGGTATTTATATGAATTGGTTAGACTGAAATTATTATTAGAGGCTATGCCTGATACTATGCCTATGCTTACTGTCTATGTTAATCTATGTGAAGTATAAGCCAATGAGTGGTTAGTATGAAATGGTGTAAAAAGGAAAATGCGTTGTCTCTTACCTTAATCATATCTTGTTCATCATATTGCACATCTAAAGACATACCACGTTTAATGGAGTCTTTCGAAATACCAACCTCTTCTTTAAAGGTGTCGAAACCTGCAATAGAATCATCAAAATTTATGGAAACCCATACATTTTGATTGAATTTGATCCATAACAGTTTTAGAACAAGCTAACAGAGGTGCATTTACAGTTACTGTCATTTTTATCCAATTTCTTGTACTCGACAGCCGAAATGAGATGTGACAAAAAAGATTTTAATTCTTCTGTTATATGAAATTCTGAGGTGTCCAGAACTTACCAGATTGGTCCATAGCAACACGAGCTGCTGCTTCTTCTACTACATCATCTACAGTTTCCATGTCATACATACAGCTCTTGACTACATCCTCACGATTGATCTTACGTAAGGCACTCTCTAACACATTACCTTTAATATACAGAAATACAACTCAATTCTCTTTTCACATTTGTTTTCCCAATAAGTCTTTATATTTGTGCAGAACACAAGGTTGATGCTCTTGTATTGATCACAGGACAATGTACCTGCACAGAACACAAAGCGAAGGATTCTGCATAGAACATAGAGTCTATGCTCCTGTACAGAACACAAACAAAGCCATTGCTTCTGTATAGAACACAAACTAAGCAAATGCTCTTATTTAGAACATAAAGTTGATGAACCTGTACAGAACATAAAGCTACTGCTGCTGTTCAGAACACTAAAACTAATACTCCTGCACAGACCACAAACCAATGATCATGCTCCTGCTCTTTAATAGATCATAAAGCTAATACTTCTGTGAAGAACACAAAGCCAATGCTCATGTTCCTGTGAAGAACACAAAGCCAATGCTCATGTTCCTGTGAAGAACACAAAGCCAATGCTCCTGTACTGAACACAAAGCTTATGTTCCTGTATATAACACAAAGCTTATGTTCCAGTGAAGAACACAAAGCCAATGTTCCTGTGAAGAACACAAAGCCAATATTCCTGTGAAGAACACAAAACCTATGATGCTCTTTTATAAAAGAGAAAGCTCTAAATACTAATTTCAAACACTGTTAGTTAGTGATTAAGCTTCTACATACCTGTGGCTTGTTCTTTATTTCTTTCCACCCATAACTGTAACATGGCTAGAGCTTGATCATTGACATTGTTATATTCATTTTTAATGGAGTTGATATCTGTCATACGTATGTCTAACTGTTGAGCTAGTATTACCCAATCACCTCGTACATTATCAGCTATATCACTTAATCTCATCTGACCACGTTTAATGGTATCTTTAACAACTGAAATGGACAGAAATTAAAACTCAAGAAATAACTCAGTTTAAACCTTAAACACAGCCTTTTACCATTTATAATCTGAAGAAATTTTATGTACCATTGGTTCTAGATGGCATAATTCAATCAATTAAATGTTCTGTTCAATAAAAGTTTTGTCAACCATGTATGAGAAATTCTTAGAAATTCCTATTTAAACACTGACTTGTCACTTCAGAAGTTTTTGAGATCATTGACTTACCTAAACCTTGCTCACGTAATAATAAATGTCTTTGATTAGCTTCTAATGCTGCAGCTGTATTCAGTTCCATGGAATCAGACTGCAAAAGATAGAAAATTGCAAATTCAACCACACCAATAGATAAACAATGCTATAACAACCCTACATATTCCCAACACGTTACCCTCATCAACAAATTCATGTAGTGATAAATTTCAGTTGGACTGATTTGCCAAAATTAAGGCAGGAAAAGCTAAGACTAGGTAGCCTTCGTTCCCAAAGATTCAGGCATATCACCATGACACCATCCTTCCAAGTAGTATCTATTCTTGGACCATGAATATACCCCTCTATTCTAAAGTACTCACCTTAATGGTATCTCCAAGAGAGATATTGAGGTTACATATAGGTTGTTGTGGTGCCTCTCCTCTTCCAACTTTAGGTTCTTTCATGAAGGCAACTCTAGCTGATGGTTCTTGATCCAGGTCTCTAACCTTTACAGTACAGGGCAGTCTGTTCTCTCTAAATGCTCGGAAGTTAACATGAAGTTGGTCTCCTGACTTGGTGACAGGGATGAGATTTCCAGCCATCTCTATATATTGTGGTCGACCTTCTAACACCTAGAAAGCGAGTCAAATGATAAACAGAGGTGATTCCATAAACAGAGAAGAAAGAAATGGTGATTGTACAGAATCTCTATTTTTGGATTTTTAAAGAGATCAATCCTCTGTTGAACAAAAGTCTTGCATGTAACATTACTTGCATTAGACTTCTTAGTGAAACAATGGTTTCTCAAAAGAGCAGACTTAACAAAACTTATTAGCAGAAGAGCATATTACATGTTCTGCACCTGTAGCTGACTTGATAACATTGATTTTCAGCAAGAAAAATAAATCTCTCTGAAAAGGACTGACTTACCTCTATGTCTCGACTTCTAGCTACTTCTGAAAATCTCTCCTGTTTTTCTAATGTCTTGTCAATCTTATCATCTGTCATACAGAACATTCTTAACTTTCCTTCTTCCTGGGCAGTACGTTTAGCAAATACCACAAATTTAGCCATGTAGGGTACTGTAATGGCTTCTCTGTAGAGTAATGTTGCCATTTGAGTGGCTTCATTTACATTCTGACAATCAATCAACCAGAATCTGCAAAAATTCAAATCAAATGGAGTTTTACACCCTATACCTTTCAAGGTGATAGCTAAGAATTCCTTAATCCATGCAGATAAGGGACATCTTCCATGAATCTATAATAATGTTTCTGCTTTAATTAGTGTAGGCACTACAGCAAAAATTTTGAGACCTGTGACATATATATGAAATATTTCGGAACAGATTCTCAAACTTTGAAAAATTGTGGACACAGATGTGTTATTTTCTATTCACATCCTTTCACCACTCATCAGAATGATTTAACAATAGCACAGGAAAAAGGCATTGGAATATTTTTTCTCCTTGATTTTACAGTCTTTCATAGTTAAACTCAAAACTTACCTTGCAGAAACTGTAGTAGTAAAAGATACACAATCGTTCACTAGAGTCATAGGTTTATTTTCTGTTATATCTTCCCATATAGCAGGATCTTTCTCTCCTGTAAACATACAAATTATCAACTGAATAAACATTTTGTTATTGGTTATTCACAATAGTATCTTTAAACTGCAGTACAAATATATAACATCCATTTACATGAACCCATATTTGTTTTCAAATTTAAAGCCTAATTCAATGAACTAGACATTCAGCAATAATCAAATTGCTTGAAGGTTTGGAAATTAACAGCTTAAAGCCTTTTAAGACTAGCAGCCTCTCTAATGTCTATGTTACATAAAACTTAAAGGGATTGTAAAGAGAGGTTTTCTAAATGTTTTATGTGTATTGGGGACACTGATAGCATCAATTGGAACAATTGAGATATGCAGTAACATTACATGCAGTAACTATGAAAAAGGATAATGGTCAGTTTTATACATCAGTGATGATAACCGTAAAGTTGGTGTTTTAACCCTTACTGCCAAATAAAAGGCAAAAACAACATATGTCAATGTATTTACAAGTACCGGTACAAAAACAAAACAAAATAAAATAAAAACAATTTTATATTTGTCATGCATAAGTAAATTATGAGAGGTTATAAAAATAAAATGAAAAACAAAAAACAATGTCTTTCAAGAAACCGAATAGTAAGAAAATAAATATTAAATTTAGAAATGATGAAATCATAGAATTGATTTCAAATGGAATTTAAAATCTCCACCCATTAAGACTATTCTGTAAATGATAAGGAAAAGATTTAAATTTTGGGACACTTTTCATGCTATATAGATTTGTATATCAATGGCAGACTATTTTTTCTCTATGTAATGTAGAAAGTGTTATCCAATGTTATGCATGCGATAATAGGATATACTTCATTTAATGGGTCGAAAATTAATGATAAATATACAGTAATAAATATACAAGAAAAATTATACAAGAAAAATATACAAGAAAAATATACAAGACAACAAGATTGTATATTGAAAATTTACCTCGTCCATGGTTGTTCCCTATTGGCAGCAAATAATTAAGAAATATATTATTAGTAAATATGATCTTCAGCAATCAAGAAACATTTCTAAAGTTTAATAAAAAGTCTAAAGTCTAAATAAAAGGCTGAAATGCAGCTCTTACTGTTGGTAGGGCATGTTTTTTTTTTAATATATCCCTTTAAGAAACATTTTAGAGACCTAGAGATATACTCCCATCCATATATATGGTAATTTGATTCACTACGATGTACTTTCAATGATGAAAATTTCACCATTGAAATGCTACAATTCCTGGAATTTTAGAAATGTCTCTTTAAATATTGCTTCTGCTTTGTGATTCTATTTAGTTTTGGTGAGGAGGGTTCTTGTCTTGCTGAGGACAATTAAAGTGGAAGGGGATGCTGTAAAACTCTGGATGATTAGTAGAAAAAAGATAAAATATCATATTAGTAGGTCATTCGCTGCCAAGGTTACATCTTAAATTTTGAGTTCTTGATTATCCAATTAAACATTTTTTATAAAATTATAATAGCAGAAAATAAATTCTGTTCATCTTGTAGATTTGTTAATGCATGGAATTTTAAGCTCAGTAATAAGCTTTGATGTTTTTACGATGGTTTTGATTACGCAAATTTTAAGCTCGGTGTAGCTTAATACATGAAGACCTGACAGCGAATCAGAAAAATAATCTGGAATTATACTATTTATTTTGAATTTAGTTATTGGTCAAGTTTTGGTGATTGGAATAGAAATGAACTAATTAGTTACAATAGACCTTTTTAGTTTACATTAAAATTAAATGAAATTAAATTAACTTTGTTGAAAATCATGTCAACCAATCATGAGAAATTTTCCTTTGAAATATCTTGAATCATGATCATGACAACATGACTAAATATAAAAATACCCATCATGCATCCAAACATTCAGGATGTAACAACAGTGAGAGGCAACGTAAGAACTGAACAGCTTCAAGAAAATACACTAACACAATTTCTTTTTCTAATGTAGGCCATATTGTAAATAATCATTCCATTCTAGTGACATTCCTTTCTAATATTAGACAAATACAGCTTTAATATACATAAACTTAATGGCTGGGTTTGTTTGTTGTTCTGTTATTTGTTTGATTAATGAAGTGAAGAGTACAGCAATCAAACACAGCCATATCAAAGGGAGACAACTATTAGAGCACTTGTACTCACCAGATATAGAATAGAGCAGACGTAATGTTGGACGCTCTCCACCATACTGATTTATCATTCCCTTTTGTGAGGCCACTGGCACAGGTATTGTCAGAGTAATTGGCTTGTGGAACTTTCTGCGTCTTGGTTCGACAGTTACGATTGGACTAACAGCCACACGATTGCCAAGCAGCTTAGCAACCAGTTCTGGAGCAATTGGTTGTGCCTAATCAACGGGAAAACCAAACCAACCAGGTCACATTTTGTTTACAACAAATTTAAGTACAAACATTGAAAAAATAAATACATCATGCAATATGGCCTACTTTATAACAGCTACAAACAACAAACTGTAGAAAAATAAATATATAGAAAGACAGAAGAATGAATGAAAGGAAGAAGTTAGGTCTCGTCATCAGAGAGATTACATTCTACTAGCCTTGCCCTGGGTGCCGGCCCCGATGAAGGCTACAAATGAAAAAAATGGAAAGAAACTTGTAGAGCGTTGGTGCTTACATTTAAAGATAGGTATTCTGAATATTGAACTGAAATTCAAAATAGGTCTTTTGTCCAACTGAATTTAAGGCACAGAAAAAACAGTTTATGATGGTGATGAGGAATTTGATGGTGAAAAATTCGGGACAATCTGATTAAAATGCTGGTCCAAAAGTTTCATTATATTCTTTTTTCTATCCATGATCTGATGGAATTATTTCATAAACTTTTGTCACAACTAGTTTAATGCTACCCAATCATCAAGTCAACATCCAATAATTCCTCGCAAGTAGTCTGTAACTATCACAAACAGAACATTTAATTGGTTGAATTTTTTAGTGACCTAGAACATATGTCACAGAGCAATTTTTTCAGATCATGGATGGCATACAGAAAAACATGAAAAAAGCATTTACATCTGTATTTTAATCAGATTGCTATGCAAGGTAATGGTATCCCTAGGGGTATTAGTTGTGAAAGAATGATAATGATAACATAGCTATAGGACAAGGACAATGAGGTCAGTAGATAATGATTAATGGGTGATAATTAGGGATAATGGATGACGTAGCAATGATAAAGTATAATGATAATGGTCATGAAGACAAAAACACACAATTAAAAGCCATGGACAAAAAACAGATACAAACATAAACACTATTTTGAATTTTTTTCATTTCCTTAAAATAACCAAATAGCCTGCTTGGCTTCCTAACATTTTCAGAGTTGTAAAATGCAGAAATTTTTCATTGTCAGCAGATGACCAGTTACTGTTGAGGTCAGCCATCTTGGAATAATGAAAACAATCTTAACAATTCTCACCTGTAGACCAACTCTGATTTTCTTTGTAAGAGTGCCCTCTGGGAAGACAGCTTGAACTTGTGGTACGACTGTAGAGCTAATAAGATTTCCTTCCTCTCCGATGTTCTGGTTCTCTTGACGAATTCGTGAAACTAGAGCGAAATATTGTGGGAAGTCAGTTGTGAGAATTCGAGTTATTCTTTTAGTTGCAAGATCATCTTCTTGATCTAGTTCTGAAAATAAAACAAAACAATTGTCATTACAGAGAGTTCACAACATCAAATTAGAAATTTAATATTCAGGGGAAATATCTGCCACGTTCAATTCAAATTTTTCAATCAAAAAGATTTTTTGGGAATCATACACATGCAACTGTCTTTCAGACAACCAAATCTATTGACTATTGTCTCACTTTATTTGCTGGCAACTTAAAGCACTTGAACTCACAAAAAGGCATTCATTGATCCTTTGTAGGGCGTCCATAGATTTGAAAATCTAGATGGCTTGGAATTTGTTTACAAGAAGAAACTCTTGGGATTTTTTACAACAATAAACAAAGAAAACATCAAGATTTAAATTAAAAAGATCTGAAGTGTACATGTAGACATTAAAGTGAAAGAAAAATAATAAACCAACCAAGTATTGATAAAAAGAAGTGATATTGAGATCATAAAACAATTGTGTGTACAAATCAGAACAATAATAAAGGTTTTCATACATGAAGGTGCTAGGTCAGGGCTATCTAGATGTACTGATAAGACTTAATGACCATGCCATTGAAAGATTATTTAACTATTTAGGCACCATGTCAGAAACAAATTTTTCATGAAAGTGCCACGCTACATTTATGACTCTTTTTCAAGCCCAAAGTTCTATTTCAAGTGCATTTTAGTGCAATGTCAAGACTAACTGAAGAGCAAGCCAAATCATTAAAATAACATGTATGGGCTTTTGGGTACAATGTCAATATAATATTTTATATTTTCAAATGTCATGTCAATACCATGTATGGACTACTCCAGAGCAATGTCAAGACTTCATCAAGGTCCTATTTATATCATTTAAGCACCATGTCCAATGTCAAGTCATATATATGAGCAATGTCAAATTATTCAAATGTCATGTTTAGGCTACTCCAGTGTAGTGCAAAAAAGATAGCTATAGGGAAAACTGGGGATATCTGGGGTGACTAAATTGAGTGCCATATAACCACAGATTGAACCAAGTAAAAATAGAATCTATAGCAAATTAAAATAAAACAAAAAAGGGCATGCTCACTCCACAAACTATTTAAAGAGGTGCTGGCAAGAGATTGGGTGCTCAGACCTTCGAGGCTTCCCCCTAAAGCATCATTGACGGCTTCTTCTGTGGCAACCATTGGATGTTCATACCAATTTTCACCGTCATCGCTACGTAGTATTTGGACCTCTCTCTCTTTTCCACGGAGAGAGGCAAAGTGGGGGACCTCTAAAATAATAGGTCTGAAATAAAAAAAGAAATCAAAATCAACACAAATAGCTTAAATTACCTAAAATTTTGAGTACAGTGTATATATGTATGGTACATTTTCATATAATTAATACAGATACACTTGCCTTAAATTGACAGCTGTTATAGCCATACATGTATTGCAGAAAATCATACCGTATTAAAGACAAACAGGTTGTCAGAATTTCATTTTAAAAAGTGATATGGACAGCTGAAATTGAGTTCAGCCACAAAAGCAAATATTGAGACCAATATAACTTTTTAAATGTAATAAATTTAAACAATCCCAATTATTTTTGAACAACTCTTCCAATCCATCATGCTTCACCATTTGGCATGTACTAAAGATTAGAGCCTTTTTTATTCCTTTGATTAATTCCTGAAATTCCAGATTCATGGAATAGGTTTCTGATTAGGTGTCTATTGTTGATAATAATCAATAATGGTAAAGTAGTTAATAGAATAATAGAATTATATCTATTACAAGACCAGCTATTATCATTAATTACTATACAGATTCTGTTGAATACAATACAATAATCACCAGGATAGTATTATATTATCATTATATTCTATATCTTCTAGTATGTGTACAGATTCTTAAATCTACATCAGAAAAGATTTCGCAAGCCTATCATATAGTGTCTGAATTGATTTTGTGCATTCTGACACATTTTAGAGAAAAAGACATTAAGATTTGTTGAAAATATAGTGGGGGTACAAACTACTTTCTTAGGGGGGCAAATGCCAACCTCCCCCCTGTACCCTTACTGGCACTGCCACTGACAGGCATTGATGGGCTCTTACACCAATTTGCTTACATTACCTCAAAATGGGCAAAAGTCACATGAAAAGCAAGTAAATTTTTGATGTATTACAATATCATTGTATTCTACATCTTCAAGTACGTGTGTACATATACTTTAATTTATATTAGAAATATGCAGGATTAATGGACCCCTTATAAGAATTTGGAGAAAAAAACATGAAAATGTTGGCATAAAAGTTTAAAATTTTCTTAACTGTTTTTATTTAATTGCACCACAACCAGATACTGGATTTTTATTCTGAAAATGGCTATATATGCATGCAATTCAGCTATAGCAAGTAAAACAAATAGAAGTCCAATTCCCTATGAATTGACGACGCTTCTGACAATATGTCCGAGGGTGTTATTTTATGAGTGATTTCTACTGGTTTCTAGATAATTACATGAAAAGAATTTATGAATCATAACGTAAGAATGCCAGTACCATTGAATTACAATACTGAATAGAGTGTGTTGTGTTGTGGGAACAAGTATTAAGTTTGTAATCATAAAGCTAATGAAATAGAACACTTATCAGAGGGTGGAGTCTTAAATTTTCATTAGAAATATAAAATGAAATATTAATTGCATCTCTTTATAAATGTTGACAAATATATATTCAAACTTATATTTCAATTCCGCAAAATAAAATTTACTCAATTAAAGGGATTGTTGAGAGACTTTAACTTTTTTTTGTGTATCAGCAAAACTGTTAGCATCGATTAACACCATTCAAATTTTCAATCAGATGTCTGTGGTTAGTGCATTTAACTAGTGCGATATTGACGGCATAAATGATAAGTGAACCTCAGACGTGTGAAAAGTGGTGTGGTGCAAAATGTTGCTATCTAATCCCTTTAATCTCCATGTTCCCTAAAATCAAATTTTAAACTTGACATTTGACATCAAGGAAATATTGTTTAAACCTGATTACATAATTATGAACCTTAAGCCAGTAATTATGTTCCTAAAAAGGATCATGAAATTTGGAAGCATTCTATTTAAAAAGATTTTCCAAGCAAGTCGAGAATCAAATTATTTATAAGCATCTTTAAATCTTAGACTATCAGACTTAGATGGTACCACATGGTGATTTAATGTCTATAGATAAAGTATAAAATCAAATGTTCTAGAGTTCAGGCAGTTTCAGGAATTTATTGGAATTATGCCAAAATGAGATCTCCCAGGAATGTTAGACTTTTATCTTTTGATAGCAAGTATATAATATTGTGTAGCAGCAGAACCCTGGCTACATTGACCTTTGAAACATGGAACATGATCAAATACATCAGTATTGGTATACTAATATAGGTATTACTAATATTGTAAATTTATTTTAAGCCTAAAGTACATGTTATTCTTAATAATATATTTACAATGTGTTTAACACCCTAATTGGGCTCATAAAAATTGCCATCATACATTGTGCAATGTTGAAAATGTTGTCTGCTTACATGGAATTCGGCTATTTGTTTTTAAAGGCATTTCTACAGCCTGTGGCACACAGAGCCTCAATATATTGTTCCATCCACATGAATATATTCCATGTCAGCCCAAAATCAAAAAGGTTTTTCACCACTGAAGTCTGTTTACATTATCAATATCCTGTTATAATTACTATGAGTCAACATAACAATATAATTTCACGGATCATTAATAAATACATAGGACACCCCATAAATTAATTATAGCTCTTTTATTATGAAAAACATATTAGGTACCGGTACATTGCTGGTGTGTCAAAGGAAAGTGAGCCTAAAAACGTTTGCACCTCTATTGAAAGCGACCAAAGTCTGAAAATTTATCCCTTGAAAGTTGTATAAGCTCAAATATTTTTTTATTATATCTGTATTAAAGATTGTAAATCTGAGTTAAAATGAATGTATGAACATGGTGAAACAGCCAAATGGTACTTACCCAAGGAATTTAGTTCCAACTGGTCCCATTTCAATAACTCTGGCAGCGAGTCCTTCTCCTTCAATCAGTGGTGGTGGATGCGACAATCTTTCTTTTTTCACCAGTCGGCATGTCACACGAGTTGGCATGGAAGCTTTGCGTGGTGGGATGATAACTCGTATTCCGGAATGACGACATCCTCTCATAGCCCCACCGCGGGCATCCACCATAAAACTTATGAGGAAGCTGTGAGATAAAATAGTCATTGTGAATTACAGGGATTAAACCAGCAAAAAAAAATATATAAAAAAATCGTTCAAAAATAAATAATCTTCTGTAAACAAAAACAATATCGTTTATATACAAATACACAGTAATAATAACAGTAAAACAACACAGTTTAGAAAAGCACTTTAAAATCCACTTTTAAAATGTCAAGTAGCCTATTCAAGTTCTATTGTTAAAGTTACTTGTTTTCCTTTCCAATACACAGGAAATAATGGCATAACAAACTTCACAATTAATTCAAAATAACACCATTCCACATTTCGAGTTTTCAAGGCACTTAATTTCCTTTCTTTGAAAAATCAATTAAAAGAGAAGCTATCCATTTCAATGTCGATGCCAAGAATTAAACTGTGCATTGATTGACAACAGCAGACGTTTCACTAATTCCAACTTTTAACAGCCGTTTTCACCTTCATGCACTTTACACTACTGTTACCTCACAGAGTTATTCTAATTCCAACACGAATATAACAACTAAATTTAGCTCTAGCATACACAGGTGATTTTAATCGAAATCCATTTGGTATTTATAATCTCTATAACTGGAGAGTACAAGAGAAAGAGAGTGTGTATAGCCTACAGGCTAGAAACCTAAACTAAGATAATAATGGCTGACTGGTATATTTGTAGCAGACGCAGAATCATATAGATCAGAATCAACCAGTCTTTTCTCAGTCAGCAGACAACTTTAACAAGAGTCTGGGTCAAATTAACAAGAGTAGTTCATTTACTTCACTATTGGTCATTGACGTTTGATTCATCTCTTGGAACATCTGTCAAAATTTATTTTCATTAGACACAGTAAATATATGTTGGTAAAGGATAATTAGCCTCTTGGGAAATGTAAGCAACTTTAATTTACAATTCAGTGTTTCAATCAACTTTAATCTTATCATCCTTGATGTAGCATACAATTTGAAATTTAAAGACAGCAGACAACATAATTCCACATCTTCCTTGACTTTTGGAACATTTTGACCTCCCGGCACTTGCTTGCCTTGTTATCGGAAATGTGACCTAATACTGAAACACATCACGTTTTAAAGGGATTTAGTTGTGGAAATATTTGCTTGAAAATACTTCCAATACCATTTTCTCTTAATGACGGACAACCTTACACCACATTTATATTTTGAAAAGAGACACAGTTAGCTGAAACCCAGCTTTATTGTCTAAAAATTTAGACGACTGTATACTTTTCAGATGACCTTATGACCTTAGCTGCTGGTGAAGCAGCCATTATCACATGACGTCATATAACATTAATATCATACAATCTTAGTCAAATTAAAAAGGGTTTAAGGTATATGAGGTTTTATCTTTTTCACATCATAGTTAAAAGGATAAATGCAAAAAGCTCCATCAAGTCTCAAGATGAAGAATACTGAATCTTCATTCAGAACTCTTAGAGTGTCTTTAAGAGAGATAAGGCAATGTTTAAAATCTATTTTAGTAATGTTTATCAACAGTTGATTGAAGATGGTAGAGCGAAGTGATGTTTGGAATCATAATTATGTTTCAACCAGAATAAATATCTTCAAGGTCTTGAAATTCGGAGAGATAAACATTTTCCATCAATTTAAATTGTTTAAAAAAGGTCTTCTAGTCTTTATATGTGTATCAAGGGACACCTATGGCTTCTATTTTGCTATTTGTTTACTTAACTGAGGTTATCACCTGGTCAAGTTATTTTTTCTGGAACGGGAAATTGGAATGATGCAAATAGAAGCTATAGATATACCAAAGCTATAAATTTCTTATTTCTAAGATGATCACGTTTAAAATAAAAAATCTTCTTAATTTGTACTTAATTAATATACAGATAACAAGTGATTCTGTCACTTTTCTGAAATCTTGTTCGGTTATCTTATATTGCATTATAGGCTAATACAGAAAACTGCTTGTGCACTTTCATAGACTTGGAGACTTCAAACACAAGTTGTTCTTGTCTTTGAAATGAATTTGATTGGTATGCATTAAGAGATAATGGCTTTTGGCACTTTTAAATTTATCAAATTTGGTGAATTCTAATACTAAATCACTGTAGAGGCAAAAATATCTTTTTATTTCATAAACTATTTTTTATCAACGGAAATCTTTCTATCTTATCAAGTTTGTTCTTCTGACCTTGATAAAAACAGATACATCATTTTAAAACCTGTTTCATAAAATCGTTACAAAATCCGACCTTTTTAATCAGTGAGCCTGTTTGATTGAGTGTAATTTAGATCCTGGTCATATTGCAGGTGTTCATTGTGCTAAAGATAATTATTCCAGTTTGTTTGATAGTACCAAAATCTTATCAATGTAAATGCAGCTGTGCTGTATGAATATAATATGCATGTACTAATACAACTGAAAAATAGTATGAAATCTGAAACTAAACCATCCAAAATATTTTTTTCACTAGATATAAGGGGCACATCCCATTTTTTGTCGCTGATTGTCATTAAGTGTCATGTTTGCCTGCATAGCCAACAGAATCACCAATTTTTTCTTGACAGTGATTATTTTCAGCGTATGCCCACAATCACCATGAAACAAAATTCCAGAAAGCTATTATGATTTGTAAATAGTCATTTACAGAAGTCATGTACTAGGTCTACCTAACCTTGTCTAAAAATTGCTGAGTTTTAAATTTTATTACACTGTTTAAAATACAGTCGTTTTGAAAGCAAATATTAGTCATAGGCAAATACATGTGTAATAAATTGAATAAATCCTTCATTTTTGGCAGGTCATGAAGTAAATCATGGAGAGTCTTCAACATTGTAACACTTATTTTTCAAAATTCATTTAGTTGTAGATTTGAACTATTGCATTTGTCTTCAATCAAACTTGTAAGATGGTTACTCTTAATGGTCATAATTCAAGTAGAATTGCAAGTGCATAGTGGTATAAGGTGATACCGAAATAAGTCAAAGTATGATAAATCTATTTGTGACCCAATTCTCAAACTATATGTCATACACAAAACTGCAATCTTTTTTCTAAACTTGAGAGTTGACAAAATAAAATAGATATTAATGTCCATTTCACACCTAAATCGCTCTTGCCACTGAAAAACCAACATTGATGTCAAAATGTGTACAAAACTCATAAATTTGTGTTCAATGTAAGAAAGGATTCTCTCACAGCTTCAGCTATTTTGGAGTTCTCCCACACATTCAACTTGATTAGAGTGTCTCTAATATTCATAGCATGCAAACAACAAAATCAATGCGTTTCTATGTTTGCAGGTAATGAAAGTACCAACGATATTATGAAATTAATTAAGTGAAATAATCGTCAATCGTCAATTGATCTTGGTAGCACTCAATTCACCTTCAATCAGGAATGATATTGATATTGCAATTGGGTTGGTCAGCATCCCTTTTAGGAAGACATTTGCTGTGTGGAATCTTCAAACGAGCCTACTCTAAATAAATTTACAATCAAGTTTATTGTCTAAGGCCTTGGTTTTATCCAAACGACAAGATAAGTTTTCAATGTCAGCCCCTCAGACCTGAATCACTAAAAGAAGGAAATAGTCTTCAGAAAAACTAGAACTGAACGAGAATGACACAATCCCTTCAAATATTTATGTCTTCTCTATACATAGCAGTCTTAAGAAAATATTTTAAAAACTTTCAAATGCAAATAATTTTTGACACACTTGGAATTGAAGATTCAAATTTCAACGGTGAGCTGTGAACACTATTACTGATTAGCTTAGCATAAAATTCCTGTTTCTAAGACTAAGGTACAATTGATCAAACTGTCCCCATTAAGTTACAATTTGAAATTCTTAAAGGTTCTTTTCTGCAATTCTATTCAAATTCACATTTTGTAAGTGTTTACAAATCTACTACATAACTAACAGTTGTAGACTACATCATCATTACTGTTACAAAAACACAAAACTTAAAAATACTTCTTTAAATATCTTAACAGTTTCTTAGTTTACTTTGAAGATTGCTATTTCTGTTCATTCTCTTAGAATCATTGACTTTTTTCTATTTTGTTGGTATGTGTTTTGTAAATTAATCTTTATCATTAAAGGGACAGATGTGGCATTTTAGGGGTTGATTTTAATCCTGAATATATGTAAATAGTCTTCAGAAGTACTAGATATGAACGAAAATCGCATATTTCCTTTCAAAATACTTCAAAGTAGGAATTCTACTCACTATTTCTACATATCTTTTCTATATATCACAGAGTATCTTAAATTGACGAGTCGTCATTTTAACATTCAAATGCGGATAATTCTGGACACACATGGACTTGAAGGCTCAAATTTCGACAGTAAGCTGTGAATACTATTACTGATTGGCTTAGCTAAAAAACTGCCGTTTCTGAGACTAAAGTGTGATTGGGCAAAAAGACGTTGCATCCGTCCCTTTAACAACTTTGAGGTCTTTTCATTTTTTTTCTAATTAATTCTTAAATTATATCTTTTAACAGAAATTCAACCAAATTAAAGCGAGTTTTTTTTCCTACGCTCCGACTTGAGGTTATTTTATATCATTGGCATGCAGTTTGTTTTTGTGGTCTCAAGAGGACGCTATGAAACCATTTACGAGAAGACACCAGCCTCATATCCATTATAATAGGAAACTTCAAATGTGATATTTTAAACGATTCCTCGGTGGCCAGGTAAATTTATAGAAACTATATAAAGGGTTTAGATATAGTTTCACGCATAATTAGCGTAATTCTTCATGTTGAAAATAAACCTGTCTAGACCTTTAACTATCTTAACTAAATTCTGCTTTTTAACATAAATTCCACTCCAATGAAGTAAGTTTTTGTCCTACCAATATTTGATTCCAAATTGACATGCACTCTGGTTATAAAATCCTCATCAGCTATAATGGAAAGACTTCATCGAAAATGATTGCTTCATGACTTCCTGTCGGTGAATGAGTTTAAGACAAAACCAATAGAAATATTAACACTTAAGAAAAACACATTTGAAGAAGTTGTCTTCAAAGAC